CTCTTGTGATGGACGGTTCGTGGGGAACTGGTTTGCTGATTCGGGTCTTTTTTTTGTGTGTAGTGCTCCGTACAGCAAGACGGAGGAGGTTTGGGGTGCGGAGAACTTTGAGAGGTTGGTGGCAATCAAGGAGAAGTATGATCCGGAGTGTTTGTTTAATAGGGGGAGGGTGCCGGCGACGGAGGCGTGCGTCGCGAAGGGGTTGTCGAACACTTCGATTGAGTAAGTCGCATTGGTTTGGGGGGGTAAGTCTTCACCGAGAGAGAGACATAGAGAGGGTGAGCAAAAGAGAGGGATGTAATGCGGAGACGAGTCTGAGAGTTGGAGAGTTGTTTGATTTACTGTAAGACTGTAAGATAGTGTACGGATAGTGTACATACACACGCAAGACAAGTTCCTTCAGCGGGACGCGAAGCCACCGGCGCTTGTCAGGGGAGGATTCGGCTTTGCTGCGACTTGATAACTGACTGGTTGTCACTTCATGCTTGAGTAAGACTAGACGAAGCTCGGACAGGACCCACATCTCACTACGAGCACGACATCTGGGGGGCAGTCAATGAGGGGTATAGATCATCATTGGCGAATGGCACAGCCAGTAGCGTCTTTGCGTGTTTTGGAAAGTCATGTAAGCTATAGTGTAGCATTGTAAATATTGTTTGGATACGGACTCGCAGAAATCCGGCAGCTACTGATTCGCAATCCGGGTGTGCTTGTCAACTGGGGACTTGACAGTGCGATGAATCTCAAAGTATATAACATGCTGCTCATGTTGTCCATTAGCAATGAGCATCCACAGCATTATTTTCCGACATTCTTCTGTCTTCACTCATCCTAAACATGGCAGGCAGCTCTGATGACCTACTACGCTTACCGGCGGACAACCGGGTCCCTCCCACTGACGTCGTGTCCTTGGTAGTTGGATGTCAGGGGACGGTGGTTTTGATGGCTGGAACTTCAATGTGTGTCGGCGTTTGAGTTTAATGGCATGGTTTTGTAGCAAAGGATGTTGAGCGAGAACGGGCAATGTCGTATGGTACAGTGCAAGGGCACCCAAGCGTGATAATAGTGTCAAATCCACGGCGGCATGTTGCTTGGATAGTGTTGGGGTGAGCGGTTCCCTAGCCAAGCGAGTGGCGGCGATCTGATCCGGAGCAGAGTTTAGTAGTTCGATTTCGTATTCAATCAGAATTGCATCCATTCACTTCGAACTTGATTGTAAAAAGGTTCTCAAAATTGCAATGGCCTATTCCATTCTATCAGATCTTCATTTTGTTTTGCCAAACCAGTCTATAAAAAATACATGTTTACATCGGTTTACACCTAACACAAACAGAGAAAAAATTCCCGGGCACACGAAGGGACAGCAACGCAGCACATTGGCTCTTCCTTTCTGACCCTCCAGGAAAAAAGAAAAAAAGGTTGCAGCGAAGCGCTCACCGGCTTCGCCCATCGTCATCATCTCCGCATTAGTTTCCGCTCAGATCATGGTAACCAATATCTGTCCCCCCACATGTGGCCGACTCGTCTGTCAGCCGTCTCTTTCTAGTTAAAACTCCGGCAGAATCGTCAGCAGAACCGCCACCGTTCCTTTTCGTTGCTTTCTCTTTCCATCAAGATTTACCGGCCGAGCGGCATCTTGACGACCTCCCAGAACTTCTCGGGGCCGAGCTTGTAGTACATCAAGCCGGCAAGGGCGATGCCGTAGCCGAAGACCTGGGTCATGGTGACGGGGTCCCAGAAGATGACGACGGAGGCGACGACGAGCAGGATGTCCTTGAGGACACCGCACAGGGTCAGGGTGACGGCGCTGGTGCGCTTGATGAACAGCACGACGGCGAAGTTGAGCAGGAAGGCGATGCCGGCGTTGCAGATGAGGGTGAAGATGCCGACCTTGGCGATGTCGGCGGCGGTGAGGGTGGGGTACTCGAAGATGAGGGTGGGGAGGAAGTTGGTGACGACGGTGGCCGGGGCGTAGTAGTACAGCGAGACGAGCGGGTCCATCTTGAACTCGGGGGCGGACAGCACGCGCTGGACGAGCACGAGACGGGTGGCCTCGAAGCAGACGCCGCCCATCTGGATGAGGAAGCCGAGCAGGTCGAACTTGATCTCGCCGACCGAGGCGATGAAGACGCCGATGACGATGAAGACGACCTGGTAGAGCTTGGTGACGTTGGGCTGGGCTTGGCCAAGGGCCCAGGTCACGAGGAGGGTGATGACGGCGTTGGTGGCCTGAGGCATTTCTTGTTAACACGTTTTGTGTTTTTGGCAGAATTTAGAGTTTTGAAAGGGGTGTGGGGGCCACAGGGCCACGGCCACGGCCACGGCCACGGGTCGCTCGAGGGCGCAAAACGTACCTTGAGCATCTGGATGAAGGACACGCTGAGGTAGAGGTAGGCGACGTTGCCGCAAATCAGAGACAGCGAGTTGAAGACGGCGATGGGCATGATGGCGCGCATGTAGACCTCGCGCGTCATGGGCACCTTGTGCCTGGAGTCAAGCAGGTTGGTGTAGCGGGCCAGGCATTGGGTCACAATGGTGGCAAAAGTCAAATGCCAGGTGGTGAGGAAGATGGCTGGCGGGATCAATCAGTTTCGGGGTGCATTGGGGGCAGCGCTGGGGCGGGCTGGCGCTGGCACTCACGGAAAGAGAACTGCAGGGTGTGCAGGATCCATTTGTTGAAGAGAATGACGCCACCACTCGCGGCAATCCAGAAGCTGCGGACGGCGTCAGTCGCAGGCAGAGCAGGCAGGCAGGCGGCGGGGGGACTCACACGGCGAAGATCCAGACGGGGATGGCAGCGAGCTTGTCCTCGGGCTCCTGGGCGGTGGCGGGCGCGGGCAGGAACTGGCTCGACTCGGCGCGCTCGTCGTCGGAGCCGTCGTCGGGCCCGCGGAGGTTAACGTCGTCCTTGGCAGCGGCCATGATGGGGACTGTCAATGGCGTGGGTTGGGGGTGGTGGGCTTTGGGAGGTGTGTTGAGCTGGATTAGGCCGGCCCAGCGCTTGCGGGAAAAGTAAGGACAGGTGTTGAGCACGTGAGCCGGGGCGCTAGGTGCGCAGGTATAGGGGGTACCAGCGTGCCAGATTTCTGAAATTGAGATGGCGGGGATGAAACGGCGGAAGGGGGCTAAGCCGGATCCTGTGCGTGCGCTGGCCCAATCAGCGCCGCCTGCCCGCCGCCTGCCCGCCGCGAAACGATCGTCGCAGCTGCCAGTACGCGCGTTCCGGCGTCGCACCTGCTGCAACCGAACAGATCTTCCAGAATGCAAGCCTTTTCACCCGCAACCCCCAGGAATCGCGAGCTTGCAATTTTTCTAGCTTATCTCAAGCTTAATTTGAACCCACATGTGCTGCGAGATCGACGCTTGCGACAACACCACGCCAAGCATCGCAATCGCAATCGCAACCCGCTTTCTTCGCCCCTCATTTCCACCACCTCCACCACTGTCCTCACCTGCGCCATCTCATTTGGACATTGGGGGATTTCTTCGCCAATTCATTTAACCAGCAGCTTCGCGGCATAGGTGACCGGCACGCCATCGACGTCGGCCACACCGCAGACATTGCATAGGTGGCCGCCAAATGTACTTGTGACGTCATAGCAACCTCCTCCGTTTCTGCTCTCTACCACCAAATCCATCACCACTGCATCAACAGTCGGTCTAGTGCAACTCCTAGCACAAAGCGTGGCACGAAATGATATCAAACAGCAAGTGGATTCGTCTATTCTAAATGCTAACGTTGCCAAATAGGAAAAGAGATCAGATCAATGATGATGCCGCACTGCAAGCTCAATCCTTCTTGCAGCAGTACAACTTCTTGCCCGACGTGCAAGCAGTCGTGTCCGACCCATACCTGCTCTCCGCCTTCTTGTCGTAACCATCCGGGCACTGGGCGTTGCACAGCGGCGCAGTCCCGTACCAGGCACACGTGCCCTCCTCCTTGCGGATCTCCACCGGCCAGATCTGCTGGATCTTGCTGACGTCGGTCCCGTCGATCTGGATAATCTCCTCGACGTCGTCGTTGTCCTTGAGCGCCGGCCACTCCTCCTTGTTCCACACGCTGCCCCTGCTCTCGTCGATCTTGTTGCCGTCGCGGAACATGACCCACGCCACGCCGCTCGACAGCTGCGCGAACGCCTTGCTCCAGTTGTTGACCGCCTTCTGGTACACGTCGTCGTCCTCGTACTTGCTCGGGTCGTTGACGTCGAGCACCTCGACGTCCTGGATCTTGATGAGCCCGTGGTCCTTTTTGTACGAGATGCACGACCGCGCCGCGCACCCGCCCCCCGTGTAGAAGATGGTTTGGTCGCGCCCGATCGTCTTCTTGGCGCTGATCGCCTCCCGGAAGGACTCGGGCGACGGCGCGTCGTCGCGCTTGTCGGCGCGCTGCTCCAGGGGCGCCGCGAGCGCGAGCTGGGCCGAGAGGAGGACGGTGGGGATGGCGAAGAACTTCATGGTTGATGAGGAGGATTGAAAGCTTGAGATGAAGAAAATTGAAATTGAAGATGAATTGAAAGTCTCGAGTCGAGTTGAAGAGTTCAGATGGACTGGAAAGTTCAAGATGGATTGGAAGGCTGATGCTGAAGTGGAGGTTTGGTGAGTTGATGCTGTGCCGCTTTCCTGTTGAAATGAACCGTTCTTATACACTTCTCTTCGACACACCATTTTGAAACAAGAGTAAAAGAATTAGAGACGTAACAGTCCATCGGCGCGACAGTCCGTAGGCAAGCAACGACCTGTCAGCCACCAACGACGTTGTGAAAGACTTGCGACAATCCTTCATCGCTTTCTTTTGAGGTCGAACACAGACAATTCTCCAGGAATCCACTCCCAAGATCCTGACCTTTTGGCACCTTACTAAGGCTGTCGCTAGGCCCGTGTTGGTGCGGCCGTTGGAACGGTCGGGCGAACGCTGGGGGCCGCAATCTGGCGGACTGCGCCTCGCCGCCCAGATATATCGGCCCCAGCCCCCACCTGGGGTTCGGTTACATTGCCACACTCCTTCATTGCCAGCCAGTACTACAAGGCGGTTGCAGAGAAGTATACCGGAAAATACACTTTACTTCCGGATATCTGCTTCAACTGCTGATCATGAAGAGAAGGCGTTGAAACCTACATCTGCGCCGGCAAAATTTGCTTCAAATTTCCACACGAATGGTCACCGTAGATGAACTTCTTTTGCAACTCAACTCACTGTGTTGATATGGAGTTTACCATGTGCCTCGATTTGTCTTGGAGGTCGTCTGGGTGGCAGTATGTGCCGAAAGGGAGGTTTGGAGTTGACGTCTAGGAGATCAAGACGTCTAGTAATCCCTGTATAAAGCCTAGCCACTCACGTCATCTTGTTGCCTCTTTTGTCGGTTAGCCACCATCCTGTAGCAAGAGAGGAAAAAAAAAAAGGCGGCATTCCCAGTCCACCCCACGCGGGGGGGCCTGAAGCTCGGTTGATTAAAAGGATGGGAGATGGTCAGTGCGCAGAAAAAAATGCAAAAGAAAATGCAAAACGTACAACAGCCGGGATTCCCCAATGGTCACCCACTTGAGTACTAATCGGCCGGTTCGCAGCTTGAGTACGGCTGAGCGGACGGGAAGCCCTATATTCTGCGACCTATGGTCGTACGTGAAAGACAGCCCTGCAACTAACATTTATAACTAGAAGTTGACTGGATGTTGACTGTCTCGACCTCAGTCCGGCTACTCGTCGACCTCGATTCGGGCTGGTGCAGGAAAATGGGACGGACGACCTGTCTCCGCCAGAGTAACGTTTGCGTGACACCGACGAATTCAACAAACTACTGGAGACAATCCGGGCGGACAAAGAGTTCGGGAATTTCATGCTTCCTCCAACGGCGGCAGAGCTGGTTTCTGCTCCACGGCCGCGTGAGTCAATCGTGGTCATAAAGGTCACTACTTTTCGCAGCGATCCTTTTCTCGTTCGGACCGAAGGTATCGGCTTGGTCAGCCTCCCAGGTCTCACGCTTGAAGCGGTCGAAGACGCCGTTCGCAAATTCAGATATAATGGCGACCACGATGATGCGGTTCAGATTCTTGTATGGTTATGAAAAACAGCTACTAACCCGATTCTAACCACACTTAGGGTTGATCGCAACTTTGCCGGTCAAGATTACGTGGAATGGCCAAAAATATATTGGGTTTCCACAGGGGACCTCCGTTTGTTGCCGCTCCATGCGGCGGGGAGTGTTTAGTATGGGTGGAGGGGTGGTGGTGCTGCGGGGAGTGCGAGATGGTTTAGAGCCGGAGTGCGCGTGAGTTGGTAGCGAGGGAGGGACGGGGGGAGGAGGTTGAAGATCACCTACAAGGGTTTAGAAACGGTAGCGTTCCAAAGCAAGTACTACGTAAAACATCACTTTTCATTGACATACGCCACTGTGATTTGTGTCACGACTTCGTGCGGACGGTGCAGACTTTCCCACTGTCCTGTTCAGCGAATGCTACAGTCCTAGCACTTTCGTTTTGAAGACAAAGCTGGCCACTTGCTGTTGTAAGGCGTTGCGTGACGTGCGCTATAAATGGACATAGATGCCGAATGGGTGAATGTTCCAGGGCGATGAGCAATCTGCTAATTTTGGTTGCATTATTGGCTGCTTCTAAATCTTGATGTCCAGCTATAAAGCACGTGGTAGGTCCTCCAATGGCAACCCTGAACCATATCGCACCCCGGGTTCGAGGGGCAAACGGCCCCCACACTACCTTTCAAACGGCCCCCACCACATGGGACCCAAGCATTAATATGCAGCGTCCCAGACTCGATGTGAGTCGCACTGCGTTTCAGCAATCGCTTTCACAAGACATATTGCTTCAATTCGTCACTGGCTCGACAGCATGTGCAATGATATTCATGGTGTCAAGGTAGTAGTAACAAGGGTTTCTCCGGTCGGTAAAAAACATAAATAGCTGCCAATAACTTCTCATATCTTGCAAATTTTCTGCCAAGGCTCCCACTTTCGTGCGAGGACACTAGGTAGATTTCGGTACACATATCTGCAGTGTGCTAATGGTGTTCCCAGCTCGACGTCAATTCCGTGGCTCGTTACTGCATGGCCCCCAAAGCTACTAACGGCAGTAATGCATTGTATATCCCAGGGATTGGTATCACCACCTTCTGCAAACGGAAAAGGTCCCAGTCCACAGGACGGTTAAATGCTCCATTTCCGCAAGATTTCTCGTCTCCAGTCAGAAAGCATGGACTCTTTCGCGCAAACCGAGTCCGAGTCCCTCTACACCATTTATCGTGGTGTATGGACGAACTGGTCCCACGGACAAGTATTGGGCCTCACGCTCACCCTTTCCCGACGCCAAGGCGACCTACTCATTGCTTTTACTGCTCTCTTCGTCACCTTTGTCGGGACAAGCTTCTGGAGGATTGCATGCTTTGCCGTACACAGTCTGTATTCTTCCGGGGAAGCTCGCGATGCCCTGTACCATCAACGACAGGCCACACTGCGCAACTCAGCCAATGGTGCGACCGGCCTCATCAGGTCACTGCAAATGCTTCTCGCCTGGCGCGGTACCGCTGTCAAACCCTTCCGGCGAGTTTTGCCCGTCGTCGGCCTCGCTGTGCTCACTGTGTACGGATTCGGCGCGGCAAGCGGTTTCTCCTCGAGGGTGTCGACGGCAATGGGCAACGAAGTGCTGATATCCAGCGCGAACTGTGCAGCGCCGGTGGCAATCTCGAACAACCTGACCGAGCAGCTGAGCATCTACTGGCCGTACGTCACCAAGCGCATGTCGTCGTACGCCAACTACGCGCAGCAATGCTACAATAGCAGCGCCAACGCCGAGCCGCAGTGCAACACATTCGTCACCTCACAACTAAAAGCAACCATCACACGCAACGCATCCTGCCCTTTCAGTCCAGAGATGTGCCGCACGCAAGAAGGCAACATCTTCTTCGACACGGGTCTGCTCGACACGCACGCCGACCTGGGCTTCAACGCGCCGCCGGACCGCCGCTTCCTCTACCGCCGCACGACGCACTGCGCGCCCCTCGTGGCCGACGGCTACAGGAACATTTCCAACTTCACCGCGCCGGACGACCCCAACTTCTCGACACCCTACGCAAAGTACCACTACGGGCCCCGCAACTCTGATGTCAACGAGACGGCCACGTACAAGTACCCGCTCCTCGACCGCTTCCAAGCCGCAGACCGCAAAACGCTGAGCGCCGCCGCCGACTACAGCATCGGGTGAGTAACGATTCCCTGATCCCCTCCCTTGACCCTCCACTCCTCCCCCCCTCCCTCCCAATCAAACCCACTAACCGCCCTCCCCCCCCTCCAACAGCTCCGTCGAAGCCTGGACCACCTCCAACACCACCGCCCCGCACTCCTCCTTCTTCCCCCTCCCAGCCCTCCTCCCCCCCTCCCGCTCCCACCCCCCCGGCGACATCGCCCTCCTCTTCCTCTCCGCCAACGACATCTCCTACACCTCCCCCGTCTCCGACCCCTGGTACGCCGCCCACCAACCCGGCGGGCACTACTACATCCCAGCCGTCGGCGCCGACGGCCTCGCGCTGCCCTCCCAGCAGCGCGCCGTGCCGCTCTACTACCGCGACGAGCCCGCGTCGGCGCTCGGCTGCGTGTCGCGCGCGCAGTGGTGCAACCCGCGACGTCATCGTGATGATGATGACGATGAGACGACGACGCCTGGGCGCCGCTGCACGCCGCTGAGCGGGTACCTCGACGTCAACGCGGGGGTGGGCGACATCGTTTCCGGGGAGGCGGAGCGCGACGCGCTGGATTGGTACCGGTGGGCGGCGCTGGTGGATGCGGAGAGCCTGGCGGCGGTGCCGGCGGCGCTGGGCGGCGGGCTGGCGGGCGGGGAGGGCTTGAATTACGGGATGCAGGGCCCGCTGGGGGAGGCGCAGTGGCAGAAGGATGTCGAGAGGTGGCATGCGGTGAGCTTGGCGGCGATGCAGGGGCGCGTGGTGGATACGGCGACGGGGCCCGGGGCGGGGGGAGGGGGAGCGGGGATGGAGCGGTTCGTGGTCAGGCCGAATACGACGGAGGCGGAGGGGTTGTGTGGGAGTCAGGTGAGTTGTGGCGCTGCGGCGTGGAAGTGTGTGGACGGATACTAATGTCTTTTTCATGCTGCTCGCCTGCGCAGAAAATACTAAGCACGGCGTATACCAACATCTCCCTCTTCGGCCTGGTTTTCATCTACACGGTCGGCGGCTCCATTATTATGGCTTCGTGGCTCCTCGAACCTTTTGTCGGCTGTTGGCAGAGGAAGAGAGGCAACAATGCCAACAACTACGCCCGGATTGAGTGGCTTGCCAACGACACGCTGCATCTGCAGCGCTTGGCGCACGAAGAGCTGGGCCTGGGCAGCTGGAAGACCTGTGATCGAGAGATTCCGACGACAGAGAAAGGCGACGATTTGCTCGGGGTGCTGGATTTGGACGAGCCGGAGCATCCGCGGCTGAAGGCGCCACCGTTGGGCGTGGCGGCGAGATTGGTGGCGGCGGGGAGGTGGGACTCGGTGAGGAGAGTGAAGGAGGGGGAGGGGAAGAGAGATGTTCCGGAAGAGAGGGTGTTGGAGAGGGAGGATTCGAGGTCAGTGTCGAGTTGGACGGAGGCATTCACCGAAAGGGGAGGCGTTTAGCGTTTGTACCTCTGCTGTCCAAGGATCGAACGTGTGTAACGTCTGCTAGCAGTTGGCCGCGACATGCCCTGCAGCAGACAGGCCAAGTGGGTCCTCAACAGGAATATGCTGTACTACCCAGGGTACAAGACGTGTGACGCGTCGCAAAGGCCTTCAGATCAGGCGTCCAGCTGCCAAACACACGCGAATCCCCGTTGCCCCACGTGGACCCGTGCCAGTGGTGTATATAAAACCTTCTGATCGAGAAGGCAAGAGCGTCCATTCGGCCGGCTCAGTCCACTTGACTTGACGGCCCCTCTCTCTCACTCCCCATCCAGCCTACGTAGACGCTACGATCCCTCGCCATGGCCGACAACAGCAACGATACCACATGCGCCAGCTGCGGCAAGGTCTCGGACGACCTCAAGCGCTGCGCCAAATGCCACTCGGAGCGCTACTGCAACCGCGACTGCCAAAAAGCCCACTGGAAGACGCACAAAAAAGTGTGCGCCTCGCGCGCCGCCAATGCCGCTCCGCCCACGGCAAAAAACCTCGACGTACCCATCACCAACCCCTTCACGCGCCTCACGACCCGCACGTGGCTGCACGACCGCTCCGAGCGCGACACGTACAAGCTGCTGATCGACGCCTACCGCATGCGCATGGACGACCAGTACAAGTTCGAGGGCGACATCGATGCCGACTGCGTCATGGGCGGCGAGGTCGAGTCGAGCATCGGCGGCTTCACGCGTTTCCTGCTCAAGCTGCACCGCGCCGCCCCCCAACTACTCCCGCCGTGGTGGACGCCCCAGAAAGAAGAGGCGTGCAAGAGCGCCGGCATGCGCCACGGCGCGTGGGAGAGCCTGCGCGCCACGCCCGAGAAGGAAGACTTTATCGAGCACTATGGCGATTCGCGCATGCCCATGCAGCTGCGCATGTTTGCCGAGGCCGTCTATGGAAGTGGGCCCGGCGGCCAGAGTGGGAAGATGATGATGGAGATGATGGCGAGTACTGAGGAGGGCGGGGAGAGGAGTGGGGGGCATGCCGACGTGCTTGATACCAGCGCTTTTCTGGCTTCTTTCGCGGGTCGTTGAATGGGGAGGTGACGGCGCTGGGGGTTTGCGACTAATTAAAAGCCTTTGATGCCTAATCTATCCTGCGCTTGATGCCTAGAAACAGGCAGCCACATGACGTAATATCCACTCCAAACATCACCATAAAACCACCCGCCAAACCAGTCCCAGAAAAAACCCCAAAACAAATCCCGGACCCAAAACAAATCCCTCGACAATGGCAGAAACGCAGCCGGCCGAACAAGGCCACCACATGTGCCCCATCTTCTGCACCGCCAACGTCCCCACCAGCGTGACCTGCCCCTCCCACTCCCAATAAACAAACCATCAATCCCAGACCACACCCGCTGACCGGACGGAACCCCCCCTCCACACAGCTCCTAGAAGAGCTCATCGCCGACCCCACGGGCGTCCAAGACTTCCGCCTCATCGACATCGAGACCGGCCCCGCCACCTCCCCCTTCCCTTCGCGCGCCCCGCTCCCCCCCACCACCACCGCCGCCGCCGCCGCCTTCCACACGGCCTTCTTCAACTGGCCCCCGGACCTGCTCTACACGTACTGGAAAACCCACCTGCGCGCCCCGCCCGACGGCTCGACGCGCCCCGCCTTCAGCGCCTTCACCTTCGTCGTCGTCGACCAGGAGGCCGTCGACGCCTACGTGAGACGTGCCGCCGCACAAGCGAGCAACACCACCACCACCACCAGCGACGACGACGACGATGTAGTCACCGTCCTCCTCTGCACCGACGCACCCGACTTCGACGAGGATGAGGACGAAGCCGCCGAATCCGCGCCCGTCCTCAAGACGCTGCGCTGGGAAGTGGCCGACGTCGCGGCGGTGCTGCCCGCGCTCGAGTCGCTGACCATGTGCCCGAGCGAGCTGGATTCGCCGGTGCGGCTGAGCGTCATGCCGCCGCCGGCTGCTGCTGCGGCTGCGGCGGGCGGCCCGGCTGCGATGAGGAGGGCGAGGGTGGAGGGGATTAGGGGGGCTGGGGCTGGTCTGAGGGGGAGAGGGGGTTGGAAGGGGGCTGCTGGGTAGTCTAGTGCGGATGGGGTGGGGGTGGGAGGGGGAGTGGGAGTGGGAGTGGGACTTGTGGTGGGGGTGAGGAGGCGCGGGTGTGTGTGTGGGCGATGGTGCGGGAGTTGAGAGGAGGGGGGGGTGGAGTGTGCGTGTGTGCGTAGTGGGTGGCAGGAGCAATGCGGATTATTGGTTTATTTGGTCAGCTCGCTCCAACGGCCGCCCCTACCGCTCCAGCATTGAACTGTCGTGAGTGTGGCCAGCTGTAAGTGCGCTGAAGATGACGCTACGTGGGAGATGCTTTTTCTTTGGCGAGATATGGGTCGAGTTTTCGTTTGGACTGATGACAGCCAGCAGGAACATGTGTTCGAATTCATACAAAGGGGAAAGCCAGACTAAAGATCATGAATTTGCGATGGCCGTTGTCGGCTTATTCAGCCATGCAGGATCAGCGGCGTAGTACAAGGGGGCTGAGCGGCTGAGCCCCGCCCCACAGAACCCATGGGTTTTCGAACGACTCCTTGCCTCAGCCTCAATTGTGGTCGGCTCCGCTTGTGGCCCTTTCGCCCGGACCATCCTCTCCATATTCCGCTATCGTCGCCTATAAACTCTTCCTCTCCATCAAGCATCCCCCAGACGCTACATCTCCGACGCACCAAACGACAGCGTTCTCTGGAATGAATGAAACGGGCCTGACGGTGCAACTACGGTACCACGATGGCTGTTCCTGGGCCATCAAATCCGTCGGTAGTTCCTGGAGCTGAGGAGTGCTTCCAAGAGCCACCCACCGGGGCCAGTGAGGCTTCCCACCTCGCTTGCGAGAAGTGTCGAGCTTATTTCCTTGGATACGCTGGAAGTCTCAGACGGATATCCCAAGCATCGGTCAATCTGCTTCTGGGAGACGTCATCCCCAAGCCACGGGTGGTTCCACGTCAGATAAGCTACGGCACGCTTGAAGACCTCTCGGCACGCAAGGCTTGCCGGTTCTGCGAATTTCTGTTTCGACTGATCAAAGCGGAGCTCGAATTGCCTAATCCTGCTTCCTCACAGGAGGCGGACAGCGAGGATGTATGCTCCATTGTTCCTGACAAAAAGTCGGTCGACAAGGTTTTCGTCAAATACAAACACGTCGCAGTTACTCTCACTTTGGGACGCAAGCCGCTGCCGGCACCACAGCCAAACAACCTCTTCCGAGATGACACTGCATCCTCTCAGACAGACCCGGAAGGGTATCAATCCGTGTCCATTGGCATGATAAAGAGTTGGATGGACGATTGTCAGAAGCCTCGTACTTCTACACTTGGTAGCGGCACCTTCTTTCATTCAATGTGCCACCACCTGCCCCCAAGGTATGGTGTAGGTCCTTGGAAACTAACGTTCATCGACGTGGTCGACCGCTGCTTAGTTACGAAGGACACAACCCACAAGTACTTCGCCCTGAGCTACGTTTGGGGAAAAGATCCCTTCTTGCAAACAACAACGGAAAACGTCTCGAGGCTGGAGAAAAAGCACTCGCTCACCAGAAAAGGAGGCGTGCCCGCCCTCATCGACGACGCCATGGAGCTCACAAACCTCCTCGGGGTGAGATACATCTGGGTGGACGCCTTATGCTTGGTGCAAAACGACCGGGCGTCCAAGTACGAAGGCATCCGCATAATGCACATCATCTACGCCCACGCGGACCTCACCGTCGTCGCCGCATCCGCCAAAAGCGCCTCCTCCCCCCTGTCCGGGCTCCGAAAGGGGACCCGGTGCCCCCACGCCTCGCGGGACGTCAAGGGGAGACAGCTGCGGTACGTCCCTAGCGGCACCATACCCGCCAAACTTAGCCAAACCGTCTATCAAACGCGCGGATGGACGATGCAAGAGTTACTCATGTCGCGCAGGTGCTTGGTGTTCACCTACGACCAAGTGTACTACCGCTGTCTCTCGGCCGCGGTGTCGGAACTCGGTTCGAAACAAACCCGGATTAGAAATCTAATCAAATCACCAGCCCTCATACTACGCCGAGCCCAGCTCGAGGATCTGGCCCTGTTCGGCGATTTCGAGACCGCGCGTGGTGGTGGTGGTTCCCGCGCAGAAGAAGGCCGTGCCTCTCGTGAGCGACGTGCTGGCGTATCCGCGAGGGCTTTCGACTACGACAGAGATTTCCCGAGCTTCGCGACGTATATGCATCTGGTCCAGAAATACTCGTGCAGACAGCTGTCGTACCAATCTGACATCCTGAACGCCTTTAGTGCGGTGCAGTCCGCACTCGGCCTCCAGATGGATTGCGGTTTCGAGTTCGGCTTGCCTCTGGCCTCGTTTGGCATGGCCCTGCTCTGGAGACCTTGCAATACTTGTCGGCCCGAACGGCGGACGATCGAACGCGGCCAAAGCCCGCGTGCAACATTCCCGACCTGGTCGTGGATCGGATGGCGCGAAGAGGTGTTGTGGGTGGAGCCGGTTGCGCCCGATCAGCATTACGACATCAGGCAGACGTTTGAGGAGCTGGTCCCATTCTCCAAGGTACGCGTCGTGGACACGGACGTGGAAGCGAAGCACGGCGGACCTTGCGCTGCTCTCAGCGGAATCGACTGCTCGGGCCCCAGCCTTCATAGGCCGTCGGGCTTGCTTGTCTTCGAGGCAGAGGTGGTCGGGAGCAGGAGTTTCCGCTACCGCGAGGCGCGCCGATATACGAACCACAAGCACAAAGGTAGCCTTGAGATCCTCCCCATGAGCAAAGCAGAGGGAAAAACCAAGACCCGAGAACACTCTTCAGAACGTTCTGGATCAGTTGATAAGCCCTGGAAGGAAACCTCCAGGCGCTTGTGGGAAGGTTCTGACGATGGCTTGGGGCGAGGGATTGTTTTCTCCATGGAGGCGGAAAGCTTGGAGCAGAGCAGTAATGTGGATCTCGTGGCTCTATCCACATTTCGCCCCCGCAAAATATGGCAAGGATATCCTGGACTCTACTACCATTTCAACGAAGGCACTGGAGGCTATCGGAAAGGCCTTCCGTTCCTGAACTGCCTGGTCATCGAGTGGCATGGCGACTATGCAGAGCGCATTGGAGTCGCTCAGATTGGCAGTCTTGCATGGAGGGATGCCGGACCGACGGTTAGATGTATCACAATCCGTTGACTGGTCCGAACACTCAAAGCCTCTGCCGTCTCACCATGGCTGTCGTTTTTGTAGCACCCTGTCCGTGCTTGAGGAAGTGCACACACTTTATCGGCAATCACCACAGCTGTCCAAACATCAAGAGTCGAGATAAAAAATTGTAGACAAAGACACAACGTTCTGAACCAAAGACCGACTATTTCTCATAAACATCGCCATCGGGACTGCATAACTCGTAGAAAGAGACTATTTGCACACCGACAGACTCTATTCCGCGGCCGAGCCGTAGCCAAGGGGTGCGCGCAGGCTTCGGCATCATTTTTTACTTTATTTTGGGAGCGTGCATGATCATCTCATTGCGCGCGTCTAGAGCCTCGGCACGCTCGACTCGCGCCCCTTGCGAATCTCGTCGACGTTCACGTCGAAGCGATCCAGCATCATGACCTTGTCCCACGCCCTCACGAAGTCCTTGACGAACTTCTCCTGCACGCCCGCGCTCGCGTACTCCTCCGAGATGGCGCGCAGCTCGGCGTGCGAACCGAAGATCAGATCGGCGCGCGTGGCCGTCCACCTCCGCTCGCCCGTCTTGCGGTCAATCGCCTCGAAGACCTCTTCCTCGTCGCCGTCGACGGGCTGCCACTCGGTGCCCATGTCGAGCAGGTTGACGAAAAAGTCGTTCGTGAGCTTACCCGGCGTCTTGGTGAGGACGCCCTTGTCCGACTTGTCGTAGTTGGCGTTGAGGGCGCGCAGGCCGCCGACGAGCACCGTCAGCTCGGGCGGGGTGAGGGTGAGCAGGTTGGCGCGGTCGACGAGCCACTGCTCGGCCCGGACGCGCTTCGACGAGCGGCCGTAGTTGCGGAAGCCGTCGATCTTGGGCTCGAGGTGCTTGAGCGAGTCCTCCGTCTGCTCCTGGCTGGCGTCGGTGCGGCCGGGGGTGAAGGGGACGGTGACGCCGACGCCGGCGTCCTTGGCCGCCTTCTCGACGGCGGCGGCGCCCGCCAGCACGATCAGGTCGGCCAGCGAGATCTTCTTGCCGCCCGAGGCGGACGAGTTGAACTTGTTCTGCACGTCCTCGAGCTTCTGGAGGACGGTGGCGGTCTGGGAGGGGTTGTTGACCTCCCAGCTGCGCATGGGCTCGAGGCGGATGCGGGCGCCGTTGGCGCCGCCGCGCTTGTCGCTGTTGCGGAAGGACGAGGCCGACGACCAGGCGGTGAAGGCGAGGGTGGAGACGTCGAGGCCGGTGGCGAGGATCTCCTTCTTGAGCGAGGCGACCTCGCCCTCGCTGACGAGCGGGTGGTCGACGGGCGGCACGGGGTCCTGCCAGATCAGGTCCTCCTTGGCCACCTCGGGGCCGAGGTAGCGCGACTTGGGGCCCATGTCGCGGTGCAGCAGCTTGTACCAGGCGCGGGCGAAGGCGTCCTCGAGCTGGTCCTGGTGCTCGAGGAAGCGGCGCGAGATCTTCTCGTACTCGGGGTCGAAGCGCAGCGACAGGTCCGTCGTCAGCATGGTGGGCTTGAGCTTCTTGTTCTTGTCGAAGGCGTGGGGGATGATGGTGTCGCCGTCCTTGGCGATCCACTGCCAGGCGCCGCCGGGGCCCTTTGTGACCTCCCACTCGTGCTTGAACAGGCTGGTGAGGTAGCCGTTGCTCCACTTGGTGGGGGTCGTGGTCCACGTCACCTCGAGGCCGCTGGTGATGGAGTTGGAGGCCTTGCCGTCCTGGAACTTGCTGTGCCAGCCCAGGCCCTGGCGGTGGATGGGGGCGCCCTCGGGGCCGGGGCCCAGGTTGTCGCCGTCGGAAGAGGCGCCGTGGGTCTTGCCGAAGGCGTGGCCGCCGGCGATCAGGGCGACCGTCTCCTCGTCGTTCATGGCCATGCGGCCGAAGGTGGTGCGGATGTCCTTGGCGGCGGCGACGGGGTCGGGGTTGAAGTCGGGGCCGACGGGGTTGACGTAGATGAGGCCGTGGTGGGTGGCGCCCAGCGGCTCCTCGAGCTTGCGGTTGTTGATGTCGGTGTTGCCCTCGTAGCGGTCCTTGTTGCCGGCGGGGAACAGGTCCTTCTCGGAGCCCCAGTAGACAGACTCGTCCGACTCCCAGGTGTCGGGGCGGCCGGCGCCAAAGCCGAAGGTCTTGAAGCCCATGTCCTCCATGGCGACGTTGCCGGCCAGCAGCAACAGGTCGGCCCACGAGATGGAGGAGCCGTGCTTCTGCTTGATGGGCCACAGCAGGCGGCGGGCCTTGTCGAGGTTGCCGTTGTCGGGCCAGCTGTTGAGCGGGGCGAAGCGCTGCTGGCCCTCGCCGCCGCCGCCGCGGCCGTCGAAGACGCGGTAGGTGCCGGCGGCGTGCCAGGACATGCGGATGAAGAAGCCGCCGTAGTGGCCGAAGTCTGCGGGCCACCAGTCCTGGCTGTCGCGCATCAGCTTCTTGAGGTCGTCCTTGAGGGCAGCGTAGTCGAGCTTCTCAAAGGCCTTGCGGTAGTCGAACTTCTCGCCCAGCGGGTTGGTGGCGGGCTGGTTCTGGCGCAGGATGTTGAGCTTGACCGTGTGGGGCCAGAAGTCGCGCGGGCGAGTGCCGCCGCCGGCGGTGGCGTGTGCAGGGCAACCCTCGATGCTTCCCATGGCTGCAGATGGCGGGGGAGAGTTCAGAGGTCAGGTCGGGTGTGATGGCGATGGATTGAGCGAGGCACGGTATTTAACGAGCAGTGATGCAACTTTTAGTGGGGCTGGCTGGAGCGGGGAGGGGCGGGGGTGGAGAAGTGGGGGCGCCAGGGATCCTCGGGCGTCCCGAGGTGAGTGTTTATTCTGCGCCGTGCTCATTGGCCCGCAGCCGCCGCTTCTAGAACTGCGCTGCTTAGTGTGCGCTTTGCATTGGGAAACCTCGCGGCCACGGTGACCTGAGCAACGGGCGTCCATTATTAATGGCACAGGCCAGAGCTGGCGGCTGAGCGGCGACTGCCCGTCCTGGCTCTGCTAGTGCGCCACATCGCACCAATCGGCCAAGCCCAGGAGCCAGCAGCAATGCCCTAGCGCCGTTGCGTCTATCAGCCTACGTCACGCCATATATCACCGATCAAGCCCACGAAACTGCTGCAACAATAATGCTGCCCCTCCAATTCGCCCCTCACTCCAGCACCAAGCTTCTGGTGACGCTCAATGCAAATGCTTGGTTTGCCATGTGCACCCCTGCCCCGCCGTCATCCGTCTGTTCATCGTCCATGATTGAGCAAGTTAATGCCAAGACTAACATCACTTCCGGTCACGGGCTCGGAATGTCCGTGTTTTTATCAAATTCGCCATTCCAACACCACCCACCATGCCAACGACTGCACTCCACTTCCGTGAACCAAAGCCGTGGCTCGGTCGATGCGCGAGAGGACCGGGGAGCATCGACTGCACTGGAGATAAGACTGACCAATGCTGCCTAGCTTGCATGTCGTGTAGCACCGCAGTGTCTCACTCAACGGCGCCGCTCTGCCTATTCAGTCTTCACCCGGATCAAGTTCCTCCCAAGTCCCCGCTCGAGACTGGAATCCCAGCCAACTGTAAAAACACTCAGCATTGGCAAGCTTGAGAGCTGGCCTCCACGAGCTTAATGCATCAAATTGACGGCTTCCGTCAAGACCACTCCGGCCCACCGCCGTGTCACTTGACAGAAACCATTCGAATCGAGATCGCCACATGGCCTTGCCTTCACTGGGGTCCTATTGATGGCCTGCAGCTGTATCAGTACTCACCGGCCAACGGTTTTTACAAACCCCTCGTACAACAACGACGGTCTGGAAGGTCAAACACCCCGGCTTAGCATGCCGTCTCAAGAAGAATATTACAAGTGATTGGTTGAAAAGGAGTTGTGGCAAGAGCCATTGACGAACTAAGACTTCCAACCATTGAAATTCTTGAGAAGAAGCAAACAAAAACCTGGCATGCATGTAAAAGCAAGGCTTGTGTGAGATAGTAAGACAGCAGGACGGTACTAAAGTTGAGTAGAGGCTGAAAAAGAAAGTAGGAAGAAGTAGCTGATTTGTCTTTGTCTGCTTTTTTCATTCTTCTGCTTTTTGTGATGAACTCGGGGCTGATCCACGTGGTTGGAGTGTGCACTAATCAAACAAGACGAGTCGTACAGATCGTTCAACCTGTCATCATTATCGGCGCTTGGGAAAAGATGGCCGATCTTGCAGAAGAATCAAAGGGACCCGAGTGCTGACTATGTCGTGCCTCTGAGCACCATGTATCACCATGGCATAACCACGCGCTCACTTATGAGAAAATGACCAAAGCCCAGAGACTTTCTTTCCAAAGCTCGCCACCGAAAAGACGTATATGAGGAGCTTTGATCGATCAAACCATTCAAGCTCAACCCCATCCTTCACACTCAATCGTAACCCATTCAATCCATACACTTAAATTCTTCTTTGCACATTCCCAGAGGCTGTCATATCTGAAAAGCCATGTGCGGAACTCTGGGGGTCGTGTTCGGCCTCATGCTTGCAACACTGTCCGTCATCGTAACTGGGCACATGCTTGCTGCTTCTCCAGCTTTCCAGGTGGCTATACTTTCGTTTGATACCTGACCAACCGAATCTGCTGCTGAAACACTTCAGGATGAACTGAGTCGGTCTTCAACTTCTTTCTCTCGCGCACCGAACGATGTCGCTCTACGGAAACCGCCTCGTGACCTCAATGTTGAACAAAGATCTGATGGTTGGACGTCGGTCTATGTGACGAACATTGCCAGTGTCACTATCACGCCAAACCTCGAGGCCGCGCAGAGAACGGGTTCGGCTGCTTTCGCCAGGTCTCCGCCCAGGACTCTAGCAACCGAGAACTTATATGTTGAGAGAGACAGCACTTCTGAACCGTGAGTACCTTGTCTTACACTTATAGGCTTTACTCTCTTGCAATAACTGATTAGAGTCAACAACAACAGTTCTGCAGATGTTGCCAACGCGTTTGACGACGAAAGCCAGCGCCAGTTGTTGAGTTGTAAAAGGGCAAAGGACTTTTCTTGCCCTTTGGACTACGCCATCAAACTCCCACACTCTATTAAGAGAGCAATTGATCCCGGACATAAGGGTCCGCGAGCAGGTATCGAGTCTGGGGATATCCGATCCGATGCTCAGTCTTTCAGTAAGCGGGAAAGTCATTGGAATGAGCCAAGCAGAGCCTCTACTGTGTAAGTTGGATCTCTTTCTCTCCCTTGCATGCCTGTCGATGGTGTCAGGCTGACTGAACACGGCATCCTATTTCGGCCAACAGGGACAATGCATTCGATGCTGTGACGGAACCGTAGCAGGTGACCGGAACCTCAACCAAAGGCATTGCCATCGACAAAGCTTCAGCAGGGCATGGTCGAAGTGTAGGAAGAGACTAGGGTCGGGCGTCCATTTTCGAGCCGGTGGTGGAGCATGCTACTACGCGCGTACAATCTGTCTTCTCTATACGTGATATCTCCATCATCTACCCGACCCCTTGGGTCAGTCCACAGCCATAGCTTCAGATCTTGCATTCAGGTTCCAGACTCTTTTTGTATGCAAGCCTTGGTTTTCTGAGTTGAACTGCTCAAGGTACTTCAGTGGGCGGCTCCTTTCTCTTACAGTGTTTTTGAAACTCGCTCTTTCCCTCGGGGCAGCAAGTCTGATTTCATCGCGATCACAATTCGAGTATCTCAGAACCCGTCCATTCGTTCATCACCAATGCTGTTGGCAGCTGCAGTTTCTCCTCAAGTTTTGTTTGTTCGTTTAGGAAACCTTGGTCAGACCGTTTCACAACATAGTTATGACTATAGCACGACAGAAATAGGCGGTTCTCACTCATCCTAGCAGTCGTGTATATGATGCGATAGCAGTGATACTCTAAGGGGACAGCAATATCGATTGGTAACTTCCCCACCACTACTCGAAATTGTCTCACCTTGTCTAGCCATCCCTTGTCAAATGAATGCACTCAGCTCTATCTTCCGTATGGAAGGCTACGGTAAGTGTAACGAAGCTGGTAGAGGCTTCGTGTTTACGATATTTTGTTGCATTTACATTGCACAGAGTTTGTTTCATTACGTACCCGCTATTACTTCCATCAATATTTCGTCCCTTAAGGACAAATTTCTGTGCTTTTCTCTCTTCGTTCAGCTCTTCGGCCTAGCAGCCGCTTCCATCGGCTAGTGTTGCGGTGGGAAGTGACATGCGAGTGCTGAAATATTTTTGACTACATAGAATGCTTCCGCAACTTCAGCTGCCACGTACGACCATAGGTCGCAGAATATAGGGCTTCCCGTCCGCTCAGCCGTACTCAAGCTGCGAACCGGCCGATTAGTACTCAAGTGGGTGACCATTGGGGAATCCCGGCTGTTGTACGTTCTGCATTTTCTTTTGCATTTTTTTGCGTGCCGAAGCACCGGTCGCTTTTTGGTCTAAGCTCTTTTCAAAGGTCCATGTCTGGCACCGCGGCAGAGGCACCAGGGGCGCCCAGAGCTGCGAAAGAAAGAAGCTCCCGCTTTTTCTTTTTTTTTATGTGTAATAAAGGCTCTCAAACACATCGTACGTACTAGCTGAAAGCATGTCAGCCACTCTGACCTGTTGGCCATATTGAGTGACCATGGAGGGCTGCTCACGCTATGGATGCTTACAAGAGACGGCAACAGGTGGTTCTATGTCCTGGTCTCACTGCCATCGTACATGCAATGGTATGGATGGAAATATACAGCGCCTGAAAATTACCAACCGCGTCCCGACAGGCGCTTCCACTCCCCTCATTATGTAACAGTAGCATGTGTGGTTGGTCGGTACTTCGAGCGCTCGCGATCGAGAAGGACTCCTCCAGTTGAGAGCAGCGTTTAGGCGCAGAGGTGTCGGGTGAGGTGCAGCATAGCGATTTCGCCGTTTAAGACCCTTGAGAAAGCCCGTCCTTGTACCGCTAGAATTCTCTGGGCCTAGCGCTTAGAGTGCCCGTCTCGGCCGATGTAATTCAAACTCACAAATGACTGGAATTGCTTGGTGGAAAGTTTGAGAACGGCCAAGTGATGATTTGAGATACGTTGGTTGGGTCTCTGATCGTTGATAAAAAAAAAAGAAAAACAATATCGCTGTGGGGCGCGTTCAAAAGGCTGGTCAATGGTGGAAGAATGGGGGAGAAGACGGTAGATTAACGTATTCAAAGCAAGTCTGCAGATGTTGAGGAATTATCGTGATTGAAATATGTAACATTTCTATTAAACGTCAAAGTCTTCCATGTCATACTAGTGTGACAGATCAAAAGCCCATGCACAGGTCGCCCGTGTCGCGATTCGTAATCACTTCACTGGTTCAGATCAGCAAAGAGTTCTGGTGACGTTGGGGAGAGCGTGCTTGATGGTGGCTCTGATTGTCAGACTTACAGCATCTCTGGCCTCAAAGAGCCAGGGCAGGAGCAGTGGTGGGCGGGGGGTCGATGGGCTCGGGCTCAAGAGGCGCGGTAAGGGCAGGTTGTCCCGGTGTGTCTCTGGCCTCAAGAGCCGAGGTAGAGAGAGAAATCTGCGGAGCGTCACGAGCTTCGACTGGCGCTGGCGCGGGCGTGACCGGACCGTTGTGGGTAGCGGTGCGAGCTTCGATTACTCTCGTTGTGAAAGGGTTGCGAGAGACGTCGCGGGCCTCGACTGTCTGGGACGAGGCCGGGACGGCACGGGCTTTGACTAGCCCGGTTGTGAAAGGGTTGTGAGAGACTTCGCGGGCCTCGACTGTCTGGGACGAGACCGGGACGGCACGGACTTCGAGGGTCGAGGATCCGCTGAAAGGGTTGTTGGGGACCGCGGGGACCGCAACCACGCTGACGGCGAACAAAAAGTAGTAGAGGCTTTGGAGGGCGTGCATGTTGAGGTTGTTGGTAGATTGCAATTGGGTGGGTGTCAAGAGCGGGACCCGAGGAAATGCAGCTGGTGGCGATTGTTTTGATGGAGTGATTGAAGCTGATGCTGGCGGGTTGTGCAGAAGATTTCTGTCCCTTAAGTATTGCTAGGAGCTTCCTCTCTTCAAAGTCTCGTTGCTGGATCATGGCCGTGCAAGGCCCCACTTCATCCTCAGCCCGTGCTTCCGCACGGGTCAACATAAAGTCGTTCGAAGGAATAACAGGGGCGGGGACGCCTCAGCCGCTGTTGTTGCTGAATCCGGTATGATGGTGGATGGACGGTTCTGCCCACAGTGGATCACAAAAAATAAGCATTCTATACCATTACCAATTCTCCCTGAGCCGAAGAAAGACCTCGGCTTTCTGCTGTGAGGTTCAGAACAAGGTCAGGATGTATAATCGGCTTCGACTGGAGGTGAGAAGTCCTTGGATCAGTCCGGCCTGCGAAATCCCATTACCTTTACGACCCACAGTTCTACGCATCAGTGCGAACCCGACCACCGACTTGTCGGTGTGTATTCGCGTCTGCCTGCAGCACTTTGGAGCGATCGTCGGGCGTGCGGGCCGTGCAAACGGCCCCCACGGGAACCTCGACCCACAAGCAGGACATTCACTACCTTTAACAGCCGGACGCATCCAAACAAAGAAACAATTCCAACAAGGCCACCTCCCGGCTAGATTCTAAGCCTGGCCATACCAATGATTATCTACATCATGCCAGGAGCTCCCCATCAATCTGAATGGTCAGATTGAACAACAACGAGCTGGGAATAGAAAAGGATTGACGACGCCGGGAAAAAGGCAGCGGTTTGATCTCCGTTACCATGCGCGCTGCATAGTGGAGATACCGAGAAGAGTAAATGGGATGATGCAAGCGCTTAGGGCTGGCCGATCCCCTTCTCGCCGGGTGCGTGCAGCGTGCAGGGGCTCGATGGTATGCACGGGTGCACGCCCTCGGTCATAATGAGGACAAAACGTTTCTGTCCGAGCCGACCCTGCTCGCTGTTTTTGGAAATATGCAGGAACATGACCTTCCTGTCTCCTGTGCCGCGCGCGTGTTTGGATCATCATACCCGAAAGTTAAATCTGCCGACACACATCGTGACTCGTACCTCACATCTTTACCAACGTCCTCGAGACGTCCGTCCTTGCGAGAGAGAGGAAATCTTCGGGCCGGTCATTTTTATTGTCAACACGTTCAAGCGGAGGAGGAGGCAGTAGACAAGGCGGACGAAACCAAGTACGATTTGTACGTATCCGCCCGCACGGAGGTCCTGGTGATGGTTTGAAGGTGTCAGTGGCGATAACGTGTGGTCAAATTCTATTTTTGAACGGATTCGATTTTGAATAAGAGTTTAAAGGTTGGGGTTCCATCTACGCTTACGAATGGTACATCGCTCCAAGCAGGTCCTACTTGGACACCATACACACCGTACAAATACTTCACCAACCCTAACAGAGCGACGTCAGACATGCCACTCTCATTACCGCTAATTCCGAACTACCGTTCATCTCTCACGGACCCTCTACCGCCACAACCAGATCTCACTTAGATACCAAACCCATACCTTGCCAACTCCCATACAGCTACATCAGACATGCTACCCTCGATTCCGCCAATGGAGAGATGCCAATACCGGCCGCATGACCTGGCGCCTGTTTCGTCGGAACATTTCAGCATCTTGGGTCTTCATATCGGCCAGCAGAATTCAACAACCTCAGCGATGCTTCACCAGGGCCAATCTGCCTTCAGTACACTAGAGGAGCTGTGCAGTGCTGCTCCGACAGCTGTTGAGCAAGGAAGTACCTACCAGATACCGTGACCTGGGCGATCGCCCAGCTTTGGGGGTGATCTCAAAACACGTTCAAGTGCCCAGAGCAGGGCTGTCCGAAAGTACTTTTCTCTCGATCTTCTTTGAGAACTCATCTGTTGAGACACAACAAAAAACTTTCTGTTTGCCGCGTTCCAAGTTCTGGGGCCTCTCATTCCAATCAGTTCGAGCGAGAAAAGCATGAAGGGTAGTTTCACGTCTGGTCTGTTTCACATAGGCCGTGAGAAAAGATGCTTTGAGAGTATTGAAACTTTCCCGTTAGATTAGCTTTTCCAACTCTCTCTCTCTCTCTCTCTCTCTCTCTCTTTGTTTTCCAATATTTTCATTAGACGGGCCGAATGCGTTTAGTTCGCACAGAGTACCTATAGATGGCTTCTATTAAGCATTACTTCGTATCACACGCTGCAATTCATTATGTTATCTTCCAATACGTTCATTATCTAGCGCCTCTATAGGCGAGGAGGTTACACGCTCCGATGCGAGAGAAGCGAGTGTTCTACCTAATTACACCCCAAAATTAGAATAGCACTACGGAGATAAGAAATGGCTTGAAACTCGTAAACTACGAAGGGATAGTATTCTAGCCTTCGCTTCTCGAGCCGTACATCGTTTACTGGTGAAGATAAAGATAAAAAAAAAGATTCTCTGCTCCTAGAATGGAACTAGGGACCTTCTGATGACAGTAACATATTTAATATTCTGCGGCACGTGTACGGGTCCGCGGCACCGTGAATACCCGATGCACGACCGCGATCACAACTATCAGAGGAGGGAAAAAAAGTAAAAAATGTATCTCCGCTCCCAGAATCGAACTAGGGACTTTCTGATAACAGCAATATCGAGATTTTGCACGAGATCTTACAGTCAGACGCCATAACCAACTAGACCAAGCGGAGTGGTGGACGAAATTTGTGGATCGTTTATAAACACAAGGTTGGGGCTCAATGTTCACCGTATTCGAATTTGGAATGTGTCATGGCAGAATTGCACGATTTATTGGCGAGGTTCTACGCTCTAACACGAGTTCTTGCCTGATTCCACCCCAAACTTAGAATAGCATGACGGAGATAAGACATTGCTTCAAATCTTAAAACACGCGGCTCCCGCTCGTACTCAAGTACTGCCCCGACGTCTTTAAAAAGTGGATGACCAGCCTTACCCTGCCTCGAAATGCTGGGAGCCGGTTCTGATTATGCCAATGTTCCTTGTGGCAGTCCAGAAGATCATTGTTGAATCTGGCTCGGCCGGTCCTGCAATTAGTCAGTACTGTGAGATAAAACTAGTAATAGAAGATACGAACTTGTCATCATATTCCTTTCCACACCATCTACACTTGTCGTCCGTACATTCCACTGGATAGGAGGCGTGCCATGCCTCCTGATTTGCCATCTTGGCCAGAGGCGTCACAGCCTCAACAAGTCAGAGATTTCCTGTTCGCTCCTTTCCGGTTTCAGGGTAGAAGTTCTGCACGACTTGCGCTCTTGCAGTGTCGTACCTGAACAGAATGTCTATGAACCTGGATGGTTTAGGACAGACGCGTGGGATACCCTTCTCGATGATGTAAGAGTATTCGTCTGCCTTTAAAAGGTCGGACTCTATCCATGCCGATGAGAACGGTAGCTCCGTAATCGGGGACCAGGTAGATCTCGCGCAGGAATACGATCTTGATCCACGTCCTACGCCGCCAGGCCCGAAAAGTGAACGGCATAACGCAGTGTTCCCGGCTCTGGAGGCGTTCGCCGCTAATCCCTTCGACGTCTATCCCGGGAATCCGGATCTCTTGAAAAGTCACTCCCGCATCATGAAGTGCCTTGTGGTCGGTGATGGACGTAGTGCATCCCGAGTCAAGCCTGCGCTGTATACAGGTTCATTTGAGCTCTGAAAATTTTCATGGCGTTTGACGACGACTGATCCGAGTTTTGCATTCGGCGGGGAAGAAGGAACGGGTTCTGTTGGTTGGGATAGCTTCTTGTCCTTCTCTGGACCCACAAGATGCCAGATGCTAGCTGTGGTGGTTTGGTTTCTGATGAGATTGAACCATGCATCCCCCAGCGTAGAGCTGGACAAGATGATCGGGCCCCGAACAGACTTCAGAGCGGACAAGGCAATAAGGCATAAAGTTAGACAAATGCAGAAGTGATTTGGCGTAGCCTGTCCCTCCGTAAACGTAATGTATCGTGTATGCCGTTAGAAGGAGCAATTTATTGAGTTCAAACAGGAAAGCCGTCGGGTGTAGCAGTCGTCAGATGTGTAGAGAGTCTCCAAGCGGTCAAACTGCTGGAAATAGTATCCAGTTCTCATGTGGAAGAGTCATGGTTGACTATCGAGGCGTGTGTTGTCCATTGTCAACAAAAGCGTCGGGCAGTAGAGCCCGGCGACCCGACGACTCGGTTCCAGGAAATGCAATAATAACGGATGATGCTTACATACAAGAAGACGGTTTCATCACTCTAGCGGTTCAGGCTGGCAAGACTGCAAGGCGAGTTGAGGGGGGGAGCGGTCGGTTGTTTGGTTGCGAGACCTGAAAGTTTTGGTTCTTTTTTTTTTTTTTGTCTGTGACTCCTCACGAAGGCAAGTTCCACAAAAAACTCAACATCCCGTTATCCAGCCCCGGAAACTTTTGTATCCCCGACCCGTTCGCTCCAAACGGCGCCATGGAGGGATCAAACGGCAACGCGAGCCAGTCATCCTCCGACGCCTCCGTAGCCAACGCATGCACGTCGAGCTCTCCCTCACCAAACTGCTGGCCATACGGAACCTGCTGCTGCTGCTCCGGCGAAGGCGTCGTCACCGCAGCGGTAACAGCAGGAGCAGCAGCAGCCGTCTGACCTGCTGACGACGACGACGACAACGACGGGCCCGGCGCCGCCCTCTCCGCCGACGGGGGGCGCGATGTGGCCAGGCGCGGGGGCCGCGACGAAACAACGAAACTGCGGCGCAGGCGCGCGACGTGGACCTCGAGAAGCGTGGCGAAGCGCGAGGCGAGGTGCATGTCGTCGAGAGTGCCCGAGCGCAGGGCCTGGATGCCGCGGTCGAGGACGTCGAGCGAGGCGGGCAGCTTGGTGTTCCAGACGCCCAGGCTGAGCCCCTTGATCAGGTAGATGGCCGACGTGGTGATGTGCAGGTAGATGCGCACGGGAGCGAAGCGCAGCAGCTGGGCCTCTGCGAGCTTGATGACTTTGCGCAGGATCTCGCAGCTGCCGTCGACGACTTCTTGGATGAAGTGGTAGTCGGTCGAGTCGACTGAGAGGGGGCGGATCGGCTGCGGTGAGTCGGCGGTGGCGTTGAAGTCGTCGGCTTCGTCGAGGGTACGCTCGACGACGGCTTGCATGCCGAGCGAGTTGATGAAGATGCGGACGAATTGATACTCGATGGCGAGCATGTCTTGCAGCACGTCCCCAAGTCCTGATGTCGTCAGCAAGGCACATTGATTGAAAGCGGAGGGGACGAACTTTGTGAATCAAGATACCTGCCATGCCATCGAGACAAGAGAGGCCGGAAGTGCTCCAGCAATCCAATGTACCGACCGCTCCGTAAGATCTGCTTTGTAAAGGACGCAGACGGGAAGAGCATGTCTGAGGCGGACTTCACAAGCTTCGTAAGCTCGATCCATGCAGACACAAACGCTTCCGAATGGTTCGCTCCAGGGAACACCTCTCCAGCAAAGGACCTCCCAAGAACCGTATGGCTCAGGCTTTGCGGAATCATTGAAGTGCAGCCGATGCGGGAAGCAAGCTGTTCAACAAAGACATACAACAGCTTCCTCGCTCGGGAATATCGGGCAGCCTTCCGCTTTGCTTCCAACCGCTCCTCGTAGTGCGCTGCCCGCTTCGTACTTTCGTCCTGTTCGAATATGCCAAGCTCATGGGCGAGGGATAAGCCGCACCCAAGAAGCATCCAGCTCATACGGTCCGATCGACGTGCCGGCTCAATCACATCTTCAAGCCATCGGTTGGATGCGGTTGATATTCCCTCTGGACTCGTTGGCTCTTCATCCGCATTCGGGTCGATGGCGACAAGTCCCGCATCCCACCCATCCGAAGCCGGTGGGAAGTGAAGAGCGCGCGGGTGCCATTCGGAAAGGAGGAGAAGGCCTTCAATCGATCCCACAGTTCGAGTCTTCGCTGTCGAGCTCTTCTCTTGCCCAAGCATTATGCGTAGAATAAGATGCTGACAATGCTCCCAGAGACGATGGTGGATGAAGTAGCCACGAGACGCGCCGCCGACTCCAGGCAGCACGTGGTAGCGTGAAGATAGCGCCAATATGGTGCAGCAAAGGAAGGGCTCTTTCGTGACGAGCTCGTAATGCTTCGAGTGATCCGCGTAATATTCCGTAAGAATCGGCGACAGCGGCGACAGATTCTGGAAGAACCTGCAGTCGAAGCAGTCAGCTCGCGCAACGCATCTGGGGGTACCTTCCTCAGTTGGACCAAACTCACAAGTCAACATAAGTCACCGCCTCCCTCGCCGTGAACCACCCCATCCTCACAAACCGGCAGCACTTCCACAGATCCAACACATCGTCCGACGCCGCCGACAACTGGACCGCGTTGGGCGCCAGCAGCCCCGAATTGATGGACATGTTCGAGCCGGGCGTCGCATACGTGGCAGGCTCACCCTCCGCTGCCCCAGCAGCATCCAGCGGATACCCCTCCCTACCACCCTCCGCCGCCGCCACCGCGCCCTCCCTCGTCGCGGCCTCGAACAGCAAATTCAACGCATCGTTCCCGCTCGCCACCACCGTCCTCATCATCGAATCCGCCAACCCCCCATCGCCCTGCTGGTGCTGCTGGTGCTGCTGGTGCTGCTGCTGGTGCTGTTGCTGGTGCTGTTGCGTCGCTACCACCCCTCCCCCTCCCCCTCCTCCCGACTGCTGCTGCAAACGCTGCTCCCGCACAACCCCCCTCGGCGGCTGCGGCACCGGCACCGGCACCGGCACCGAAGGACTCGTCCCCCTCCCCGTCCCCCTCCCCCCTTCCTCCCCCACCACCACCTCCACCTCGCCTCCACCCCCACCCTCACCAGCTCCCCGCCAGCGCCGCCGTTTCTTCTCCTCCTCCTCCATCAGCCTCTGCTTCTTCCACCCCCGCTCCTCGGTGAAGACGCACTCGCGCAGCGCGCGCACGCAGCGCAGGCACGGCGGGCCCGGCACGGCGCCGGCGGCGCCTTCGGAGGGAGGTGGTACGGCGACCTCGCAGCGGGCTTTGCGCTTGCGGCAGGGGACGCATGCTTTGTAGGCGCGTTGGAATTCGCGGGGGGCGGAGGAGGAGGAGGATGCAGAGGTTGAGGTTGAGGTTGAGGAGGGGGGTGGGTTGGTGGTGGTGGTGGGGGGGTTGTGGGGGCGTTTGCCGTTGGGGTTGATGGTGGTGGTGGTGGAAGTGTTGGGGTGGTGGGGTGGTGGTTGTTGTTGTTGTGATGAGGATGATGATGATGATGGTTGTGCAGCGGTGTTGATGCGGTTGTTGCCGGCGTGGGTGGTGCTCGCGACGACGTTGTTGATGTTGTCGTAGGCGGTGGCATCTTCACCGTTGTTGTCGTGGTGGTACGGCTGTTCGTCGGCCATTTTTTCTTTTCACGTCCCTGTGCTCTTGCTGGGTTGGGAGTCGAGATGGCGGGCAACGGAGGGTGTTGAAGGAAATTCAAGGCGCGCGGGCTGGCAGAGCGGGGGCTGTCGCCCGGCTATTGACGGATCTTCGATGCGCGCATCAATTCCGCTCTAGGGGCGGGTTATCCGACGGTACATAGCGAAGCCCAAGAGCATACGCGAGACACTAGAGGCGTTGGAGAAATCAATGACGGAAGGCGCGCCTCCGATGGTTCTTTCGTACTCTAAAGTCTACGAGGGAGTTTGCTTCAACAAGTAATGGTAGGTTGTCCATCGAACATATGGAGTGAACATGACTGGCTGACTCTAGTGCAGGACTCGAGGAGAAGTACAAGTTCGACAAGCAAAACGAGGTATGAGTTCATGAAGGAGAGGGGGCAATCAAGAGGCCAGTTAGCATGCATGACTAAGCCAATACAAACAGACGTGTTCTTGTTCATGTAAGCCCATGGTGATTGTTGAGAGTGGGTGAACAAGTAAAGTGAGTGCGTGGTGAGCAGGAGCTGAGCTTGTTGAGAGGTGAAGTGTACAGCAGCACGGCTATCGGCGGGAAAGGGACTGACGCAATTTGTGCCTGCCTGACTCGCGCCGCGGGATCCCGACGTGCCATGTGTCAATCAATGCCAGCGCCTCAGGAACGCCTTCCCCAGCATCTCAGTCGCGCCGCAATCATGCCACCACCGCGCGAGCCTGCCGCCGCCGAGATCCCTCCCTCCCCGGAGCTCCTCTCTCAACTCCAGACCGTGCTGCAAGACCTCTCCCAAAACCCATATCCCTACGTCGAAAACCCGCCCAACTGCAAGAAGCGCGCATCCGTCGCGCTTATCATTCGCATCCAACCGCGCTACTCGCACTGGCCGGACAAACAGCACGCAGCCCAATGGGCTGATAAGACCGCCAACGAGTCGGTCGAGAGCAGGCTGGACAGCTTCTTCGCGCAGGACTGGGTGCAGCATGGCGACCCAGAGGTGCTGTTCATCAAGCGCGCCCACCGCCCCGGCGACCGCTGGACAAGTCACGTCGCCCTGCCTGGCGGCCGCAGAGATCCTGAGGACGCCGACGACCGCGCTGCCGCCGTGAGGGAAACCGAGGAGGAGGTCGGCATCGAGCTGACCGACGCCAATTCCATCCCCGTCGGCAACCTGCCCGAGCGTATCGTGACCACGTCTTGGGGGAAGGTCCCGTAAGCTCATATCGTCTTTCCAGCGCCTCGACAGAACACTGACACCAAGCAGCCTCATGGTCCTCTGCCCATACATATACCTTCTCACCGACCCCAGCCCTCCCGCCCTCCGCCTGCAGCCCGCCGAGGTCGGCTCCACGCATTGGGTCTCGATCCGCGCGCTGCTCTCGCCCTCGCAGCGCACATACTGGCACGAGGACGTGTCCAACCGCCTCGCCAAGCAAGAATTCGGCATCAAGCGCTGGTTCCTGCGCGTCATGCTGGGCAAGATGATCTTCGCCGCCATCCGGCTGATCCCGTCGCACAGCGAGTACTGCAGCACCATCCCCGCCTTCGTCCCCGACGACGACGACGACTCGAGCAGCGGCCGCTCCGCCGCCGCCCAGCTGGCCAACTGGTGGCACGGCCGCGGCGTGCAGCCGTCGGCCAGCACCGACACCCCGCTGCTGCTGTGGGGGCTGACGCTCGGCATCCTCGCCGACTTCCTCGACCTGATCCCGCCCTGCAACGCCGTACGCCTGTGGACCTACCCCACCTTCACCCCGCCCGACGTGCGCCTCCTGCTGTGGGCCGCGTCGTACGCCTTCCGCAAGCGCAAGGCGCGCGTCTTGGCCGAGCACCACAATGGTGTGAGGGGGGTCCCCGTCGTGGTCGAGGAGGGCCTGGACAGCGTCGAGCCGGACGGCTCCATCGAGCCGCCCGAGTCGGGCATCAGCGGCTTGGGCGCGGAGCGGTATTATAGCAGGCTCGGGCAGAAGAACCCCGCGACGAGGTCGTCGTCTGTGGGGATCCTGCTCGAGGGCTACTACGACATCGTGAGGAAGACGGTGGCGCTGTCGCTGGCTGCGAGGGTCTCGGTATTTGCGGCAGTGGTCGCTACCGTAATAGTGAAGTATAGACGACTGAGATGATGAGACATGCCTGGCAAGATTTTTGTTTTCTTTGGGAATTTCGGCCGATTTCATTTTATTCTCATTCTTCACCTCGAATGAGCCCGGGATTAGATGCGACTGTGAATAGATCTATTTGGCCAATATCTTTATGACTTATTTCTTCTGAATTGATTTGCTCTAATCACGAACAAATATTATCTCCGACCATACAGTTTGTCTCCGAAGCCCTGCTCATTCATCTCCGAGCGAAGAACGTGGATATAAAACAACCGTCACCACGGCGAGACCAACTCAAGTACACTCGTTCCAACATACCCATAATTTCACACCCTCCATTCTACACTAACCTGCGGTACACTAATGCGTGCAGCCCGCACGCCTTCTCATGAAGGTTGAAACGCCTCTTACGCCAGCCACAACGCCATCCTCCAACCGCCGGCGCCCGCCCAGTCTCCAACTTCCAAGGGCGGCTTAGCGCAGTATCAACGCCATCCGTATCGTGTCCACCTTCGAACGACGTGGCGAACGGTGGCGTCAGCAAGAATGTGGGGCGGGAGGGGTATAAAACAAGCCATCTAGAATGGGGAAGTTTGATCATCCGCACGAGACGGGGGAGCGTGTCATGCAAACAGCCGCGGCAGACGTAAGTCAAGATGCGGATCATGATGTGTGAGCAAAAAAAATTAGTATGGATGATTAAGCCCAACCCGTCCCTCTTTCTGCCCCTGCTTACATGCTGTAGGCGAGAAAATCAATGCTATATATACACACATCGCAAATTGTACATCCCTTGCCCCTTTCCGTTTCGTCCACCCTTTTCCCAGGGAGAGAGGTGTCTGCTGCCCGACTCCCGAACTGACTGTTGAGTTCTATCCTTTCCTCTTTCCAGTATGCATCCCGCAATAAAAAGGGGAAATTAGAGAAGTAGAGAAATTACCGTTGGGCACCAAAATGCCGATACTATGCAATCTTGATCTATCGCCGCGAACAGAAAAATGAAGATAAATAGCAAAAGAAACAAGACCCCGCAAGACCCTCCCACCAATTCGCCACGTTTCCGCTTTTTCATATTTTCCTTCGTTCAAATCATAAACCGCTGTCGTGAGAATAGAGGATAGGAAAAAGGAAAAAGAAAATGCCCACAAATGAGAAGAAACAAAGAAGAAGAAGAAGAAGAAAAAACACCACCTTTCCCGCTCCGGTTTCCCCAATTTTTCCAAAGTTTCCCGCGCATCCAAGAGGACGAAATCAAGAAAACCAAAAGGAAGATAAGAAACGGAGACCCAAAACAGACAGGAGCTGACTGGGGAGGTATCAAGGAAACAAAAATCCGAAAACGAGAAGAAAAAAAAACTCCACCACCTTCGCGATGCAGAAAAGAGAAAAAAAAAACCAAAAGAACAAGATCAAACAAATGAGACCCTCCCCCCATCTCCCTCTTCCTCTTCCTCATCCCTCCCTCAAGCCGTCAACGTCACCGCCACAACGACGACCACGACGACCACGACCGCCACCCCCACGACGCTCATCCGCCTGTTCAGCCTGCGCCACCACACCGCGCGCACGCGCTCCCTCTCCATCAACACTTCCATCTGCGCCGCCTCCATCTGCGCCTCGACGTCCACCACGCCCCCACTGCCATCCTCCGCCTCCACACCGGCATCTCCATCCCGCTCGTCGCGCCTGTAATGATAATAGCGCTGTTGGTGTCGGCTTCTCCCCGCTCCCGCCCCCTCCGCACCGTCTCGATCCTCCTCCTCCTCCTCCTCCTCCTCCTCAACGTCCCTCCTGCCCTCCTCCTTCTCCTCGCCATGCCGAGTGTACGCCGCTGACGCCGCCGCACCACCTCCACCGCCGCCGCCGTGGTGGTGGCTTCCCCTCTTCTCCTTCTTCTCCTTCTTCTTCATCTTCTTCGTCTTCTTCTCCGGCACAGGCAGCAGCGCCGCCAGCATCCACGCGAACGGGACGAGGAAGCCGAGGACAAACAGCCACACCTGGCGGTCCGCGGCGGGGCGGTTGGGGTTGTCCGACGTGTCGCCGTTGTTTGAGTTGCCACAAACCCAGCTGCTGGGACGCAGGTAACGGAACGACTTTGTGGCGGTGCTGTTGGCGTAGTAGGCGCTGCTCTGGTCGCGGCGGAGGCGGGGGGTCTGGTTGCTTTCGGGGCCCGAGGGGCCGAAGTAGCGGAGCGGCGGCGGGGGGGCGCGGTTGCTGGCGTTTCTCCCGCCGCTGTGGGTGGAGCCCATGGTGGAGGCGGCCCAGTGCCACATGCGGGAAGGAAAACGGCGCTGGGTGCCGTGCATGGAGTCGTCGGCGGCGGTGGGGACGTCTGAGATGTTGCGGAGCTGGGGCTGGTACTGGTGGCGCGAGGGGAGGCCGCCGGTGGTGGCGTTGCTGTGCGCGGTGCTGGGGTGGTGCGACTCGATGCCGGCCGAGTAGTTGCCGAAGCTCGAGGCGCCGTCCGAGGCCGAGTCGTCGGCGGAGGAGGAGTAGGTGGTGGAGTTGGAGGACTCCTCGTCGCTGGTCGCCTCGGCGGCCAGGTGCGGCGAGGGCGTCCAGTTCTCGCTGTAGATGGTGCTGTGGGGCCGGTTGCGCGGGCGCTGGATGCTTGCGATGCTGAACTGGGAGGAGGCCGGGCTGTCTGTGGGCGCGGTGTTAGTCGGCCGCGAGCTGCTGCCCGCGCGGCTGCCGTAGCGGTTGTTCTGCTTTTCGCTGCCGTTGCTTCCGCTACCGCTGGTGTTGGGCTGGCGCAGAGAGCTTTGGGACGGCTTGGACCGCGTGGAGGGACGCGAAGACGAGCCGATCACGCTCGGGTCTCCGGTAGAGTAGAACGACCTGAGATCGTAAGTAAGTAAAAGTTTAATCCAAGTGAGATGCTTTAAGCTTACCTAGCCCATGCAGGAAGCCCTTTCGCAGCATATAGGACGGTGGCGGCGCTGCTCGACCTGCTTGCTCTTGTGGCAGGCCGCGACGAGGCTCCCGAGTTTCCACCATTATCGTTACCACGGCCCATCATGAGGTTGAAGAAACTTGTCGAGTCCACCGACTGCCATGGGTTCCTGAGCGGGGGGAGTTCTGCCCTTGCAGCGGCGGTAGCTGAAGACTCCTCGCCTCTATCCTGAGTCTGCGGTCTCGACGACGGCAAGCTACCTTCGAGACGCATTGTCGGGAGAGAGACGAGAGATGGATTGGCAGTGGCACGAGAGCTGAATTCGGTGGGAGGAACGCTGTGAGACGACGAAGGAATTGTTGGCAGAGGTTGAATTGGTTCCGGCTGAGTTGAAGTAGAGGGGAGCCGTGCAGTCCAATTTTGGCGCTGATTTGACCGCGCAACCCTCTTAGGCATGCAGAGGGCTGCGGGTTCAATCTCCTCGGTGGTGGTAGTCGACATTCCGGATACGCTGCAAACTTCCTGATGGTGGTTGTCGGGATTCGAAGTAGCCTGAAATGCTTTGGTGGCAGTTGAGTTCCAAGACGGAGTGAATCTCGTAGGAGGGGTAAGGTCGGCCAGGAGCTCATCGCTAGAGCCAAAATTAGAGACTTTCCCTGAATATGCATCGCTCGCGGACACCGGGCGTAAAGCACAATCATTGTCCAGGTAAGGCGTCAGAGGGTTACCGAAAGTTGAAACAGGCCGTTTGTCTTGAGAAACACCGGGACTGTGGGGGCCGTACTGAGGCGTGGGCGTGGAGGAAATTCCAAAAGGGGAAGGGGTCCGTGGGTTAGTTGAGGTGGGGCGGGTCGAAGATGACATATGAGCGTGGACTGTCCAATTGCTGGCCGTGGACTTCCGGCCGTCATGTTGGCGTGTCGATAATGTCTCTGAAGATGCTGATGAGCGCACCGATGTCGCCGATTTATACTCCTCCGAGGGCTGAATGGATCGGACGGTGGACTGCATCATGGAAGTGCGCGAATTGACGGAGCCATAGAGATCGCTGGACAGCCTTGAAAAAGAAATAGGGTAGGGAAGCGAGTCATCGTCCTCGGTGGATGCCGTCGTCGTGTCGATGGAGGTCCTCCTGCTTTCGGCGGGCGAAGGCCCCACGACGAGATCTTTGAAGAATTCCGGGGCGTCCGAGGTGCCGACAGACGGCTCGCAGAAATCGCGAACCTCTAGGTCGTCTTCCTCTTCCTCGGCCGGGCTGTCTTCTTCTTCCTCTTCTTCTTCGGCGGGGCTGTCCTCTTCCTCGGCGGGGCTGCCGTCATCCGTGGCGGGGCCGTCATCGTAGGTAATAAAAAAGCTCGGGGTAGTAGCGGGGCTTGGCAGCAATACTTGCGAGGGATGCAAAGGGAAGGGAGACTTAAAATAGGTCCCCGACGGCGAGCCTCGTTCCGGTCTTTCCACAACCGAATGCTGCTCCCTCTGCTGTGCGCTCTGTGCAGGCTGCTCCATTTCCGTCACAGTCAAGGGGGAAATGTGCTGCTCGCAGCGCTCAGGAGACGGCGTTTGCCCATTGCGCTCGGAAGGCGACAGCTCTCTTAACGGCCGCCTCTTTGGCGAGAGGACGGAGTTGCTACGGCCACGCGAGTCCCTGGATTTCCTCTTCCAGCGGTTCTCCTGACTATGTGGGGTCTGGGGGACGTCAGACTGGGAGCGCTGGTGCCGCTTTGGCGAGTCATTATTGTCGCTCGAGCGCTTCAAAGGGTGGGTCCGCGCTTTTGCGAGTTTCTTGCGACTGGGAGCCATTCGGAGGCGTGACGAGGTGCCAGGCGGTACGGTGATGTCAAGGTCAGATCTGTAGCGCGCATCGAGCTGGAAGGCGCCGGATCAGGGACAAGGGGGCATCCACGCGCAACAGAAACAGAAATTCAGCAGTGTCAGTCGTCGTCGGGCTGACCGACAGCAAGTGGAGGTGGCAAGCAGAACAAGTGGGACAGAGTCCGGCAGGACTCGAAGGCACTATATGCAAGTAAGTAGCGATGCGTGGGCAGGGAAGATGGCGCAAAGGCATGATTGACGGCACGAGCGCTTCCGCTCTCCACCAGTACAGCGTGTTCGGGGCCCGACGACTCATGGGCTTGGCGGGATGCCGTCAGCGCGCGGGAACGGCGTCGCTGCAGGTACGGGAAAGCTAGCCCAACGGTGCCGGCCAGGTTGGATGCAGGGCGCCGTGGTGCTGCTCATATGGGGGGCCAGCCGCGGCGACGCGTCGCCAGTCGAGCGAGGCGGGCGATGCGTGCGCAGTGCTGGGCGTTGAGAGGGATTGGCGCTGCAGGCGCTGGAGCTGGTGGCTGCGACAGGGCGGCATCAGGCATGGCCGGAGCACGGCCTGCTGCTGGAGAGAGGCGGCCTGGCCCGGGCGCGCGATGGTGGTGTCGTGGGTGCGGCCTCGAATTTCCGTCAGGCCCCCGTGCACCGCGTCAGGCGCGCGCTGCCTGGCGCTGGCTGGCCTGGCAGTGGCGCTTGTCTGCTGCAGGGCCTGGCCGCCGATCGCAGCGATCCAACCGGGCCCTTAACCACACCTCCCGCCTTCACCACCGCCCGAATCTCGCGGCAGGCAGGGCGCGCTGCTGCTCCTTGCCGCGAGCAAACGCCCCGAAGCCCGCGCGCCGCCGATCGGTGCCCTGCATCTTCACCGACATCTCTCGCCTCCACCGGCCTGCTGTCTGGATCCGCCGGGAAGGTCCCGTCTCCATCCTGCACGAGCCATGTATTGCTGGCACTGTGGCCCCGGCTCCCAGCCTTGCGAACTGCCAGGCGCCCGTCTCATTTCGTGAGCAAGCCCGCGAGGGAGCCGCAGACCTCGCTCGAGCCTCGCCTCAGTCCAGATCCGGCTCGCCCGCACGCCGCCGCCGCCCGCTGGAGAGCCTGGCGGTCCGAGCAGGCCGGCGGTGAAGGCCCGATGCTACGCCATGCGGACCACCCTGTGGCGGCGCTCATCACGACGAGCCCTCCACTTTCCTCCTGCCCGATGTCGTGGGCAACGTGGGCCTCACCTGCACTGTGGCTCCCCACGCAGAGGCCCGAGGCTGCCGATGCACCGGCTCCGGCTTGCCGACACAACACTCGCTCGCGTCGGTCGACTGACAGAAACGGTCGGCAAATGCTTCGTTGCTGCCGCTGCATGTCCTCCACAGTCCGCCCGCCTCCCCAGCCTGCACGCTCCGCCACTGACCAGACTCGCGGATCGCTGCCTGGCTGGAGATGGCATTTCACTATTGCCTACGGGAATAGCGCACGTAGGTACGTGCGCCGCCTGGGTTTCCACGGCCTGTTCCTCCGTCGTGTCCCCGCCGGGGAATGCCTGTCAGCTGCCCAAAAGAGATCACGTTGGCTCGTCCCCGAAGGGTTAAGCTTTTTCTTCTTGGTTTTCTCGAACTTGCTGCCACGTCTAGCCGATGCACTAACATTATCCGAACTGTCGTGTACCCCGAGTTTCACTGCTCGTGCCAGGTTGTGACTCTGGGAGCGAGCGACGCATCACGGCCACATAAGTTCGAAATCTCCGAGCGGACGGCTCAGCCCTACGATTAGCATGCAAGACAGTCCATCAATGCTGGGGGTGCATGGGGAGCCGCTGATGTCATGAAAGCGGAGATACCGCCGGGTCCAGGGTGCAGTCGGGCTCACGAGCCCGGTTTTTTCTTGCGGTGTTGGTGTTTTAGAGTTCTGATCTCTGTTCCCGTTCCCCCCGGCAACAGTGTTTCCAGCAATCTGGCCAGACGATTTGGACCTATCTACCCCGAGTCAGTTCCGCTCAAAGTGCGGGCACGCAACCGGCTTGTGTGAAGCACTGGCTGAAAATCTGCCGGCGCAGCCCACAGAAGCTGTTTCTTGCATCTGCCTGGCTCTTCCCACGATGCTCGGCGATCGGAATGCAGGGTCCTACCGATCGGCTGGTCCGCCTCAGCCGCGTGGTTACGGCGTGCCGGCAGCCTTCAAACCGAACGTTACCCGCCTGCTCCCGGCCTTCCACGAAGTCAAAAATTGTCTCATGATGTTGTAGTGTGGTACTTGCATTATTCCATTCTCTGCCCTGTTTGACTGAACACTGAGCCTGTTTCCAGTCTCTTATGTCATTCCCGTCTGTGCGACCGTTGCAACCATTACGGAAACTTCCACTGAAAGACGTAGAACAGCGAAGAGCCCGTTCTTTGATGACCACCGCACGGGAGTCATGTGATATCATATACCGATCAGCCAATGTAATATAGCATCCGAATATGAACGTGAGATTCCCTTATTATCACATTTCTCAAGGGAACTTCCGTCTCCACAGGATATAACGACGGCTGAAGCCGAACATTCATCTCAGCCCCCATTTTCCATTTCCCATCGCTAATACTCTTCACGAGCATGCTAATTGCGCCCTTGGAGCGGATGTGCATCTATTGAATTTTCCTTTCGGTCCTAGGGGCTCGCCGTCAAGATCCAGACTACCTCACCGCAAGACTCCAGGTTGAGCCAAGGCGGTTGAAAAAGGGAAAGCGAACAGAGCACTACATCTAGCGCTGTGGGGACGCTGATCCTCTTCCGTCCGCGCGTTAGCCACCAAGCGATAGGCTTGTACTATGTACAGCTGGGTTGGATCAAGCACTCGGAGGAGTCAGGGCTTTGCGCTGGGTGTAGCTAGTCCCAAGAGTCAAACACAGGGCTCAACCTGCCGTAGCAATGAGCTCTTATCTTGCCGTTTGCGAAGTGATAAGAGTGCGCAGCTCGAGCGAATGCGTCCACGGGCGGCATCAGAACGCGTTTCTGTTGTTTGCTTGAAGATCAACAATCTTGCCTGACGTTGGAGCCAGCCCGACTAGAGGTACTTTATGGACAGGGCGTTGCATAGATCACACATGACGGTGGCCATTGAGGTGGGTGAGGGAGAAAAATAAGTTACGTCGTTCTTCTATGGGTATGCAAGACATCTGATCTCGAGGTATTCCTGCGTCTCCAACACGTCTAAATCGCATCTTTTCTACAACCTTGCCTTGACCTTCTCCCACAATGCCGGTTTGGCCAGATTTGACGGACCGTCGTAGATATCGCGCTCCACAGCGCGCACATTGATCTAAACAACAACAGTCAGCGGCGTCTCCACGAGTCAGTCAGTGGACAGCGAATCGAACTTACATGCTGCATCCCCAGATCCTCCACCTTCTCCACACCAAGTAATCTCATCGCCGTCTCCGTCTCCGCCTTCAGGACTGTTTCCATTTCGTCAGCAAAAGCACTTCTCGAGACACACACAGAAGGGGGGGGGGCAACTCACTCTCCAACATCCTCGCGACGCCCTCGGTGCCGCCGGCGCCGAGCCCGTACAGGGCCGCACGCCCGACGCCCACGGCCTTCGCGCCCAGACACAACGCCTTCACGACGTCGGTGCCGCGCTTGATGCCGCCGTCGACCCACACCTCGACCTTGTCGAAGACCTCGGGGCAGTACTTGCGGATCTCGAGCAGCGTGTGCACGGGGGGCGGGGCCGTGTCCATGGCGCGGCCGCCGTGGTTGGACAGGATGATGGCCTTGACCTGCGGCGCGTGCAGCGCCGCCAGGTACGCGTCCTCGTGCGTCTGGATGCCCTTGAGGACGAGCGGGAGTTTCGTGTGCTGCGCGAGCCACGGCAGCGTCGTCTTCCACGTGAGGTCGGCGGCGGTGCCCTGGAAGAGGGACTTGCCGATGCCGCCGCTCTCTTCCTTCTTTTTTTGTGGCGCCGGGGTGCTGGCGGAGCCTTGCTGGACCGACGACCGCACGGGCAGGTTGGCGCCGACGTTTTTGCTGCGCTCGTCCTGCTCGCGCTTGCCCGGGACGGGCGCGTCGAGCGTGAGGCAGACGAACTTGTACTGCGGCAGCTTCGCGATGCGGGCGAGCATGGCCTCGCTCTTCTTGCGCTCCGTCTGCACGTACAGCTGCCAGCCGAAGGCCTGGTCGGGCGGGGCGTCGGCCACGATCTGCTCCGGCGTCATGGACGCGTTGTTGGACACGAGCTGCAGGGCGCCGAAGCGGGCGCAGGCCTGGGCGATGCCCCGCTCGCCGTCCGGGTGGGCGAGGCGCGCCATGGCGGCGGGGGAGACGTACAGCGGGATGCCGACCTTGTGGGTGCCGTGCAGCAGCGTCGTCGACGTGTCGCAGGGGGTGCAGTCGACGAAGATGCGCGGCCGCATGAGGATCTGGCGGTAGACGGTGTTGTTGTGCGTCTTGGACGCCAGGTCGTCGCTGGCCGAGTAGTAGTAGGCCCAGCCCTTGGCGCTGATCTGCTTCGTCGCCGCCGCCTCGATGTCGTCCAGGTTGAGCAGCGACTCCAGGTCTGGTGGGCCCTCGGGCTCCGTCGACGCCGGGTCGCCGCCTACGGCTGCGGCCTTGGCTGCTTGTTGTTCGGCGGCTGGTGCGGTCTCGGTCTTGGGCAGGGTCGATTCGTCGAATTTGCCTAGCTTGGCTTCGGCGGGGAGGCTCTCGTCGAGGATGCCTGGAGGGTGGATCGGGTCGTACTCTTCGGTTGCGTCGGTGCCGGCAAGTTGCAGGATGATCTTCGAGCCGCCAGGGTGCTCCCCGAGGAAAGAGGTGACGTCGTAAACATGGCCGTACAGAACCACCCAACAGCTCTCGGGGGTGTTGTGCTTGGACACTGCGTGTCGGGGAGCGGCGTCAGCGTCGGGACGATCTGGTGGTGAGGTCTGGGGCCTGATACATACCCTCGTCGTAACTGAACACCTTCGCCATGGTTACAATGCTCCCTGATGCTTCTGTACAGCGAAAAAATGCGAATTGGAGGAGAGCAGTAAGTAATCGACTGGAAAAGAAGGCGGGGAGAGTCAGCGCGGAGAGTAGAAATGCGGAGAGAGGCGGTGGTGGGCCGTGGGGATTGACTCGGCGAACGACAAAGCCATTGCGTCGATTGGAGAATGGGGAGCGGATCGGCTGTGACGCAGCAGGAGTGGGATATAGCTTCCGACTGGCTTGCGCTCGCGCCCGCAACACCTCCGCAAAACTGCAGCGCCCCCGGCGACTGACGTCGGCGTTTGAAATCCGAGCAACGCGACTTGCGCGTTCGCGTTGCGGGGAAGCTCGGCTCGACCTGCTCCATTTCCGACGGTGCGATCAACTTTTTCCCGTCCACACACACCCAGCCTCCTGCCTTGTCGTCACTCAATCCCCGGACCGCAAGCCGACAATACTCCCGCCACCGCCATGCAGCGGCCTCGCAACCGCCAGGGCCGCCCGACACAGCAGCAGACCGCCGACAGAGGGAGAGGTCGTGGTGGCCGAGGACGAGGCGGCCCCGGGCGCGGTGGCCGATACAACTCCAATGCCCCGTCCAGCGTCCCCAACACACATCAGGTCGTCGCTGGCGCACACGTTTCCATCGTCCTCAAAGTCGATCAGCCCACTGGCCGCCAGGTGCAGGGAACCGTTGCGGATGTGCTAACCAGCGGCAATCACCCCCATGGCATCAAGGTGCGCCTTGTGGATGGCCGCGTTGGTCGCGTGCAGCGCATGGCCACCGAAAACGAGGCAAGAGCCGGGTCTGCCGGATTGAGCAACCTGGGGAGGAACGGCGAAGCCAGTGGCGGCATCCACCAGGGTGTGACAACTACCACGCAGCCACCCAGCTCGAGATTCGACATGAGGTACCGCGACATACGGGAAGAGGAGGAGATGGAGCGCCCGCCTGCTGGCTACAGCCTGGCCGATTTGTTGCCGCCGGACCACCCCCTACAGGAGCAGCATGACGTGCATGATGAACCGGCGGCCTTCAGCTCAGCGCCGCAGGTGGTGTGCCCGGTGTGTCAGGATTTTGAAGGCGATGAGATGGCCGTGGCGCACCACGTCAATTCCCATTTTGACTGATGATTGGCTCTCGTTGTTTATATTCTTGCTACAGAGATCCTTCGCTCATCCGCCAATACCTCCCCCGACGTCTATTCTCGGCGCGTCGCCCATCTCCTCCCTCATCGCCTGCTTCACGATTGCACCGCACATTTTCGCGTACGGATTGGTCCTGACAGCCATCTCTTTCGCCGTCTTGTCACCGTACCGACCTCCGAGAAAGAATTCCCGACTCGCCATCTCCTCTAGGCTGTCCTTGTCCCTCCCTCTGACCTCCTTTGGTCCAGTATGCAAGGTTGCTTCACCAGCTGCCTTGGCCGCCTTGAGTAGCAGGTAACCTCGATGCGTATGTGCTATAGCCAGCAGCCGTGCCTGGAGTGATGACAGTGGGTCTTGTGGTGATGCAGGTGATGCGAGCTCAATCGCTCTTGAGAGGTCCGCAAGCAACGCCTCGGTCGTCTCGACGTTCTCATCCTCGAACATTCTGTCTTCGTCCTCGATCCGTAACCGCATCGCCTGCGCCCGGTTTGCGTAGGTGGACGCGTAGTTGGGGTGTTGCTCGATGAGCTCATTGAGCGCTCGTATCGCGGCATTGGCGTCTTCGAGCGACGGTTTCTGGGTGTTGAGCAGGAGAATGGCTGTGCGCTCAGCCGCTTGCAAAGTCGGAAGAAGCGAGTCGGCTATGTGCGGTAGGGTTTGTGGTGGCTGTGGTGCTATCTTGATGGAGGCTGAGGACGAAGATTCACGGTCAAAGAGAGCAGAGAGCACCTTGGCGTCGTTGGACGAGAGCGTGGGGATTGGAGAAACCATGTTGACTCGGTGTGCTGCAACTGACGGGTGTATGGGAAGCGAAAGGTAGGCGCGGCTTGTGGAGGGGCAGGTCAAGCCAGGGAGCAGATTAAAAATAATGGCCCCACGACTTGCGGCACATGGACGCCTCCCTACGCCGCGGATCCCCGCGCTGGCGGCTTACCCTCAGAATCCTATGCTGGCCTCCTGATTAGCGATCCGTGGAAAGCCTATTTGCAGGTGGTCTTTGTTCAGGCGTGTCAGGTTGGCCCGCCGCAAGCCGAGCGCCACGGCCGTCTTGGCGGGGTTTTCCTGAGATATCCGTGGATCAGCTCCGTCATCCCCTGAATATCCGCCAAAGTCCGCGCTATCCAAGCTCCCACACCTCCCCAGCTTGCAAGGCTCGTGCAGCGGCACAAAGCGGTCCACGACGGTTCTTGCGGCGCTGACCGGTACGTCAGCAAACGGCAATGAGGGGATTAGCAATGCGGCACAAGCGCTGGACTTGGCTAATATATGAACTGGAGGCCGACTACCGGGAGCCGTGGTTCTCTCATTCTGTATCTCAACCGCGGCGCTGCAGGCTCAGGTATTTAGCAATCTTACAGAACAACTTCTCGACGGCATTCCCAGTGCTGTTTCTCTGAGGGAACTTGGGAAATCCACAGGCCTCGTCTCTGTCATCTTTACACAAGCAGCCATGGCACCGATCGCTGTTTCGCCACCACAATCACCATCCACACAGCCCGTCGCCGACGAGGCCTCGCTACAATCCTACCGTGGCTACCACCACGTGCACTGGTGGGTAGGCAATGCGAAGCAAGCCGCTACTTACTATGTGACGCGCATGGGCTTTGAGCGCGTCGCGTACAAGGGCCTCGAGACCAAGTCCCGCGCCGTGGCCTCGCACGTCGTGCGCAACGGCGGCGTGACCTTCGTACTCAGCAGTCCGCTACGCAGCCTCGAAGCGGTCGAGAAGGGTGCCGAGTTCAGCGAGGAGGAGAAGGCGTCGGTGCGGGAGATGCACGCGCACATGGAGAAGCACGGCGATGCCGTCAAGGGTATGCCTTATCTCCGCCCCCAACTCCACCTCCATCCCGTGGCGTCTCAAAGACAAGGCTAACAGACTCGCTGCAGACGTCGCCTTCGAAGTCGACTCGGTCGACGGTGTCTACGAATCCGCCGTCGCGGCCGGCGCCGCCGTCGTGAGCGCGCCGCACACGCAGTCCTCAGGCTCCGACGGCGCCGTCCGCCTCGCCACCATCAGGACGTACGGCGACACGACGCACACGCTGATCCAGAAGCTCGACTACACCGGCACCTTCCTGCCGGGCTACCGCGCCGAGACGACCATCGACCCCGTGTCCCGCTTCCTGCCGAAGATCGAGCTCGAAGCCATCGACCACTGCGTCGGGAACCAGGATTGGGACGAGATGGAGGGCGCGTGCGAGTACTACGAGCGCATGCTCGGCTTCCACCGCTTCTGGAGCGTCGACGACAAGGACATTTGCACGTGAGTGACTTTTTTTTTTTCTCTCTCTCTCCCTCGTTCCACCGCAGAAATCCTCAACACAACACACACATACTGACTGAAAGAAAAATCAGCGAGTACTCGGCCCTCAAATCCATCGTCATGTCCTCGCCCAACGACGTGGTCAAGATGCCCATCAACGAGCCGGCGCACGGCAAGAAGCAGTCGCAGATCGAAGAGTACATCGCGTTCAACTCGGGCGCGGGCGTGCAGCACATCGCGCTGCGCACCGACGACATCCTGGCCGCCATCACCAACCTCAAGGCCCGCGGCGTCGAGTTCATCAAGGTCCCCGACACCTACTACGCCGCCATGCGCGAGCGCCTCGCCCGCACCGCGAAAGCAAACCGCTGGCAGCTGCAGGAGGACTTTGACCGCATCCAGGCCCTCGACGTGCTGATCGACTTTGACGAGGGCGGCTACCTGCTGCAGCTGTTTACGAAGCATTTGATGGACCGCCCGACGGTGTTCGTCGAGATTATTCAGAGGAGGAATTTTGAGGGGTTTGGGGCGGGGAACTTCAAGAGCTTGTTTGAGGCGATTGAGAGGGAGCAGGAGTTGAGAGGGAACTTGGTGTGAGTGTGATGGAATGATGATGCCGCAAGAAGGTTTGTGTCTTTTTTTTGGTATGCGGTCGTATTTGGCATGGGTAGCGGGAGTTTGTGTGAGTGTTTTATGACAGACTGTTCTATATCGAATTTAAGCTTCTGTAGCAATGAAGCTTACCGGATCATCCCATGCGGAGCTGGGAACGAGTCGAACAGAGATGTTGGGCAGTGACGACACCTCCGAGTGGAAATAATAGTGAGGCTTGCTATTGGCCTGGACGTGGCCGCCGTGGACGTTGCGCGACTTGTCTCCTGCGAGGATCTCGACAAACGCGATATCGTGGTGCTAGTACCCATCCGCTCTCCATCCTCGAGCATTACTAATCGACAACAGATCTACATCACCACGGACATCAACTAGGGCGGGACGCAGGGCTAGGCCAATCAAGCCATCGATCAGTGCATCCAGCTAGATGACCCATGGTAAATCTCTCTTTCCCAGCTGTGTCAGGTGTTTTGTATTCTGGGGGCTGCCAGCTGTCGAGGTACCAATCAATCTCCTCGTTCGGCCCGGACTCGGGCACGGCTGCGGTGCTCCCTGAGAATCGTGCTGAAGTCCAAGGAATCACGTGACGTAATATTAAGAAGAAGGATTGCTTATTGAACTAACTACAGGTGATCATGTCAATATATACCCAGAAGTGAAGCTTGAACCCGTGATATGACATCATCGGTACACGATACTTCAACAAATCGCGATTGCGGCAACCCGGCTACACGATCTTCTATCCCGGCGAGGCAGGCTTCTCCTTAGCCCGAGATACTCGACGTGTGGGGGGTTGCCGTCATGCTAGAGTGACCTTGGGCGTATCGGGTGGAATGACTGGATTGGAAGCTTCCGTGTCAAGCAGGTGGAGGTGGTGAACGGTCGGCAATGCATCAAACATACATTTCCTGGAGTGACCTGCCGGAGCTGCTGCAATAGCTGTCAGCGGAGCGGAATCGACTGCTGTCCCGATGGCCAAAGCTGTTGAGGGACGAATTTCATCGGCGATGTCTTTGGATAGGGAAAATTGACCCCCGTAGCTGCAGACGGATGAGCACACCGTAAGAGGATTATGGCAAGCTCTACTTGAGTAATTCAGATCCTGAAATCCCTTCCATGATTGTAGTAATCTTTAATATCAGATGAAGGCGGCAAGGCCCATGTTGCTTGTGTAAACTTTGGACCCTTCATTTGGTGGCCCAATGTCTGGGACCTCCAGGTGACCGTGAGCTGAATCTCTCCCGGCAGCAGCGACAATAGTGACATAAGCCTTACCACAGATCAGGCCCATCTTTTGGATTTGCAGGGGGAATTTCCGGCTGTTCTGCTGACGATTATCTATCAACCCATAGATCACGGGAGCCCAAGCTGAGTCATTCTTCATGAGTCAAGCTTTAGGCTGCAGAAAAATTGTTGGCTTCGCTGTCTGCCCAGACAGGTAGTGTGGTGTAGCGTGCAAAGCTGTGGACGCTCGTTGTTTTGTACCCGCTGACAAGGCAGCCATTCCGGAACATTCGGACGTCGTTCTTGGAGGGATTGGAAGCCGCTACCATTGCGGAATACCCATTCAGATGATGCAGTAGTCGACTGAAGCTGTGATTTCCTCATAGAAGGCCGCCTCAACGAGATTGGGTTTGAGTACAATCCTTGAGCAAGCAGGGCTCAAGGGAACATGTTACAGTGAAGAACTATGTTGCAACCGACGTCTATGAGGTAGGCGTCAGCGTGATATTGACGTCACTTACTATAGGGCAAGGCGCGATGAGCCTTGTAGTAACCTGAAACATGAGGCTCAAGCATTGTGGTACGTCTGCCGCCCGCTCCTGTGAATAGTGAATCAGTCGATGATATAATGTGCTTTGTCCCTACCAAGGGTCTCCGGGAAGCTTGTTTGGCATATGCATCGGGTTACATTGTCAACACTTACTGTCAACGACAAGTCTACTATCTTCAATATCCTGAATGTGTAACAACGGGATCTAAGATTGATTCGCTAAACTTACAGAGACAATCCAAGCAATCACAGCATCGACAAATTCCGGTGTACGGCGCCCGTTGATACTCAAACTATGTACTGTGCACGGAAAGGGAATGCTTGGCCTTGGCTCCACTTGGAAAAAAAAATGTCATGTTGATCCCCGAATCGATGCCGGTCTTTCGCCGTCCAGTATAGGTGGCCAAGGCAAGGCGGTCAACAACCGAACATGTTTGTTTGTCTTTGCTTGTTTCAACCCAACAATCAAGCAAAGATCCAGGTTTCTGTGAAACAAGCAAGCAAAGATGGAGGGCTGCCATCTTTGCAAAGATCTTTGTAAACAAACAAAGATGCTGACCCTCTGCCTACCAAGCAAGCAAAGATCGAGCCTCATCTTTATTTGTCTTTGATTGTTGGCCATCTTGGGCCAAGGGTTCAAGGTTCGGGGCTCGAGATTTGCGCCGTCATCGCGTTCAGCCCAAGGTGGTCAACAACCAAACATGTTTGTTTGTCTTTGCTGGTTTCAACCCAAAAGTCAAGCCAAGATCGAGGATTCTGTGGAAGAAACAAGCAAAGACGGAGGGCCGAGAACTTTGCAAACAGCCAAAGATCTCTGTAGCAGCCAAATATGTTTGCAAACAAACAAAGATGCTGACCCTCTGCCTACCAAACAAAAGATCGAGCCTAATCCTTTGCTTGTCGTTGATTGTTGACCACCTTGAGCCGAACTGGCCGGGCCCGTTCGGCCTTGCCGGCTATCTGGCTTTCTGTAGCCAACAGACAAGATTCCGGAACAAACCCCCCTTTACTTAGAGTCAGCCATCACATAGATCTTCCGATATCCTTCTAGATACGCTTACTCTTTGCGACAATAGTCCATTGCTCTCTGCAAGTTCCCTCGAGAAGGCCAGGTCGAACGGTGGGTCCGGGTCGGCCAAAACCCAAAAATTGCTTTGCTCCTTCGTTTCGGATCCCTCCAGCTTCCATTCCAATGCTACTGTTCCCAGCACTCCCAAACCAATATCATTTAAACGTAGCGTGCACGGCTGACGGTTGATGTCCGCCTGCAACGCCGTCACTGTCTCGTGGCTTATGAGATTGTAATTTTGGCTGTTTCTGGCAACAGTCGCTATTCTTAATCTTGTGGACTCTCCGGAGAAGATCTGGATGCGGCGGCTTTGTGGTTTGTACTGAACATACGGTGATAGTGTTAGCCTCGCAATTCTGACAGACGTTTCATGCAGGAAGGGGTTATAAGTACATACACATGACTGTAACCGGAGGGAGCGAGAGACGGACATTCTGTACTAATAAAGGCACTCGGTCGCTGACAGTAGATCGAGTTTCCAAACGGCCTTATCCGATATTGTCGAGGACACCGAACTGATGATATGACTGAGTCTTTATCACAGAACCTGCTTTCTGTGGAACCCAAGCGTAAGCGATGCAAGGCTGTGGCTGATTCTGATGCATATCTGACCCCAATTGGGGCAATGCATCGAGTGATTGGGCCAACAGCCGCGGGAAGCCTCGGCAGCGTATTTCCTCGCAACTGGCCAAGACTTGCAGCAATTTCTCCCAACGATATATGTGATTCGCCTTCGTCTATAAATGGCTCCAGGGCTGTGCTGACCACACAGATCCTATATTCCAGGCCACCCAGCCTACTTCCTGCAAGCCTACGTATGAGAAAGCTGTGTTGCCACATTTTCGGGCGGGCCTGTTGCACCAATAAATGCAGTACGTCCTTACGCGAGTTCCAATAGGCCAACATGTCATCCGAATCTTACCGCCGACATTTTATGACGAGAATCCCCCGCGTGATGTGTCTTTTTAGGGAATGTGGTAGGCGATGTTATATCGTGTGGTCACACAGCATGTTTATTAATGCTTTGCAATCTGGCTATCAAAGAGCAGTGGTCAGCATCGGGATACCCAACGTAGTTGCTTCTGCATATGCTGTGAGTTGTTGCCGCTATAAAAACAAAGTCCATCCCTTAGTCCTCACTGACTTTGGAGCATCTCAACTACTTGCTACCCAAGCTCTCTCTGGGTCAGATATGTACAGGATCTACAAGCATGCTCCTGAAGATGGGAGTGGCTTCAATCAGCTGTTCTGTATTCCACCATTGTGGCTTGGAGGTGCACATGGAAGCCTACACAAGAAAATGCAGCCCAGCCACCAAATGCACGTCGGCGGTACGCCCGTCGCGATTGCAGGGGTGCCATTCTGCGAGCTCTACAGGATGGGTCAAAACGTCAAAAGCCACTGGAGGAAGCCTGAAAGCCCCTCCGAGTCGTTACAGCGAGCATGCTGCAGCCTCAGGCCCTCTGCATGCGTGCAGGTAAGCGCCTTCTGGTTTGAATTTCATCGTACAAACATCGCAAGGCTAGACTTGCCTGACGGCGTACTTAAAGATACTTGCGTAGGCCTTGTTCGTACCGGGTGAACTGTGTGTGTGTTTGTGTGTGTGGTGTCAGGCTTCTTTTGCTACATCTTCATCCTATCAATTTTTCGGCGAGAGGGGTATGACATGTTGGGACTTCTTGCCCCATTGTCTCCATCCGAGCCAATACTTCCCCTTACCAGGAGTATGGAAGCCAATCCAGACCTCGAACTCCATCACCTGTCACTTCCCAATCCTGAGCGAGGAGGAAGACCAGATACCACTGCACCTGCCAATGCTAAAGCAACCACATCGACCGACAACATACATCGGGAGGCCCCCTTCATCCGTCCAGATCTGAAGACTCCTCCAAGCCAAGTACCACAAGCAGCTCCAAACTCAGCACACGATGATACTGCACTGCTCCCAGCTGGAGTAGCGAGACGCGCATCACAACCGTCTGCAGATCCGAGAGCATCGCCTGACGTAGAAGCAGTCAGACCGCCCTTACCACCACCGCCGCCATTGGCTGGTGCTGGTGGTAGTAACAACGACCCACCGGCCGGCTACCCCAGCCTCGCTGTGCATATGGCCAGCATGCCTCAAGCATCCATCTTCCGCAGCTTCACCACACTCAACATCTTGAACCTACTATACATGCAAGCGGAACTGGTAAGCCTCGAGGACGAGCTGCGCCGGTACCGGCTGGACGACGCGAACGCGGACTCGGGCACGAACGGCGAGCACAAGAGCGCCAAGGATAGGCGGAAGTACGCCACAGACTGGGCGTTCCTGAGACGTTCAACGTCCGCGGAAGACTTGAGGGAGGCGCAAGCGGAAAGAGAGGCGCAGGGGTTGCAGGGGTCGCGAGCGAGCGCGCACTTGCTCCAGTGGCGTACTATGGAGGACATACGGGAGAGGTTGCGGAGATACAGTAAGTGAACAGGCGGAGACGAAGGAGGTCCCAGGCACGGTATCTATATAACTTGGAGTCACTTCTGTTATGTCGCTTTTGTGTCTTCACTTGATATGATGGCGAAAGTGCTGACACATACCTCCGGTTCTTCCCAACAGATGAAGCCATCGTCCAAACGATGAAAATCCTATCCGCCAGTGAACCAAGCCAGCACGACCTCCGAGACGTACAAGAATACCTACGATCTGAAGAGATGTTGGCCGGAGGAGGACTGACGGGCAAGGATCGCACCGTCTGGGGCTGCTTGGTGAAAAATTCCCAGTGTCAACCCTCCGAAGATCTCATCACCCTCCTCCCACGTCCTGAATCCGACCATCTGACCAAGTTCGTCATCAACAAAGTCGTCGCAAATCTGCAAAACAGGAGGAAACAGTGGCGGTGGTTACGAAAAATGGAAGGTGCCAACGGGATTGCGATGCTCGACGACAAAACAATATACCGGTGGACGTTCATGTTGACAAGTGGGCTTGCGTCGATGCTGCCCGTGGTTTCGATGGTGGCGCTTCAGCAGGTTGAGGCTACGAGTGTGCGTGGGCTCAGTTTGGGGCTCATCGCGCTTTTCAACTTCGTTCTTGCGGTGCTACTAACGTGGTTCACATCCGTCAGGCGGGTGGAGGTGTTTGCAGTCTCAGCGGCTTTTGCAGCAGTAAATGTTGTCTTCGTCACGAAGTCGTCGTGATTGTGAAAAGATCGAAAAAAGAAAAGGAGGGCGTCCAGTGCACATATCACTGTTGCTTGATACATGCGATAGTCCTTGTAGGAATAGTTTCGTTGATATATGGGTTTTAAATCATCATGAATCCAATGACCTCCAAAGCAAATCTACACCAGACCCCAACATGCGGCCATATGGCATATGCATTTATAGGCTATTTATGGCGGCCTATCAGAATCGCCCGCGCCGCCGGCGCTCTTGAATATCCTGCTCGGCATGGTCAACAGCGGCCGTCTCTCGCTGGCACAGGAAGGCCTTCTCGATGGTGGCATCTATTCGGACGTTAGCTCTTTTTTTTTTGGCAGTAGATATGAAATTCGCTGCTCGCCATCAGGAATATCGGGGAGCGTCCGACGCAGGCCCTTGCGGGAAAGTTTCAGAGGCCTGCGGACTCGACGGTCGAGACGGTGCGCGACGGTGAATTCACGGGTAATGAATAACTCGTGCGGGAAGGCCTCTACGCCCGGGCCGAGGACCCAGAAATCGACGTTTTCGGTATCTTTATTGACAGTATGGATGCGTTTATTCAGGCAGTGCTTGTCGGTGAAGGCGAGGTTGGCTGACATGCGTCCGGAGACAGACAGGGTCCATGTTTCATGGCCGATTTTGATGCGAACATTTCCAGCGGCTGCGTCGACAGCTCCTAGTTTTTCCAACGGTCGAGCAGCCCCGACTTTGAACAGCACAACGTTGCTGAGGTTGTTGTTGGAGTCGGGGTTGGGAGAGTCGATGACTTCTACATGCTCGTCTCTGCGGCAGAAGTGAGCAGTGGCCTCGGTGGATGTAATAGTCTCCGCGTTGTAGCCAATGCTAGCGATGCGGCGGGAGTCGTCCTTAAGCTTCAGGGTTATCAGCGATTTGATATGCTCAAGCCGTAGACCAACATTGATTTACCCCGGCTTTCTTGGCCAACAAATCCATAACCCTTGTCACAATCGCACCCTTGTGTTTGCCAGAAAGGCCCTTGCCTGACTTCTGGGAGTCAGGACCAGTCAGAGAAGATGCGGCGGGCATGGTAGGCGGGGATGGGGCGCTATCGTGTCGTTGAAGTGAAGGTGCTTGGTTGCGGGACTTGGCCTGGATGGAAGCAAGCATGATCAGCACTCAACAAGACTCAGGTAAGACGGATGCAGTCGGCGGCTCCAGGGGAGTTGGGCCAAATGGGAACTGGAGCACGTACGTCCAGTGTGTGTTGGCGAGCGAGGGCGGCGGCGCGCGGGCGATGACTGCTAAGGCTTGCCAAAGAAAGGACGAGCAAGAATGACAACGGTCCGGAAGCAACGCGTAGCGAGTGTGCAGTGTTGGCGGCACATTAGCGACGGCGGCGGGCGTGGTTGAAGGAGAGGATTCGGTGCGTGGTGTGGGAAGGAATAACCAGTAATGACACGGTGACGAGCGCGAGCTATTGCTGCGCCCCCAGCCTTACCCCACCGCCACCGTTTCCAACCAGCAACGCGCACACGCATATTCCGAAGCGCGTGCTGGCTCGAAGTAGTGCTAAGAGGCTTTCAGAGCTTGGGCGCTTCCATGGCGTCTTTCGTCAGGGACGTCATGGAATAATTGTTCCCCCTCCCCTCCCCCCTCTTTCTGCAGAGCGCCGTGCCTCGTGGGATCTGGTGTGCATAGAGGCTGAGTCCCAGGAGCTGAAGCGTTTAGCAGCAGCAGCCGCGCCGTGCCCATTGGCCAGCACGCGGCATAAAGCATAAAGCACTGCTCGAATGCTGTGAGGCGGGAAAGGTGTGGGCTCAGTAATTGCGCATGCAGCTGGCGGGGCTGACTCTGTGCGACGCATCATCCAACGCAGTAGTGCCTCTCTTCCGCTTCAACTTCATCAAGTGCTTCTCATCGAGGGAGCCTGCAACCCAAAGCGCACCGCACCTCCACCTTGTCCTCATCCGCTGCGACATGATGCTCGATAGCAGGCCACCTACAGCGTCCCACACCCCCAAACCCAAGCTCTTTTGGTCTTCGCACGGATCCAGATGAACAACGAGAGGAGAGATTGATAGGAAAAGCTTGGACCGACAGAAAGAAGGAAGGGCATCTTGATACAGATACAAACCACAGCGCTGCGCATGAGTGTGGGAGGCTTTTCGCACAACGAGGGTGAACGGGATATAAGCAGTCCTCGTATGGAAAATCCTACGCGACGCGCGGGCGAACACGCGTCTGCTGTCCATGCTGACGCTGACTGCCCAATTGTCAGGCTTCGGGTTATGCGTCTCTCAAATGTGCAATCGGGGGGTTGTGATGCGCCGGTCAACCTCTGTCCCCTGAACCGGAGCCGGGCGCCGCATGCAGGCTGTGATTCGGCATCATTCAGCTTTCGATGGCTTGCTGGTGCACAACCGATGAAGACAGCGGAGCATGGGACAGGAGGAGAGGTTTGAATTGAGGTGGTTGGCGAGGGAGCCACTCAGAGCTTGCGGAGGGGCTCCCAGACACGCTATTAGGTAGGCGTGTGTGCGCCATCTCGGCAAGCAAAAAGATCAGTCACTCGTACGCCCTTGCAGACTGTAGTCCAACCAACTGCTTTGGGAGCCAGCCACCCTGAGTTCCGGTACAGAGTTCCGTTACACCAACTCAACTCCCAATGTTTCACATCTCGCACGATCGAGACTGTCTAAAGCCACCAAGACAATTTTATCTGCGTTACCAAGCTAACTACCTACCAGAAACCTGAACGGGTGTAGTCTGCTCCGTTGGGCCGGACTACATCTCTCCAATGTCCGGGCCGGATCGAGCCGGAGCCAGCACCGATATTCCACCTAACCTACGAGACGCCAAAACGGAAAGGCGGCCCACCAGCTCCACAAAACAAATACGCAAAAGAAAGATAGCACGTACAACAGCCGGGATTCCCCAATGGTCACCCACTTGAGTACTAATCGGCCGGTTCGCAGCTTGAGTACGGCTGAGCGGACGGGAAGCCCTATATTCTGCGACCTATGGTCGTACGTGGCGGCTGAAGTTGCAGGAAAACTTTATGTAGCAAATAATAGTCTTGCTGAGCGCAACTTGACTGCCTCAGCGTTTCAGCCCCCACTGTTTTCAGCTTCTCCACAAAGTCCATCACTCCGCAGTCTTCGTTGCGAGCGCCTTTGAAACCTTGTCGTGTCTATCCCCGATATCCTTACGGCCGGCGCGTCCCTGTTTTGGTTTATTCGTAATCGTTTTTGCATCGTTCAGCTCCGGCTGGCTGTTCATTCTCGGTGTTACAGCGAGGCTGAGGTGAGTGAGCCCCAAACAGGCCATCGCGCCGCAACACTGACGCGGTTCAGCAGCTGCGCCATCAGCCATGGGAGACATACCGGCCTATGAATATACACCTCTGGCAACGGGAAGCCAGATACGCTTGCTCAAATTGCTCCCTGGTGCCCACTTCGCTGATATCGAGGTGCAAATATTTACGTCGGATCTACACTCATCAGAATGCGAGGCAGCAACGCAGAACACGCCCAACGATGAGACCGAGAGACTGGACCCAGCCAGAAACGAGTCGACGGACAAGTCAAAACCACCAGAATCACCCAACAGGATACAGAGCGAGGGAGATGAGAACAAGAACACTGCTGGAGAGGTTTTGGGAGATGAGTCGACAGATGGAGACACCCACAATGTCAAGTCAGCGGGTCCGGACACCTCCGAGCCCAGGCCCGTGAAGTCCAAGGGCCCTATGCATGAGTATGACGCTCTATCATACACTTGGGGCACAAAGACCAACAAAACCGCCATCCTCGTCAAAGGGGATGAGGCCGACGACACAAAATCTTTCCTGGTTACCCGGAACCTCGCTATTGCGCTTCGGTATTTGCGACACACGGAAAACGCTAAAATCCTCTGGATCGATGCTCTGTGTATCAACCAAACAGACGACGAAGAGAAGTCCCGCCAAGTGTCCATGATGACCCAGATCTACAGGAATGCAACCCAGGTCAAGGTTTGGTTGGGACCGGCGGCTGACGACAGCGACATGGCTATGAAGCAACTGAAGACCAAGAACAGCACCATAGACTCAATAACCGCGGAAAACCGTCAGCTCCGCCGGGCTCTCGAAAGCCTTGCTCGACGTGAATACTGGACACGAGTGTGGGTTGTGCAGGAAATATTTGTCGGATCCGAGGTTAAGATCATCTGTGGCACCTCCGAGGCCGACTGGAACTCTGCAGTAGAAGCATTCGACTCACTCCTGGACGCACGCAAGGAGCTACTCGAGCCATACGTGCCACTTCCGCCACCACGCATTCTTGATCCAAGCAGGGTAAATTTGTCAGATAAGACGTTGCGCTTGGATACCCGCCCCTTGACGACGATCAGCACTCTTGACTTCAACCGATGGTCATCTATAGACAGGAGAGGACCGGATTGGTTGCTCGAAATGTTGCTAAACCTTCGTCATCTCGGGGCCACGGATCCAAGGGACAAGATTTTCAGTATGCTCGGTCTTCTACCGCCACAAGCCGTCCTCAGCGGCAAAGGATACCATCTCCGCGTGGATTATGGACAAAGCTTCCTAGACGTGTCAATACAATTCCTCAAGTATTGCATCTTTGCTCCACGTCAAAAAATCGAATATCATTGGTTTCGTCGGTTACGGCAAATGGGAACATTGAACGTCATTTGCGCAAGCCAACCGGATGGTGACCCGACGTTTCCGACCTGGCTCCCTGATTTCTCCAGAGACAATGGAATGTATCGTTGGCCCCGCCTCGAGGATCTAGGTGGATTCTTGCCAGCCAACCCCGAAATCTCCCTTGACAGCCGCATACTTTCTGTTCGTGCTGTCAAAATCGCAGACGTCGTGGCAGCAACCGGCAGCAAGGATGATTGCCTGGCAACCGACGACCTGAGCCTCCTTGCTCGCTTGCAGCAATCCATCGAGCAGTTTTCAAATTATTTTTCGTTTAAGCAGTCGAGACAGTTTTGGTTTACTCTCGTTCTCGGCGATTACCAGGGAAAATTGCTCTGCGAGTATATTTCCCATACCACTGACAGCTTCGAGCAAGCGCTGAATACAATCGTGTCCAACGTACTTTCCGAGGACGGGAGTTCCACCTCGGACGAATGGTTTACGTCTTCCCGCACATTTCTAGATGCTTTCAGACGGCTAGCGTATCGCAGGCGCTTCGCAATCTTGAAAATGCCAACGGACCTGCAACCGAAATGGGGGGCAACAAGCCAATTGGAAGGCTCTAATGGAGTTCTGGCGATGGTCCCCCAGGATGGAAGAGTAGGCGACGAACTATACCGGCTCGGAGACTGCGACTATCTGGTTCTCTTACGACGTGTGGCCAACCAAGTCCCTTGTTTCAACTTTGTTGGACCGTGCTATATTAAGGCGCCACCATTATCCTGGATAGGTGATGTTCCGGATGGTAGCGAGGAATATATCGCAATTTACTAGAGAAATTGGAGCAACTAAAGGTTTCAATATCGAGCAACAGACGACTTCTGAGCTCTCGTGGAGCCCAAAGCACCGCCCGAGAAAGATGATCAAGCTGAGCAGAGAGACACTCTCGTTCGACATTTGTTGAGGGCAGAATAGAACCCGATCGGCTTGGCGAGATGACTTTAATCCCTCATAGTCATTGGATTTGATAAATCTTAGTCTTGGTCACCACCTTCATTGATACCAGTCCCTTCCGATCTTTGTCGCGATCCTGTATATCCATTCACCATGACCACCAGCCCAAGGCACGGCAAGCAATCCATCACCACCTGCTGCTACAGCTTACAAGCCGATCTCCACCGCGGGGCCCCCATACATCTCCTCAATGACCCCACGATGCCCCTCCCCGCTCGCCCTCCTCACCACCGTCCCCTTCGGCGCCCTCACCAAGCTCCCCGGCCGCACGACCCTCACCATCTCCCTCGCGACCCTCGCCCACTCCTCCGCCACGCCCTCGTTCGCCCTCCTCACCGCCGGCCACGCCACCTCCTCCACGAACCGCTCCTCCGCCTCCGCCCCCGTCCCCAGCTCCGCGACCGGCTCCACCAGCACACCCGGCCGCGCCCTCCCGTTCCCGACGACCATGCAGTGCGCGACTGCACCACCGCCACTTCTCCCTCCTCCTCCTTCTGTCCCTCCTGTCCCTGCCCCTCCTGCCCCTCCTCCCCCCTCCGACCCGCCCTCACCATTATCAGCATCACCACCACCATCACCAGCAGCCGACGCCCTCACGACCGCCGCCTCCCACGCGCCCGGAAAGAAGCGGCGGCCGCACGCGAGGGTGACGGCGTCGTCGACGCGGCCGAGGAAGCGCCACAGGCCGGCGCGGGCTTTCGCGGGGAGCGGGTGCGGGGTGAAGAGGTCGCGGGAGCGCCATGCTGCCGTCGGGGTGGCAGCACCGGACGAGGACGAGGATGATGGATCAGCAGGAGGGTGAGGGGCATCAGGGGGAGAAGGGAAGAGCCATGCGTTGCCGCGGTGGGCGAGGACGGCGGGGTCGGTGGTTGGGGGGAAGGTTAGTTCGTGGGGGGTGGTGCATGTGCGTGACGGTGAGGTTTGGTTTTGGTTTTGGTCCGCGGGGGAGGACGGAGAAGTGCAGGGGTCGAGGACGGCGCCGATGCAGGGGTCGAATTTCATGTAGGGCCAGTCGTCGGGGTGGGGCGGGAGGGTGGGGATGAGGCCGGTTTCGGTGGAGCCGACTTGAAGGAGGGAGGGGTGTCAGCTTGTGGGGGTTTTTTCTTTTTTTTCTTAGGGGGGACGATTGAAAGGGTACGAGGCATGGGGTGGGACATACAAAACGTCTTGATGACTGTATGCTTGCTCAAGTCATCCCCCACCCACGGCGGCAGCGGCGCGCCGGCAAACGAGATGAATTGCATCTCGCGCAGCTTCTCGGGCCCGCCAGGGCTCACGCGCATGACCTGCTCAATCGTCAAGGTGCTGGAGAACATCAGGTCGATCTTCTTGCGGTGCATGATGGCCACGAGCGTCTCGCCGAGAGCAAGGGTAGGCGGCGGAATGACGATAGTAGCCTCGAAGTAGACGGGGATGGTCATCATGGTGTAGACGCCGCCGAGGTGGAAGGGCGGGAAGGGCCCGAGGAAGGTGCGCCGCGCGAACCAGGCGAATGAGCCGTCTTTGTAGCCGGGCGTGGGCGGCACGGGTTCTTTGACTGTGCTGAAGAAGCCGAAGTTCATCGTCATGGGCTTGGGGAGGCCTGTCGTGCCCGAGGTGTGGATCACCACGACCGGATCCCACTTTGCTTCTTCAAACGTCTTCTCGTATGGATACGGCTTGGTCGAATCGGCCATCAAGCACTCCTCCAGAGACGCGATTTGGACGACCTCGACCGCGCGGGGAGCTGCTGTGCTCGACAGCGTCTTTGCAACCTGCTCCATTGGCGGGGCGTAGAAGATCCTCTGACATGTCGTGGATTCTATGATGGACTTGCTGGCTTCGAAGCTGTTCAAGGGAGAAATGAAGAGTGTCTAGAGTGCGGCATCAGCGACTGATCCCAACGTTGTAGGCTCCGAAGAATCAAACGTACCTTGAACCCGCACTTGATGGCCGCGTAAAAGAAAATCGCGTAGCGCAAGTCTGATGATCCGACATATGCAACAGTGCCGAAGTCTTCACTTCTACCCCATCCGTTGTGAAGCCACCAAGCAAGAACATCTATGGCCCGAAGAAGCTCACCGACTGTGACGTTGCGGAAGCCATCCGACAGATCTGCTGAGAGAGCGTAAGAGGCATAGATTCTGTCCGGTTCCTCTTTTGCCTGTTTTTGTAAAGCCTCCAGCAAGGTCAACATCTTGTTCGGTCGTGCGATGGTAGAGAGCCTCTATCGCTCCGATAGAAAGCTCGAGAGTGCGTTGCTCTGTTCTTAAGTAGTGACTATCGATCCATAGAGATACGACATGACCAACCTCGTTGTATACAGGCATGGAATCCTGCTGCTAGTGCTTAGGTCATATCGGCCCGTGTGAGTGACCTGGTCAGCGCAAATAGCCGCCATCGTCCCCGGCAAAGCCACAACTTACAGTTGGAGAACCCCGCCTCTCGCAGGCATGTTTGTTGCAGACAGTGAAGGAAACATACTCGCAGTCAAAGGAGCCTTGCTCTAGAAAGCTTATGGAGAAATAAATGAATAACGAATGCAGGGAGGAATACTGAAAGTCAGCGGCAGTTGTGTCTATTTTAAGAAAGGAAACCATAAGCGACTTCTGCAGATCATTACCCGTATAGATAGTTTCCGCGCGGGGCTTAGGGTAACCATGCAAGGGTACGGGAAGAAAGGAGTATCAAGGTGTGTTAAAGGAAGAAAGATGTTGTCTTATCATTTTCTATCGCTTTAACCTTACTCTACGCTCTTGACGTAGCTGTAAAATTTGAAAAGCGAAATTTTGAAAAGAGCACTGACCAGCGGCCTTTCTCCTGGCGGACATGAAGGAAGTCCTGTCGAAGGACCCATGCAGTATCGCTTCAGCAACAGGGCATTCGGCATCGATATTGGCCACGCTTGGGTACTGCTCGACCATATCACAGCTGCAATCAGCACGGCTGAGCACTGTTATGATGTCACTTGCGCTTTGAATACCGAAGCGTCGTGCTGCACAGGTCTGCACAGTGTGCCGTAACAGCCAGCGCTTAGTCGCCAAGCTTGGCGATCAGGAAGCAAGAAGTGAGGCTGAAGGGCTACCCAGCCACTGTTCCAGAGTCTCTCCGCCAAGGGTAACGTCCAGGATGTTCGTACATAGCCTACCATGATGCAGCTCAGATGAAAGATCGGCCAGTGGCGCGCGTGGCGTGGTACCATCCCACGGCCGCATCAGGATGCCGCAAGCGACGAAAGAGGCATATTTTCTGGAGGGCGCGCTCGGCACCGTGCGCCGTTGGCTGCAAGGATGCCACTCTCGCTTGGCAGGCCTGCAAAACGCGGATCTGCCAGCCGATTGAACCGCCAATTTTGCTTTTTCTTCCCCGCCGACGCCCAACGCACGTCGTACTATTACAGACCGGCGAGGGAGTAGTGTCACGTGTGGTCAGATGGGTACTAAACGTTAGCGCGCTCCACCTGGACAAGGTTGAAAACCAGGCTTTGTCAAATGAGATAGCCAATGAACTATCTCGAATACCCTGGAAGCGATGATTTACGTTAGCACGACGCTAATGTTTGCATCCTCTCTGTCGGAGGCATGAGTAATGTAGGACCGAACAGATGGCGGTACGGCGGAGGTGAGCAGATGCCGATGGCTGCTACAAAAATGATATCCCCGATCTATCGCAACTCGACCAAATCAGTACTCGTAGCAGTTCTGCGAGACGTGCTGCTTTATGAGTGTTTTAAGACGTGCGAGCGCGCGCTGTCACACTTCTTAAGCAAACCGTGTATGCTCGACACATCGGTCAACGACCTATAACTCACTTTTCGCATACCATCTGGCTTCCCCCTCGCTATCTCGTCCCTTCACCCTTCGGTACACGATCTCTTGACGACCTGTCGGATATACCGAACGATGCAACGCATTCTGAGACGCTCACTCCCATCGGTAAGTCACGACTGCGCAAGCACACACATCCGGGCCATCCAGTTATTGAGTAACCGATAAAGAAAGCTTCGAGCGGCACATTCGAATCGTTCAAATGCCTGCAGACGGCAACGAGGGGCTTTCCAAGCCCGTCCTCGCCCTCTTCGCCGCCGACAACGCGGCAAACATCATTAGCGGCTCTCTTGTTCGCAACGACTCGCTCGGCCCCGTGCAATGGTACCCCACGATTCGACAGATTGTCGCCCGTACATCCAATGGAGAGGCGCGGCCGCTGGAGATAGTTGGCGAGCTCAACGCTCGTTGGTATGGCATGAACAAGGATTTCAAGGATCAGCAAATCTTCTTCTCTCCAATGCTTTACTGCACTCGCTTCTTGATAGCATCGAATGAGTTGACAGCACATTGCGATGTTATCTTTGATCTGAAGACAGTGCATGATCTCGATTTGCTCAGCCGACGGGTCTAAGGGTCTTGGGCTGAATCCAGCAAGTTCTGGAGATGGTATGCTGTCTGGAATATACCCTCGGTCAACCGTATCTTTCTCGCCTCCGATCCATGATTGGCTTTTGCAGTACTTTTTGCGCCGACGTGTTGTTGTTGTTGTTTGTGATGGGTGGCCACGACTTTTCCCGGGCTTGAACGCCAGGCAAGATAACTTGGTTATCTCGAGTCAGTCCACGAAATAAGTTATGCTGGGACTCCCCTAGACTTGGAGCCCTATTTCCCCGAGAATTGGCGATGGATGCCTGTGGTGGTAAGTGCAAAGGACTGCAGGTAGAGATAAGAAAGAGGAGAAGAGGGGCCCGAGCAAGGCTGAGGCGTTGCGGTGCGTTGGTATGGTGAACGGGCTAGCGGCGGGCGGTACGAGAGGAGGCGCGGGGGCCTGAGCAAGGCTGAGACGTTGCGGCGCGTTGCGGTGCGTTAGGTGATGGATAGGTCGGGGGTGAGAGGGAGCGCCGGGGCCTCATGAACGTCCCAGCCACTCCACAGCGCCTGGAGACTGGGAAAGGATGGATGAGATGACAACACGGTGGGTCCAGGAGAAACCCCCAGTGATGAGGAAAGTGTAGCAGTAATCAGGACCGGGCGGAGCGCCGGCAATATGCGGCCAGCTGGCAGCGGGGCGGGCAGCTTGGGCAGCGGCAGCGGTGGTGGAATGCAAGAGCAGAAAGCACGTCGGTTGAACAGCCCGCGCCCGCTGGAGCGGCAAGGTTTGACGGGCGCTGGCGGCACGGGGTGGTGCACGGGGACGTGCTTGCTGACGGGCGCAGTTTCAAATGGCCGCTTTTTCTCCCCCCCCCTGCCATGAGCGATCGACGGCCGGGCGGTTTTACTACGGTATGCTTCCAATTCCCAGCGAAGCTGGAGTGGATAGTGGGCGCGGCGATGCGGCGGAGAGGCCGGGGATCGGATCGGACCCAAGGCGGCTCGTGGTAGTAACGAAGAAAGGCGGGCGTCCGAAGGAGGGGTCACTCCACGCCGCTCTTGACCTACATGGAGTATGAAGATTCTCTTGGCAGCAGATACAGGATGGCCAATGCGGCCGTTGCCTGAAACACGGCAACAGTGGTCTCGAAAGCGGCAACGTGTTTGCTGAATTCTCGTTTATACTTCGCCCGGCATCGCAGCTGTTGTGGGCGCGACTGCTAGAAGTGCAAAGGTAGAGCTGGAAAGAGACAAGACGGTTGGCGCATGGGAGGGCGCGGGGCGGATTGGTGAGCGGAGAGGCGGATAAGAAAGCGGTTGGTTCGGGACGGGAGCTAAGCTAAGCCGCGACAGACAACGGCCGATTACTAAGTGCCGGGCGCGCACCGCGCATTTCTTGTCGATCTGCGTCTGCTTCACACCGCCGGCGCCCATCGCGCCCACCGCGCCCACCCGGTCACGCCGACTCGAGGTGGGGTCAGCCACGGCTGCCTGCCCACGCCAGCCCACTTTTCATTGGCCCGTCTGCCAGCCCAGATGATACGACCAGGCACAGTACTAGCTGCGCCACGCTGCGTGGCGCTAACGTCTTTCACCGGGTTATGGGACAGCCAACAAGAGAGCCGGATTGGGTCGCTTAATATGGACATCCGGAGAAATGCCACGATTTATATCAAAGAGTGGAGTGCGCGCCGCTCGAGGGCAACGAGAGTGCGCGCACCATGGCAACAAGAGTACGTGTCGATCGAGCGGAAGCCTTCTAGAAAAACCCTCGAAACGTGCTCACCGCAGAGACTTTCGGCTCCGCACTTTTAAACCTGCAGTGTACACATGCTTAAGCTGGCATGTGTATACCCGTGCGTGCGCTGAGACTAGCCGTCTCTGATCGGAGCCCTCTTCTCTGCTGCTACACAGTGTCCGTAACTTCAGTCCTTTCCCGCAGAGCTGCCCGGAATAGGCGAGCACGTCGATCTGGGGCACGCAATGGGCAAGGGCCAATCCGACGTTTCAAGCAGTGCGAACGACGCGCGCGCCAGGGGGAGCGGCCGATACGTCCAAAAGTCCAGGACAGGTTAGCGCGCTGCCAGCACGCTGTCGGCCGCCAGGCACAAGCTTCTGATTACCAGCTGCAAATTTAAACCCCCCTCCCCGCCGCATGTGCGTCCGCTGCAGCGGGCCGCCGCCTGGATTGTTTAAAACGCCGCTCCCGTGAGGCCAATGCCGCACATCCAGTCCTTTAAAGAACCTTTTTAAGTTGCCGCCACCTCCCACACGCCGCCGCCGCCGTAGCTTCCACATTAAGCGACCACCTTCCTAACGCCAGCACCGAATTGGCCCTTGCTGGGACCGCCCTGCGAGCGTCCGCAACCTTGACGATTGATTTTCCCCCGTCGCTTGTCTCGATCTTTCCCACCCGCTCGTCCCGCCATCTGCTGCTTTCCGGCAGCGTCGCCCGGCCATGGCCGCGGGGCACAACCATGTCCCACCGCTCGCCATCTCGCTACTTCCGCCACCGCCGCCACCGCCGCCATCACTATTACACGGCCAACAATCCACCGCGTCCGCCGCCCTGCCGCATCAAGCTCCACCTACTACCTCGACGCTGCCAACACCTGCTGCGCTACCACATTCGCCCGAGTCGCCAGATTTATCCGTCTCGCCGTCTGCTTCTTCGTTGGCGTCGTTAGCCTCGAGCAATGTCACAAAGCCTCTCTCCACCGATGAGGAAGTGCATCACCGATGCGACTTCGGTTACCCGTCACAGCTTGAACCGCGTCATGCTGATGGCACACACAACCCATCTTCACACGACATGGGCATATTTCTCGAAGAGGAGCGGCTCGGGCCAGACTTGTCCAGGCTGGGCGATTTCCCAGATGCCTCGCTCCCGAGTCCGGAATGGCCTTCCGATCATACTCCTCTTCTCCAGGAACCTGGGCCGGGACTTCCCGAGGATTTCAGACGGTCCATAAAGATCATCAAGTCGAGCGGCGGTCACGAAACGACCCATGTGGCCCAGTTGCTCGTCGATACTGGCAGCGAAGAGAACCTGATTGCTCGCGCTCTCGTGGACCATCTACGCCTCAAGTCTTGCCGCATCAAGGCCCCCTTCGGAACACGGCTGTTCGCCAAGCTGTTTTTCTGGACCCGGTCCGCAAAGGACCTGAAGGCGGAGAAACTTCGAGCTGTGGATGGAGCCGTGGTGCGCGGACAGGATTCCAAAGTAACGATCCGATGGTCTGGCGACAACAATCCAAGCATTCGGAACCCGGTGATAACCTTCCGTCCAACCACCTTCACCACCACGCACTTGGTAGTGGACAATTGCGTAGCCGATGTAGTCCTTTCCTGGAACGAAGCTCGTAACCAAGGCCTTCGCACGCCTTACGCCGGGGCGTCGGGTTATTATCCAAAACCTCCCACGGCAGAGAAGAGCAAGTCATCCCATGTTAGATGTATACCTTTTACAAGCACTGACGACTCGTGCAAGGCCCCAAGGTCTGGGATGACTACGCTGCGAGAAAGGCCCAAAAAGACGCAGATCGAAGACAGGGGCGCGGGCACGCTACTGATCAATCGTCTGACAAGTCGGGTCCTTCGAGCACTCAACCACAGTAATGCTGTTGGTTGCTGCGATAACCAAGCTTTTGCATCTTTTTTTGGTGTTTTCAAAAGCGAGTTGGTCTTTTTTTTCTTGATGTCCGGCTGAGGTTGCTCAGTGACTGGTTTCCTCTTCTTTTATTTCCCTTCTTATTAGATACCTTGCGCTTTGGGATGGGTTGCGCAACGTAATGGTTGCGGGATATTGCTGAGATATGCATCGATTGTACATATAGTATGGCGTTATTGGATGGCACGACGAGCGCGCTAGTAAGCTTTAATCTTTGTACGGCTGAAAGCGCTTGGGGAGGTTCGACGTTTCCCTAATCTAGTCTATGGGTAGAATTCTGGGAGTGCATGTAGCCCTCTTCCTTTTTCGCATAGCAGATTCGCCGTCTTTGGGTGATCGTCGGGGCGTACGTGTAACTCTCTCTTTCGCATAGCAAACTCGCCGACTTTGCGCGAGTAAAAAGGAAATTCTGGCACTGTTTCTGCTTGTTCGTCGTTCCAGGCATGCTTGGGCTGGGTGGGATGGACGCAGGGCGTGTGGCAATGAACTGAGAACAAAAAGCATGTGCATAAACCTCTCTTATATTATATATACGCCCTTGATGTGGCAAAAGGTGGCGATGACGAATATGGAACATTAATAGTGGCAAATGCATTAGTGCATGTACGAAAACTCGTCGCCACCACTCCAAGGGCAAGAGAGCCCCCGCATCAAACATTCGATGGCTAACGTATAACTTCCGTGAATCCCGAGCCTTCCCCAACCCTTTACAGTCAGATGCAGGAACCTTACAGCATTGATGATTGCAAAGATATTCTTACCACGGTTTCTGAGTATTGCTTCTCGGATGCACTGCACCATGGCAGAGCCCCACCGTCCCGCAATGTGAATCGCCGTAATTTCACAACTCCAAGACTCCAGAGGCCGAGAGCAAACCGACTGATTCGATGTCACGGATCGACCAGACCGTACTCGATAGCTCGTCTTCGGCTCAAGACAACCTCGAAGGGCAAATCTTCTGCCGAAGCCACCATGAAGTGTGTCCGATGAAGGGTTTTAGACCGCTCCATTCCCCAGTGTAGGATGACGTGACCCTTGATGTCCAGCGGCTGGCCCCTGAAGCTGATTGCTGCCTTCTCTTTCTCCGACTGTTGTATTTCTAAGCCCAGCAGATCTGTGGCTACCCTGGCAGACACGACGTCTTGGTTTTGATTGTCCTGGGGCGTCCACAGCATGGCTATTCGCGATAGTGATTTGCCCGATTCCGACCGCAGATGGATGGAGATGGGCGCAACGGGCTCTTCATCCGGCTTAAACTGCAAGACTTGGGGTCAGCGACGACGGCTCGTCGCAAGCGAGCACAATCTGGACCTACTTTCCGCTGCTTTCGGTGGCGTGCGAGAGGAAGACACGAGAACATTGGGCTTGATTTTAGTGCGAAAAGGAGTAGCCAGCTGAGCGTCGGATGCGCTTCAACCATGCGCACTGATACCAGCAAGAGAAGCTGTTACAGGCTCACCGACGAAGGGGGCCGTCAGTGATCTTAAGGCTTCAGATGCATGCAGGTGCCCAGCAAGGATGGCGCGGCCGATCCTTCTCATTGGCGCAGCTGCGCCCCACGGAGACACAGACTCCAGCCAATCGCGACCACCTTTTGCTGCGCGACTGCAAGAGCTTTGTGTCTAATTACCGCGCTTCCACCCGTGCTCCCGGATCCGCTAACGGGGCCCATCACCATGCTGCCACCACATTGGTTCCCTTCACATATTGTACGTACCTACATCAACCTGATGCTGGACCAGCACACGGCCAGTCCGCAACCAAGCTCTGTGTCCGTGAGCTCTGTGATGGACGCGAGCAGTACGTCGGCTGGAGTTGAGCTCGTAATGGAGCCTAAAAAGACGCCTGCAAGGCAGCTGCTTCACACACGCCTCTTCCCCGAAGTACTGTGTACTCTACAGCCTCGGGTTCAGGCTCTGCATTGTTCTCGGCTCGCACCCTTGTCTGACGACCCCTTGCTCGCTTTTCGGGCTGGACCGCTGGACCCTTCGCCACCACATGATAAAGCAATGTTGCCGAAGCTTGTCCCACGACAGCGTGTTACACTCCGAAGTCACTTAAGAGTCGGCATTCGTAGCGTCGAGCCTGCGACAAGCCTGTTTCAACCCCATCTTTCGTCGCTCACACACACATTGCTTTCTACACGACTGGTGCCCATTACCCCGAGCAAAAGGACCGCCAACGAAGTCCCCACCCTGCACGACTCGCCTGCGACGTGGTCATCCCAGGTGGGGGTTCCGGGCGCAACCGCGAATATCTGTCAACCATCTTTGCTCGGAATGCACCCAAACCCTTCTTTGCCCCTCGTTGGTCTTGTACACGTGTCGTGCGTCGCGTGTCAGCCTTGAGTGCCCCATGTCCGCATCCCCCACGCCTCCAACTCTTCGAGTCCGCCACAAAACATATATTCGTTCGCCTATACTACAAAGGACTCTCTCCGAAAGCGTACAGCATCTCGCATTGGATCATGACTTATAAGATTTGGCTGTGCAGGCCGCAGAAAGCTGCCCGCTTAATGAGGCTCACGGGTGGCTGCATGCTGCGGGGTGACGAGTTTGCCTTGCACTGTCCGCTATCTGCCTAGTTTTGATGCGGTGTGCTACACCGTCAAGGCTGTGAGCCTCGAAGCCATATTTATTTCCGGGACAATGCCTGCTTCGCCATCGGCTATGACTTCACTCCCAACCTCCATCTCCTCTGAGCCTCAATGCCACACCGGTTCATGAGTCAGTCTTCTGCGGTTTCGTCTCAACCCGTTTCCAACCCGCCGGATGGACCGGCTTCACAGCCTGATCAACACCAGGCTGCTGACCGGCATCAACAGCCAGCTATTGAATCGCCAGCGGGCGGCACGCGCAAACAAAATCATCTACCTCCTGGCTACCCGGCATTAGCGGCACGCATGGGCTTGTTCCCAGAAAAAGCCATCTTCAGGCGGTTTGGATTCCTGAACAAACTCAACATCCTGTACCTGCAGGCCGAGTTGATGGAAATCGAAGACCAGCTCAAATGCTTGCAGGGGACCGACAGCCTGAAAGATGGAGACGAGAAATTCTATGCCACGGATTGGTATTGTCTCAACCAGGGCGACAACGAACAGCTGAAATTGATGCTTCACGCTCGAGACAAATTGGACAAATACAGTGCGTTTTCTTTCGCTCGCCTCATCCGCGAAACAGATCCCTGACTCCCACAGATACGGCCATCATACAACAGTCGTACATCCTTTCCATGAAAACGCCTGGCAAATCCGATCTGGACTATATCCAAAAATTCCTTGCGTCCGAGGACATGGGTCCATGCGCTCTGGATGGGCTGGATTCCGAGGTCTGGGGGACCATCAAGGATCCCAAAGGCTACGAACCAGACATCATCACCCTCGCACCTCGAACCGAAGAGGACATGTTCTCCAATCTCCTCGCAGAAAAGGGCATGTCTGCCTGGTTCAAGTACGGCTTGGACCGATTCCGCAAACCGTCCCCGGTCCACGGTCAGGTGGCATACGAGGAGAGCGCGCTCCTTCGCCTCACCTATCTTTTCGCCACGGCACTGGCATCTCTTCTTCCCATCGCATCTATCGTTGTTCTGTGTTACGTTCGTTCGATGGAAGCGCGGCTGGGCTTCATTGCGCTTTTCAACGTCTTGACGTCTTTCTGTCTTGCTTTCTTCACGACAGCAAAGCGGACCGACATTTTCGCTGTTGCGGCAGCTTTCTCGGCGGTTCAGGTCGTCTTTGTTCAAGGCGACGGCGGTGGCTCCAGCATGAGGGGGTGAGCCTTTCCGTTTTCTCCGCTTTACGGAGCAGGATATGAAAGACCTATCCCTTTTGTTTCTCCGTTGCTTTGCGTCTCCGTCTTGTTGTTCGTCCCGGAAACTCACTTGGCCACATACAAGATGAATTTACACCGTGAAACTGGTAAAGCTCCGTTCTCGGGAGCTGGGCATCACTATATGGTTATGGCGGGGAGAACCTCGACGTCATGGCCCATAAGCTTTCTTATTCCACCCTGCACTGTTTCTTTTGTTTTAGAGTGGTGTAAACAGTCCTCTCGGGCTCATTCTCACGTAGCTCTGATGTCGATGGAGCTGTGCGCCACAGGCCCTTCGGTGCCCATTGAAGATAGAAGCTTACGCTGGCCGATTGCATGGCTCACTTCCCATCTCGTAACCTTCCGCAACATCTACTAGTCTCCGCCGCCAGGATACTGTTGGCTTACTCAAAAGTCCATGGGCAATCGAATTGTCCCTCGCCCGAGTCAAATATCCATGCTTCACACCACTTCTGCACGAGATCATCAACCCAAATTGTGAGCAAAAAGTATTCACCTGGCAGCGACTGGAAAACTGTAGGTTTTCTGGGGAGGTGTTAAAGCATGACGTTCTTATGGTAAATGAAAGCAGAGAGCTTTGACTTCGAGCTACGATCAACGTATTCTCATGATATCGACGGCTGTGATCCGCATGTATTCTGCGATCGACTTCCATTCTTTTCCCCTCAACTACAAACATGATCAGCATCACCCACGGTGGAACCAAATCAGTCACACTGATCACAACTCTACCCCAAAACCAACTCGACACACTCCCTCTCCCGACTCTCCCATACCTCCCTCCTCACCTCCCCAACACCCTTCCGATACGCCACGCCATCGACCCACTCCACCCAAAGCACGTTATACCACTGCGGCCGCTCCTCGCCCAGCGGCTCTGCCCACCGGCAACCACGGCCGGCCCCCCGCCTATACAACATCGACACGGCCACGAGCTTGACACGCACAGGCCGGCTCTCTTCATCCCCAAAAATCACCTGCGTATCCATGTGCTCGAGCAGCGATTGGTCGTGGACCCACAGGAAGCCGTGACATTGATCCTCCCCGTCCGCGCACACAAGCTCCGGGTCGACCAAGCCGTAGTCCTTCCTCCCGTCGGACTCCGACAGGAAGTCCAGCTCGAAGTATGAGCGCTGCGTGGAGCAGCACAGATAACGGCCTTCGAGGGCCTTCTGTGCTTCCGCAGCTCCACTGTTGTCGCTGTTGTGGCGGCCGTCGCCGCTGTCGTCATCGCTCCGCGTGGTGCTGCCCAGTGGGATGGGTTAGTTGAATTTGATCGAGTCGATCGAGTCGTGCGTGTAGAAGCAGCGAGGCGGGAACTTGCTGTCCTTCCTGCTTATCGTGGCCGCTCTGTTCTCAAAATCCGGATCGAGAGTGTACGCGTTGAATCTCGAGCACCGGTGCTCCGCAGAATCGAGGTCGATCGGCCAACGAGTCCAGCCCGCGGGCAGAGGCTCCCTGTCCCCATTCGCTCCCGCATACCGCATCTTGTAGGAAAACCACGAGTTCTGGTGGCCGACATCTAGCGGCGCAGATGTTTTCGTGTGGCGGGTCGACCACCGCACCAGGGGGAAGACTCGTTTGATGTAGTCCACCGAGTAAAACCAAGTGTCGCGATTCCACAGGACGAAGTCCTCGTTTCTCCAGACCGAAGCGAAATGCAGTCCGCCCTTCCAGGCAACCCACGACCACGTCGGCGGATTCCTCGTAACAAGTCGTCCACACGTCCGGCCGGGATCCCAGCGTCGGCGAAGTCCAGGCTGCGGTTGTTGTTCGTCCCCAGCGCCATCCCCTCCTCCTCTCCAAAGCATACACACGTCCAAAAACACGACCGGGACGCCCCAAAGAAACCCCCCCAAAAAAGCCAGGCGCAAGCGCCGTCGCAACCCCCGCAAAAGCATCCATCGCATCCTCGCTCCGACTAACCTCCCGCTCGCAATACGCGCGCACCATCCCCTTAAACAGCTCCACATCCGGAAACAACAACCACCAGCTCGTCGTCGACGCATCATCCCTCCGGCCCGCCCGTACCAACGTCGCCGCCTGCCAAATCCGCACCCCCCGGACGTCGTCGTCCCCGTCATAACACGCCCGCGACTCCGCCGTGGGCGGCCCGCAAGTGACATGATGCCGGAGCTCCTCCCAAAAACACGCCTCCCCGCACTCCCACCGCACCCGCGACTGCCCGAGGAAAACGAGCCGCCGCCGCGAAAAGACGTATTCCTGGAACGTCCACCCCCGCGCGTTCCACCGCGTCTGGCCGAGCCCGCCATCCGCGGCGCCGCCGCCGCCGCTGCTGCCAGGCCAGTTCAGTTGCGTGCCGTCGTCGGGCCAGAAGTCGAAGACGCAGGGGTTGTTGCGCGGCCGCTGTTCCGACGACACCGTGCCTAGGAGCCCGTCCATCAGGCCGGAGTTAGCATCCGCGCCCCCGGCCGCGACGATGGTGGCGGTTGCGTGCGCGTACACGGCGGTCATGTTGGCGATGAGGTGTTTGCGCACGCGGGCGGTCTCGGCCTCGTCGCGCTCGTCGTTGTCGTCGCCCTCGTCGTCGTCGTCGTCGTCCTGTTGCTGCACGATGCACAGCGCGTCGACCCAGAGGTACCGCTCCCCGAGGAGCAGCGCGACGACGCGCATGGCGTCGCTGACCGTCCGGGGCAGCCGCTCGTTGTGGCGTGGGCCGTGGAGCATCGACGTCGACAACGCGCCCGGCTCGCACAGCTCCCGCACGTTCCGCGCCGTCGTCTTCAACGCGTCGTCGGCGTGCTGCCCCCCCAGACGTAGCTGAGCGCGACGTACCGGCGCGGGCCCCCAGCTGTCCCCGCCGGCACCAGGCAGTGCCGCTCGCAATCGACGAGCCACGGCAGGCGCGGGGGCGCGCGAGGCCGAAACCACCACCACCATGGCCGCCCGCGGAGCCGCTGCACATCCCGCCATTAACGTGCTCCCGCTCGCACGTCTCCATCCAGCCGCGCAGCAGGCCCGGATCCACCCACCGCCGGTCCACCGGCCGTCCCTCGCAGCTTTCGTCGGCTTTGCCGCCCCTCAGGCTGGCGATGACGAGTTCAGCGGTGCTGCTGGTGCTGGTGCGGAAACCACTGCTACTACCCCCTCCTCCTCCTCCTCCTCCTCCTCCTCCTCCTCCTCCTCCTCGGCGGGCGACGGTGATGACGGACCCCTTAGATGTCGCTTTCGAGCGCTGTTTGGCGATGACGACGACGACGGGGGCGTCGCTGTCTCGAGTGCTGCTTCCCCGCTGCCCCTCCCCCTCCTCCTCCCCGGGACTGCGGCGGCGGCGGCGGTCCGCGAGGTCGAAGACTCCGTTGAGGAAGCGGTCGTGTGCGTCGCAGCGGCGGCGGCGCGGGCGGCCGGGTTCGTCTTGCAAGCTCGAATGATTCAGCTCGACGCTTCGGCCTTCTTCGCCGTTGACCACGTCGAGGATGCGGGCGCATGTCGGGCACGGCGGGGGCGGGGGCGGGTGCGGGGGCGTTTTGCTCGTTGGGTCGGGGTCGGCGAGGGGGGGATGTTGCGAGTCGGCGTTGTTCGTCTGGTCTGATCCTAGCGGTTCCATGTTGGCGGCGGATGGATATATATGGATCGAAAACGACCTTGATGTAGAGCCGGTGTTGCCGTAAGGGAGGATGCCTCTTGTGTTTCTGAGACGGGCGTGTGCCGTTTCAGGTACCTTTTCTGTTCGTGTGGCCGGCCGAGAGTCACAGTCGGGATGTTTGGTGTGTACGAGCTGTATCGTCGTCAGCGAGGCTGTACAGTGGCGGGGTCTTCATCCTGGCCCCCCACCCACCAAAGGAACATCACATGGACTATACACCCTTCGGAGCAGCTCATCGCAACGACAAATGCAGCATCATGAGCACCCGCTGCGAAAAACCTTATAGATGCATATCTGTCATACCCGGATATCAACAACATCCCACCCCCTCATCTAAACCAACCGGGCAAACAAGAAAACAACATAATCATCATCATTATCCCCAATCATTCCCTGCAGAACAGATAAGCCTCGAGCAACGCCATGACTTTTTGCCTCGCCTTCACGGATAGGAAGGCCGACGCGTCTCACACTTATCAGTAAACCGTCTCCCCCTTGGCATTAACCCCCAACCCCAACCCCTCGCTCGCCGCGCTCAACCTCGCGCACAAGCTCAAGAAAACCACCGTCTCCGTCGCGGCGTAGTAGTTGAGCGTGTCCAGTAGGATGCGCAGATGCTTGGTGAAGTTGTCCTCGTACTTCTGCAGCAGATCGATCATCTTGCCGAGCTTGCTCGGGTCGAAGGTGGAGGAGCGAGCCGACGATCCCTTGTCGCCGGTGCTGCCCGTCGAGGCGGACGGGTTGTTTGAGCCGGCCGTCGCGAGGTCGGCGTCGGCCGAGATGAGATAGCGCGAGAGCGAGGACGTGTAGTTGGCGAACATGGTGCAGGTGTTGAGGATTTTGGAGTTGATCTGTCGTGGAAAAAGCGTCGTGTGGTTAGCAACTGACGTAGCATGTACCCCTTTTGTAGGAATTTACCTTCAGGAGCTTTGCATTGGTGAGCATGCACTCCTTCAAGCATGTAGCCAAGAAGTCAACATGGTCCTGCATCAGCTCGTCTACTGTCCGTTTAACCTGCGGTCCGCCAAGTGGGTCACCGCTCCCATCTGCTACTGCTGCTGTCGCTGTGGGATCTATTGATTCTGTCGATTGGACGACTTCTGCGTTTTCTGCTGCATCGCCCTTGCTGACGGCGTTGAGCCGCGACATCATGCTTGACCAGTTTGGCTCAATGACTTCGGCTGTGCTGTAGTACAGTAGCTGTTGGACAAAGACCAGCATGCGCGCGCGCAACGTGAATGCCTTACGCTTCCACATCTCGATCTTTGGATTCGATGACCGGTGCTTCCAGCTACGCACCTTGGTGTGCTCTGACCAACTGCCGACAAGTAACGTCTCAAGGTGGCGCAGTGACAGGAGGTAGCGGAAGAGAAGTTGATATCGCGTCAGGGTGACGCGGCTAACGACAAGGGACAGGGGAAACGGCATGGCGTAGTCGAGGACCAACGCGTCGAAACCAGTAATGTCTTTGTCATCAGTTATGGTTGTGCTTTGCGCTGTGGGGACGTAGTTTGAGAAGCTGCCCGTTGCGGCATCTTGGTCCAACCCAGTCACCGTAACGATCTTCATCAGCCAGTTTGTCAAGCCAATCTCGTTCATTTGGACTTTGACATCCTCCTTGTAGGGATCCTCCGCTGCTACACTACCAGGCTGGCGCAGGACGATATCCAACAGCGATTGGAGTTTGCCAATGTTGACGATTTTGGCTGGTTTCTTGAGTTCTGAAGTGCCAAGTTCGAGGAAGTAAGAGAAAAAGTCGGATCGGTCGAGGAAGAAGTAGTGTTTGAGAGAGCGAAGGCGGGCTGGCAGTGCGTGCGTTGTGAGGAGCAGGTGGAGCAGAGATGAATTTGCGTAGGCGTAGGCGCTGTTAACGTTCTCAAGGAAGCGCGGGTCATCGAAGGTTATCGGTACATCTTGCACCCTTTTGCTAACATCGACACCACCGCACTCCCGCACCACATTCAGATATTTGCCTGCGAGCAGGACCTTGTCCTTTACACCTTCCAGCTGTGGGGGAACAAGGCTTTCCCGGATCGTGTAGCGCTTCTCCCAGTACTCATCCGTGTAGTCCTGATCAAGCCTTTCGCGCTTGATGCTTTTTTGTTCTTTGATGAGGAACTCGGCGTGGGGGTCCTTGATTGATCCATGGTGTAGCCATTCGTTGAGCATTGTCATGTACGGGCGACTTGCTTCGCGTAGTAATGCTGTGAGCAGTGCTCTTGCGGCAGGGTCTCCGGACATTGAGGCCAAGCGTTTTGATATTAAGCCCAGCACGCTTCCACCCTTGCAAACCTTCTTGCTTCCTATTGATCCCTGCGCAATGTTTCCTCCCTCCCGAAGAGATTCGAGGATATCTTCTAGATTCTCCGTCTCATCGAGATCGTCGTCGTTCTCGTCGTCGAGGAGAGCATTCGCTTTCAAAACCTCAATGCCCACCGTGTATAACTGGAACATCATATGGCTGGTTGGTTTGGTGTGTAGATTTAGGATATGGAGAGTGAAAGTCGGGCTGGTGAGCATCTGGTGCTCCAACTGAGCCATGAGCACCAGATAATCCCTCAGCAGCTTCCGGACGACTGCACACAGCGCATGGTTGACCGAGCCGTACTCGTCCCTGCTCTGGACCTCGACGAAAGCCTCAAGGGCCGAATAGTGTGTTGCCATTTTCAGCATTGACGTTGTCAGATCGCGCAAGCTAGGATCGAGGCCGGGGGCTATTCTGAACGAAGGGCCCACGAGGCGGCTCTTCTCCTCGGAAGGATTGTATGTAGCGACGTATCGGATGTACTGCCCCTCAAAGCCCATGAAGACGAACATCAGGTCGTCTATCAAGGCAGATTCTTGTTCGTCGACGGGAAGCTCGGACAGTGGCTGTGGTTGCAGGTCAACGGGGGCTAATGAGGCGGCTTGGGGAGTGGATATGCGCGACGCGAGCGGAGCGGTAGTGTGTGGGATAAGCGATGCCTGTGGCCTCCAGGGTTCTGGGGAAGTTAGCAATTGTATGAGTTGATGCGGCATGACATACCTCGCTCTTCCTTCTTAGGTTCGGCGGAAGTTGGGGTGCTAGCAGCGCTCGGCTTGCCCTGGCGGACATCATCCCTACTCTTCCGAGACTGGGAGCGGCTCTCGGTGTTCTTCCCCGGGGCGCGCTTCACGGTAATGGATTCGCGAGTGAGGACGTTGTTGCGCTCAATGCGGCGATCGGCAGGCTTGCCTGTGGACTGCGAGCGCGAATGGGAGTGCGAGTTGGAATGCGATGCTTGGTCGCGGGTCGGGTTCGAGTTCGAGGTCACGCGGGAACGAGAGGAGCTGGGGACGCGCTCATGGCCGTAGTATTTGGAGTTGGGGCGCGACGAGGACATGGTGGCGGGTGGGCGAGCTCATGTAGGTTGGGCAGGTGAGCAACGCAATGTTTGTACACGAAGAGCTGGCCGGGCAGTGATCGCGGGGAGCGCGTCGCCTAGCGCGTCGTCGCTGTGGCGCCTGTGGCCGTGCATCCAGCCCTACAGCCCGCCGACACAACCACCTCGCGCCTGCGGATCGTCTCCTGCCATCCGCACCACATGTCAAACAACCCGTCTGCTCAGCGGATACTCACTGGTCGACGAGAAACACTCCCGTCTCCTCTTCCGCGCGCCAGAGTCCGGCAATGGGGTTGGGCGCCATGTCTGACGTCTGCAAGTAATGAGACTCGCTTTCGGCCCGAGCCCGAACCCGCGACTTCGCGGTGAGCGTTCGAGTGCCGTGGCCGGGCGAGCGCAGTGGGTGTAAGCACGAAGATCATTAGGCCCCTTTGGGCGCAGCATCTTCTTTGCCTGCGTATCATCAAGCCCGTGGTTGCATGCCATGCACTCTGCGTCAGGCTCGGACTCCTCTGCCTGAGGGCTTCCGGAGAATAGCATGCGCCCAGGGCGAGTGGCTCTGATCCAGGCCGATGGATGTTCTCACGGTTGACACGCAGTAGTCGGGCACAGAGGGTGTGGGGAACGGCATGGCCTCATGGATCCATGGCTTCGGACTGGAACGGGACCCTGATACCGGGGCCTTGTCGGCTCCGCCTTCCCATCGCGCAGCCTCGGTCCAATGCGGCATGTGTTGCGCTCCCGCGAAGGCGACTGCGGAGAGACCATGATCCACATCTTCCCCGGCGCCACGACACGTCCCCGACCTGCTCTCTCTGTCTTCGCATGTCCGCGCCACTGCCGTCCCACCCGCGACCGAAGCCCTGCGGTTCATGATCGAGCGCAACACCCCTTGAGCTGAACATTGGCGCTGATATGTCCGACTCTGTGGGTATGACGCACGCTGCGCCCTCCCGTCTCCCGCACGCGACACCCGCAGTCCTAACAGCGCCTCCGATCCGCAGATAGAGTCTTCAGCCATGCCCTCAACACCGTCAACAAGATCCGGATCGGCTCCGAGAAGCCGCCCTCGTCCACCCGCCTGAAGCTCTATGGCTTGTACAAACAGAGCATGGGTATGACACGGCTGCCCGCGACCCTCAACCACCTCCCCGCCGCCTCTAACACCGTGCACAGAGGGCGACGTCGACGGCATCATGGAGCGGCCCGACGGCGACGACGAACAGACGAGAAGGTCGCAAGAGAAGTGGTACATAGCCCGCTAACATCACCTCGCGTGCCCGCCGTTGGACAGGTCATGATTTAACGCCTTCTCTACCAGGGACGCGTGGAAACAGCAGAACGGCCTCTCGCGCACCGAGGCCAAGCGCCGCTACATCACCACCCTGATCGACACCATGCACAAGTACGCCTCGCCGAGCCCTGACGCCCGCGAGCTGGTCGCCGAGCTGGAGTTCGTCTGGGACCAAGTCAAGTCGAACGTGCCCTCGTCCTCGTCCTCGTCGCCCCACGGCATGCCCTCCTACCCCGGCCTCGGCTCGTCCGGCGAGCTGCACGAGTACCCTCCGCCGCAGATACAGGCCTCGCAGATGCGCATCCTGACCCCCGCCGGCGTCGGCGACGCAGGCGAGGAGACCGGGGGCGAAAACGACGAGTTCGTGGACGCGCAGGACTCGGGTTCCCAGCACGGCGGCGCCCGGGAGAACGAGGACGCGCAGCGGCACCTCCGGGAACGGCCGCCGGCGCCCGCGCGGTCTGCGAGCGACAAGCAGTGGCGGCGCCGGGTGGAGCAGGCGTTGGTCAAGATGACGGCCGAGGTGGCGGCCCTGCGCGAGCAGCTCGAGTCGCGGAGTCTGTACCAGCACACGCGCCGCCGCCGCTTCCTCGCCTGGGTCGGCTGGTTCCTGTGGTTCAACGTGAAGCTGATCGCCGCCGATATGGTCATCCTCGGCATAATACTGCTGTGGATGCGCCGCAAGAAGGACCGTCGTCTCGAAGGTGCCATCCGCGTGTTGCTGGGCGACGCAGTGGTTCAGATGCAGCGCGTCGGCAGTCAGCAGGTCGCCAACATTGGCAAGATCCAGCTGCCCAAGCTGCCCGCCAAACTGAAGAGCTAGTGGGGCTGCGATGGGGATATTCATCGTTGCCAATATTTGTAAATTGTCCCAGGGATGTCGGGGCTTGATACCACGCAGCATCGATCACGACCGTCACGAGTCACGACAGAACGTGGTCGAGCCAACTGTAAATTCTGTGCTTTTTAATCTTTCACCGTTGTCGTTTTCTCTACCGTCTCTTGCTCAAGCTTGGATGAGTGATACGGGTGTGTTGAATTCGCTTTGCGATGTTGGAATAAGCAAGGCTCCAGCGCAGTTCTTCATTTCGTGTACAATAGAGTTGTACGAGAGGACTTTTCCGCGATTCACCGTCTTTATCTGTCCTCTGTCCATATCACAAAAAATTTCTTACATTTGCGCGTGAGCTCCCGATCCGTTCGTAGCCGTCATCTTTCATCCAGACAAGATCAGCTATGATGCAATGACACCGAATAGCGCTCGTCCCACCTTCGAACCAAGGATTTGCAGCAGCCAGACCTTGATCTTTCCGCGCCCTGTAATACATGTGGAGAGGTAGGGACAGAAGCGGTGGTCCTAAGTGGGTGTGCTGGTATCTGTCAGACAAAAAGGTGTAATATCACCCTGTGAAATAGATTTGGAAAGTCACTGATGCAACGAGCTGGGGACAAGTGACACAAAGTTAATCGTTTCCTTTCACTAACTGGAATGGGTGGTACAGTGAACCTGTTCGCCCAGTGCCAAAATGTAACGTGATTGCGTATGCAACCTGATGCTTCCTCATTCGAGGGAGTTTTGCAAAACTTGGCGATGACAGAGCTTGCATGCTGTCCATAGACGTGGTCATGGTAGTCCTCAGCACTGTATGGGGAGCACCATCTTCCTGTAATCGACCACTCGAAACCCACGACAGTCCCGAACCCTTCCCATATGGCACAGTAGTATTGTCCCCAGAATCCCACTTGCCCAAGTCCACCCACCAAACAGCCCACATAAAGCCAGCCCACCAGCCAGCCCGCCAGCCCCCCCACTCCCAACACCCTCCCTAAGAATCGCACCACACCACCCTCTCCCAAACCCACCACCACCACCACCCCCAACCCACTCCAACAATGCCTCTCCCTGTCCCCCTCCCCGCCATCCCGCTCCCCCTCCCCCTGTCAGCCCCAATCCTCCTCCTCCTCCTCCTCCTCCTCCCCCTCCTCCCCACCGCCAGCTCGTCCCACCCCTCCCCCGACCCCCCAGGCTTCCACCTCCTCAACCTCACCCACATCCCCATCAGCACGACCGGCACGAACGACATGCACAACGGCAGCATCTCCTTCACTCTCGCCGCAAAGGCCGACAACACGTACGCCTCGCACGAGTGCGCGCACGCGTTCGTCGCGCCGGCGGACGCGCGGGCGGCGGGGGGCCCGTTCGCGTGCAGCGATGCGTGGCCGGATTTGTTGTTTTATTGGCGGGAGGGTGGGGATCAGGGGGGTGTAGGGAGTGCAGGGGGTGGGAGGGGGAGGGGGACGAGGGGAGAGGGGGACGAGGGGGACGGAGGGGAAGGGATTGGGGCTGGGGCTGGGGCTGGGGCTGGGGCTGGGGGTGTGGTGTTGGAGATCTGGTATGCGTATTTGGATTGCCGGTATGTATATGTTTTTGTGCTCTTTTTCTTTTTTTGTTCTGCTAATCCTTCGTTTGACGCACCTTTTTCTTTTTGCTTTCCCTCCCCTGTCACACTGGTCGATGACTTCCGGGAAGAGAGGCCCTTGAACACGTAAACAAAACGTGTGCACAACTCCAAGGCAGAGATCACTCATTGATAACAAACATCTCACAGACCGAACGGCGGCGCGGTATCGGAATCGGGCAGCCTGACGCTTCCTCCACCCACATCAACCGGCACCTTCGCCGACGGCAGTCGCACATGGGACGTCGTGCACGTACCCATACAAACGGCCAGCTCGACTGCATGGTTTCCAGGGCAGTACGAGGAGGTTTGTTTGGGTCAGTGAGAAGAGACTGGGTAGTGGTGGGGAGCCTGCAGAGAGAAGCAGCAGGAAGAAGATGATAAGACAACAAATGAGAATGACAACAAAGCCAAGACAAGAGACACCCTCGTTCAGTCCTGCATCATCTGTTGACGTGGCTTGGAGAGCGAGGCGAGAGAACAAGGTTCCTCGTCGAGGTTGGGAAGGAGAACGTCTACACAGATGTAAACTTTTGGAAACCCAAAACTTGATCGAATAGTCAACGCTTGTTGGAAGCCGTTACCGGCTGGTTGGGAAATGAAACTGCGAAGCTGTCCCGGTCGTATGGCGACTGTGTCTTCTTTTGGTCTCAATGAGAGGACGGTTTGAAATTGCGTTTTCGTGCCACGGGACACATGTGAGCTGAAATGTCTGTCAACGCGTCAGTGCAATTTCAAAGGACGTACCGAGGGTCATCTGTTCCCACTATGGAAGCTGCCGCTGTCAGCTTTGCCCAATTCTTCGCTCTCTCGCTAGACCAGGTGAGCGGGGCCAGGGTGATGCATTTACTCAACTCTACACAGATGCATTTGTGAAGCACTCAAATCCAGACACATGTATTTTTCTTGAAGAAGAGTGAATCGCTTGATGATACAGAATAGTGGAACAAGGTAAGAAAATCGAGGACTAGTACAGGTAGCTGCTGATATACTCTGGCCGTGACCATGAGAATGCAGCATCGGATTCACGTCTACCACGACGACGTGCACGCTTTCTCAACTTTTTTCAGACAATTCAAAATGGTTATTTTCGTTTACTCCTCAAGCAATGCCACAACCGCAGTCTCTTCCCTTACAGACTCCGTGGTTTCCCCTTCAAATCACGCACTACCCGCACCCTGCGTAGTACGCTTGAAAAAAAAAATCTCAGAAGAAATGAAGGAACCTCTCCGTCTTAAGCGTCCGTCACACGCCACGTGCTGAACCACTTGAGATGCTTCCACTGCGCATTCGGTCCAACCATACCGAAAGTGATAGCGCTGAAGTTGATGAAGAGTCCGAGTGTGATGACATAGAGAATGCTGTAGACGGCCCACTTGATTTGGGTGCGGGCGTTCCTGGTGAACCAATCGACCAGGAAAGCGAAGGAAAGGATGGCAAAGTAGAGGGCCGGGAAGTAATGGTGAACGTAAGTGACACGAGCCATGGCGACGAACGGGAAATAGTGGAGGAACCAGCCGATGACGGGATAGATGCCGGCATAATGAATCTGGTCGATTTCCGCAGGCTTGAGGTCCGTGTATCCACGCTGCCAACGGATCAGGTACCAGGCGACGACGAGGCCAACGCCGGCAAGAGAGGCGGTAGAAGCCCAGTAGACGAAAGGATTGCCAAGCAGGAAGTATTTGACGGCTACACTCATGTCAGCAAAAGTCGTGTCACAACGCAGGATAGTCAACTTACTGTCGTCACCCCAGCCGCACATGCGCAGGCCGACGTGGAGAATGGGCCACTGCCAAGGCGCAGAGGCAAGATCATCCTGCTTGTCCGGGTCAGGGACAAGAGCGTTGTTCGAGGTCATCATGGCGACGTTAAGGTGAATAAAGTCGCGGAAGAAAGGCGACTTGTAGGCGCCGGGGTCACCAGCAGGCAGCCTATCGTTCCAGTGGCTCTCAACGTTCCAGTGCGTGTACACATCCCTGGGGTTGTTGGTCTTAGTGCAGGTAACCTCAATCTGCTTGAAACCCCACTGTGGAAGGTTTACGTTGCCAGCACGGAGGTAGCAGCCAAGATCGGGGTGCTTCAGGCGGAAGGAGGTAGTCAAGGTCCTGATCTTCGAGTAGTCACGAGTGGCAGCGTCGTTGACAACCTCAATTATCCAATGGTCCTTGGTATCACCAATTGTGACGTTTCCGTAGGATGAGACTTCCCAATCAGCCTTGGTGACAGGAGCAGCAATCTGGTGCGAGTGGAGGTTACGGCCGGTCTGAGCGTGGATCAAGCGGATGGTGCTGCCGTCGCGGGGGTATCTCATGGGTTCTTCGCCGACGACGTACTCCGGATCGTAGCGGCTAGGGTAAATGAACCAGTCGTTGTTGGCATCCTTGTGGTGGTAGCAAGTAACCTGTTGCTGCTGAGAGCCCTCGGGGTAGGTCTGAACGTGCGAGTGGAGGAGACCGCCGCCGTAGCCCATGTTCTTGATTGTGGCGCGAGATCCGATAGCAAGCTCAAGGGGACTGTCCTTTCCGACCTCGGTACCGCGGAGGTTGGCCTGGAAGAGAGAGCTCATCTGAGCGTCGCCGGGGCCGCTGTTCTCCAAGATCAAGAAGTGGAGCCAGAAGGAGAAGAGGTAGACCATCAGGGGAATCATGATGAGCGAAAAGACACGGAACCCGAGGTGGGCCGCAAGTTCGACCTTGGGCATCCTCAAGTCTCCAAATTTGTTCCAGAGATCCTCAATGGTGTACAGGCCAACCAGAGCAGTAGCGAAGAAACCAACCCACTTGACACTGCACACGCATCCAATCGAAACACCGCAGAGCATAAGCCAGAGTCCCCACTCCGGCGAGAAGGGGTCGTGTTGGAGGCGGTGGAACTTGGCCCAGCAGAAGACGGTGGTGAAGGTAAAGAACAAGAGCATCGAGTCGAGGAGGATGAACCTGCTGATGGTCGCGAGCGAGTTGTCGCACAGGACCATCAGTGCGGCCAGCCAGCACGCCGGCTTGCGGAAGTTCAGCTCCTTGGCGGTGTAGTATGCCAGCGGGACGCAGAGGGCACCGAAGGTCGAGTTGAAACCACGCATGAAGGTGTAGTTGAGATTCTCGGGATAGGTCTCGCCGGACTTGAACTCGAAGGATCCATTGTAACCGGCCAGGTAGCCCGAGAGGCCAACAAGCATCTTTCCGAGCGGCGGGTGGACATCGAAATAGAACTCGCGCTTGAGGTAATGGGAACCGAACTTGCCAAAGCTGCAGAGCCATCGTCAGCACGAGCGACTGTCTTTCAATTGGGCGACAGGCCGCAGAGGGGCGCTTACTGAGCTTCATCCCAGGTCACAATGTTCGAGAGACCGATCTTGTACATGCGCGTGAAGAAGGCGGCGAGGGTCAACAGGATAGGCGCCCAGACGTATTCATACTCGTCGAGCGTGTCGAGAACGGATTTGGTCTATGGGCACCCCCAGGGTGGGCTGATTAGCTGGTTGGTCCTGGAAGCCAAAGCTCCAGGTGGAGCTCTGCCGGCGGGAGCTTACCTTCTGCTTGACCTTCTCCTCGGTCTGCGGACTGATGAAGTCGGTTTGGCCCTCGCCATTGGCGACGTTCCTCCGGCGCAGGGCGTCGGCCTGCTGGTCGGCGCCGGTGGCATAGCCTTGCGACGCCATGGTGTGTACGTCAACCCCTCAGGAAGCTCGCGGCGGAGCTGATCTGAGAGCCGTGCGTGCGGGATGTGTTTGCAAAGACGCTCGAGGTGGAGGGCAAAGGCGAAGGGTTATGTTGCAAAGGAGGGAAAGAAGAGGAAGGTGCAGCGGGCGGAGGATGCGAAGCTCCAGGCGCGATGCTCGCCGTGATTCGCAAGCCAAGTTGAGCGGAGCAGGGGAAGCGACGCTCGAAATAGCACGGGCAGGCCGTGGACTTTTCATACGCGGCCGGCGATCCTCGGCGCGGCAAGGGGGGCGGGTGCGCGTCGGCGCGGAGCTTTGGCACTTTGGTCAACGTGTCTTTTCCACCAGGCTGCGCCCCCAAAAAACGAACATCAACGCCCTTCCGAGGCGCACAGGTGGCACTGATTGGCTGCGCGCACGCAAGGTGCATGCCATCCAAAGCCCTGTCAATGGCTCGATTCTGTATCCCTATGTCCCGAACCCATTCGACTGATGTACATACATAAAACCAACTGGAGGCTCCGGCGCCTGCGGGACGTGGCTCGAGCCACTGCAGAGCCGCACTCTACTGCGCCAAACAGCCTTGAAACTTTCAACCTTCTGAAGCGAGAAAACAGAAAAGAAACAAACAGACCCCCGCCCGCCGCCGCGTTCTTGCTCGTCGTATGCCTTTGACATGCAAGGCTGTATGATGATCCCAGTGCGCCCGCATGAAATTCTATCGTTGTGCGTGTGCAATCCGCATTCCGGACGAAACTTGCCTGACATTCATTACACTCAAATCAATCAATGCTTTCTAATCGTCGTCCTGGTTGACGCGTCTGTAACTCCCGCTTTGGCTGTCGCCCTCGCCGTTACCCTTGGAGCGCTTGACCAAGTTGGAGATCCAGCCTCCAACGCCTTCGGACCGGTCGTCCGATTCGGACTTCGAGAACTTGGGCTTGCCGCCCTCGACCGGCACCGACGGCGGGTTGATGTCGAGGCCGGGGATGGCATTGTCGGCGCCGACACCGCGGCGGATATCCAGCGACGGCACTGGCGAGCCGTGGCCGCTGAAGAGCGACTCCGCTTCGGCCAGGGTGGCGGGCGTGGGCATCTGCGACGTGGCATCGCCGAAAAGACTGTTCATGTCTTCCAGGCGCACATTGGCCGTCTCGGGGTAGATGAACCAGACTGTTGACTGTCAGAACCGGGCCTTGGACAACGGGGCAGCCAAACTTACCAACAATGAAACTGACGGCGCAGAAGAAAGCGTGCACAAGGTACAAACGCCACTGGATCGCCTCCTGGAGGACGGGAGTCAGCTCACCAACCAGCCAGTTGAAAGCCCAGTTGGTAGCAGTGCTGAGAGAAGCGCCCTTGGCACGGATGCTGAGCGGCAGGATCTCGGGGGGGTAGAGCCAGGGAATCGGGCCCCAGGACGCTCCGAAGGCGCCGTTGTAAATCATGACGAAGATGACGACCATGCGAGGTGTCCAGGCCGGGATGTCGAGGAAGATGAAGTACGAGATCATCGACAGAGAAACAATCATCATGAGAGCGCCACCAAGCAAGATCGGGCGGCGGCCCCAGCTGTCGACGAGGTACCACGGAGGAATGGTGCAGGCGAGATAGCTCAGGCCGTTGATGCCGGTCATCAGAATAGCTTCGCGGCCGACCCAGCCCGCTTGCTCGAACACCAGGGGCGCGTAGTACGATATCACGTTGATGCCATTGAGCTGGGCGAGACCCTGCGCGGACATGGCGATGAAGACACGCTTGTAGTATCTCTTGAACATGTCGCTGTAAGAACGCTCGCCCTCCTGGCGCTGGATCAGGACGTTCATCTTGATCTCGCGGTACTCGTCGCGGGCCTTGGGGTTGTGGATGTCGCCCTTGCCGTAAAGATTGGCGATGACTACAATACCTTCCTCATCGTGGTCATGGTCGAGAAGCCACCTATCCAATGTCAGTCTCATTCGTGCGAGGTGTGGTTTGGGGAGAAATACCTGGGAGATTCGCAGATCACTAGACTGCCCATCGCGAGCAAGCTGCCCATGACGCACTGCATGAGCAAGGGAAGACGCCATGCCCAGTTGTTCTTGATGTAGCTGCAGAAATAGTCGACCCAGACACTGGCGGCGTAGCCGCAGATGTTGCCGGTAAACTCAACGCAAGCCAACTTGCCGCGGTTGTGGGGCGGGGATATCTCAGACTGATAAACGGGCACGATGGTGGACAGAGCACCAACACCCAGACCGGCAATGATCCTACCGACCATCATCATGGACAAGGTATTCGCGAAAGACTGAAAAGCTCCGCCGATCACGAATATTATCGATCCGTATAGAATTGTGCGCCGCCGCCCGATGGCATCTCCTATCTTTCCGACGGCCACGGAGGAGATGAACGCGCCGACTTCGAGAATGGCCACCATTGTGCCGATCTGGGCTCGAGTGGGCTGGTCGAATTGATCTTTGAAGTACGATCCTCTGCAGAAAGCAGCCGGGGTCAGTCGCGCTCGCGGGAAGCTGATGGGGGACGCGGAACGTACGTGATGATACCCGACATGACGCCTTGGTCGTAACCGAACAGGAATACGCCTAATGATACGAATACACTGGTGAAGTAGCTGTTCATCCATTGTTAGCAGCGTGCCTGGCAACGGAGTCGGGTGCGGTCGGTCGACGGAGATGCCTGGGACGACACGTACATCAGCTTCTTCCCATGCAACCCGTGCATCCGGGAGGGGCCATCGTTAGGGGCCATGATGGCGGCGAGCAACCTGAAAGGGCGTCAGCACTGCGGTCGAGGTGGTGTTTTCGGGCCAGGGAGCCCTCGTCGCGGGCGCGTCGACGCACCGTTCTCCACGGCCAGCTAGCGGGCGTTTGATGTTAGGGATCTCTATGTCCTCCTTTCGAATGCGACCAGGCTTCTCGCTGTCGTCGGCGTAATGAACGTGGCGTGGGTGCCGGCGGTGCGGGACGGATGAGGATCCAAATTCCTGCGATTGGCGAAGCCGTGCCTGCAAGGGATCCTCCTCCTCGCCGAGCTGGTCGACGAGATCGCCTGTGTCGCTCCACAGAGAGTCGAGATCCGAGTGCTCGGAGCCGCTGTTGGAATGGCGGCGGCCACGCTTTTCGTCGGTGGAAGAACGTGACGACGACAACGTGTGGAGGGGGATGTTGGCGGGTCGGCGACTTGAGGAGGGAATCTTGACGAGGTTGGGCTGGGTTGGAGCAGCCCTCTCCACGATATCGGGTATAGCAGGTCTAGGTGCGAGAAGGCCCGCTGACGTCTCGCGCACAGGGTCCGCAGGCGGCTGTTAGTCTGTTCGGTGGAGCCAAGCAGGGCCAGTGGATCACGGGCATTGAAGAAAACGAACGAGTGCTGCGTGGTCGGGTGCTGTACGAGTAGTGTGCTAGGCTGGCAAAGCAAGTTGGATCACTGGAAAGAGCCGGAGCAGCTGCGAGCTGGGGAGACACGACCAGGGCATGTCTCCGGCCGCGAATAGCGGCGCACGCCGGCCGGCTGGGGGCCTGCGGCGATCTCTATCAATGGCTAGAGCAGCATCATCGTACAGCGACAGACCGCCAAAGCGTGGACACGCCTGATTTGCCTGGCTGCGGTGGATCGCTTGCGCTACGTGAAATTTTCCTCCCAGCCCTTTTGCTCTGCGCGGCCGGTTATGGGGCGATTGGGGCTGGGTGCGTTGCGCGCTCCATCGCAGAGCCACCCGCTCGCTGAACGCAGCGAGCGCCCCAGGGCGGGCACCTCGCTCCACGCCGCCGCCCGCAGCACCCAGCACCGTTGGAGCCCCGCGGCCTGCTGCAGCGGCGCCGCCGCCTGCCCCGTCAAGGGTCCTCCGATCGAGCGTCACCAGGCACCGGATCCTCGTAGCACGCGGGTCATGTGGACCTGGCGGCGACGCGCTCGTGAGCATTTCCCCAGGTCATCGCTAGCGGACTGTGGGGGAAGAACGACACCAAGAACTGGGCGCCTGATTAGTCAAGGCGGCTCAGCTGCCGGCGGGCAGCAAAGCGCCAGCGGCCTCTGTGATCGGTCATGATATGGCGGATGTGGCAAAAGTGGTGGAGCGATGGAGCCCAGGGAGCCGCGCTTGCCCTCTGGCCCACTTCGGCCTTCGTTCCTATACCGCCTTTTGTGATCCCGCGCCTGCAAAACTCACCACCGCGTGGCGGGTCTGTGGTTATCAGCCGGCAAAAGGGCTCCATGCCGCCGCTACGAGGGATCGCTGCTTCATCATGCGCCGCCAATCACCTCCGCCACCCCGAGCTGTACCGCTCATCGCTTCCGCGCTTCTCATGCGCCCAGCCGGCATTATTGGGCCACCATGTGTTTTGGAGTGATTGCGCCGGCGCAGCCTCATGTCAGTGCCTTGCGTCAGGCGCTGCCGTTACCAAACTTAGCTAGCCACTTAAATGTCCGTTCGGTGTAGAGTCCTCCGGGTCCGTCGATCGCTCCTTTTTCACATGCGAACCAGCCTCCCCAGCCTCCGCCGCTGCAAACAGCGCGCAGGGTTCGAGATAGGCGCACAGCTCATGCAACCTGGCATGAACTTGGGGAAGTTATCAGATTCTTTCAAAATATATACCCTGCTGTCAATTTTCTGGCAGCAACAGCCACACCAATCTAAGATTGGACTTCTTCCGTGGCGCAATTGGCTAGCGCGTCTGACTGTTAAAGACTAATGGGACCTCACGGTGTACAAAGTCTGCTGCAATCAGGAGGTTGACAGTTCAAGCCTGTCCGGGAGAGATCTTTTTTTTTTCTTCTTGGGCATCCTCAGACACCGACCGGATCCGACGCTTCGAGGTGTGCTTGATGATCATCATCATCAGACATTCTTTTTCCCTTCTCTTTGCAACGCTGTTGTGCTTCGCATACGCCGAGGTGGTGTGCCCAGTTGGATGCAGGGTGCGTGTCATGCTCACATCAGCCATGGCGTATCTCGCGTGGGATGGATTCGCTCAGCTGGACCCCTTGAAGGCTGAGACAGAATGGAATAAAAAATAATGTCCGGCCCCTTTATGTTCGCATGCATTCCCCAGCAGATGACTCTGCTCAGAATAGACGCGTGGCTGCGTCGAATCGTGATGAGGACTATCTCTCTCCTTGGTGAAAGCGTATCAGGCATCGCCCCCGGCAGCCTATCACGTAGAGGATGATGCGGCTCTCCATTGTGCACCGGCCACCAACTGCACACTCCGCATAACATCATTGTTATCAGCGTGCCACTGCTGCGGCTACAACATGGCACCACTGCCTGAGGGGATTAAAAAAAAGGGGAGCAGTGTCACGGTGTGTTCCCTTCGACGCGTGCAACTGGGCCAATGAGCGGCGCGAACGGACGCGGGCGGGCGGCCATACGTGAACGTCTTTCAAGCTTCTGGAAACAGACACAAAAGCGATGTGCAAAAACAGTTTTGAGAAGTAACATATACCCTCAAAGATGTCCGGTCTACAGTATAGCCTTCTACAGCAATAACCGCAAGGAAAAATAAAGCCAAACAGCGAGTCAAACGCTCTTAACAGTGTAGTATCGTTCAAAGCCTGCCAACACGGATGCATGGTTTCGTGCTCATTCGAAGTCCGTCATAACTGCCCGCCTGTAGCGGTGATCCGGCCAAAACAACATGATATGTGCTTTTATCCCATCGCCCATATAGATTTCTTGGTATCGCAAATGCCCCCAGACTGACCGAGATGACCGAGATGAGCCCCAAAAACGCCTGTACCCGTCTAGTGCTTCGCCGTGACCTGATCGCCAGTGAGCTTCTCGACAGCTTCCTTGGCACTGTTGGAGAAGATGTCAGCATGTGTTGCGAATGTGGAGACCACTGTGGACAAGTCAGAGTAGGGTCACTTACACGTCACCCAGAGCAACCATGCAGACCGTCTGCCAAACGCCCAAACCAATCCTAGGTGTAACGCCCCTGTACAAACCCTTGATTCCGTTCTTCTGGTAAATGTACTTCGCCGCGTTGGCGACGTTCATCTTCTTCGGCCGGTTGGGATCCTCGACCTTGCTCTGCAACTCGACGCGGATGACCTCGATCGGCTGGTTCCAGGCGGAGAGACCACCACCGACGGCGGAGGCAATGATCTTCTCAAAGACGCCAAGCTTCTCTCCGTGTTCCTTTCCAGTCGCCTTGCGGATTCCGGTTTCCGCAACCCGGGAAAGACCGAAGCGAGAGCCCCAGTTGGTGACCTGACGGACGGCGACGGCGTTGACACCCTTGTTGATGCCGCGGATGCCCTCGGCGCGCCAGATACCCATGAAGGTCTCCATCGTGCCCGGCGGCTTCGCACCAGAAGCAGCGACCTTGTGCTTTGTGATCTCGACCGTCTTCATGCAGGTGCAGAAACCCATGGTCGCGTAGGCCTGGGCGAGACCGCCGACCATGCCGCCAGTGATGCCGGCGACGAAGGGAGCGGCGCCGACAGAGCGTGCGTGGTACTCGGCTTCGGAAGCGACGAAAAGGAGCACAGCTCCCTTGGTGGATGCCTCAATCCAGGCCCAGGGGATCAGGCCTTGGTAAACTGCGGGGAAATGGCATCAGTACAGCTGTGCTTCCCGCGGCCAGGCGCGTGGCAACTTACAGCCAAAAACTCCACCACGAGCCCAAATCTTGCGGATGGCACCGCCGAAGCCATCGCTGCGGTTAGCAGCCATGGTGGTCTTGACGACCTCCAAAGGCTGTACAGAAGGCGGGTTCGTTAGCCTCTAGCAGACCGTTTTACGGCACGCCTTGGGAGTAGCTTACCTGGCCCAGCGTCGACACTTCGAACATGTTCAGACCCGAGCCAAGCAGCAAGTTGCTGAACTTGATCGGCTTCTTTTCGAGCTTCGGGGGCGCCTCGACGCCTGCCATGGCGGCTGCGGGAGTGGACATGATCTAGGTGCTTCGCGGTGGGGAGGGGGCCTGACCAAGGCAGTAGGGTGCTTCGTTGCAAAAGTAGTGCGGTATGCTGCGGAAAGGAAGGAAGGAGAAGAGGGTTGGAGTGGGCGGCGTGGAATGTATATGGGGGGGGCGGTGCACAGCTGGGCGTGCAGCGGGATGTCCGTCCGTGCTTGAGCAGCTAGCTAGTGGCCGGGAAGCTGGTGCACCCACGGCGTCGGAGCGCTCCTTTGATGCCTTGCCGTTATGAGACAACAGTTGGGAATAAAACCGGGACCGTGCAGCACTCTCTTGCTTCGCGGCCTGCTGTTGACAAGTTGCTATCTAAGGGAGTCGGGGGCTAACGGAGCGAGCAGCACATAGCCGCGGCTGCAGCTGTTGCCCCCAGCGAATTGAGGAGTCGGCATCGCATCCGCTGCGGGTCGTATTGCTGAGCGGAAATCGATAATACAACGCCGCCCTGCGTCCTCCGTGCCGCTTCTCACAACGGAAGTCCGACCACCTGAGGGCGCCATCGGAGCTCGAGCGGCCCTGTTGTTGAGCAGCGCAATGTCCGACGCCGACACTGCGCACCCACACTCGGCTCCCCAGCCGATCCTCAGCAAATGGCTGCGGTTCAACAACCGCGCCCCATGCAGCCCCAACGTGCCGCCGCCGCCCGGCCCTCACCGCTAGCCTATCTCTAGCTTCGCCGGCGCCTCCCCCCTCCCGCTACCGCCGGCGGCGGCAGTAGGTACATGTAAGCTTTTTATTTTCTCGCTGCACTGCGACTCCGATCTTATGTGAGGCGTACGGGCTGCCTATTTCCGTTGACAAGGCGGAGTGGCAGCCTCGGCCAGACGCATCAAGGGGAGCCGCGCGAGCTGCTGCTAGCGCCCGGCCCACACCGCGTCATCTGTCGCGACGTCGCCGACTGCAAAATTGCTTCAGAACACACTCAGGTCCCGTTTCAAGTCCAATGGACACGGAGCCAGCCGCGTCTGAGTCGCGAGACCCAGTTTGTCTTGTCATGGGTGCATTGGGTCGTACACGATCCATCCACTTTCAGTGCGAGTCCGTAAGACAGAGTACTGTTGTTACATATCCGTACATTTCAAATACTATGCATTGGGTAGACAATGCTTCGCGCCCACTCCAAACCCATGAACCAGTCCGTTATCCTAGTTAGGTACAATTTTCCCCCCCATCTAAGCTCTAAATCCCCCGAAAAGCGTTTACAGAGAAGCGCCAACCAGCTTGGCGTAGGCCTCGGTGCTGAACGACTTGGGGCGCTCGATGGGCATGCCGATGGCGCGGTCGATGATGAGCTGGGGAAGGACACCGAGAGCGCGGGAGACACCGAAGAGGACAGTGTAGAAGTTCTGCTCGGTGAGGCCGTAGTACTGGAGGAGAACACCGGAGTGAGCGTCGACGTTGGGGTAGGGGTTCTTGGTCTTGCCGTGCTCGGTGAGGACACCAGGGGCAATCTTGTAGACCTGGGAGACGAGCTTGAACATGGGGTCGTCGGGCAGGTGCTTCTGGGCGAACTCGCGCTGCGAGACGTAACGGGGGTCGGTCTTGCGGAGCACGGCGTGGCCGTAGCCGGGAACGACCTGGCCGGACTTGAGAGTAGACCACAGGTAGTCCTTGATGGACTGGTCGCTGAGATCGTTGCCAACGGCCGTCTTCATCTTGGTGAGCCAGTTGAGCACCTCCTGGTTAGCGAGACCGTGGAGAGGGCCAGCAAGACCGTTGAGACCAGCCGCCAGGGACAGGTAAGGAGAGCTGAGAGCAGAGCCGACAAGGTGGGTCGTGTGGGCGCTGACGTTTCCACCCTCGTGGTCAGAGTGGATGGTCAGGTACAGCCTCATGAGCTCGACGAAGTCCTTGTTCTCGGAGAAGCCGAGCTGGTTGGCCAGGTTGAAGGCGTAGTCCTTGTCCTTCTGAACGGGGGCGACCTTGCCGTCCTTGAACACGTTGCGGTAGATGCGAGCGGCAATGGTAGGCAGCTTAGCAATGAGGTCCATGGAGTCCTCGAAAGTGTGCTCCCAGTACTGAGACTTGTGGATGCCGCGGGCGTAGGCCTTGGCGAAGGCAGACTGGTGCTCAAGAGCAGTGACGGCCAGCGAGAACTGAGCCATGGGGTGGAGGTCGTTGGGGCAGCGGTCAATGAGCTCCTCGACGAACTTGGGGATGTCCGAGCGGGCGGCCCACTCGGCAGAGAGGTCGCGAACCTGCTGCTCAGAGGGAACCTCGCCGGTCAACAGGAGCCAGAAGAGACCTGTCCCCGTCAGCTTGTGTTCGTTCCAATCCAGTCGAGCTCAATACATACCCTCGGGAAGGGGCTCCTCGCCACCAGGAGCCTTGGGAAGAAGCTGCTGGCACTCGGGGATCTGGACACGATGAGCAATTGATGACGAATGCGGTATACGGTAGCACTTACGGTCTTGCCGCGGAAGCGGATACCCTCCTCAGAGTCGAGGACGGAGCCCTGCATGGAGCTGTTAGCACTGGGGACAGACGCGACGAGTGCATAGTGCACCAACCTCCCAGACAAGGGCCTTGATGCCACGGGCACCACCGTAGACCTGGTCGAGGGTGACCTCGCCGAGGACCTTGCTGCCATACTCCCTGGTGTCAATGTTAGCGATTTGCGGCTGGCTGCGGCGGCGAAGTGGGATGGGCGCACTTCTTGAGCTTCTTGACCTTCTCTTGTTCCTCGGGGACCTTGGCGGCGAAGGTGTCCTTCAGGGACTAGAGCAGGACGTGTCAGCGGGAGGCGCGGAGGCGCGGAGGCGCGGAGGCGCGGAGAACGGCGGCGGCGGCAATGGACAGCTTACGGCAGTCTTGCTAGAGTAGCAGCGCAGGCCGTTGAAGGCGACAGAGCGCGCAGGCGCCCTGGTGGAGGCGCGCAGAGCAGAGGAACCGAGGCGCAGGGTGGAAGCCATTGTGCAAGAGGGATATGGGGCGGGGGAGAGGAGAGGAATTGATGGGGGAGTGGGTGGGATAAATAAATGGCGCGAAAGTTGGCGGGAAAGCTTTGAGGGCCAGCTGCCCGTCCGTCTTCCGGCAGGACGCCGATTGCGTCGGCCGTCCGGGTAGTGTCCGTGCGCAGACCCGCGTGCTTTGCTCTTTGCTGAGGTCTTGGCCCGAGCCTGCGCCGGGTAGCGACGTACATGGCAACGAGCGTACATCCTCGTCATCGCCATTACATACCCGCAACACGCGCACTCGTCGCCTCGAGAAATAAGCACTGCTCCCGGGCGCACGCTCAGCCCGTGGCACCCAGCTGGACGTGCTGCCTCCCACCAGCGCCGCGAACCCCCCCGTGACCGCCTTCCGCCTCTGGCTTGCCGGGCGCTGCGTTTCACGGCTCCCAAGCGCGAGTGCCAGATCGTCTCCTGAAGACGCAGTCACCACGCACTCCAGCTTCTTATCCGTATCCCAAGCGCCGCCACCCGTAAGCTTTTGATCGTGTCAAGGAAGCGGCGAGCGCATCCGCTGTGGCAGACCGCCCTCGTAGTCGCCTGCGCCTCTCGCTCTCCACCCTACGTACCACCAAGTCTTCAGCTTGCGCCCTCGCGAAGCCCCATCTCACCCGCCGTCGCCTGGCTGCACCTACTGCTTCCCGTCTGCTCTGCAGCTGTCGAGGTTGATTCAGTGACGTAGCGCCGCCGGCTCCGCTCTACTACACTCAAGTATTCCGCAACCCTTTGCTATACAACACACACGCAACCTGCGCGTCATCTGCTTGAGCTCGACCGTGGCGCCGTTGCGCCAATAGAAGTAGTCATGTCAGCCATCGAGGAGCTGAACACGTTGCTGCTGTCGCTGTCTGCGCTGAAGCCCCCAGGAGCCAACAAGTCGAAGATCACCGCCATCACCACCCTCTGCATTGCGAACGCAAACGTAGGCCGAGATCGCTCCCCAAGACAGACGCGAGCCCTACTAATCTTTGGCCGTTGTAGCAATGTCCCCAAATCCTCCAGACGATCCGCGACCGGTTCAACACCTCTCCCAACACCCATAAGCTTGGCGTACTCTATGTACTTGATGCCGTCGTGCGGCAGTGGGCGGACAAGGCCCGGCTGAACAAAGAAGATGCAGCATCTGCAGGTTCTGACGTATCAAAGGCGCCGAACTCCATTGGAGTTGTCATTGCGACCCAGTTGCTCCCTCCGATGATGTACGACCTCATTCAGAATGCGCCAGAGGACCAGAAGGTACGCTTTGTCGAATCCGTCTCGCGCAGCATTTGTCTTCCGGATACGAGTTGTTTTGTCGTCGCAAGTCGAACAGTTTCAAATACTCACATCTGAGCTGCTTTACTCACTTGTTGTTTTCTTATTTAGGAGAGAATTGGCAAGATGGTTGAGATTTGGGAGCGCGGCAACACGTTTCCCCCGAAGATGCTTGCCGACTTCAAGCAGCGCTTAGGAGCCCGTAAGATTCTCCCCAACGCCCAGGGACCGCACCGTGAGCCGAAACAGGGGTCTGATGTCTTCGTATCTGCAGCTGCGCCTCCAGCGACCGGAACTCCAACGGGTGCTACCTCTAACCCCACGGCTCAGCCGCAAGCAGCACCAGTAGCTTCAGCAGCGCCTTCTGGCACAGTCTCACTGCTTGCGAGTCTGGCGAACGTAGGAAAGCAACAGACTGCTACTCCGACGCAGAATGCCCAGTATCAAAACGGCACGCAATATGCCACCGCTCCTCAACCGCAACAACAGAACGTAGGCCCTGCTTTGACTGCTCCGCCCATGCCTTCATATGCACCCCAGCCCAATGGCCAGGGTACTGTCGCACCTGCGTCGGCTGCTGCACCGGCTCCTGCTGTGCCGGTCAACCCTCTGATGCCTCAGGCCTTTCAAAGTATGCCCGGCGGCAACGAGGCTCTGATGCAGTTCATAGGCTCCTTGGTGCAACAAGGTTGGAGCCCGGAACAGATAGCTCAGGTCATCGCCGCCATGAGCGGTAATGCTCAGGGCTTGCCCGGTGTGCCGGGTGTGCCGACCGCCACCCAAGCTCCTCAAGCCGCTCAGGCCCAGAACGGATTTGCACAAATGGCGCCCAATGGCCAGGCCCAGGCTGCGCAAGACTATAGGAGTAGAGATGATCCTCGCGACTTGGATCGCAACCGTGATCGCAGCCGCTCCCCTGGTTCGAAGAATCGGCGCACTTCTCCGGTGAACCGTCGTGAGAGCCCAACGTATGGTGCTTACGACCCCTACATCCCTCCTGGTGCTCCCGATGGACCTGGCGGTGGACCTGGTAGCTCAAATGGCCAGCCATCCAGCGAGCACGGCGGGAACCGTCGAGGTGGTAGAAAGAATAGGAGAAACCGTGATAAGCATCGTAACTCACCTGCTGTTCAGCAACAACAGCAGCAGTCGCAACAACCTCAGCAGCAGAGGGGCACGAGCGCAAATCCTAGGCCTAAGTACATCCAGCATGACCCTACTCTGCCTAGGGGCAACATCAAGGTGCTTAGTCGCACCTTGTTTGTGGGAGGCGTCTCGTAAGTTGTTCAGTCTGGTTTTTGTCTTGACACCCTGATGATTCTAACCAAAGATACAGTGCCACAGAGCAAGAACTTCGGCAGATATTCAGCCGCTTTGGAGAGGTCCAGACGTGCATTGTCAATCCGGAAAAGCACCATGCCTTTGTCAAGATGGCTAACCGGACTGACTCCGTCCAAGCAAAGCTTGGCATGGAGAAAGAGAAGAACCCGCAAGTTCTCAACAAGGCTCGTCAGGTGTGTTCGCAATCCCATTGATCTGACAACTTTCTACTAACATGACGAAGACTCGCTGGGGCGTAGGCTTTGGCCCCCGCGAATGCAGTGACTATAGCACCGGCATTAGCGTTATCCCCATTGAACGTCTGACGGAGGCCGATCGTAAGTGGGTCGTCACGTCCGAGTACGGCGGGACAGGTGGACGGATCCTTGAGACGGGTCTTGTGATCGAAGAGCCCGACATTGAGATTGGGACTGGAGTCTCATCGAAGGGTATGTTGCGTCCCTCACGTCTTGAAATCATGGGGAAACCAGTTAATGACGCAAAAGACAAAGCCATGAGTCGCCGGGTCGGCCCCGAGCCCACAGGCAAGCACGGTCACTTCCATGGTCGGCGCAACAACCACGGCGGGGGTCACCATGGCGGCGGATTTGACCCTAACGCTTCGCGCTTCCGCAAGCCCGATCCGCGCCCCGGTGGACCCCAGGGAGGGGAACCTCGGCCAGAGCCTCACACGATTGGCGTGCCCCCGGCCGTCCCCGGCTTCGGCTTCCAGCTGCCCGGTATGTGAAGTGGCTATAGCGTGCCGCCGACGAGTCACGTTCCTCGTCACATCGCCCACCGTTTTGGCCCAGTTCTCCGGGACGGGTGGATGCTGCCGGCTGCCGCAACTCTCTGATGATACGTTCGGCCTGCTGCCATGCATGACGGAATGGCTCCTGCTGGTCCTTTCCCTCAGAGACATAGCGTCCTGCCGCTTGCGCCATCCACACCGTGCTACAATCGGTTTCGATTTTCTGGTCCAACTGGTGGAAGTCTTTGTTTTCACTTTATTTTGCTTTTGGTTCCCACAATTCCGTCTTAGCTTCAACATCCTTTCTTGGTGTAGTATACCAACCAAAAATTCCGGTGATGGGGTGGAGTGCTAGCAGCGGCTCGTTTGCATCAACGGATGGCGGTTTTTTGCGTTTTGCTTTGGCTATGATCAGCAGTATTACTTCATTCTCTGGGTTTTGCATAGCTTGCGAGGTGGTATTCCCTCTTATTCAGTCTTCCTATTAGGCAGTTGGGGAGGGATCAGGTAACGGTGCATCAGCTATGGGTTTCTATACCACTTCTTTGCTTCCCTCCTTCTGCGTAATATGATTTTCTGCGGGTGTGAAATTTTGGTTCTCCCTCAAGGGCACGAATCGACGTCGGTATTCTCTTTCTAAATCACGCGATGTGTCTCGTTTCGCATTCGATCAAGTCGTGTAATGATTGTTGTCTGTGTATCCGCTTCTTTGGTCTTTCATGCAAACATACTTTCACAAGGTATTCGGGAGGGGGGCGATTCGCAGTCTTCTTCACGGAGTGCTCTTTTTTTTTTCTCCTCCTTTTTCTTTGTAGTCAAAAAGTAATGTGCAATCGCAAGTTCGCCTCCAGCGCATTAATTGCGATGGACGGGTTTCGAACAACTATTATTTTCCTTGTCCCCCTTCCGGTGGGTTCACGGTATTAATATCGGCGGGGCAGCCAGTCAACGCCGCCGTGGCATCGTCACGAAAACGGTCGGGTGAGTCATTTCTCGGGCATGTGGGCCCAAAACGAGATTGATGGAGCTCGCTCCAACCACTCATAGCTCGGCATGCGAAAAGAAAAAGTGCAAAAAAAAAGAAAGCTATTTCTAGCTGCGAATGGTTTCGATCCATTGTCCTCCGGGTTATGAGCCCGGCGCTATTAAGGTCGTTAGTGGGTTGTTTGAGGAACACATTGAGTGAGAAATGCTTACCGCTTCCGCTGCGCCACGCAGCTTTCTTGAATAACTTGATGAAGAAAATTTTGTGCTAGTCTTGCCTATGTTCTCAGTACAAACATAAGATAGATGCCATCTTACACTGCCACGTACTTGTTGGACTCGCCCAAGGCTCCTTTTTGTGCTTCTTTGTGGTGGTCTTGTGGCTCTCCGGTGCTCCGACCTCGGGCTCGCTCGGCTTTGAATTTTGCCGAACGTGGCCAGTTTGAGGTGGCTCGTTTGATCCTCACTTCCAAGCTGGAAGCTTGCTTCCATTCGCATGTGAAAATGACATTGCACATGACCTTTTTTATCCCGACGTACTTTCGGGCTTGACCCGAGGTGCCATGGGGAACTATGCTGATGACTGGCTTCGTGGGATCCCGCCGTAAAGTGTCACCGCGAACAAATAGCATGTGAGTACGGGAGATTGGCCATAATTAAGACATACTAGGGAGTGCATGGCTATTTACGTGTAGGTATCTGCTTTTCATGTACAACACTTCCGAAATCACAGGTTGGGCCGAAGGGACTCAAGAAACATGTGCTGATGAGGTCTGGGGCAATCTGCTTCCTCATCGTCGCTCGTACAAACAACAAATGGTCGCGCCTAACGGCCTCGACATGGAGCAAACCAGCATTCTTCCAAATGGATGCTCGCAACCGAAGGCCCGGTATGTAGCCACTTTGTGGTGTGACCTGACCCCTGCAGCCCACTACTTATGCGAGGGCTGCTTTCATGTTCCGTGCCGCAGTGGGTGCCGTTTATTTCTTAATAGCCGCCCTCCTGGCCTTGACAGTCATGTCATAGAGAGCGTCCTTGAAAGCGAACAGGAATGCAGCCGTGATGACTGACTGCGTAACCTTGGGGCCGATTCCTTTTTCACATATCAGTATATCTACCAACCATACCGTCTACTACGAGTGACTTACCGCCATAGAGACCGGCCCAGCCCTCCTCCTTGATGATGCGGCGGAAGCTCGTCATCATATCCTCCTTGGGACCGTCCTTTCCAGCAACATGCATGCGGCTCTTCACCGTGATATACGGGTAGGTGATGGATGTAGCCAAGAGCTTACCCAGCGCACCCAGGTAGAACGAGTCGGTCGGAGTGACACGGCGCCTCTTCTCCAGCACGTTCTTCAGCTGCTCGAAGAAGGTGTATTGCAGGATCGGGTTGATGACGAGGACGAGGGCGGGAACGACACCGGCGAAGAGGCGCGTGAAGCCCTCGTCCTTGATGATGGAGAGGAGGGTGCCGATGGTCGACAGCGGCTTGGCGGGCTTGCTGCCGGGCAGCTGCTCGTTCGACTCGGACTTGCGCGCCGTCATGCGGGTGTTGACGACCCAGATTGGGTTGGTGAGGAGGACGGTGGCGCTGCCGGCAATGGCGCCCGCGATCATCGACTCGACGGTGGTGAGCTTCTTCGAGGCTCGGCCGGCCTTGATGGCGGCCTTCTCGAAGCCGGCGCGGGTCCACTCGTACCCTGGTTGTGGAGACGGTCTGTCAGCCTTTCTCCTCGCCCTTTTCTCCGCCTGTCACATGCTACGTACAGTAGTAGTATACGAAGTTGGTGACGCTGATGCCGAACAGCGCGGATTCCAGGCCGGCATAGAGACCGCTGATGCCCTCACGCTGAATGATACGCTTGGCGGCATCGAGGGTCGATGACTGCGCCCGCTTCGACTCGACTTGTGCGCGGGTAGAGAGGGTGATGAGCGGGTAGCTGGCTTGCATCAGCGCAACGACGGCGGCGGGGCTGCTGTCAAGGGAGCCTACGTCAGGGCCATGGAGAACAGCCCTCCGCCAGCACCAGCGAGGGCATGAGCCACATTGTCGCTCTGCTGGGCTGCGCTGGCGGCAGAGGGCCCGGCGGCCTGGCTGTCGGAGGTCTTCCTGAGATCCTGCGCCTGTGCGGACATTTTGCGGGGAAAGCTGCTGGAGGGTGTGGGAAAGCTTGGAAACGCGCTCTCAAAGCGGGTGTGGAGAAACTCAATGGAGAGGAGAATTTGGGAAATGGCAGCCACGGTCGAGATTAGGATTCGACGGCAGAGGCGGTGTTCTGCGGAGGACGACGAAAAAGGAGCGGAGCGTTGTGATGGTCCTGGGCCCTTGAAGCTCCATCATGCACCCAGTCGGCTTTGCGTCCCTGCCCCAAACCTCGGCACAGGCGGAGCACATGGGACGGATCACGTGCAGGGCGGCGGGCTGCGTCAGGCCTAGCGCGGGGCGAGGGTGCGTTTCAGGCCATTTGCTGCCAAAAATATACCGGAAATTAGCGACAAACTCCCCTAAACTTCAGCAAGTCCTCCAAAACGTCCGCAAATTTAGGCACCAACTCACAACATAACCGCCTTTTTGCACCCGAAACCCACCGCCGCCCGCTGCCAACTGCACGCGTCACCGCCTGCCCTAGATCTCGACTCAAGACCATCCAGCCGTGGGCAAGCCTGCTCCACGCGCACGCGGCCGCGCGCACCTCGCGCGACGCGTGAGACGGAGCCTGCTCGCCCCTGCGTCGCGTCGCCACACTGCTCTCGCGCCCACAAGTGGGGACAAGTGCCGAAGGCCATTGGCGGCACTTAATTCGTGGCTACCAACGAGGCAGCCCGGACTACTGCTCGACGGCAACCATGGATTTCAACACCAATGGACCGCACCTTGCCCCGCACAATCACCAGTACCCGCCGCCGCAGGGTTCTCCCAGTCCCGCCTACCCCCAATATTCCACTGCTATAGACCCGACTCTGGCTGCCACCCCGGCAGCCCAACGCCATTTCCCTCACAATAACATGGCCGGCTCTTCTCCCGGCTTCAGTGCCTCGCCGCGCTACAGCGCCTCGCCAAGCCACCAACAACAGTCCAACTTTGTACCATCTGATCGGTCACTGCCATCGACCGACAATGTCTCGGCCGACAACATCGATGAGATATACGCCGCTTTTGTTTTGTATTGCAATCCCTACTTTCCTGCAAACAATGACACAACCGAATTGAGGAAGATATTTAAGAAGCCGCCCATGAGCGATAACAAGATATTTGAACCGTACAATCTGTTCGAGCTCCTGAAGAAACTTGAAAAGGGTGAAATCAAAACTTGGATACAACTTGCCTTGGACCTGGGCGTCGAGCCACCAGATGTTGAAAAGGGCCAAAGCACGCAGAAAGTGCAGCAATACGCCGTAAGATTAAAGGTGCGTTGGTTCCCCGTCTCCGTTCAGTCTTTCTCCGCCAGTCTTTTTTATCTCTTTATTTTTTTATATTATTCTTTGCTTTTGCATTCTCCTTAGACCTCAACGACCAAGGCTTTTTGGTCGTTTTTTCATTCTCTGTCCTTGAGTCCACCGGCCTGACACAAACTAGCGGTGGATGCGTGCCATGCATATCGATGCGTTCTTCGATTTTTTGCAGGGCAAACCGCATTCTTACTACACGAATATCCCTCCATTGAACGAGCCATTCCCTCAAGGTGGGCGTGATGGTGTTGCACTAGAGGAAGACTTGGCCATCCGTGGCCTCGATCCTGCCTTCAAACCAAAGCGTGGTCGAAAGAAGGCAGAAGACCCGGATGACGACGACACCCCACCGCCGAAAAGACCCCAGCTAGACACTTCATTCGCGTTCAACAGCGGTAACCATCCACCATCGGCATATCCGAACAGTGCTCTACCCATGAGCGCGCATCCTGACCACTTTGCCAACCATGATCCTTGGACAGCAGCCTCAATGGGAACACCCAATGCTAACCAGAGGGGGCTAACTCCGAACTCTGCCCTCAATACGGCTGGTGCTCCTCACATGCGTTGGCAGGTGAACAGCCATCATGACAACCCTAGCACTCCACATCCTCTTTCGGCAGTCAGTCCAATGACGGAACGACCTCTAGATTCTGCATTCGATGAGCCCATCTCTGCAGTCACTCCCGGTTCCCGAAAACCTAGGCGTAGGCACGGACCGGCGGTGTCATCTGCGTGGCCCAGTAGTGGCTCTGTCTCAGGTGGGAAGCTTCGCGGAAGGCCACCACAAAACCGATCCGTCCGCGATGGTCCTTACGTAACGTTCCCTGCAAACCCACACACCAAGGAGCAGCAGACAGTCGATATCACTCGAACTACGCCGGATCCAACAAGCGCGAGTGTCCAGTTACTCGAAGCCGCACAAGGCCAAGTTCAAGTCCCCGGCCAGTCTCAAGGCCCACAAAACCCGGCGCCGGTTTCTGGACCATCTTCAGGCCCAGTACCTAATCAACAAGCACGCTTTCCACCTACTCCAGCATCTGCGACACAGTCAGGGCCGTCCCCTGTACATAGTCGTGCAGGACAACGCTTATCGTTGCAGGTGCCACAGCACACTGGCGGACCGGTCCATCTGGTTACGCCAACTGTGTTGGTCAACGGAGAGTCGAACAGCCCAGACAAGCAACCGGCCTCGGCAGAAGCGGCCACCGAGCTCCCTAAAGTCACTAGGGAGATGCTCAAGCGACTGTTGGCCGCCGACCTCCTCCGCGCTGACCTCAGTGGCCGGAAACGCATGCGTGGCCACGAGGCGAAAGACCTTGCTGATGCGCTCCTGACACAGCTCAGCAGCCAAAATGAAGCGAATGGCGCAGGCGAGGGTGAAGCGAACCAAGGTCTTGCCAATTGGCTCGGGTTCTCGACCCATCTTGGCTTGGGGCATTCCCCAGTCCCCAGCGGCATCAAAAAGATTGATGTTCAGAAGTACAGGGTCAGCGAGGACGGGTATGAGAGTCCTATCGACGCGGACGATGGCGGACGTGAAGACAGTGACCTGGCTCTTGGCGTCGGCTCGAAAATCAAGGAGACATTTGATGTTAGCTGGAGTCTTACAATGGGCAGCTGTACAGGGAAATTCTCCGTAAAAGGCCTGATGATCGAGTCAAAGGGCGCCGGGGAGAATGAGGAGAAGGACGGGAAAGAGAGCTTATCGCGCAATGGACAGGAAAAGAGTCTCGAGGAGAGGGTCAAAGAGTTGGAAGCACAGTTGAAAGGCAAAGACAGAGAGGTGCATTTGTGGAGACAGCGAGTGCTGGAGGCCGTCCTGTGAATTCGTTGGAGGGCAGCTTTTACTTTGTTTCTTTCTATCTGATCTTACACGGAGTTGGCCGGGTGTGTGCTGTTTTGGATACCACTGAGTTTTTATTTTAGTTTGTTCTCACTAGGGTCAAGGTTGACTAGACTTCTCCGCCGTGAAGCCTACAAGCAGACCACGGAGATGGCTTGAATAGTAATCTTCTTGTTCGCCTCTAGCAAAACCCTCCATTGTACTCTGGTGAAACGTCGTTCCAAGTATATTTCGCTAGTGGTGGATGATGAACGAACCAGAGCTAGACAGGGCGTCACTTAGTAGGCTAGGGACCGGCAATAATAATGCGGCTGAGACCTCTCGGGTGTCGGCAGTGCTAACAACGGCACACATAAGACAAGGATGTCTGCAGACGGAGTGGGAACTCAACGTTCCTGCAGCAGTAATCTTCATGCTAGCAGTCGGCTGCAAGAGGGAACTGGTAGAGCCAGTGCCGATGATCTGCAACGGCCTGCAACGGGCCCAACGGCGGGGAAGTTCCGGCGAAACAGAACCCAGACGGAGTTCTACTACAAGTATAGCGCCGCCACAAACGTAAGCCTGACACAAACCATGAGGCTGCATCGCAAGCTTGGACGCCTCACGCTCCGTAGCCGGTGCTGTCAATCTCAACGCATGCCCCGAAATCATCGCCCTCCATATCGGTGGAGACCGCACGGTCGGTGGTCGCGGCTCAATGGCAATTCCTGATTGCTTCGATTTCGCTCCACGCACATCGGCGATCTGAGCGATTAGCGTCACGGCCCAGTTCTTCACTTACTCAGTAAACCGCATTGTCTAGAATTCCCATGCGCAGAATCGCGCCGCTGGCTTTCTCCAGCACCTGGAAGTGCCCGCCACCCAACACGACGCTCCGGCTGGCTACCGCCCCCGTGCTCTGCACGAACGAGACCCTCCGACCCGCGCTGCACCTGTAGCGACCTGCGCCGATCCCCACTAGTCAGCTGGCTTCCATTTTGGGCACTCGGCTCCTTTGCGCCCTCTCGCCGCGCCGCCCTTTGTACCACCGCCGGCCCTCGTTTGAACTCCCTCCAAAGCGGTTGCGGTTGAATCGCTGCGCTGTGAGCCACAGCCCAATCGATTCCCAGCACAGACCGCGTCCCGAGCATCCCAGCGAAAAGCAGCGAACCATTGCCACCAGCGCAGCCGGCGCGCGCGCGTGTGTTGCAGGACGCGATGCTGGCGTCGCTAACGAGCAAGAACGGGGGCGGAGGCGGCGGCGGAAGCAGCAGCTGCCAGGCACAGCCCGGCGGCGGCGCCGCCAACAACAGCAACAACAACAGCAACAACGCCAGCAGCGCCGGCAGCGAGGCCTCGCGGCCCACGACGTCGAGCGAGCGGCCGGCGAGCGAGCCCGCATGGTCGATTTTCGGCGTGCGCAACAGCTCGCAGCACGTCCGCAACTCGCGCCAGCCCCGCTATCCCGGCCTGCACCAGGGCCCTGAGTCGGAGCCGGAGGTGTCGATGCGCGCCGAGGACGAGCTGTTCGCCGGCGTCCCGCTCATCGACTTCCTCGACCTCGACGCCAGGCCCGTCTTCGCCGTCGACCTGCTCGCCAAATGCACCTCGGGCTCCGCGCCGGACCTGTCCGCCGCCTCGTCCGTCTCGTCGTCGTCGAACAACCTCCACGTCCCGCCGTCGCCGTCCCCGTCCCCTGCGTCGCGGCCCCAGTCGCTGCCCATAATATACTACAACCACGCGCTGCAGGATGCCGGCAACCTGCTGGAGGTCGTCGAGGGCCGCGCGCAGAGCAGCCCCTACGGGCAGCCCGCGTGGGTCACGCACTCGGTGTTCAGGGCGTGGGTGCTCGACCTGTCGCGAAGCATGCACGGGAGCGCGCGCAAGGGCACCATCGTGTACGGCGGTGTGACCTGGGCGGCGACGACGGTGAGCAGGCGCTGGAAGGTGCTGTACGGGGAGGCCTACCGCCACCGGGATCATCTGACCGGCTCGTTTTCCAACATACAGTTTTCCACAAAGGCCGTGGGCGAAGACGTGGAGAAGACGATTGAGGAGAAGCCCGAAGACGATTTGAGGGGGAAGTCGGACGACTATTTAAGTGGGGTGCCGGGCGACTACTTGAGCGGGATACTCGAGGAGCAAAACTTGCCAAAAGAGGACCTTTTGCAGACGGAAGAAAAGGCGGACTCGAGGAAAGAGGAGGTGGAATCGAGGAAAGAGGAGGTGGAATCGAGGAAAGAGGAGGTGGAAGCGAGGAAAGAGGTGGATCCCAGGATGAAAGAGTTGGATTTGGTGAGGAGGGGTTCGGGAGCTGAGAGGTTCAGGAAAGACTCGGTGAAGTACGAGAGAAGACACAGCCTACCGCCACCTGTTGAAGCAGTACCTCTCACTCCCGGAACCAGTACCTACTATCGGCAGAGCTCACTGCCAGTCGATGTCCGATACGATTGGACATGCACTCCTCCGCCGCCTAACCTTGTTCCACACGTCCAACTAATTCGCGGCATAGACTGGGCAGAGACGCCGCTGGGCCCAATCGAGTCATGGTCTCCTACCTTGAAGTTCATGTGCAACCTGGTGATGGCTTGCCCAAACCCAGCCATTGTGTTCTGGGGCCCAAAGCTAAACATGATCTACAACGAAGCATACATCCCCATTGCCGGTGCAAAACATCCCGCGATGCTAGGCTCTCCGCCGTGGGTTAGCTTCGAAGAAGCATGGGATGATTTCGAACCATTTGTGCGGAATTGTGAGGAGACGGGATGTGGTGCCATGGTCGAGAACATGCTGCTGTTCCTGAACCGGGGGGCTGGCCTCCAGGAAGAATTTTATTGCTCGTTCAGCTTCACGCCCATTCTAGAGAACGATCAGATCGTAGGCTGGCACGAGGTCGTTTTTGAAACAACAAAGCAGATGATCACCGAACGAAGGATATCAACTCTGCTCACTCTCAGTGAGAAGCTTTTTGCGTCAATCACCCTCAAGCACTTTTGGGACCAAACACTCGAAGGCCTGCAATCCAATTCGCAGGACATTTGCTTCGCGGTTTTGTACTCAGTAAGTGACTTGGCCGGAGAGTCCAATTCCGGAGGCCCAGAACGAAGCTCGTCGAGACGCTATGAGCTCGAAGGAAGCATCGGCGTCCCGGAAGGACATCCTGCAATAGCAACCCGCCTTGACGTGGCTTTGGGCAAGGATTGCTACATGCGATTCTTCCGCGCCGCTGCAGAATCCAGCGAGCCACTTTTTCTCAGCACAAAGGACGGCTCTTTGCCTGAATCCTTGGTCCAAGGCATAGAATCGAGAGCTTGGAACGAGCCTTGCGAGTCTGTCGTTATCTGTGCCATTCGCCCGACAACTGGCCACGCTTCCACTCGCGATACTGCTTTGGGCTTCCTGGTTCTTGGACTAAACCATCATCGGCCGTATGACGAGGAGTACAGGACTTTCATTCAATTACTCAACCGCCAATTGACAACTTACCTCGCTTCCGTTCTGTTGCTAGAAGAAGAGACCAGACGAGGACGTACTGTCGCTGAACAAGCTGCCCTCGACCAGCAGAAGATCGAGGAGCAGTTGCAGCTTCGCACGCGTGAACTGGAGCAGAGCGAGCTTCAGCTCCAACATTTTGCTGACGCCATACCTATTGGGATATTTATCCTCGAATTTACGCCCGATAACATGGGCGGGAGCTACAGATATCGAAACGAGAAATGGTTTGAGATGATGGGGGACTCTCGCGAGAATACGCCCAGCTGGGATAGTCCATTGTGGCAACAAATGCATGCGGAGGATCTCGAAAGCGTGCAAGGCTGCTGGAAAAAGCTTATGGAGGAAAAAACGGAACAGAGTTTCGAGTTTAGAATTCCTCGGCGAGCAGATCAGCAAGGAGGCGAATGCACCTGGATCCTCTGCGTAAGCGCCCCCCTGTCTGCCTCAAAGTAGTGGAGCATTACTAACATTGTTTTCATAAAGCACGCCTTCTCGGTAGTGACGGATGACGGCTGGCTTCGATCGGTTGTCGGTTCAGTCACGGATATCACAACGATCAAATGGGCGGAGGGTATCCAAAAGCGAAAGATGGAGGATGCGATCGAGGCAAAGAGACAACAAGAGAACTTTATTGATGTCACATCGCATGAGATGCGTAACCCGCTCAGTGCCATCATGATCTCGGGTGAGTCTACTAGGTGGCTGTCGCCGGACAGTCTCTTACCATATGTCTGCTAATGGGTTTAGCGGACGATATAATTGCGTCCCTGAAGGAGCTGAACCGAAACGCCAAAGACTTTGATATGGTCATTGAAAATAGCATCGACGCTGCCAATACGGTGCTGCATTGCGCTCAACACCAGAAAAGAATAGGTAACGTTCTCGACAAGTAAAGCATGGGAATCCCTGATCTGACAGCTTGCAGTCGACGACATCTTGACGATCAGCAAACTCGACTCTGGTCTTTTCTCCATCAATCCGATCGAGGTGCAACCGGTCGGTCTGATCAATGATCTCTCCAAGATGTTCGCCGGCGAATACAATGCCGCTGGCATAACGCAGACAGTGATCGTGGAAGATTCGTACAAAAGCCTCGGAGTCGACTGGGTCCTACTGGATTCGAGTCGACTCACACAAATTCTCATTAACCTCATCACCAACAGCATCAAGTTCACTCAGTACCAATCTGCGCGCGAAATCCAGATTCGCGTCGGTGCATCCAAAGAAAAACCGACGATGAGTAGTGAAGGCATACAATACCTCGATTTCCGGATGCCCCGTGAGGACTTGACCCAGAGAAAAGAATGGGGGGACGGCGAAGAGCTCTACCTGCATTTCTCAGTTGCGGATACCGGGTGCGGGCTTACAGTGGATGAAAAGAAGCTCCTTTTCATGCGTTTCTCGCAAGCACCGCGTACCATGGTGCACTATGGAGGCTCTGGACTCGGCCTATTCATATGTCGCGAACTCACAGAACTTCAAGGTGGCTCAATAGGCGTTGACTCTGAATCCGGGAAGGGCTCGACGTTCGCATTCTACGTCAAGACTCGCCGACTTCTTCCAAGGATATCCGTGTTGCCGAGCCGAGCAGCACATGCAGGGCATGAGTTGACGGCCCTGCAGCAGCTGCAGAACATCGAGCAGACTTTCGAGCAGCCGCTTATGCCTCGCCAAGACCAGCTCGCACCCAGTCCGTTCAGCAACCAAGTGACACGGCCGTCATCACCAACAACACCGGGAACAACGACGAACACGACTACGTCGACGAACTCGGTCCCGTCGTCTTCGCCATCGATGGCACGCCCCCCTTTCGACTGCCTGATTGTCGAGGACAACAAGGTCAACCAACAAGTCATGAGCAAAGGGCTCGTCAAGCTTGGGCACACGGTCTTTGTGGCCAACCATGGCGCTGAGGCGCTCGATTTCCTGCGGTCGACGAGGCACTGGCGCGGAAATGCGGCGGATGCACAGCATCTGTCTGTGGTGCTCATGGACATTGAGATGCCGGTCATGGATGGCTTGACGTGCGTGCGGGAGATCAGGAAGCTGGAGAAGGAGGGGCACTTTGCCGACAAAATGAGAGTGATTGCCATTACGGCGAATGCTCGAGTCGAGCAGGTCAACACGGCGATGCAGGCGGGCATGGACGACGTTGTGAGCAAGCCGTTCAGGGTCGCGGAGCTGATTGCGAGCATCGAAAGACTTGTGGATTCGAAAGAGCCGAGGGTGGAGACGGTGGAGGTGGAAGAGGCAGACTGAGAGGACAAGGTCGATGTTTGTCTTCGCTACTCTCAGCTGCCGCGCTGAATGGTCCACATCTTCTGGGTGCGGGCTTTATGCGGTTTTTGCTGGGCAGCATGCACCGCAAGGCACAAAGATTGCAGAGAAGGAGACCATGCGATGGCCAGAGTGTCGAGCGTGCTGCATGGAGGGAGTCGGCCATCTGCCGCTTTCATACAACTGGAACCGGAAACTCCACGAGCCCCTCAACTGGCATGGCCTTACACATTATGACGCTTGTTTAATATCCATTTTTCTTTTTGGCACAGTTTGAAACGGGAAACAGGACAGGGGCGTCGAGGGAGAAGTAACGATCGAAGACGAGTGGACGACAGTGTACTATCACATTCGATGATGTGAGCAACGATTTTGCACATTGCGATTTAGAAGGGTTCTATGGAGAAGGGGTTCCCGACAACGTATATTTGCGTGTTCTGGTGGTTGGGGATGCAGGATGGTAATGGAAATAGCAGTTGGAGCATGCGCATCCTCCAATCACACCGACTGACGTATCGGACACACCTCCCGAGTCACACAACCAGCGCATGAAAGTGTCATCTGACGCCTGCGGAGAATTGAGCATGTGTATAAGGGTGGCGCCGGCCTCGGGCTCAAGGCTCTTGGGCGCAACTTCCTTCACGCTCGTCGGATCGACCTGTGACGTGCACTCGTTTCCCCACAGCGTCCGTTTTGATCCCCGTTGTGGATCCCGGCCCATGTCGGCGCCCCCAATTCCGCGCGCACCGCAGCGCTCAACATGGAAGCGTCGCAGCAAACGATGGCTGGCAAGGCCATGACGCAGGGTGGTCGGAGAAGACAATTCCGCCATGGCCGCAAGTTGGGAGGCTCAGGCTGGCGCTGGGCTAGTTCTGTGCGGCGCAGTTTGCTGGGCGGGGCTTCCTGGCAAAAATTCGAGCTTTGATCGCACGTGGGAGCTCTTCCGACACCTCACTCGCTCCCCGCCGACGCCAGCCATTCGCTCCCAGCAATCTCTCCGTTCCCTCCCAAGACTTCTCGCGCCTCGCCGTCCCGACCACCAGGCCGCGCAGGAACCCTCACGTTCGCACAGCAGAAAACCCCGAGACGAACAGCACCCGCCCAACTTTCGGTCCCTTTCCCACCGATTGAGCGTCGTCCCACCCTGCCAAAATGCGCTTTGGCCGCACGCTGCAGCGGTCCGTGTACCCGCCGTGGAACGACCAGTACATCGACTACGACAAGCTCAAGCAGCTGCTGCGCGAGGGCGGCTCCGACCAGGGCAGCGATGAGGACCTCGACGATACCTGGACCGAGGAGGACGAGGGCAACTTCGTCGAGGAGCTGGTCAACGTGCAGCTCGAGAAGGTCCACGACTTCCAGAACCAGAAGTACCAGGACCTGCGCGACCGCACCTCCGAGTGCGAGCGCAAGCTGGAGCCGCTGACCCCGCCGGCAGGCCAGCAGCAGGACGAGGGCAGCGACGCCAATGGCGCGAACGGCGCTGAGGGCAGCAGCGGCGACGACAACGCCAACAACAAGAAGCCCGACGTGCCCGAAGAGGAGCGCAAGCGGCTGCTGCAGGAGGTGCTGAAGGAGCTGGACACCATCACCAAGGAGGTCAGCGAGCTCGAGCGCTACAGCCGCATCAACTACACCGGCTTCCTGAAGGCCGCCAAGAAGCACGACCGCAAGCGCGGCCACAGCTACCGCGTGCGCCCCCTGCTCCAGGTGCGCCTGGCCGCCCTGCCGTTCAACAAGGAGGACTACTCGCCGCTGCTGATCCGCCTGTCGGCCATGTACTCGTTCGTGCGCCAGAACCTCGAGGGCAAGGAGAAGAAGGAGATGTCCTTTTCCGAGGGCACCACCGGCGGCGAGCACTTCACCTCGCACAAGTGTATGGCCGTGTTGTCCCGTCCGATGTCGAATCCTGCTGACTTTGTGCTGCAGTCTGGGTCCACCCCGAGAACCTGCTCGAGGTCAAGACCGTCATCCTCCGTCGCCTGCCTGTGCTTGTGTACAACCCGCAGACCTCCAAGATTGCCGAGGGAAACCAGCACGACCCGTCCATCACGTCCATCTACTTTGATAACCGCAAGTTTTCCCTGTACACGGATAAGGTTGGACACGAGCCCAACGCCTCGTCGCTGCGGCTGCGCTGGTACGGGCAGCTGGAGGAGAAGCCCGAGATTGTGCTTGAGAAGAAGACGATCAAGGATGGGGATGCGAGCGAGGAGCTGCGGTTCCCGATCAAGGAGAAGTACATCGAGCAGTTCATCCGGGGAGAGTACAAGATGGAGAAGAGCATCGACAAGCTGAAGAGGACTGTGGGTGGGGATTCTCCAAAGGTCCAGGAGCTCCGGAAGAGTGTCGATGCCATTCAGTCCTTTGTCCGGGAGAAGGACCTTCAGCCCCTATTGAGAGCCAACTACACTCGCACTGCCTTCCAGATTCCGGGAGACAACAGAGTCCGCATCTCTCTCGATACTAACCTTGCCCTTATCCGCGAGGACGCGATTGACCGTGATCGTCCTTGCCGCGACCCGGATGACTGGCACCGGAGCGATATCGACAGTTCTTCGATGGAATATCCCTTCAACGAGGTTCGCAAGGGCGAGATCTCTCGTTTCCCGTTCGCGCTTCTGGAGATCAAGATCAAGGGCGAGAAGCATTACGAGTGGGTCGAGGACTTGATGAACTCGCACCTTGTCAAGGAGGCACCTCGGTTCTCCAAATTCGTCCACGGCGTCGCCCAGCTCTTCGAGGACCACGTCAACACTTTCCCCTTCTGGCTCAGCGAGCTCGAGACGGACATCCGCCGCGACCCGCACAAGGCTTTCGAGGAAGAACAGGAACGCAAGGCCAAAGCCGCCGAAGACGAGGTCGCCGTGGGCAGTCTGTTCGGCACTCGGGGCAGCCCACTGGCTTTCCGCGCATCGCTGGCCTCCCCAGTCGGCTCTCCCTCCAACCCAAGCATGGCGAAACTCTCCAAGTCGCCCAAGGCCACCATCGCAGACACGCGCCGCGCCTCGCTGGCCGCGCAAACCGCGTCCGCGACGCACGCCGCCCCGCACTCGGGCATGGACAACGTCGCCGAAGCCGCCGACTCGGACTCGGACGGCGGCGGCGGCAGCGGCGCGGTCGGCTCCCCGGGCGAGCGCAACATGACGACGCCCGTCGGCGTGCGCTCGCTCTTCCCCTCGTTCTCGTACTCCAAGTACGCGCAGCGCCACCGCGCGCGCCAGCAGCAAGCCGCGTCGCTGCCGCCGGGAGTGCGCGACCCGGGGCCCCGCTGGATCAAGGACCAGGGGCCCGTCCGCGTCGAGGCGAAAGTCTGGCTCGCCAACCAGCGCACCTTCATCAAGTGGCAGCACGTGTCGGTGCTGCTGGCGTCGCTGTCGCTGGGCCTGTTCAACGCCGCGGGCGAGACCAACACCGTCGCCAGGGCGCTGGCCGTGGCGTACACGGCCGTCGCGGCGTTTGCGGGCGTGTGGGGCTACGCCATGTACATGCATCGCAGCAGGCTGATCCGGGAGCGGAGCGGCAAGGATTTTGATAACCCGTGGGGCCCGATGGTGGTGTGCTTGGGGTTGGTGATTGCGCTGTGTTGTAATTTTGGGTTCAGGGTGAGTTGAGTGTGTGCTTTGATGTGTTTTTTTCTTTCTCTCCTTTCGTTCTTTTTCTTCTTCTCCTTCCTTCTTCCTCCTCCTCCTCTTCCTCCTCCTCCTCCCCCTCCTCCTCCTCCTCCTCTTCCTCCTCCTCTTCCTCCTCCTCTTCCTCCTCCTGATCTCCAGATCTCCATTTACTTTGCTAACGGGCATCGATCGAAATCACAGTACCGTGCCATCACGCAAGAAAAACAAAGAAGTGTACACGATGGGATTGGTAGCGGTGCGAATGCTACCGTCGTCGAGGCGGCGGTGGAGGCCGTTGCGGGGATGCTTGGTGCTGGGGAGCTGTAGGTACAGTACATCCTACTTGCTTACTTACTCCTTATGGATGTGATCTGTGTACACGAATGTCGTTTTTTTTCTTCTCTCCTTGTTTTGTTAGTGATTTGAAAAAATAAGAGATGCCGTCTATCGACGGGTGCGGTCAGTATGAAGAGGAAAAGGATTGTGGAGATGGAGTATATGTATGTATCGTTACTTTGTCGACCCTTTTGAGTGCTGTTTCGAGTGTGCTTCAATATGTGTTTTCTGCTGAATGTGCTGTGCTTTATGGCGGATTGGAACGTGTAGATGAGGCGGGGACTGGGAGAAAGAGGGCCTTTTGCTGTTGTATTCTATCGTGGTTGTTTGTAGGAATCATCAGTCTGGATCAATGGGAGATGATATACGCATACAATATGGTTTGTTACGTACGTGCGACGCGCTGTTGTCTCATTACAACGACTGTCGCCTTCTAGACCTACATGCCCATTTACCGAAGAGAACACGCCGCACAAGGTTGGCTTTTCCTGACTTGAGAGAAGACGTCTTTGCAATGCGATGGGAAAATCCAGTCTTTTCGTAGAATGTGCAAACATCTATCTCAAAGTACATAACTATCACTATGATGATTTCTTAATTGCCTTTACGTATATACAGACCCCCGTTGTCTTGTATACCGTCCACATCGACGAACACTGTACAAGATTCTCTCCACGCACGCCACCATACCTATCCCCTTGTTTGCTGTCGGGAGCTAGGATATGTAGCAAATCACCTGCATTTTACGACATATGAAAGTAGGTTCGTCAAGCTTGATGATGATTCTCTGAGGACATTCCGTCTCAATACACTCAACGATACGATGTTATCCTGTCTCAAGTACCATCTCTGTCTTGTGAAATGTCAACAACAAGAACAGGAGCTTCTCGTCGAAGGACCCATTTCCTTCCGAAACTACTCCGCAAACTTGCGCAACCCGTGGGCTACACAACGGCATTGCATCCCCCCTCCCGAACTGTGCGAGGTAAACGACTTGAAAACGGCTTATACTACGGTGCTTCGGAATAACGCATAGCGGTATGTATTTGATCTTTCTCCATTATCCAGCTCACCTGCTTCCTGCTAATCCCTTTTCTCATGACATTTCCCTCTCGGGTGATTAACACTTAGCTTGTATCTTTGCCGTTCGTTATCCTGCACTTTGAATCATATTGGCAGCACCGCTGATCTGTGTAGTGTCGATCCCCTTTGTACATTGAATTCATTATTGAAAATGGAAATAACACACTCGCCATCTAATACTGCATCTTGATGTACGCTGCCGCAGGGGGCCATCGCCAATAGGATGGCGCAATCAGGGGACGAAGAGAGTCGACGGGGTGGATGTTCGCTGCGGTAGACGTGCAGCATTTAAAGTTGACACTAAAAAAGGGACGGGAGAGAAACACGGAGAAAAAAAAAACATGGCAATCGGCAGGAATACGCATGGGCAGACGGACAGGGCCGTACCTTGACGTCGATCGATTTAGCGGCTGGCCCCCGGGTGCGCATCTGCCGCCGCCAGTCGTCATTGGCTGAACTACAGCATTCACCATGACCCGAAGCAGCCATTCCATGCGTCATCCAATCCTCTACCACACTTTGGTAGTCGGCTCCTCTCGACAATTGACATCACCGTTTGGCAAATTCCATTTGACGGCGTCATGCCACCGTTTCCGCATTCGCAGCTGACAGAACCTGGCAAGTGATAAACGCGGGGGTGGGAGCAGGGTGCAGTGCTTGACATACGTGACATCCCATTCCCGATAGAAACATGTCATCCTCAACAGTATTACCCGGTCTCATCAGGCACTTCCCCTCCACGCCGCTTTCCAGCAAAGCGTCATCCCTACCACCACCAATCCCCTTCCTCCCCGCGTCACGAACAACAACAACAACAACATCGTCGCGCCGCCTCTTCCACCCCAGACCCACAACAACCACCCCACGTCGTCGTCCTCATCCGGCCGAGCACCCCAGACCAAGAGCAGCAGCAGCAGCAGCCCTCTCCACCACCACCCCCTCATCCCTGGCCCTCCCCAGCATGAACGCCATCCGCACCACCATCGCCGAAAACCTCGGCGGGCCGGCCCACGCCCTCGCGCCCAGCGACTCCCAATTCTCGCTGGACGCGGTTCCCGACCTGACGGGCAAGGTGGCCGTCGTGACGGGCGGCAGCGAAGGCATCGGCTACGGGTGCACGCACACGCTGCTCTCGCACAACGTGGCCAAGCTCTTCATCATCTCGCAGTCGGCCGACATCGTCTCGCACGCGCTGGCCGCCATCCGCGCCGAGCTCGGCGCCGCCGCCGCCGCCCGCGTCGAGTGGCTGCCGTGCGACCTGTCCGACTGGGACGCCGCGGCCGACACGGCGACGCAGATCGCGCGGCGCACGCCGCGGCTCGACATCCTCATCTGCAACGCGGCGCGGGGCATCATGACGGCGCAGCGGGCGCCGACGAATGGCGTCGATTTGCACATGGCCGTCAACCACGTCGGCCACAGCGTCGTGACGTCGCACCTGCTGCCGCTGCTCAAGCGCACCGCGGCCGAGGGCCGCTTCGTGCGCGTCGTCCACCTCGGCAGCAACCTGCACGAGCTGGCGCCCGCCGACACGCGCTTCGAGAGCGTGGAGGAGCTGAATCGCGACTTGGGGCCCAACGCGCAGTACGCGCGGTCGAAGCTGGCGGCCATCCTGTACGCGCGCTACCTCGCGGCGCACCTGCGCGCCGAGCATCCGAATGTTCTTGTGAACGCGTCGTTTCCGGGCATCGTGGACACGCGGCAGACGAACGAGCACATCCACGAGGCGTATCCGCTCGGCGGGTACGGCATGAGCGTGCTGGCGGCGCCGTTCAAGAAGAGCGCGATGCAGGGCGCCGTGTCGACCATGTACGCGGCCACGGCGACGGAGCGGAGCGGCGAGTACGTGTGTCCGCCCGCCATCGTGGAGAAGGGGAGCGAGATGAGCGGCGACCGCGAGCTGGGCGAGCGGCTGATGCGCTTGACCAGGGAGTTGGTGGCCGAGAAGACGAGGGAGGCCAGTGTGGAGCAGGGGTGTCCGTTCAAGGATTACTAGGGGTGGTGGGGTATACGGTCTGGATGAAGCGTTCTGCCTTGTTTTGATTGTGTTTCTGGTGGAGCGGGACGGCGTGATGTTGGGTTGCCGGGGGGGCATCGACTGAGATAGCGAGAAGCGAGCAAATCATACTTGTACGTGTATCAGATCAGGAAGTCAGAACATGGTGGCATCATGCTGTGATCAGGCACTCACCATTGTCCCATCAGCACATGGCTCCGACGCAAGGGTCCGCAACGCAAGGGTCCGCAACGGTTATTGGCTGTGGCAGCAACATGTCTGTAACACTTTAGCACGCAATGCATACACTGTCCACAAATAAGCTCGAAATGACCATTAGAGAAAGTCGCAGCTTTCTATGTATTCACAGCCAATCGCTTGCTCACCGACGCCCCCGAACCCAATGACCATGGAATCCCAAAAGAAACGGACCAACACCCTCCTCCCTCTATGAGGCATGCACCAAACACTAGATTTTTGTACCCCGTACTGGAGATAGAACAGATGCTTCGTGGGAAATGGACATGCGCATTAACAAAACTGGCCTGGGAATCATGTTTTACTGAGGAATCTAGGGCTTCAGCTTGCCCTCCTTGCGGTCCTGCTCCACCTTGGCCTTGGCGGCAGCTTCGCGGGCCTTCATCTTGCGCTCCTCAGCCTCGACCATCTCTGTAACCAACGTCAGCACATCATGTCGTGATGTCGGCCCATGTCGGGAGATACGCACCCCTCCACTGATCTTCGCCCTGGTAGCGCTCGTGGTGGATCTTCTTCTCGATGTAGTGCGAGTGGGTGGGGTCGTTGGGGTCGAGCACCTTGACCGTCTCCCAGCGACCGGCACCCTTGTTCGCGTCGTTGGCCTCGAAGGCGAAGCTGGCCAGCAGCACGGCGAGCGTCAGACCCTGGGCGTAGACACGGGCTTGCACCAGCTTCTGCTGGCCTGACAGGTAGGGGTTGCGCGAGACGATGGCAAAGGAGCCGCCCATGGAAGCCAGCCATGCGGCGAAAACGATCGGGTAGCGGTTGTCGGCGGCCCAGTCCTTCAGCTTCTCGAACGATGTCTTGCCGGACTCCAGCAGCGCCTGCTGGGCCCTCTCCTCCTCCTCGAGGCGCTTCTTCTCCGGGTTGGTCTCGATGTCGTAACGGCGCGAGGCGCGATCGGCCGAAATGATGCCTTGATAAAGTCGGTCAGCTGCTTGTTGCCGTGTCTGATGCGAACGAGTAACCGGCTACGTACTGACGAAGGTGCCGCCAGAGGTAACAAGGAAGGTCCGGAAGGGAATTGAGAGCTGGCGGAACATGGGGTATCTCTTCGAGGCAAAGAAAACACCAGCGCCACTGGCTGCCAGACCGGCGATAAGACCTAGGGAGCCACCCTTGACCGTGGCACTGTTTCCCGTCAGCACGCGAGCTCGAGAGCGGCCAGCAAAGTTTTTGATGGATGCGCGCAATCGCAAGGAAGACTCACTTGTAGTGAGCCTGCTCCTCCTCCTTGGTAAGAATCTTCATGGTGACGGTGAATGCGGCGATGGGCGGGAAATTAGTTGAACAATGGGGTATCGGACGGGTTCAATGGCGCGGGGGTGGAGGCTGGCGGGCTGCAGCGGGCTGCAGCGGGGCGACTGGGGCAGCGCTCGTGGGGCAGGTCTCGCGGCGAGGTGGCGGAGGGCAGAGATGTTGTGCGTGGCGACGGGAGAGAGCAGAGAGAAAGGTCGGGGGAGCAGCGGAGTTGAAGGCAATAAGTATGCATGACGTCGGCGAAAAGAGGCAACGGCGGGCGCGCGACACACGCACAATTCTCGGGCTCCACCGAGCGTGGGCCGCACAGGCCGGGAGCGATTATATCACACCATGTCAGGCGCCTTCTGTGTGGTCGCGGCTGCCGCCTGTCTCCCGCCTGTCTCCCGCCTGTCTCCCGCCCGTCTCAGATCCCGCGCTGGCTATCTCCGGCCACCCAAGCTTCCCCGTTCCCCACTTTCTGCACGCCCTGCACGACTGCAGGCGTCGCGAAACTGGCCATGGTCGTGCTATGCCGGCCTGGACACGTCGACCAGCGTTCCATGGTGCGGTGCTCTGGCGGTCCCGAGTCTTCGCGGCGGCAGCGCGTGCGCGGCAGGAGATGCCGATGATGCCGAATCGCCGATGCCGGGCGCCATAGCTCCTGCCCTACGAAAGCTGCCGAACAAGCCGCTCTTTGCGGTAGAAACCGGGGAACCAGCTGGCGGAAGCTAGCAATCCCAGCCGTTGCTTATTTTCGCCTTCTGCTGATTCACCCGCCTGCGTCTGGAAGGCGTCGCCGCCCTTTATACTGTCGTCTTCCGATCCGGCTCGTGGTCGTGGATCTTCATTGGGCTCCACACACCGCACACCTGTCAACACTCGATATCGTCATCGCTTGTGTCATCTATCGCGACGCTTTGTCAGGCCCAAGGTGTTGCAGTTCTCCGACCAATGAGAGGTGCGGCTTTGCGATGAATGAGCATTCAATCCTGCATCTCTCCGTCACTTGTCCAGACTGCCTGAGTCCATGTGTCATGGACATGTTGTTCTTTGCATCCTGTTCCAATCAGACGCTAAGTACCATCTCTCTCTTTCTCTCTCTCTTCAGATTCTGTCCCAGACTGCCCAGCCTTGAATACCAAACATTTCGCTGGAATAGAGTCTTATCTGGTCATCCCCAGTACTCAGCCTGATTACGATGTGATTGGCTCTGTCAGCCAAGGAAGGCATTGCTTTTCGCCCCCGAAATCAACTTCAGCTACAGCCTCGCCATTTTCGTGATCCAACTGCTCCTTGTACACTTCGAAATCCACGCAAACGCCATGCGTTCGCCTCGGGATGGCCATGGGAAGCCAACACCGGATCCGCAAGACGCCAATCCGGACGAAGATCTACTCCATCGCGGACCGCTCGAGGAAATACACGTCCCGCTATTCGAGAAGGAGCCACCCGCCAGTACACAAGCGCCATTCTCGCCCGAAGACTCCAAACAATGGCAAACCACACTCGGCGTGCACGGCCCCCTCCCCCTCGAAGCCACCAAGCGATGGACCCAGAAACTGTCCGCCCTACCGTGCATCAACCGCCGCTACTAGGACAGTGACGCCAGGAAGACAGCTATTCTCAGGATGAACTCTGATTATGAGAATGCCGCATTTACCGTTATCCACGACGCTTCCCTGGTAAACTTTGAGTGGAGAGATGACGGGAGTCCCTGTGTTGCGCTACTCCTCTCTGATTGGTTCACGCGTGGCTGGACCGCAATTGAGCTCTGCATATCCAGACATGTCAAAGTTCTCTTCAAGGACCCAACTTCTCCCCATGGACCACCTCTCTTCAAGGACTTGGACCAGGATGTCCTGCCTTCGGCAAAACACCTTTGCCACCTTGGTGTCCGGAATGCACAACACATCATCACTAAGTTCCGTGGTTTCCGCCGGAGAGATTCAGGTGGAAGGTGGGCATCGATTCCAGCAGATTGGGCCAGGCGCTGATGTTTCGCTTCGGGTCGGATGCTGCGAGGCCTGAGCAGAATGCGAGGGCGGTTCTGAAGCAGTTCGATGCGTGGTTTCGCGAGCATGCTTGAGTCCTCAGCATTGTTTCGCCCCGCTTGTATCTTGCCTCGTAGCCGCGTGCGAGCGAGTAAGATACCCTGGTCGGCCGTGCAGGCAGCCAAGATGTGATGTGATTGGAGAAGTGGGGCCGGGATCAACGCACGTAGGCTTCCAGAAGACTTACCAGCTGAACCACTCCCGCGACCGCCCCGCAGGGTTCACGTCACTCGTCTCGATGATGTGCAACTAGCGGAGATCCGAGCCCTCTCGAGGGGACCAACATCCATGCCTCCTGGTTTCCTCGAAATAATGAGCCGATAAAAGTGGATGCGCAGATGCGCGATGGAACATGGCGGTGCAGCCATGCTTTTTTAAACTCGTTGATCATAGGACTTGGGCGCGCCTATCAGCCTTGCCTCAAGCCAGTCATCCGTCAACACCACCACGCACAAGCCACCAGCCACGTTGAAATGAAAACCAGACCTGCGGTCAAGGTCTGTTTTTGGAGCACCTTTCTGCATAGTTGGAGGTAGGTACGCACAAGCTTTCCAAGTCTCTCTCTCCAGCCTCCAGCCTCTTGCGAATTTAGAGCAGGGAACCTCGTATCTTTTGATGGATCCGAGCCACAGGCGCAGCTGACATCTCACTGTGGTCTAGCCTCATTGCCTGCCCCACCAACTCTTTAGTGAAATACTTAATGGGGTGTGCGGATTTGCGGCCCAGCTTCTAATGGTTGCAACTAAGTCAGACGGTCATGGATGAAGGCCGGGGTCCTGTGAAGCGCCGTTGCAAGTCTGCCCCGGGGGCGGTCTGGCGGCGGTCTGGCGGCGGTCTGGCGTTCGGGCGGCGCCCGCGTGGTGAAGGATGGATCTGGTACCTAGTGCGGCTATGCTACGCGCATTGCGCAGGCCTTTGCAGCCACACGTCCAGCTCCCGCCGGGATCTTCAGGCGTCGGGTGGTTTCTACATAAAGCCCGCCCTTGCCACATATGCACGAAGGGACGCATCTCATTCGGTGTTCGTCAGCCTTGTCCGACATCGTCCTTATGTTCATTGATCAGTTTCGGCTCCATCATGTCGACCCCCGAGCATTCAGCTACGGCTAACCAGATTTTGCATAACGGCGCCTGTGCAAACCACGATTCGACACAGATCAACGGCGATGTTAATAAGCCCAGGTAAGGGCTATCATAGCAGTCAGCAGCTTACGCTGAACGCCGTAGCTTTTCTTCAACCCGTCATGGTCATGGATCATACCATTTCACCGTCAACGACCACAGGTCATGTATTCACGATGGGTCCAATCAACCTTCTCGAAACCCGAGCAGCAACGGCCAACCACGCACACCCATGCGCTCATCAGGCATGGAGAACCCACCACCGAGCCCCCACGACCCGCGCGTCGCGTTCGAAGTCTCTGGTCCCGAGCAACCCCATGGCGAGATGCGCCCGCCCCAAAGGTCTTCAACAATGACCAGCATCAGGAGCTGTTACCTCAAGCTGAAGCATCCCCGGAGCACCGTCGCCATCGTCGGCGCGCTGCTGATCGCACTCATACTGGCGGTTGTTTTGCCGCTGGCTTTTACCTACGACGCGAGGCTGAAGCGCAGCCTTGCGGACGCGACGACGCCGGCTGCAGCGGCAGCGTCGTTAACGTCGCACCGCACAGGGCCGAGCTGAGGCTCGCCTATTTGACGACGATCACATTTGCATCGAATGCAACCCAGGACCCGTAGTACCCCACTTTCGTTTAGATGCACATGCGGGTGATACGCTCCGCATCCCGGCTTCCCAGTGGTCGACACGGATCAGATAAGGACGGAGGCGGTGGTGGTTATACAATGTCACGGATGGCGATGGTGTACAAAGAGGGATCGGGTCTATATCCCATGTGCAATGGTAGCGAAGGACTGATCATGACTGCAGCCTTTAGGTGATAGGTAACCCTAGATAGATGTTTATAAACCGAACAAGGAAAGGACTGAATGATACCATCGTCTTGCCGAAACATGTTCTGGTTGAATAGTCATGTAAGTCGGAACACGACGAATGAGTTGGTTGAGAGACAGTAGGAAATCATAAGAACCGAACCAAGCGAGTGGGATTAAACAGAAGTAGGTAAGGCACCTTGATCTCTCCAATATCAAATTGGTGATTCCATGGGGTAGGTATGCCCGCGCGTGAGGAAAATCCGCTAATGAGATCATCGCCTGTAGGTAGCGAATACAACAGATTGGTAATGAAATGTATACGAAAAAGGAGAACCAAACGAGCGCGAGGATCTCAGGCCTATTTTTTTCCATCAGAGTTCCCGTTTTGTTGACCGAGTCTCTTCGAGATAGTGTCGTTCACGCCCCAAGTATCACCGTTGAACTGCGTAGAATAGCCGCCTGCAGTACCCTTACTGTGACTCACTGATGTCGGGGTCGTGCCGGCTGGTCTATTGATGTCCCCATTCGTCTGCCAGGAATAGTCCCCAGCCGTTTGTCCTTCATACGTGCGAACGATGCCAGCGGCTGGGCCACTCGCAGACTGTCCTTCACCGTGCTGGGCCGAGTTCCCAGGCATGTTCGCCTGTGGAGCAAGTTTCGGGTGACGCTTCTCGAAGTCTTGCTTCAAACTTGAGGCGACAGTTGTTGTTGGAGTGGTCGGAGTCTTGGATGCAGTCTCAGTCTGAGTCTGGGTCCCAGTGTTGGACCGGATCGAAGATTCCTCGGGAGGCATGGCTTTTCAATCAGCCTACGCACGAGGGGCTACACAGATATACTCACAGTCTCAGATAAGGGGTGTGTCGCTTCTATGGTCAATGTGGTCCTCTGGTGCTTGCGGTGTCACTGGAGTCCATGCTGTATCGAGGACAGTAGCCAATTTATCTCCGCGATATGTTGAAGAGCCGCATCGCGAGCATGTTGCCATAACCAGGCAAGCCTTCCCAAAAACCATGCCAAGGGCAGTATGGACGATCCTGCTCAAGCCTAAGGCTTGATGATATACCCATGGCGGCCACGCGTCGGCTTCTGAGTTGCTGTCTTCGCGAGTAGTCGGTGCGCAGTATCATTCACCGGGGTCTAAAACTCATTCTGGCGCTTGTCCGTTTATCCATGGAGTCTTCATCCGGGAATCTGACCGCCTCCATGCATGCGACGAGCTGGCAGACATGATATATTCCCTGTTTTTTTCTCACCGCGGGAATGGTTGCACTTGATCTTCAAAGCCAATGGAAGGTGGACGCACAGGCGCAATGAGGTTCCACGGCATCGTGGGCTTGGTCGCATATAGGGTGATAGCAGCAGCCTAAATGAGGGGTTGCAGCTGCAACCGTGCCGGCAGGCGATTGGAGTGTGATGCGGGGAGTGGTTTGAGGGGACCGGGACGAAGAGTGCTGGATGTGTGAAGAGAGCTGCTGAGGCTCTGGTGGTGCGTTTCGGACGATGCATGCGCGCAATCGTTTGATCGCCCGCTCTGGTTTGTCGGCTGTCTTCCTTGCTTCTGCATATCCAGGCAAACGAATTTTCTGCCTGACATCGCTGATCCAATGAACACCCCTGTTCAGCATGCAGCCAAGCGTCAGCGCCAGCAGATTTATCAGCATCACCAATGATGCGGACTTTGGGTTTCGAGGGCTCAGTGAGCGGCAAAGCCGGTCGTGCAGTTCATCCGCCTCTCTATCTTTTTCCCTTGCTTTTTCTCGGTTCCGTTGCGTTTCCGGGTTGCTTTCGTCCCCCGCCGATGCTTGTCGACAGGGATCTTTTCCGTTTCTGTTTTGATGTGGAGACGTTCCGGCGTCGGTACTCCGTAGTGGTTATGCCCGCATATGCTGTACACGTCCCTCGTGTCACTTCTCGAATGATGGAACCGCTTACCCAAGCGACCGGGTGCTCGCCACCCAGGTCTCCCCTTCCCGCACTTCGAATCCGTGGGCGTGCTGGCGCAATCCCTCAGCCTTGCTCAAGAGAAGAAACTGCACACCTTCCCGAAGCCACACGGAGGCTATGTCAGGCCTGGAGGTGGTGGGGGCTGTTGCCAGCATTGTCCAGCTCGCCCAGATCACCGGAAAGCTGGTCATCTGCCTGAGAGACCTGTCCGACAATGTCCGCCGGTCCTCGGAGCGCTTCCAAAATTACAAACAACGCGCCGACGAACTCCAGCAAATCGTCACCCTCATGAAGGAAAACGACCAGCTCCAATCCGATGCATTGAGAGCTCCGATCGATGCCCTCGTTAGAACCGTCGAGGCCATCTTGAGAGTGCTGGCCAAGAAGTTCGTGACCGACCCGTCCAATCCGTCGACAAAATGGAGAAACCGCCTCAAAGGAGCCCGCATCCCGCAAGCAGAGGCCTTGATATCAGCAAAATTCGACGATCTGGAGCGCCACAAAAGCACGCTGGCACTTGCGATTCTGGAAAACCTCGGAGGCTCCATCCACCGCATCGACGCAAGACTCGCCACCGGCATTCCAGACATCCAGAGCCAAGTGCAGAGAATCGAGAGCACTCTGTTGGCTTGCTCAACCCTCGGCGACCATAGACTTCCATCCGATTGTTGTCTGAGCACGGCCAGAGAGGTGAGGATAGCCTTACATGGCTGACCCCTGAGCGACAGCCAGGAGACAACCCATCTACCCGTCCTGTGAGTTTTTTTTCTGACTTTTGCAGAAGCGTACCGCCCTAGAATATGCCGCCGGTAATGAGGAGGAGCCTAGCCCCGGTCATCTTAGCGCACGTTCAACCGGCTCCACAACCCTAGTGTCCGGTCGGCACTCGGCACCGGACCTTGAAACCGGCCATTATTCACAACACATCGAGTGTTCCCGACAAAAAGAAGTTGGAACCCGACTATATACAGAGAACACATCGCTTGAACGGGCTCTCCAGCTCAATGGCAATGTCGGCATCGACCAGTTCGGCGATCAGAATTTCAACTCACATTGGAGCAATAACAGCGCTACTGGCCAGAGCAAGCAAGTCAATGGGGATGTGTTTGATGCCGATTTCGCAACCATGTTCTTTTCCAGAAGGTAAATTTCCATCATGCATCATTGATACAAGGGCGTTTGCATATTATCAAGGCAGCAACTTATCGGCGTTTCGTTCCGTTCTTTCGGCATAAGTAACCAAATCTTTTGGTTCTTGTTTATTACGATGAAACGCTCCATGAATGAAGATGATGTACTCATAGCAGTACACCTACTGGACTTTGTTCTCGCGAGATTCCATGTATGCTACGGGCTTAACCACAAAAGAGCAGTACATACAATGAATATGATTGCAGATAGCCTCGTCCTGCCGAATATCCTCGGTCCTCCTCCTCCTCCTCCTCGTCCATTATCATTCCGCTATTCGCCCGTATATGAGAGCAAAAAGGAGTCTTGTATAAGCGTTGCTCAGAAATATACTTGCAGAAACTGCAGAAATTGAATCCTTCACCCCGTCTGACAGGTTCACGAGAACTGCGGTCGGTATCCTCGGTGTAAGTATGGCGTGCACTCCGGATTTGCCGCCAGGTTCGCCCATTGGAGAGAGATATAAAGTGTCGCCGCCGAGTCACATTTGCATGATGTTGTTCCACGAGTCTGGAACCTGTTATAGGGGAGGTATGTATGCGCCAAGGGAATGCCCATGGCGAGGCTGAAGTCAACCCCGCTCAGCCTTCTCTTTTCACTCTGCTGCAGTCTTCAGCCCAAGTCAACGAGTTTCGGTTGGTCGCCTCGCTTTTCTCACAGCGTTCAGTGTTTTGGGCCGCTTCCCGCATACCCGCCATATGCGCCGGCTCGTCTCGACGCTCCCAATGGAACCCCACACCGTGGCGCGTCCCCGCTTTTCGAAGAGCTTTGTCTGCGCTGTGCACCTTTTTCTACTTGATGCGCAGCAACAAGGGTGCAAGGCTCAAGGGCGCGAGGCTGTGGGCTTGTGTTCGCTTTATTCAGTCGCCATAATTCACGGTGGCGTCCCCTCGCACCTGATTCTGTCCGATACGTACCATCTCCTCAATGTCCGGTCTTGAGGTTATCGGAGCTATTGCCAGCGCCTCACAGCTCTTGCAATACACCGTGACCCTCGTCAACAACCTTCAAACGCTATACCGCAATGTCGAGCACGCCGGCGAACGCTGCAGTCTCTACCGCGAGCAGATCGATCAACTCCTCCAGATAACGGATCTGCTAAAATCACTAGAGGAAGTACTGTGCTTCGACACGGTTGCGCCCCACGTCCGAGCACTTGTGAAAACCACCGAGAGTATCGACGAGGCGCTGAGACAAGGCGGTGCCGGAGACATCTCACGACGGTGGAGAAGACTATTGAAGGCGCGGCAGTGGGGCAAGGCAGAAGACATGATTCTGAAAGCGTTTGCCGATCTGGAGCGCGAGAAAAGCTGCCTCACTCTCAGCATCCTTGCCAACTATGGGGGCCTAATGGGCCGGATCGATAGAAATATCGGCGACGGCCTCCCTCAGCTACAAGAGCAGGTTGGGAGGATCGAACGGACGCTGAGCAGCTGCTCCGCTATTGTCCAAGAGGGAGAAAGAATCAAAGAAACGTCCGCCTTTCTCGACAACCACGCTTGTTCCCAACCATCCAGCTTCGGGATGCGCAAGGCTGACGACGACGGCAACAAGGAGGTATGTATTGATTCCCTGAATGCAAAGCAGACGCTAACCATTCAAAGCTCGTTCTCCGAGGAGTGCAGGCTCTCCAAGCGAAGCCGCCAGACCAGAGCTCCAACGACGGCTTTCAGACGCCGAGCCTGGACGAATCAATCCTCGCCGTCCAGCGGCACGATTCGGAACGGAGCGATAGCGGCTATGAAAGCCTTCGGGGGAGCACTCTTGCGGATGAGCCCCGGCCTCCGACGCGGTCATGGATTGGAAACCGGGTTCTCGACGGGGCCATGCAGATAAACGGCAACGTGGGGGAAAAAGACGCCATCGACTCAGCCCTGGTCAACTGCCACTGGGGCCAGAACGAGGCGAGGGACCAGAGCAAGCAGGTCAACGGGGAGATCCTGGATGCCAAATTCGCCGCCATTTTCTTCTGTCAGCCTCAGCCGCTGAGCGCCTGACGTGCTCGGACATTTCTTCGTTGCTTTGGGAGGTTCCGTCTATCATACATATCGATATTTGCGGTATAATGACACATGGCGATGTTTTGACAGCCTGGTTATCTCAACGGCGGGAGCTGAAGAGCGTGCTTCGCCTCAGCCTTGCCATGTCTGTGCTCACCATCTGACCACCCCCTCTTCCCAATATGGCGCCGGTGGGCCACAAGGCAATCGCGAGGCTGATAGCAAGGAAAGAAGCAAAACTGGAAGGATTCACGAGGCAGCGAGGCTCCCCGGTCACCATGCCACCCCGAATCGGGACAAGATGAGCATGATCAGCTTGAGGCTGTGAAAGAAAATTCGCAACGACGTAACTACCTACATGCAGAAGGCTGAAATTTTAAGCGGGGCTGAGCTGCGTGCGGCGAAGCAGCCATGCAGCCTATGACCCGGCCGCGATGCCATCCAGCTACATGGAGCCACGTTTAACAAGGATATTGGCAACAACGCTCTCGGAGACGTAGATACAAGACCACCAATGGCTCATGCATCATGCACTCGACCCGACCCCGTCAGGCCAACATGTCTTCAAGCATCCCCCCAGCCTCGTACAAACAAACAAGGCAGAATCCACAAGCCAACACACAGGAGCCCAGCTCTCAACAACCCGACGCAGACAGATAAAGCACCGTGTCCAAAATCCCCGGCCACCTCCCCAACAGCCCATCGTCCATCTCCCCCCTCCACGCCACGATGCCATCCGGCCTCACCAGCACCGCGCCCTCGTCGCTGACCCCGCGCTGCCTCCGCCAGCTGCCATCCACGTCCCTCCAACCCCCCTCATGCCCGACGACCTCCACCTTGACCAACCCGCTCTCAAACGCCTCCCACCCCGCATCCTTCCTCCCCACCAGCAACACCATCCGACTCAACGGCACCAGATCCCTCACCGCAACCCTCTCCCCGCCCTCCTTTCCTTCCACCCACGCATGCGGCAAATGATGCCCCGCCACCGTCGACGCCCTATAAAACTCCGTCTCAAACTCCAACCCATCGCCATCCCCGCCATCCGCCCCCTCCCTCAGCTGTCCCGCATGCCTCGTCCTGACCCCCTCGCCCCAATGGTCCGCCTGCGGGTAGAACCAGCCGACCTCCGTTCCGGGCGCCTTGAACTCGGTGTCGAGCTGTTTCTGCGCGGCGCGGACGGCGTCGCGCTTGGCGCGGTGGAGCGGGTGTTGGGCGTCGAAGAAGGGGGCGATGGCGGCGGCGTTGTCCGCGGCGGAGCGGTCGGCGCCCATGCCGAGGGCGCGGTCCATGTCGAGGGAGTGGCTGCGGAGGTTGTGCAGCGAGGAGGCGGCGGCGGCGGCGCCGATGGGGCGGCGCTCGGCGGAGTAGCTGGTCAGGAGGGCGTCGTAGTGGGAGTGGGAGTGATTGGCGTCTCCGTCGGCGCCGCTGAGGGCGAGCTCGAGCTTCCAGACGAGGTTGTGCGCGTCCTGCACGCCTGTGTTCATGCCGAGGGCGCCCCAGGGGGGGATGCGGTGGGCGGCGTCGCCGGCGAGGAAGACGCGGCCGGTGCGGCCGACGCGGTAGCGCTCGGCGGTGATGGCGTTGACGTTCCAGTGGCTGAGGCTGATGACGTCGACGGGCAGGCCGGGCAGGTTCAGCGTCGCGCGCAGCCGGGCGACCATGGTGTCGCGGTCGAAGGCGGCCGGGTCCGTGGCGATGAGGGCGCAGGCGAAGACCCACTCCTGCGACTCGGGCGGGTGGGCGTCGAGCGGCCACGGCCCGATCTGGTACAGGAAGCCCGTGTTGGTGCTGCCGCCCATGGCCGGGGAAGTGAACCAGGTCAGGAAGTTGCGTGGGTCTGGGTGGAGGGCGCGGAGCTGGGGGGCGCGGATGTGGGCCGTCACCATGTGGAAGATGTCGGCTTCGCCCTCCCAGGCGACGCCGAGCTTGTTCGTCATGCTGCGTCCGCCGTCGGCGACGATGGCGTAGCGGGCGCGGATGAGCTGCGTGTCGTCGGGAGAGGTGCTCTTGGTGGGCTTGACGGTGAGGAGGACGTGGTCATGGTCGGCGTCTGAGACGTCTGTGACTTCTTTGCCATAGTGAATGCCGTATGGATTCAGCTCTTTGGCGCGGCGCGAGATGATGGGCTCCAGGCGGATTTGGGGCAGGATGGAGTAGCGCGACGGGCTGTGCTTCGCGTACTCTTCTGCGTACTGGCCGAGGCCCCAGGCATCTCGTGAGACGATCTCGCGGCCAGAGGAGCCAAGGTCGGTGTACCAGGCGGTGCGGCCGGCAATGTCGGGGGGCGCGGCAACCTTGTAGATGTCTTGCTCGATGCCCATGACGCGGAAGATCTCCATGGTCCGCTGGTTGATTCCGCATGCCTTGGGATGGATCGAAGTCCCGCTGTGACGCTCGAAGACGACATTAGGAATTCCGCGCAGGGACAGAAGGATGGAAGCGGATAGTCCAACAAGGCCGCCACCAATGATGGCGACTGGATAGATGGAGTCCGAGGGAGACATTGGCGACCCCTGGAGCAGTCAATTGAACTTTTCACCGTGGAAATTCAGCGCAGTACAGGAGAAGTGGGTGGGAACAGGATGAAACAGTGTTTTCTCGCTCTTTCTCTACTTCAGACAATGCCCGAGTCAGTGCTTCTCCGATCACGGATGACGTGGCGGGCAATTCTAGGTGGTGATGAGCAAAGGAAAATGGGGTGGACATGAGAAACGTGGGGGAGGAGATTTCCGCATGGATTTGTTTGATACTTCATGTTCATGGATGTTCTGTAGCGGCGCTCACGTAAGGGCCCAGCGTGGAAGGTGGGGTCAACCAACCCCGGCGCATGTCGGCAACGTCTTTGCTCCACCGTCAGCATCACAGCCATCCTCCAATCATGCGACCTGCACCTCTGCGAGAGTTCGAGATGGCCTAAACTTTCCTACGGCGTGGCCTTCAGCAGAGCTGGAGCCAGAGCCGGAGCCGGAGCCGACAAGCGATAGCCGCTGCACCTGAGGAATCGTTGACCGCAACCCATCTCCAGCTTGCGAGGGGACAATCTTTGCAAAGTAAGTGCTGACTGGACATTGGTCCAAGGAACGAACAAACCCCGGCTTATGGCCCGGCTGACATGATCGGGTCGGACAGTGAAAGGAAGAGAAGAACGAGACGGGGAGCTAGTATAGAGATGACAGGAGCGGCAAGCGTCATGGAAAACCAGCTCGTGTCATCACGACCTCGACAGTCGGAACGAGACATGACCTCACCTGCGGCTGATATAACAGGCCATGTCGTGCGGCTCCACTACCGAGCGATGCGCGAATTGTTGGGCATTCCTGGCGAACATGGCCGGCAGAATTTGCTGCAGCTGCCACTTGGGTGCCGGGCGGCGGGCGAAACTTCCTTTTATGCGCGGCAAAGCGCGTGTTTGCCGCAGCCGCCGGAAAAGAATCCGACTCCACAGCCACCTACGTCGACTGCACGAACATCTACCTCCGCACTCGATAGAGCCGGCAACGGGCGTCTCAAGCGTCGCCACGACGTGTCCGCCGAGTCTCCCCTCGTCTGGACCGCCATGAGGTGCATGCGCCTGGAAGTAGGTGAGTGAGGTGGTGGTGAAGTGGCACGAGGGGCGAGATACGACGTGCACGGCCATGCAGAACGAGCTGTCGATCGGCTAAACGTTGCGGCGCCGCGAGCGGCAAGACCGAAAGAAACCAGGTCGATACAAAACAGTCGCCTTCAGTGCCGCTGTGGTGCAATGTCGCCCCGATATCGCTCATGCGGCACCGGGTTGCCCGCCGCCAGCCCGCTCCCGACGTCCAATGCCACTGCAACCACCCGCCCGTTTGGCCATCTCAACCCTCACCCCGTCCGCTGTCGGCGACACCCCTGGCCACCAAGTCACGATAAGCCCGCTCGTCTCGCAACCGCAGCCAATCCGCAAGAGGACGCCACCGTCCGCCATGCTTCGGTGATCCGCGATCCACCCCGCCCCAGATCGTGCCTCAATGGGAAGTTCAGTACCATCCGTCAGAAATCTTTCGCCTTAGCGGCGGTAAGATCGACGCCAGAGACGGCCGCCTACCCGCTCACCGTTGCACTCGAAATTGACTCATAAGCAAATGCATTCCTCTTCATTCGCTCCCGTCTTTTTTGAAGACCCAGTGCTTCTTGCGACTTCTGTTGGTAGCAGTCTTCATGCCTTTGTTCCCAGTCCTTCGTGTATAAGGAGCCTCGAGCCTCGTAATATTTGCTTCTCGTTATCCACCTGCAGTCCCCTGCCTGCCTCCCTCCCCAGCACGTCATGTCCCGCTTCGAGGCCATCTCCGCGCCCGGTGCCCCGGTCGAGGAGGGCCAGGACATGCCGACTCCATGTCCGCCTCCACCAGAGAAGGCCAAGACCTCGCTGCCGGGAGCGGCCCGTCGCGGATCGGGCGCCGGTAGTATCGATCTGGAGAAGCAGCCGACGGTCGACGAGGGCAGACCCACCCTTGAGCACACCATCTCCCATGTCACGACGCACGACATCGCTCACATCCCCACCACCCACACTGGCGGTCCTCCCGTCAGCGACGAGATCTACGATAAATTCTCCCTGACTCGTAAAAACATCATTACCGCCGTCCTGTCCTTTTGCGGCTTCCTGGCACCCATCTCCAGCACTACCGTCTTGGCCGCCATCCCGGAAGTCGCCGAGACGTACCACAGCAACGGCACCACCATCAACATCAGCAATGCCTTATACATGTTGTTCATGGGCATCTCGCCCATGTTCTGGGGCCCGATCGGCCAGGTGTACGGTAGAAGATGGGTACGCAAAGAACACTTGCTCGAACCAACCTCTTCCAAGCCCCAACTTTCCGATGTGTGAAACTGGTCTGATTCTTGCTGTCGTAGGCCTCACTAGGAAGCGCGTTCCTCTTCACTGCCTTCTCCGTCGGCACAGCGCTAGCGCCCAATCTCGCTTCCTTCTTCGTCTTCCGCATCATGACCGCCGTCCAAGGCACCTCTTTTCTCATCATCGGCTCCTCCTGCATCGGTGACATTTTCCGACCCGTAAGCACCCGAACAGCCGAACCCACAATACCCTTTTCTCTCACCTCTCACTGACATTGATCCATCGAACCAGACCGAGCGCGGCACAGCACTGTCCTGGTTCCTCTCAGGAACCCTAGTCGGACCGGCCTTTGGCCCCTTCATCGGCGGCATCATCGTGACGTTCCGCTCGTGGCGCGACATCTTCTGGCTGCAGACGGCACTGGGCGGCTTCGGCTTCACTCTGATCCTGTTCCTGCTGCCCGAGACGACGCATTACAAGCGGTCGGTCGAGTTCAAAGGGCTAAAGACGAAGGAGAAGATGGCCAAGATGTGGCATTGGACGAATCCGTTCCGCGTGCTGCGGCTGTACCGCTACCCCAACCTCATCACCGTTGTATGTTGCTGTCTTGCCTGCCCGCCCCTCCATTTCTGCCCCCTTTTTTCCTCTCGGACCTCTAGTTCTATGAGATGGTTCCGACAGCAGAGAAGGACCCTCTCTCCCTCTCCTCCTCACTGATATTCAAAAACACACACAACTAACACACCCCACAGGGCCTCGCATCCTCCGCCCTCGTCTGGAACATGTACTCGCTCCTCACGCCCATCCGCTACGTCCTCAACCCGCGCTTCCACCTCACCTCGCCCATCCAATCCGGCCTCTTCTACATCGCCCCCGGCTGCGGCTACCTCTTCGGCACCTTCTTCGGCGGCCGCTGGGCCGACCGCGTCGTGCACAAGTACATGCGCAAGCGCGGCGGCGAGCGCGTGCCCGAGGACCGCCTCAACTCGTGCCTGCCCTTCCTCGGCGGCGTCATCCCCGCGTGCATGCTCGTGTACGGGTGGAGCATCGAGACGGCGAGCGGCGGCGTCCCGCTGCCCGTCGTCACCATGTTCTTGCAGGGCGTCGCGCAGCTGTTTTGTTTTCCGTCCCTCAACACGTATTGTCTCGACGTCATGCAGGCGCAGAGCGCAGAGGTCGTCGCGGGGAATTACGTCATCAGGTACGTTTTTGCGGCGCTGGGCAGCGCGCTGTGCTTGCCTGCCATCGAGCGCATCGGCGTCGGCTGGTTCTCGACCATTTCGGCGGGGTTTTTGGTGGCGGCGATGGGGCTGACGTGGTTGACGACGAGGTATGGGAGGCAGTGGAGGGATGACGTCGATGCGAAGAAGAAGATGGAGAGGAGGGTTAAGGCTGGTGAGGGGCGGAGGCGTGCTGAGGAGGAGGAGGCGGAGGGAGAGGAGAGTGTGTGAGGGTTCGTGGTTGGTGGTGGTGGTGGCTGAGACGGGCGGCAGCCTTTTCTTTTGCTTCTTCTTCTTCTTCCCCCCACGTTGCGCCCCCTATGATCATCGTGCTTTTTTTGAGACAATGGCTTATGGGAGCTCGAGCTGTGGGCTCCGCACGGTCGGTCGGCTTCAGTCGGTCGATGACTGATGAGAGTGATGCGAGAAAATTGTGCGGGACTGCTCGGACCATCATCTAAAAGGGAATGACGAACGGTATAGAATGGTACACTTAGAGGTTGGTTGGTTGGTTTGAATCCCCATTGTCGCTGACCAGGAGAGGGTAGGTCTCAGTGCCTGGTCTATGTTCGTAGTTCCTACTTTCCGCTTGTTTTTTTTCTTGTTTTTTCTCTCTCCCACTTGGCTCTCCCTTTTACTTACGGAGAGACACTGCATGCTTCTCATTTGCTCACAATCATAGTGAGGATACCCGGAGGCGTTGAGCGTATGATGACAATGATGATGATGCGTACGAATAGTAAGACCTAAAAGATATAGAAAATCTCTCACTTTGAAACCTCATTGGGAGCTTGCTACGTGACTTCATTTCCTAATGCGGATGAGCAGACGTCGTGCTGTCAGGCTAAGTGATGACATAAGCCTCGTCGACCACCGACAATTCCGAACCAGCCGGTGAAACGCATGCGGGTTGCCGGTCTCGACCCGATTCCTGTTTGATGGTGTTGCCTCGAGGACTCCGCCTTTCCCTCGGAGAGCTCGACTAGCTCGAAACAATCTCCGAAAGGACCTGGCACAACGTGGTGTCGGTTCGTATTTACTGTGCATCAATAATCTCGAAGTCAGTGCCAAGATGAGGCTCTAATGCAGAGAAAGGAACAAAAAAGGGGGTGAGCAGCAACCGGTCAGCGGCGAAGCTTTTTTTGGAGTCGTGCATCAAGGCAAAGGGTGGTGGTGCAAGCAAAATGGTCGTCACACGTCGGAGCCGCGAGCAAATTCAAGGACCCTTATGCCGCCATGTTTGATGAGATGAATCTCGCCAAGGGGCAGGTCGACGCGGGATCTTGGTGTAGGGTGTCGCGAGAAGGCGTGACACAAAGACACAGAAGAAGCGTGAGGCGGCGCACAGCTGATCGGCCACGCAGTGCAACCGACCTCGGGACAGGCGGCGCGGGACGGGAGGCTTGCAGCATCTGCGCTGCACGACCGACGACTCTGACCGGCTGGGGTTTACGGGACTTTTGTGGAGCGAGTGCATCTCGGGCGCGGGCACCTGCTTGCGCTGACAGGAGCTGTTTGTCTCTGCAGACACGTCGGGGCGGGGAAGGGATCCGGTCGAGCAGCGGAATGGATCGACAAGTCATGCCGCGGGTGCGACACGATCCGGGGATTTGAGAATTTGGGGCTGACAACAAACTGTGCTCAACGTGTTGGCCATGGCAAATGCTGCTGGATTGGCGTCTTCACGGTTGCTCGAAGTGGTATGACGGCTGATGCCATTTCGAGCAAGACGCCAAGACGCAGGCCTGGTGGTTAAGCCGCAATAAGACTTCCTTGCAACCGATCGGGACGATACGAGATGTTGCCATTGATGAGCGCGGTCTTTGCGATGGGGGCATCAGGCGGCGTGCTTAGCGAAGCGCGTGGCGGTGGTGATGAAGATTCGGGGGCTGGTTGAGGGGCTGGGTACGATGGAGGCGGGCCGACAACTGGCAACGATTTTCGCGATCCACAAATGGAGCGAGCATCAGTGGAGCGCTGCCGCCGTCAGCCCAGCCGGAAGTCGGTCGCTGCGGTGTGCACGACTCGCGAGCAGATGGAGCGGCGCGTGGGCCCGGCTCAGCAACGCTGGATCGCGCCGTGTTGTTGGCAGCAGCATTCCGTGGTTCGCGAGGGGGCGCGAGGTGGCCTGGAGCGAATCAACGCAGATGCAGTGCAGAAGCGGCATGCGTTGCGGCACAGAGCCGCGGTGCGCTCTCGGCCTGTGCCTTGTCGGCGGCCGGGAACGCGTCTGACAGTCTGCAAGGCTCGCCCAGGCGCGCCCGCCGGCACCGCTGGGCACCGCTGGCTACCGCTGGCTACCGCTGGCCGCTGCCGGCCTGCCGCCCCGCGACATTTCCCCATTGGGCGGCGCCAGCCATGACGTCGCGCCGGGGCCCATGCGCTCAACCGCAGCAGCAACGGCGCTGCACCACCACCGCCTGGCCGCCAGACGGCCGACCGCGCTCACCTGCGCGTGTGAGAGTGTGGGTGCCATTGGATGCGCCCGCCCGCTCGTTCTCCAGCGCGCTCGCTGCAGGTCCTCGCAGCCCAGCACCTGCACGCCACGTTTCAGGGCGCTCTCCTTGCGCGCGTCGCTTCCTGTTCCTGACGTGCAAAGGAGGCCCGGTGCCACTGGGCAAGCGCGGGTGCACCGCTGCTGGTAGCACTGCAGATCGCTGCGCCAAACAACGCGCCTTCCGCGCCCTTGGGCTCTTGCGTTTGCCCGCTTGCCCGTCTGCGCTTCGGCAGTCGGCGCATTGATCTATCATCCCACCACGCTTGGCAGGGCTCCACTTGCTATCCGCGATTCCTCTAGGCCGTGCTTGCCTCCCCACAACCTCCACACCCTCCTTTAAATTTCCTAGTCAGCCCGGCCCAGCCTCTTCTTTTCTTCTTTATCTGCCAACGAGAGGACGCCCCCGTGCTCTCTTTTCCTTCGTTCAACTTCCTCGCCGCCATGAAGCTTCCCTCGCTCACCCTGGCCGCCACCCTGGCCGTGCTTGCCGCCGCCTCTCCCTTGACCACCTCCGCCCATGGTGCCTGTGCCAAAGCCACCCCGTCCCCGAGCCCGTCCTATCTGCCGAGTCTCCATGCCCGCCAGAACACCACCGGAAGCCCGTGCTCGGTCCTCAGCTCCGTCGTCAACAATGGCCAGGTTTCGGCCGCCACTCCCACCGTTCCGGCTGCTCTTGCCTACGACTGCCTCATGAGCGCCCCGCTCAACAAACCCGCCGCCATTGAGCTCCTCGACAGCATGAAGCCCTACCTTGACTGGCAGAGCACCCAGGCCTATCTCAAGAACCCGCCCGCCGAGTATGCCGAGAAGGTGCAGCCTTCCGTCGACCTCATGCAGGGTCTCGACGATCTCGCTGCCGACGTCAATGCCGACAAGTTCGTCGGCGAGTACGAGTTCGGTTGGGCCCTCTACAACCTCATCCTGTCCGCTCACGACGGTCACCTGGTTTACGTCCCTGACTCGGTCGGCGCCATCGTCACGTGGGGAAGGCCCATCTCTCTCGTTTCCATCTCCGAGGACGGCCAGAAGCTTCCTGTTCCCTTCGTTTACCAGGACATCTTGGCCGCTTCGTTGCCCAACTCTACCTACACGCCCTCGGCTGTTTTGAAGATCGACGACGAAGATGCCGCCACTTATCTCAAGAAGATAGGCCAGTACGGATCGCTCCAGGACCCCGATGCTCTGTTCAACAACTTGATGTACAGCTTGCCCCAGATCCAGCTCGGCTCCACTGGCGCCAGCACCGGCATGTTCTCTGGAGGTGGTCGTGGTCGCTGGGTCTACCCTGGTCCCACGACCAAGCTTGACTTCGCCAACGGTACCTCCCAAACTTTTGAGAACTTTGCTCGTGTCCTGGTCTCATTCCGCAACGTCGAGAACGGCACCGCTCTGGGAGAGCGCTACTTCCTCTACGACTCTGGAGCTACTGCTCACGCCATGGCCATGGCCGCTGATGCCAAGGACAAGTCCCGCATCCAGGCTGCGAACATGAACGTTGACGAGCCCCAGGACGACACCTCCGTCAACCAGATGAATGTGCATGTTGCCGCAGCTGCCGATGCAGCCGCCACGACCACTCGGGCGGTGACGCGCGCAACGCCTGCTCCTGGCTTCCCTACCCCGGTCATCTTCCAGAAGAACAACCTCATCGCCGGTTACTACCTCGAGGGTGAAGGTTACGAGGACATTGCTGTTCTCTCCGTTCCTTCGTTCGTCAGTTCCAGCTACGCCGAACTCGACTTCCAGCGCATCGGCACTGCGTTCATCCTCGGCGCCAAGGCTGCTGGCAAGACAAAGCTCATCATTGACCTGAGTGCCAACGGAGGCGGAACCATCCTGCAGGGCTACGACATGTTCAAGCAACTGTTCCCGTCCATTCTGCCGTACGGCGGCACCCGCTTCAGGGCTCACGAGACGCTCGACCTGCTTGGCCAGAAGTTCTCGTACCTCTCTGAAGGCTTCCCCCGTGAGCCTGAGATCGTGCAGGAGAACTACACCATGGCCGACATTGTCTCCAGCGTTTTCAACTACCGCACCGACGCTGATGTGGACTACAAGCCCTTCACCTCTTGGGCTGAGAAGTATGGCCCACATGCGAACGAATACGACAACTTCACCTCCATCATCCGCTGGAACATGTCGGACCCGCTCAACGTTCTGAACAGCGGAGGCATTGAGGTCAGCGGCTACGGCAACCGCAGCAACTTCACCGATCAGCCTTTTGAGTCGACCAACATGGTCCTCCTCTACGACGGCTACTGTGCATCAACCTGTGCCATCTTCTCGGAGCTGATGCGCCAGCAAGGCAACGTTTCTTCCATCGTGGTTGGCGGTCGCCCGCAATATGCTGCTCAACAGGCTGTTGGTGGCGTCAAGGGCTTCAACAACTTCAACTGGGCCGCCATCCAGCAGTGGGTCTATGAGGCCTATCAGTACGCCAGCCCCGAGGAGCAGACCAAGTACAACGCGACGTACCAGGCCAACTACACCAGCTATGTTCCCTTCAACCGTGCGGCCACTGATCCCAACGTCAACGTTCGCGACGGCCTCCGCCAAGGTGACGACACGGGTACTCCGCTTCAATTCACCTATGAGACGGCCGATTGCCGCATGTTCTACACTGCGGAGATGACACTTGACATCACGGCGGTTTGGAAGGCGGCTGCTGACAGCAAATGGGGTGACGTCAGTCGCTGCGTGTCTGATGCTCCGAGCTCCAAGAGGAGCGACCAGCTCACCAAGAGAGCCATGGTGCCACGCATGGCCAAGCGTGATACCTCGTTGGAGGACAGCCTGAAGCTTTTCACTGACGTGACTGCTGTCCGTTTTGACGGCGATGCTTTCATGGCACCTTGAGCGGTTCTTTTCTTCTCTTCTTGACCAACTTTTCTATTACCCTTTTCTCCTTTTTTTAATTCTCACCAGCGATTCTTCAGCATGGTAGGTAGAGGGGAGCACTGATACCAACTTCACGAACGACAAAAGTTTGATGCATGCATGGGGGACCGGACTAGTGCTTTTGTCACCCCATTTTCTCTTTCGATTGTAATGTTTACTTCTGCATTTTGAACGATTGATGGGCCCGAAGCAGAAGTGGGACAGTAGCTTGGGCAACTACCTTTGCATGATATGATGATCATGATCATGATGGCAAGAATTAGGACTCAAAGTAGCCGTAGAGCTCGATGACATGAATTAGAGACTCTAATACCTATTTGGCCTCTCCAAAGTGATTTGTGTGTTTTATGTGCACACTTCAAAGTATGGAAGGATATTCCCTAAATTGTCAACTCGATCACCGCATCGATTTCTCGAACGGTAGTTGACTGCTCGGTTCGACCAATCGAACACCAGACTAGACCTGCTCCTCCTTCTCCCCTTTGGGACTCTCTTCCACCGCCACCACTTCCTCCTCCTTCGCACTCTCCCTCCCACCACCACCCCCCTCGACATCCGAATCATCAACCACAACGACCCTCCCGACCCTCCCAACCCCTTCCGAGTAGGCGGTGGTGGTCCTCCTCCTCCTGTTGTTCTGCACCTCCGTCACCCTCCTCCCCACCCCCTTCCCCACAAACGCCGCGCTCCGCCACGCCGGCACGCCACGGCCGCCGCGCGCCTGGAACAGCTCGTCCAGCTCCTCGAGCGACCGGCCGCGCATCTCGGGCACGGCGAGGTAGACGAAGACGACGGCGGCGGCGGAGACGCTGGCGTAGACGATGCCGACGCGGGGGCCGAGGCCGGAAGTAGAACTATTTCCTAGCTGGAGGAAGGGGTTGACGTAGGTGATGAGCAGGTTGCAGCAAAAGGACGAGGCGGTGGCGAGGGCGACGGTGCGCTCGCGCAGCTGGGCGGTGGCGACTTCGGCGGTGACGGTCCAGGTGACGGAGCCCCAGGCGCCGGTGGAGAAGATGGACTGTCAGGCGTAAGCGGGGGCGAAGGGAGGGAGAGGGAGGGATGGAGGGAGGGAAGAAGGGAAGAAGGGAAGAAGGGAAGAAGGAAGGAAGGAATGAAAGAAGGGAAGAAGAGCAAGGCTGAATGAATGAATGCGAATAGCCAAGTAACCCGTCACTACTCACATGCAACATAATCGCCGCGATGCACCCCTGCGCCACCGCGCCCCCGGACACACCGCTCGGATACCACGCCGCCAGCCCCGACACGACCCACAGCAAGACGCACATGCACGCGCTCGCGCCCATCAGCATGTACCGCCGGCCGATCTTGTCCGTCAGGTAAAAGGCCAGCGTCGCGCCGGCGAGGTTCGCCGCCATGTACGCGACGTTGATCTTGAGCACGTCGGGCAGGCCGATCTGCTTGAGGAAGACGACGAGGTACGTGTTGAGGAAGGCCGCGCCCTGGCTCTGCTGCAGGCACTGCACGCCGACAGCAATGAAGGTGCGGCGCCCGTTGCTGTTTCTGCGCACGCAGTCGAGCCACGACGTCGCGCGGTGCGCCGCCACCTGCTCGGCCAGCGCCGCTTCGAGCAGGGCCAGCTCCGTCTCCACGTCGGACCGCGTGGCGCCGCTGCCGTGGCGGATGTGGGCGAGGGCGGCGAGGGCGTCGGCGCGGCGGTGTTGGGAGAGGAGCCAGCGGGGGGATTCGGGGACGAACCAGATGCCGGTGAGGAGGAGGACGGGGATGATGATTTGGACGACGATGACTGTGGGGGGCTTTTGTCAGTAGAGGCGGATGGGAGGTGGGAGGTGCAACATACCCGTCTTCCAGGCCCATTCGCTGGTCCATGTCGAGGTGGCGTAGACTGTGCTGGCGGCGATGAGGCCGCCGACCATGAGCCACCACTGGTAGAAGTTGACCATGGCTCCGCGGATAGCGGGCGGCTGTCTTGATGTCAGCACGCTTGAATTATTTCAGCTGGTCAGGCGGATTCAGACGTACCGAAAGCTCCGACATGTACATGGGAATGCAGTTGGCCTCGATTCCCATCGATACCGAGTTCACAAGACGACCGGCCATGATTGCCCAGTAGTTGCTTACGGCAGACTGGATGATGATACCCACAATGGCAATGATGCAGATGATGACAACCGTCAGTCGACGGCCGAGGCGCCGCGTAATCTCTGATGCAACTACGCAGCCAATAACCCAACCGGCAATTGGAGTGCCGCTGGCGATGGAGAGCCATGACGAGGGTATGGAATTAACTGTGCTGCCGCCGACACGAGTCCCGAGGTCTGCGGCAAATCTGGGCGCATATTAACAAGGCGCTCCCCACGTGCTTCATCCCAAGAGAGAACTGAGCTGGTATCGCTTACTTGTCCATGGAGACGACAGCCGACCAGTAATTGTTATCCACGCCAAAATTCTGAGAGTTCTTCGTCAAATCGAGCTTCGACCATGATTGGCTCCGAGAAAACTCACCATAGCGCCCAGCTACCAAGGGATTGTCAGCGTCACTGTTCAAAAGCGAGCTTTCAAAGCCATACTCACCGATACAAGCAAGTACACTTGCACCAACCTGGGCGTGAGCTCCTTGAGGAGCAGCGGCTTCTCAAAATGCATGGCCACTCCAGAGTAGAGACTACTACCCCTCTTTCACAGGTTCCACTCAAGACGATCTCACACGACCAAACACTTCGATGCAGGACAGCAAAACGTCCGCGTTGGAGCGAGAGAAATCTTTGAGAGCGAAACCAAAGTAGTTTCCAAGTGTCATCGCATACTTTTAAGAGAAACCAGCAGCTACCGCTTGAGTCTGCAGCCAACTGACCTTATCAGGGCGTTGCATGCACATCATAGAGCGCCTGGATCCGTTTGGCATAGCCGAACGAGCAGGCGGATACAACTTGCGGTAACATCCGCACTTCCCCCCCAGTAATATTCTGCAAGCTTTAGTCCGGAATCACAGATATGGCTTCCAAGCATTACGGCATCGTTGACCAGCATAGTAGGGTCAAGCATCGAGGTACGTCCTATCGGAGATCCGGATTTGCGAAGAACCAATGTGCGCGGGGTATGTAGAACTAGGGTCAAGATGATCTTACTAGAAGGAAACAATCCCAGGTGTTTTTGACTGGACTACTTCAGTGACCAGTGGGGCCAAAGCCCGGAAGCGGCACCATCTCCTCGTAACAGCAATCAACTCCAGGGTTTCGGAACATCCGATGAGGAGTGAATCTGTAGATATCCGACGTATCTCCGCATGCAACGCTGCATCGCTGTGATAGCGGCCGCAGAAGTGGGGGATCTGGGGTAAGGTGGCCGCTGCGCCGCACCCAAGTCGGCATCGATGGCCTTCTCCGACGACGCAATCCATTTTTCTCACCTGGTGGCGGGTGAATAAGTGCAAAAGTCTGGCTCCGGACTTCCCGTCGAGTCCATAAGAAAGCTCGCGGGTCTGAGGCGTGTGCCAAGATACCCTTCAAGTCTGTGAACCGCACAGGCATACCGCTCTGGAACCCCATCTCGTCTTGACACCCCGATAAAATTCAAAGATGCCGCACTCCACCCAAGCACCCACGCTAGTCGACCACGCCCAGTACGGCGACTGGCGTGACGACATGTTCCACCAGGGCTTCGCCGTCGTGAAAGGCGCCGTCCCGCCGTCCCGCTGCACCGAGTACATCGACGACATGTACGCCTGGCTCGAGAAATTCCCATACGGCTTCAAGCGCTCCGACCGCAGCACCTGGACGCCCGAGCACCTCCCCGCCAACATGAAGTGCGTGATCGCTCAAACCACTCTCCCCATCACCACCTCGCCCTAGCCACTAATACCCGCGCGGCAGGGGCGGCATGTACCATCACTACGCCGTCCAACACGAATCCTTTGTCTGGCGCGCCCGCCTCGAACCGGGCGTCCTCGACGCCTTCTCGCTCCTCTGGGGCACATCGTCCCTGCTCGCCTCCTTCGACGGCATCAACTTCACGCTTCCCACTTCCTCCCGCGAGCCTTGGGGGGCGTGGCCGCACATCGACCAGTCGCCTCACCGCACCGGCCTGCAGTGTGCCCAAGGCATCATCAACTTCGCGCCCAATGGGCCGCGGGATGGCGGCTTGGTGGTGCTGAAGGGGTCGCACCGGTTGATGGAGGAGTACTTTGGGTGCCACGAGAAGGAGCAGGAGACGTGGGGGCCGACGGACTGGTTTGGTTTTACAGATGAGCAGGTGGCGTGGTTTAAGGAGAGGGGTTGCGAGAAGGTGAAGGTATGTGCCGAGCCCGGTGATCTCATTGTATGGGATAGCCGGACGGTGCATTGGAACGTCGTGCCCGAGGGGGAGGAAACGAGGGCGCTTGTGTGTGAGTTTTCTTGTTATGGGCTTGGTGGGACGAAGAGAGACAGGCTTGCTGACGTTTTGGTAGATGCATGCTATGCGCCGGCCAAATTCGCCAAGGCGGAGACATTGGAAAAGAAGAAGGAGTTCTTCGAGAAGAGGCTTGGGACGGTTAGTGCGCTTGTTCAATGGCGTCGGGTTCGGCGGAGGGTTCTTGAAGAAAGAAGGCTGATTTTACCTCTACTAGACCCACTGGCCCCACGACAACGTCTTCGTCAACAGCTATTCGACAGAAAGGATTCGCTGTGGCAAGCCAGACGAGTACAACCGAGACAGGCCTTTCGAGGAACCAGAGATAAACGACACGCTGCTCCGGCTCGCTGGAGTGCTGCCTTACGATTCGTGATCAATGCGGCTGGGCATATATCACTACCACAGTGGAGGTCCTCAAGTTCCAGCGGTATTCTGAGGTGGTTTCGAATCATTGTCGTCCCTTGATGGAACTTTACCGTAAGATTGATGAGCGTGGCCGGCAGCTTTCGTAGGGTTTAGACAACAGCTTCGGCTGCCCGAGAGCAGCGATACCGTATGGCCAACAAAGACAACATTTAACAGAGCAGACGTCACGGGCCTCGTGGCCTATTCTCTGGTTGATGGATGGGGTTTTCGTCCTTCTGGTCGATGCTTTCGTTGTCGATTTCTTCCCACTCTTCCTCTTCCTCGTCAGCAGCGTCCTCTGCTGCCGTCTCTACGCCATCACCACCAACTGCGGCATTCTTGGCATCTTCGAGAGCTTTGTACTTTCTGCGTGACTTTTTTGCCTTGCTCGCCTTTTTCTTGGCCTGAGCGGCACGCTTGATCTGCGTCCGGCTCTCGTCGCCCTTCTCCATTTCCTCAAGCCGCTCAGCCAGCATCCGGCGGGCAGTCTTGCGGTTCTGGGTCCGAGACCGCGTGCCCTGATACTTGATGACGATGCCAGTGGGGAGATGTTTTAGCTGAACCGCTGACGAAGTTTTGTTCTGCGCGGCACGGTCAGTGGGCACCCGAGCAAATGACGGGGTGGTTCAGTACAATCTTCTGGCCGCCTGGGCCGCTGCCTTTGAGGAAAGACTCGGTGATGTCATCCTCGTTGACGGTAGGTCGAGGCGGCAGAGGTTTGGGGCCGCGGAGTGCAGCAGCGACGGCAAACGGACGCGAGGCCAGAGGATGGCGGAGGCCCCGAGCGAGGGCGGGCCGTGCTGCTGGGGCGAGCAGGAGCCGCATGCAGCGGAACGCCATGGCGATGTGCGGAAGTGCGGATGGGCGGAACGTGACCTGGGTTGGGGGTGGCCAGAGGGGTGGGACGCAGAGACCCTGAAACACGCGTGTCGTGCAGGCGCAGGAACGCGCGCTCCTTTTCCGCCCGCAGGCACCACCCGTTGCGCAGCCCAGCAGCATCCTCCGCAATTGTCATATTAACCGTCGCGCGCGGATCCGGCCATTGCACTCACACCCGTCCGCCCCTACCCGTGTGCCGCCAGCAGGGAGCGCCGCCCATCACGCCAATTACCAAAGCAACCGCTGATCGAGATTTCCATCCTACCCATGTCGCACTACTCGGACCCAACCTCGCTCAGCCAACAAGTCTACTACTACACCTCCACCCTCACCTACGCCTTCCTCGCCGCCTCCGCCAGCATCCTGGCCCTCGCCCTCATGCTGTACCCGACCGCCGTCCTGCGCTGGCTGCAGCGCAAGCGCTACCAGTACGAGGTCACCTTCTCGCTGTACATGCTCACGCCCACCGAGAAGTTCATCTTCAGTGCGTCCGCCGTCGTCTCAAGCCCTCACAAACTACTAACATTGCCTCGCTGCGACAGACTCCTTCGTCTTCCTCTTCGCCAGCATGATTGTCATCGCCGCCTCGCTCTACCTCCCCGAGCACATCTCCTTCCTCGCCAACCGCGCCGCCTACTACCTCGCCGGCGAGACCTCCGGCGCACCCGCCGACCATTCCGCCCACACCATCCTCCACACCTCCGTCGAAGCCGTCAAGGCCACCGCCAAGGCCGCCGCTGCCCGCGTGCATGCCGCCGCCCAGCAACAGGACCGTGCCGTGCCCGCCAACGGCGCTGGCATGATGGAGCTGTGAAGCACGAACATGGCTCTTTTTTTTGCTTTGTCTGGGCCCTGTTCTGCACATGTCGGACGGTGGGTATGTTGGTGGCATTTTCGGCCCCAGAGGGAAAGAAGGAAATGCTTCCACATGAGACCGGTCGGCCCCCCTCCCACCCTCCTCCCGTCGGCTGTGGGGAGATGGCTTGGCTGGCCTTTCTCCGGCGTTGCCGGTGCAATCCGGCGGCGGTGTGTACGTGTGTGTTGAAGAATTTACGAAGTCTTTTGAGATGAAGAACGTTTTAGACTACGAAATCGTTGTAATTAATATTAATGGCCAGAGCGCGATCGCTTTCTGTGCGCGAGGCTCTCACTATGTCATTCGATGACTTTGATTTCCCTTCGTTTTGTGTGACGGTGATCATGTGCTGCCTTGGGCCATTCGTGGGTAGGCGATTAGACGTCCTAGTAAAGTAATACTTGGAGCACCTGGTACATGGCATTGAACCATCCGAAGTGCAAAGCAGTTTGCTACCTGCCGTGAACGGATTGCTGCAGACCATTTAGGTAGTTTTCGGTCGGTAATAGCAGACGGACTTGGTCTTCTGCTGTCCGATTGCGAGGACCATATGTACAGTTTACCCGACCGAAAGTACGGTTGATCGCAGCGCAGGGATACGTTGCAATTGGTATTTCTGACGAGGTTCTGGGTGACGTGGGGATGGTGCCTGGGGGAACGAGTCAGCAAAGGATATACTATTGGGAAGGCAACTCTGACAGCATTTCAACCATGCGATCCTTTATCCCACTCTCAGATTTCCTTAGTACAGTCAGACTTCCGCGAAGAGTGCTGGTAGGACTCGCGAGGTTGCTGGCGCGGGGTGAATACTCTCGCCGTGGCGACGGAGTAGTGAAGACAAGAGAGAGGCTTGGTGTCGGGATGCGGCTGGTGCACTCATGAGCTGCGGCGGCAGGTATCTGTTTCGCTTTGTGAAGCTGCTTGTCTGAAGCGCTGTCTGACAGAAGTTGTGTCATTGAAGCGTCTGGAGAGCTTTGGTTGTTGAGAAGTGATTTCTCGCGCCCACATACAAATCACCTCCGGGAAAGCCACCACAGAATTTCCTAAACCGGTGGAGGCGCTGGGAACCATGGCAACCGCCATGGTTCCAAGTTCGAAGCCCATCGGCTCCAGCCCATAGACAAAAAGCAAGCCGACTGCGTTCCTCGTCCAAACCCGCGTCGTTTTGGACCAAAAAAGCGGCCATAGAATGGCAAAAAGGAAAGCTCTCTTTACACCGTTTGTAGTCTAGCCGTAGCGACCCGGTTACCATGCATCTTTTCAATGCGATGGACAGCTGGAAAACCTTCTCCCAGTGTGCAGTTACCCGTTTGGGTCGAGTAACGCCTGGCGACCACTTACATGACCCCCGCAGTACACTCAAACGAGTCTTCAGTTCAGTCCGACCACAGTGGATTTTGATAGTAAGGATTTCGCGGATCTAATACATAACACACCCGCCTTTTTCCAGGCGCTCCCAGATATTTCCCAGCCACTCCACCCTGCGCATCATGGGCTCCTAAATATGCACCACACTTTGCAACAACCCACACCGTCCCGACCGTCCGCTCAAGCTCACCCCCGCGTCACTCAGACCACACTGCTGCCTTGGGAAGCGGCCATGTCACTTCCAAGCATCGATTGACCACCACCGTCCCCACACATGCTTCGCATGAGAACCACACTCGCTCCACCAGCGGGTGGTGAAGTAGGCCACGAGCCGACAAAGGTCCTCCAGCACGTCCGCATCGCCGAACAAAAGCCTCCTCGTCTTCAACTCCGTCCCATCCGCCGTGTCTACCAGGTCGGACTTCGGCTCCAGCGCTCCTCTCCTCACTTCCGCGAGAGTCACCACCACCCGCGTCATCCACCTCTACAATACCGGCGACCGAGCCTCGCTAGATGTAATCAACACCACCAAAGTCGTCCTGTGTCACCTTGACGAAGACACGCACACCCCGGCTCGCCGCGCAGGATTTCGACGTCGACAGTGGAGCTTTTACTACTTTCTTTCCCGGTCGTGAGAAGCTGCCACCATAAACAGCGGCTGCTGAGAGAAACACGCAGAGATGTCACGCCAGCCGACCGCTTGCCTCAGTTCCACGTCAAGTTGTGTCGCTCATCCATACACCACATGTTGGAAGACCACAGGCCTTTTCCGACGGCCACGTCTCACATATTCTCTGGGGAAGAGCAGCCGCACATCCATACATCTGCAACTTATTTCTTCAATAAAGACGGCTACATGGCAACCTCACTCAAATCCACTCTCCAGGCCTGCTGAAATATCTCAAAACCGGCAGTAGTTAAACCAATGATGCCCGGTGAGCGCGCCCGGGTCGAAGCTCTCCCACCCACGAGCATACCCTCCCCCTCTCTATCTAAGCATACCCAGCCTCCGCATTCCTATACTGCTCGAAGCTGCTGACCCTCTGCTGATGCTCCACCTCGGCCTGCTTTCCGCTGATCTCCCTCTGCCACTCCTCCTCCTCCTGATCCAACAGCGCCTGGAACCGCTGCTGCTGCCCGCGGCTGACGTACGTCAGCGGCTTCTTCCGCTGCGCCGCGTCGCGGGTCACGAGGACGTGCTTTGTCGTGCTGCCGGGGCATTCGTACTGCGCCTCGCCCAGCAGGCGCTCCATGACGGTCCGGAGGCCGCGCGCGCCCGTCGCCATCTTCGACGCCTGCTTGGCCATCTCGCGGAGGGCCGGGGACGTGAATTTGAGCTCGATGCCGGAGAGCGAGAAGAGCTGCTCGTACTGCTTGACCAGCGAGTTGCGGGGCTCCGTCAGCACCCTCACGAGCGCTTCTTCGTCGAGGGACGACAGCGCGCAGGAGATGGGGATGCGGCCGACGAGCTCCGGGATCATGCCGTATTTCTGGAGGTCCGCGGGTTCGACGAGGTCGAGGGTGTTGAGGGAGGCTTGGGGAGACGCTGCTGTTGCGGACTCTGGGGTGTAGAAGGGGACGTGCTTGCGGAAAAGGGCCTCATCGCCCTGCAGTCTGGTGTCGGAGGGTAACGCTTCCGGGTTGGATGCTCGAACCGGCGCGCCGAAGCCAATGCTGCCCTTGGATATCCGATCGAGGATTACCTTGTGCAGACCAATAAATGCTCCCGTGCAGATGAAAAGGATGTTGTCAGTACGGACGTTAAAAACTTCGCCCTTGGGCGAGGGAGGGTGGCCCATGTTCATCCCGCCACCTCCTGGTCCACCAGAGCCGCCTCCGGGGGTGTAAGTATAGCCTGAGGCGTTGCTGCTTGGCCCTCTCCCGGCGTTGCCTCCACGCTCCGGCTTAGCTTGTACTTGTAGTGTCGTGCCTTCAATAATCTTCAATAATGCTTGCTGCACGCCTTCTCCGCTGACGTCCTTGCCGTGGCTGACCTTTGCCGTTGCGATTTTATCTATCTCGTCCAAGACTATTATGCCCCTTTCGGCAGCGGCCACGTCGTAGTTTGCCGCAGCGAGGAGCCGTTGCACGCAAACCTCCGCGTCTTCGCCGATGTACCCCGCCTGGGTGAACGGGGTGCAGTCAGACATGCTGAAGGGCACCTCAAGCACGCGAGCAAGTGTCTTCGCCATGAGCGTCTTCCCCACGCCTGACGGCCCAAGTAATAGTATGTTTGACTTTTCGATGGTCATGGGGCTGTTGTCCACGATGGGCTCGGCGCCAAAGGCCGGGGTTGCGCGCGGGGGCGGCGCTGAGGGGTCGGGCGGGTACTGAGTTTCAGCGTCCCAGACATTGATAGTCCGCTGCTGCCCCGGGAACTCATCTGGAAGATGCTGCGTCAGTACGGCGCCGGAAGCGTCACGCCTTCTATGATGAGTACCTTCAACGGGATGCCGATGTACCATCTCCCGCCGCGCTTGCTGGGCCAGGTGCTCCTGCTCCTCCTCGTCCAGCCGCTCGAGCTCCTGTATGCGCTGGTAGTGGTTGTATACAGCGACGCTAAGAACCTTCTTGGCGCGTTCCTGACCGACAACAAACTGATCCAGGTGATGTTTGAGCGCCTTCGGGGTTACCCGCGGGGCGCCGACAATGCTGGCGCCGCCCAGCGGCCCGCCGGTTGGCTGACCAGGCTCATAGATGCCCGTGAATCCCTGGCCAGAAAAATCCGAGCGGCTGTAGTGGTTGGACGAGCACTGGGTTGCAGAGGTCGCAAAGGCACGGCTTATGGAGTACAGGGCGAGATAGGACGAGCGGGCCTGTGGCGAGATGGTGATGGTGAAACCAGCGGCGAGCGTCATCTTGGATATGGTGGCAAACGACGCTGGATCTGCAGGCATTCGATTGTAGTTCCTGCTCGGAAAACTGGGGAGCGTCTCCGCGCTTGATGCGTTGTCTCTAGCTCATCGCAGAGCGCGGCTGGCGACTGACGCTTGAGTCAAGCTCGGCGGGGTGTCGCAGCGGAGATAAGCGGGGGCGGCAGGCAGCGGGCGCTGGGGGCGAGGCGATGCACGAGGGGAGGGGACGCTGGAGCGCGCAGGCAACGGGCAACGGGCAGACGGGGAGGCTCTGGCTGGGGATTCAGGAGAGTGTACGCAGACGGCAGCGGTGTTGAAGGCGGCGTCCGTCATCGGCGTGCGTCTGGAGCTCGGGGCCGCAGCGGGCTCTCCGCGGGCTGGGGCGCGTCCAAGCTCCCTTGAGGCGGGGGCCTAGCTGCATGCAGCCCTAGCTCACGTCTCGCGTATGACGTTGAGGCCATGTTTGCGCCCGCCGCGGGCGCGTTGCGAAATGCTGCAGCCCCAGGAGGGGAGGTCTGGGTGGAGAGTGGAGAGAGAGCACGCCGGGCCCCGCATATACCCTTGCGTTTTAAGCTCTAGCCTCACTGTCTGCCATCCGCCATGCGCCGTGACGCGACGCGCCTGCCCTCGCTATCGCATCCAGGCACTGTCTGTTTGCCCTGTCCCGCCGCCCACCTCTCAACGCCTTTTAAGACCGCCACCCCCCAGCTCTGTCGCCCGCGCGTCCAAATCCATCGTCTGCCACCATGGAAACCAATAACGCCTCCGACAACTCCGTCTTGGGCGACTCTGCCGGCAGTCTGCCCAGCGACGGCACTGGTACCCTGCCTTCGTCCCGCAGTTCTTGCGGTGTGCTGACCTCGCCAGGAATTGTGTCCCTCGACCCGTGGCTCTCGCCCTTCAAGGACGCTCTCAAAACCCGCTACAGCAAGGCTCAAGAATGGCTCAAGGCCATTGAGCAGCACGAAGGCGGTCTGGAGAAGTTTTCAAGGGTATCCCACCTTGTGCCATTGCCCCACATCCACAGCTAACCCCTTCGTCTGTAGGGTTACGAGAAATTCGGAATTCACGTGAATGACGACAACTCCGTCACCTACAGGGAATGGGCACCCAATGCGCTGCGCGCCTACTTCATTGGCGATTTCAGTATGTCTATCGCCTAGAGCATGCCGACTTTGGTGGCTGACGAACTGCCAGACGGCTGGAACCGTGATTCCCATGAAATGACGAAGAACGAGTTTGGCGTCTTCGAGATCACCGTCCCACCGGTTGATGGCCAGCCGGGAATTGCACACGACTCAAAGATCAAGGTGTGCTGGACGTGCCCTCAAATTCCACGCTAGAAGCTGACACTGCCTTTAGATCTCCTTCGTGGTTCCCAACGATCACGCAAGACAAGAGCGCATCCCCGCATGGATCACTCGAGTGACCCAAGACCTCTCAGTGTCTCCCGTCTACGACGCAAGATTCTGGAACCCCCCGAAGGACCAGAAATACGTCTTCAAGCACCAGCGGCCCAAGAAGCCACAGAGCCTTCGCATCTACGAAGCACATGTCGGAATCTCCTCGCCGGAGGCCAAGGTCGCGACATACAAGGAATTCACAGCGAATGTTCTGCCGCGCATCAAGCATCTGGGCTACAATGCCATCCAGCTGATGGCCATCATGGAGCACGCATACTATGCTAGCTTTGGATACCAGATCAACAGCTTCTTTGCTGCAAGCAGTCGTTACGGGTTGCCCGACGACCTCAAGGAGCTGATTGACACGGCGCATGGTATGGGAATCACAGTCCTGCTGGATGTGGTGCACAGCCACGCTTCCAAGAACGTCCTGGATGGCTTGAACATGTTCGACAATAGCGATCACCTCTACTTCCATGAGGGAGCAAAAGGCCGCCATGAGTTGTGGGACAGCAGGCTGTTCAACTACGGTAGCCACGAGGTCCTGAGGTTCCTGCTGAGTAACCTTCGCTTCTGGATGGAAGAATACAACTTTGACGGTTTCCGTTTCGATGGTGTCACAAGCATGCTCTACACTCACCACGGCATCGGAACGTAAGTGCGCAACTATCAAACATGTGGGTTTTCGCTAACCGTTCCAGTGGCTTCTCTGGTGGCTACCATGAGTACTTTGGCGAAGGTGTGGACGAGGAAGGCGTCGTATACCTCATGATCGCCAACGAAATGCTTCACCAGCTGTATCCCACTTCCATCACGATTGCAGAGGATGTGTCCGGCATGCCTGGTCTGTGCGTTGCCTTGTCGCTCGGCGGCATCGGCTTCGACTACAGGCTGGCAATGGCCATTCCGGATCTGTACATCAAGTGGCTCAAGGAGAAGCAGGATATCGACTGGGACATGAACGCCCTTTGCTGGACCTTGGTAAACCGTCGGCACGGAGAGAAGACTATCGCATACGCCGAGAGTCACGATCAGGCGTAAGTTGCATTTGACCCACCCACAATGAATCAAAACTAACCTGCCCAGCCTTGTCGGTGACAAGTCCATTCTGATGTGGCTGTGCGATGCGCAGTTGTACACCAACATGTCAGTCTTGACGGAGCTTACTCCGGTCATTGACCGTGGACTGTCTCTACACAAGATGATCCGTCTCGTCACCCACGGCCTTGGTGGCGAGGGGTACCTCAACTTTGAAGGCAATGAATTCGGTCACCCGGAGTGGCTAGACTTCCCGCGCGAGGGCAATGGTAACAGTTTCCATTACGCGCGCCGGCAGTTCAACCTTGTGGATGACGAGCTTCTTCGCTACCGCTTCCTGAACGAGTTCGACAGCAAGATGCAATGGACCGAGGAGAAGTACGGCTGGCTGCACTCTCCTCAGGCCTACATCAGCCTGAAGCACGATGGCGACAAAGTGATTGTCTTCGAACGGGGCGGGTTGCTGTGGATCTTCAACTTCCACCCAAGCAGCAGCTTCACCGACTACCGCGTCGGCGTGGAAAAGGAGGGTACATACAGGATCGTGATCAACACTGACTCGAAGGACTTTGGAGGACATGGCAACATCAGCGAAGAAACGCGTTTCTTCACAACGCCGTTTGCCTGGAACGAGCGGAAGAACTTCCTGCAGGTGTACATTCCATCGAAGACGGCAATCGTAAGTTCTGCCCGTAGACGCAGCCAGATGGCAGCTTGGCTAACAATCGCAGGTCTTGGCGCTTGAGGAGACTTTGTAAGGACAGGCCTCGGACGTGAAGAGATTGTGTGATATGAATGGCCGGTTTTCGAGTTGCGTGAGGGGTAGGCAGGGTAGTATGTATCATAGCCAGAATGACATGCAGCTGCGCGCGTATTGCACGTGACCTGAGTAGCGGCAGGTATCCCAAGTGCGGTGCAGTGGTGAAAGTGAAGGATTGAAGAGGACGCGGTAGCGCGCAATCGAGCAGGGTGTGCGCAAGTACTGCCAAGCGCAGCGTTGCAACAATGCTCTGCGGGCCGGGTCGCGGGCGCGTTAAAGGATTAGTAGGTACTTGGTTCGGGAGGTTGTTGGGGTCCGGCTTTCGGAAGGCGTGGTCACTGGACCTGCCGACCGTGGCCTGTGCCCGCCTCGGAGAATCTCGCTCGCAGTGAAGTTGCACCTCGACCGTCTCCCAGACGAGCTTCCTCTCTCCCCATCCACCTCTCCACTCCCCCATCTACCCTGCCCTCCGACATCTTGCAGAATGCTCAAGAGGTACGCCCGACGCCGATTCCCGATGCCATTGGCGCCGTGCCGACGCTGACATGATGGAATTGCAGCGGCATCAACCGGTCGCTGAGGGCCTCCGCCTTCCGCAGGCCTGCGCTTCGCGCCGCCTTCCAGCCCATCAAGAAGAACTTCGCTCCGGCGCTCTCTGCTCGCTTCGCCAGCTCTGATGCCGCCCAGGGCGGCAAGATCCACCAGGTCATCGGTGCCGTCGTCGACGGTATGCGAAAAACTTTTCTGTCCGCCGTCGACCCGCGGCCGCGACAGCACCGACATCAATTCCATCATCGCTGACTCCGGAATGCAGTCAAGTTCGAGGGCGAGAAGCTCCCCGCCATTCTCAATGCCTTGACCACGCAGAACGGTGGCCAGAAGCTGGTCCTCGAGGTCGCGGTAAGCCGCCCAACCTGAGCCGAGCTCCGGAGCGCCGAAGAACACCAGCTAAACCGTGTGCAGCAACATTTGGGTGAGAACGTCGTCCGCTGCATTGCCATGGACGGTCAGTACTCTCTGCCACCACGCGCCCGGCGCGCATTCGGGCGTGTCGCTGATGATGGAAACAGGTACGGAGGGTCTCGTCCGTGGTGCCGAGGCGCTCGACACCGGCTCGCCCATCATGATCCCCGTCGGTCACGGCACCCTTGGTCGTATCGTCAACGTTACTGGTGACCCCATTGACGAGCGCGGTCCCGTCAAGGCCACCAAGTTCGCTCCCATCCACGCCGACCCCCCGGAGTTCGTCGACCAGTCCACCTCTGCTGAGATTCTCATCACTGGTATCAAGGTCGTCGACCTGCTCGCTCCCTACGCTCGTGGTGGAAAGATTGGTCTCTTCGGTGGTGCCGGTGTCGGCAAGACTGTCTTCATTCAGGAGCTGATTGTGAGGATACCCGTGGCTCCAACTCTGCGAGTCTTCGCTGACGACGCAATAGAACAACATCGCCAAGGCCCACGGTGGTTTCTCCGTCTTCACCGGTGTCGGCGAGCGTACTCGTGAGGGTAACGATCTGTACCACGAAATGCAGGAGACCGGTGTCATTCAGCTTGATGGCGAGTCCAAGGTCGCCCTGGTGTTCGGTCAGATGAACGAGCCCCCGGGTGCCCGTGCCCGTGTCGCCCTTACCGGTCTTACCATTGCTGAGTACTTCCGTGATGAGGAGGGCCAGGACGGTAAGAATTGCAGGCGAACGCAGATTGCGGAGCGAAGCTAATCAGGGAACAGTGCTTCTCTTCATTGACAACATTTTCCGTTTCACTCAGGCCGGTTCCGAGGTGTCTGCCCTTCTTGGTCGTATCCCGTCTGCCGTCGGTTACCAGCCCACTCTCGCCGTCGACATGGGTATCATGCAGGAGCGTATCACCACCACCCAGAAGGGTTCCATTACTTCCGTCCAGGCCGTCTACGTCCCTGCTGACGATTTGACTGACCCTGCCCCCGCCACCACCTTCGCCCATTTGGACGCCACCACTGTCTTGTCCCGTGGTATCTCTGAGCTGGGTATCTATCCTGCTGTCGACCCTCTCGACTCCAAGTCGCGTATCCTTGACCCCCGTGTCATCGGCCAGGAGCACTACGACACCGCTTCCCGCGTCCAGCAGATCCTCCAGGAGTACAAGTCGCTCCAGGATATCATTGCCATTCTGGGTATGGACGAGCTGTCGGAAGCTGACAAGCTTACCGTCGAGCGTGCCCGTAAGATTCAGCGTTTCCTGTCGCAGCCTTTCACCGTTGCCCAGGTCTTCACTGGTATCGAGGGTAAGCTGGTCGACCTGAAGGACACCATCAGGTCCTTCAAGGCTATCCTCGAGGGTGCGGGTGACGACCTTCCCGAGGGTAAGTTGCAACCATTTCCACCATTTCCCTTCCCAGATTGCTAATTCGACCTTTAGGTGCCTTCTACATGGTTGGTGACCTTGAGTCTGCCCGCGCCAAGGGTGAGAAGATTCTTGCCGACCTCGAGAAGTCGTAAGCGCAAGTAGATTAAGCTACGGGAGAAGAGAGCAACCGACAATTTCTGCCACACATGGAGATAAGCGCCGGGTGAAAGGACGAGGGGACTCTCTCAGCTCATGTTTAGAAAAAGACACGGGCCAGTTTTCCCACGAAATGCATTTTTGAATTTTTTGTACAGAGAGGGGGATGAACGAAGGACATCTGGCGTCTTCTCCTGTGCCATCTTGGCGTGTAATCCTAAAGCTGAAGATCCTCGCACCATCTGAGATCATTCCTGCGTGCATTTGAACAGAAAGCGCAAGTTGTGGATGTGACGTGGCCGAGCTCTATTGTAAAGATGACGTACTCACTTCACACAGCGCGGTGAGCAACTCGATGTTGGGACACTACCGTAAATGACCAGGTCATCAGCACCTTATACCTACATTAGTTTTTTCCCGCCATATATACTCCCTCCCCCACGATTCTTTTCCCCAAGATATCAGCCGATCGGGGAATTCTCATCAGAAATACACGCCGCACGTGATCTCCGCCGTTCCGTCCATCCTTATCCATCCTTCCGTCCGCCCGAAATCATATCATCATCACATCCTCACACGCGACTCTAGTAGGTCTCCTCACCTCATGCGCCCTGCGTTTGGCCTACAATCTTCTCTTCCAAAGGAAGCTATTATTCCCTTTAATCTTCACCTCTGACTCCCCTCCCCCCATCTCTCCATTTTTTTTTTATTTTTTTTTACTTTACTTGTTCCAGCTACATCGCTCCCTCGCTCCCTCCTTTCCTCCCTCCCTGACTCATCCACTCACTCACTCACGCCGCCGCCGTAGTCGCACCGCCGCGACCACCCCCACCACCACCACCAGCTGTAGCAGCTGTAGCAGTAGCAGTAGCAGTACTAGTCGTACCCGAAGAAGCAGCAGCCTCCTTCATCAAATCCTTCATGGTGACGAACATGAAGTCGCGCAGCCCGCGCACGCCGTGCTCGGCCAGCCACTCGAGGACGCGGACGCGGTAGGCCTTCCAGCTGAGCTCCATGCCGCCGCCGGCTCCCGAGCGCGCGAGGCGGTGGAGGGTGCGTTGGGTGACGGGGCCGGGGGGGTGTCTTGGGGGTTGTGGGGGCGGTGGTTGTGGCGCGTCGTTGTCGTTGTTGTCGTTGTCGTGACTGGCGGCGGCGGCGGCGGCGAGGTGGGCGGCTTCCAGGTCGCGGAGGGTGGCGAGGGCGAGGGGCGCGGTGAGGGCGTTGTGGGAGAGGCCGAAGAGGGAGGCGAGGGTGTAGTCGGGGCCGGTGCCGGGGGCGGGGGTGGGAGTGGGAGTGGGGGTCGTTGTGGTGGTGGGAGTGGAGGCTGGTGGTATCAGCACGGGGGGGAGGGAGGAGACGTAGGCGTTGAGGGCGGCGGCGACGGGGGGCGCGCATAGGCAGCCCATGGCGTTGGGGTCGGTGGGCGTGAGGGCGCGCGAGCGCCAGAACAGGTTGGCGACGTCCATGAGGTATCCGTTGAAGGCGTTGGTGACGGCACGCGGCAGGTTCGCCGAGGCGGTGGCGTGGTCCTGGAGGTCGGTTTCGAAGGCGCGTTTGTAGGTCGCGAGGAGGGTGCAGAGGTGGGAGATGGTGGCGAGCGAGGGCTGGAAAAGCAGGTTGTAGAGGGTGGGCGCAGATGGGATGGTGAGTGGAGTGATGGCAGAGGAAAGTGTGGATAGGGTCGTGTAGTAGGTAAGGATGGCGGTTGCCGTCGATAAAGGAATGCGTTGCTGTGAGCTTAAGAGGGATAGGACGGTGTTGGAGATGTGGGTAGTCAAAGCAGCGAAGTCGGAGGACGTGACAGGGTCCTCGGCGGGGTCTCGAGGGTCTGGTCTACTGGTATTGGCAGCGTGGTTCCAGTTCTGTACCAGGGCCGTGTAGAAAGCAAGAAGGCGGTCGTAGGCGTCAGCGGTGCCACTTGCGACTACTGCTGCCTCGGCAGGGCTCAAGTAGGAAGTTTTAGATTCTGAAGGAATGAATGTCAATCCGTGCTCTAGGAGATATGCTTGTGCACAAAGGTACCTCGGAAATCTTCCATAGGAATATAAGCCAACAGACCAAGGATGGACTCCGAATATGTCCGGCCGTCCCAAAATGGAAGATACGACTTGAGAAAATCTCGGCCAGTGGGAAGGAGATTCTAGTCTTGTCAGCACAAATAGTAATTGTATCGCACGGCAGTTGCAAACCTTCGTGGCTGTGGTGTAGTTCAACATGCCATCAAGCAACTCGTCAAAGTGGTCAGGACCCTTGGTGCCACTGGCAATAGCATCCAAGGCTTCTCGAAGATAACTCTCCAGCCAAAGCTCTAGCCTACGTGCAGCCGTGTCGGAAGGTTTAAGTATCAGAAACTTCTGCAGAAGAGGGTCTTTGAACGATGCCAACAGTTGGTTCGGCAGCTCGATGCGCTCCAGATGCTTAACGAGCGCGTCGGCATTGTGAACCTCCTCAAGCGTAACAGACTTTTCATTTGCATAGGAAGTGTGTACTTCGGGCACGATGGAAACCTTTGCTCGTTTCGCTCCACGTCGAATGACTCTGAAACCATGCTGCTGCGCATGAGGCTGATAGTTGCTGTCGGCGTTGGCCTCTTGGATAGTCTGGAGTCTTCGTCGCCATTCGTCTTGGGCTGGGCTCGCAAAAGAAGTGCGACCTGAGGCAGCATTCCCCACGATGATTTCCGGGTAGTAGTCCTTGTAGACGCGAAGCAGGCCGACCAGAGCGGGATCCTGGCCACTCGTGCGGACCATCTCCAGCCTGCTCGAGCGGGTTAGAAAAGAAGACAGAGGGTGGCAGTGTGTCTTACAATTGCTGGATGCGGAAGGGGCGAACATGCTTGCGACGCGTGACAAGGGAAAGCAGATGGCAAAGTGGAGTTCTGCACGACAGTGAGAAACTGGGCGGCTACATAATCGATGGAGGGCCTGACCGGAGACTCATCGTATCCAGCAAGTTGAACAAAACGCCATAGAGCTTGGACAGTACGGTTGCATCCTCGAGCGCATCGATGACAGCAATGACCCACTTCAACAAAGCGGCCTGGGTGGCAGCCGAGGGTTTGGACTGGGCGTGGCCGAGTGCGCCAACAATAGCGATTACGATGTCGGACGGCACTCGAGCGGCAGGGTACAGGTTCTTGATGAGACTAGTCGAGCTCGTCTGGTCAAGGTGGTTGCGGCGCGTGACGAGCTGGACAATGCTCTGGAGATGGTCGCGGCTGAGGCCATGCTGGTACGCATGACTGCACACGGCATCGACGACGGGGTTGACCTTTTCGTTGCGCTGCTTGGCGGGGATGGTGGAGGCTGGAGGCAGGCATCAGCGGGCGTGTTTTCTGGAAGCACGCGTGGAGAGCTGACCAGTGCGCAGGGCTTCGATGGTGGCGCGCATGGCAGGGTTGCGATCTGAGGTCGCGGTCAGCACAGGCGCCGGCGCGGGCTGGAGGGCGCCATGCGGTAGGGCGGGCATTGCCGCTCGGAGCGGAGTCGAGTTCGCGGAGGCACGGGAGAGGCACGGAGGGTGCTCTGGCGCGGGTTGGGGGACCAGGACCAGGACGAGGACGACCAGGACGACGGCCAGCTGGGGCAGGGCAGAGCCGTTCCGGGCGTAGCGCGGGTGCGCGAGTGCGCGGGTGCCCCAGGCAGCGAGGCAGCGAGGCAGCGCAGCAGCGCAGCGCAGCAGCGCACGGCGGCTTAGTCACGGCGGCTGGCGGCTGGCGGCTGGCGGCGGCGGGCGTGTGCGAACTGCTCACTGCTCAGTAGTACTACTGTTGCAGCGGACAGGACTGCCTGTTTCCCGCCTGGCCGCAGCCGCCGCGCGCAGCAGTCACTGTGCATATGGCTCTGCGCTTGCAGAAGCGATGACGACGGCGGGCGGTCCCACGTTACACGCGCTCGAGCAGGGCGGCGATTCGCCCGCCGCAGCGCCGTGTAAGCCAGCCAATACCAACATGTTGGTCATATTGCCTGCGGGCAGGCATCGAGTCGAGACACGACCGACGACTGTACCGCGCCTAGCGCCTCCGCTGCCGACCTCCGCCCGCCGCTGCTGCCGCGCTGGCCAGGCCTCCTTCCTGGGCCTCCTCTCCACTCGGGCCGCCCGCCAATGCGCGTCGCCGGAGCTGCCGCAGCCCCAGGCCAGCCCCAGGCCAGCCCCAGGGCCAGCACCACCGCACCTGCACCGCGTTCCCTTTCCAACTCGCTCTGTGTAACCGTCGCCGGCTGTCCTCGGCGTACTGCCGTGCAGCATCACGCCGCCAGCATGCTGCCCGCTGCCCGCCGCCCGCCAGCCCGCCGCGCCAACCTTCTTTTTCTCCCATGGCATGCTCGTACCACGCCGTCCTCTGCTCAACCCTCGGCCATGCGTCGCCCCGTGTGACCGTCGCCATTCCTTCGATTCGATGATTCCTAATGCCAGCTTTAAAGCCGCCAGCCCGGCCCGCGCTGGACCACGGTGCGCCGCGGCCTCCAGACTCCTGGCCAGTCGTCCCAAGACCCGCCGCCGGTGAGCGACCCGTGAGCGACCCGTGAGCGACCCCAGCTGGAGCCCAGCGCGCCGCTATAAATGTCCTGACTGCTCGACTCCTGCCGTCTTCCGTTCGGGTGGTTTTTTGCTCGCTTGTTGCCTGCTTTCGTTGCCGCGCTGCTCTTCTCCCTGTCCGTCGTCATCTCTCCCAATCGCATATTGCTCACGCCTGTCGCAACCTCGACACGCCAATCAGCGACTTTGACTGCAGCAATTCGCCCAAAATGGGCGAGGCCAAGTTCCGCGCCCGCCGCAGCGCGACCCCAGGCACCACTGCCATCTGTTCCCTGTTAAATCGCACCTCGCTCCACCACCACCGCTCCGCCGCCTCCCAGACCACCCCCGACCACACCGCCGACTCCAGCGGCCGCAGCATGGTCACTCCTCCCAGGTTTCTGTGCCGTGACCCCCACACCCTCGCTGCAATCCGCTCTCTCCCAAGGTCCGGAAACCTCGTCTTGTTCTCCCCCGCCGTGCCGCCCGAGCCCGAGCCGCAGCCTTCGTTTGGAGACGATGGCGGCGCGGTCCAGTCCCCGCCGCACACCAGCAAGAGTGGCCGTGCGAGCGGCGATGCCCCAATGGACCCGTTCGAGCCGCTTGGGCGCGCCCTGTCCCGCCACCATTCCCGCGTGCGCCATGTGCCCTACGTGCCCAGCGTCGGCATGACGGGCACTCACCGCACTTTTCTCGAGCATGCCTCCGCAATCGTCCTGGTCGTTGTATGCAATGCCGAACAAGGCCGCAGCAGACGGCCCCCCTCTTCTGGGAAGTTTGAACAGCCTGACCGCTCAACCTACATCCTTCCTCCCCCACGCCAATCCTCAACCACGCCTACCCAGGCCTCGTTCAACCATGACGCGCTTCCTTGGCCCCACCGCTCACAGCACAATCCATCTTCCGATTCCTCCTTCCGGTTCGCATCTCAGGTTTTCGTTGCAGCAGCAGATCTAGGGGAGCGGACTGGACCCGATCCTGCCATTCCAACAGTGCTGCTCATCGTCGGCGAGGATGAAGCCGAGGCCGTGAGGCGAAACGACCAGCTGGACATGCTGATGGACGAGCTGGAAGCTGAGTATGACATGCGATTCCGGCCCGGCCCGCAGGTTGTGCTGGTTTCCAGGAGCTATTCAAGCGGCGCCCTGAGAAGAGTTGCAGGGCTGATAGCTGGGAGTGAGGAGTGAGCCTGCGACCCTTGGAATGACGTCTTTTTCGCATACGGAATGTCACATATCTGCGCATCTTCTATGTTGGATATTTGAAATTGCCCACTTTTCTTGTCTCGAGCTTTTACTTTTTCCTCATGTCTCGCACGTGGCGGTCACCTCTCCATTCCTGTAGCATGATTTTCTTCTGATAGGCGGACACGTTTCTTGTTATAAGCGTAGCCTTACTTCTTCATCATCTCCTATATGTCGGCGGCTAAAATCCGGTTCTGTATCTCCTGCGGCTGGGGCTCTTTCGGTCTGCAAATGTACAGATGAGTTGCAGCACCTTCTTGCATTGCGCCTGCTGATGTTGGCGGCTGGAAAACAGAGACGAAGAAACGAGTATGTAGAGACACACGTAGGGCGGACAGCTTGTCATTCGCAGCTAGGTCTGTCTCAACGCATTACGATACCAACGAGACTGCTTTTTTCACATTGAGTTTTGCATGCTCGAAACATTGAGAATGTCACGGTGGTAACAAGGTTATGGGCTCATCCCTGCCCGGACGGCCCCCTTACTTGAGGTAACCCTGTGAAGATAGGTGGTTGCTGCGGCTGACAGGTGCTATTTATGGTTGGGCTTGTAGTACGGCCCGCTTCCCCTTGGTTGCCTTGCCGTCGGTGACAGCGGTCGAGATCCAGTCCTTCGACGGAAGTTTGTCTCCGGTACGCATGTGCGACGCGGCAAATTGCCAGGCGGCAAGGCTCTCTGTGCACAGTCTCATTCTCAAGCAGCTATACAAGGCCGCCTCCAGGATGCCATGAACCAGCGCTTTGGCTACCATGTTACGAAGAAGTTTCTTGCTAGTCATGGTTACCCAGGCTTCCTCAAAAATCGAATCCTCCCCGCTCCTTTCCTTGTCTTGCTTTGCGCCGTCCCGGGACACTACGTGGGATCTCCAGCTGAAGTATTCGCTTGCCTTCGGAACAAACAGTCTACCAGCCTCAACGATCACAACAACACAACAATTTTTGTACTTACAGGCAATGGTATGATCTGCCAAGCAAGAATAAAATATTTCTCTACTTGCCGCCATGAATGCTATTTCCACTCTTCCGCCTAATCTTACCTTGCCATCTTCGTACCGGGACCCGGAAGATTCGAGCGCAGATCACGATGTCTACTATTATCGCCACCCTTCGCTGATGTCGCTATGCTTTTTAATGTATATTAACACCACGTAGTAGTAGATTTAATAAACTATCCAAAACCAAGTGCTTCCACAACGACCCTCTGCGATCAAACCAATGCTTTGACATTCAGAGCACTGGGCAGAAATTACATTGCGTCAAGTCTGGCTACTTTCACGAAAAGAGATTCATGTAGTTGCAAATTGCTGAGGCCAAATCCTCATCGACATGGATATCCTCGGCCTAGAAGAGTATTTCCACCAACTTCTCCAAATCAGTAGTGCGCATAGGCAGTTGTGGCAACGCCGAAGCCTTTCTACGTGAGTAGTCAAAGTAGATATCTAGATGTAGATTTGAGTGTTGAAACCTTACAAATGTGTAGGTAATAGGATATCGCCATCTCCGTGAGATGGGGTTATGTAGGTTTATAGAATTTGCGGCCCACTGGTAATTCACCCCCCAATAATGAACCCTCATCCATCTGAATGCTTGTCTGACAACTCTATTCTATTCCGAACACCATCTGGCCGCACGGAAGCACAATTTAAATACGGCCCCGCACCGCGAATGACATCATGCACCCCACTCACATTAGGCCATTATCATCACAGATCAGCTCATACCACCGCTTTACATACAAACACAATCCCAATTCCGCGACATTGGAAAAGAACAAGCAGCAAAGCCAGTACAATGACGGACCAACCCACAACCGGCGGTTGCCTCTGCGGGGCAATCCGCTACAGCCTGCCGGCCTCGGCCTCGCCCATCTACAGTGTCATCTGCCACTGCGTGAACTGCAAGAAATCCACCGGAACGCACATGGTCAACACGAGCATATTCACGAGCTCCGTAAGCCAGCAACCATCTCTCGAAAATTTCTTTTTGCCTCCTCTCCTTCCCCCCCGTCGACGCTTGGAGGACGGACCGAATAACGGGAGACGGTTTGCTGACCAGAGAGAGCGCCTTTTTCGTTGATGACGATGCAGCAATTCACCCTCACCAGCGGCACGCCCAAGGCCTACCGCGACGCCGACACCGACTCCGGCACCCCCCTGTTCCGGCACTTCTGCGGCGACTGCGGCAGCCCCGTGTACATCACGACGCCGCTGCTGGACGAGATCCGGGCCGTGTGCAGCGGCACCCTGGACGACGCGACGGTCAGGTGGAGGCCGAACAAGGGTGGGCGTCTTTCTCTTTCCTTTTGGTTTCCTTTCCTCTTTCGTTTCCGTTCCTTTCTTCTCTTCCCCCCTTCCCCGCTTCTTCTTCTTCCCTCGTCTCTAGGGGCGATCATGCGGTGTAGGTGTATGTGTGTGTGGGCATGTTTTCTGACGATCTGCGTGGTTTTGTTTGGTAGAGCAATATATCGAGACGAAGTCGCATTGGCTGCCTGATCTGGAAGTGGTCAAGAAGGAGGGGGTGGTGGAGAGGCATCCGAGAGGCCCATTGGAACAGCAGTGGAATCAAACCTTGTAGCCGTTTCTTTTGTGGATAAGCACATGGGTTCGTGTGAGGCGTGTGGTGGCCAAGGAGTTGATGGGGAATTTGGGCTGTTCGACTCGTAATTACATGCAGACGAATATAAACCCTCTACTGCGTCAGCTTGGCCGCCTTCAGCCCCTCAGATAAGCCATTCTCATGAACGGTCCATGCACGATTTCTATCCATCAATGCTCATCAATTCTTCATCATACTCCCCCAACGTATTCCACGTGACTTTTTATAGGTCCATCAGTCTGCAGTATCCCCATCCCTCAAGGCATGGCTCTAGCCGCGCTTCCTAGCACCGTTCCCACCGCTCTGTGACGACTGCTGCGGCTGGTCCTCCTTCTTGCCGGCCAAGAAAGACGCCAGATCGAAATTCTGCAGCTGGCTCGCCGGATTCTGCCCAAGCGGGCTGTTCTTCTGCATCTCCTCGAACTCGGCCTTGGTCTCCTCGTCCACTGTAGGCGCGCACGTTAGCAGCAAGCTCCCCGGGAAAAGGAAAAAAAAGGACCCGGACGCCCGCTAAAGAAAAGAAAAGAAAACCAGGGAACGGAAAAGGGAAAGGGAAAGGGGAAAGAAAACTCACTGTTATCCATGAGATACGGCATGCCCACAATCAACGCCAAGCTGAACACCCCCATCAAAATCATCGGGTTCTTCAAGAACGCCAACGGGCTGAACCCCGACCTCTCCTGGTAATATTCCTTCCGCCCCACCACCCTCACCTCCGCCATCATCTGCGCCCCGCCCGTCGCCGCCGTCGCCGTCGCCGTGCTCTCCCCCCTCTTCTCCCCCCGATTCGCCCACTCGTTCCCCCGAAACGTCTGCCACGCCCTCACCTTCTCCACCCCAGTCGCCCCCTCCTTCTTGTTGTCATCCCCACCATAATCCGCCGCGACCTCGACATCCACCCTCAAATTCTCAAACACGTGGTCGCGCGCGTGCACGCTGAGCAGGTACGACCCGGGCGCGACGTCGACGAAGGCGAAGGTGCCGTCGCGGCGCAGCGGGGCCGAGAGCGCCGGGCCCCGCGCGTGCAGGGTCGCGTGCGTCGAGGCCGGGAGGGAGGCTGCGGCGGCGGCGCCGCTGCCGCCGGGGAGGAGCGCCGCGTGCGGGGCTACGACGGCGAAGGTGAGGTTGGCGGCGGAGACGACGGTCGACGTCGAGGCGGCCAGGACGGCGGCGGTCGCGGTGGAGAGGCGCATCTTTGTCTGGGCTGGGATCCGGGCGGGATGGGCGGCAGGGCTGGTTGGGTTTGGGGGGGAGGCTTTCTTTTTGCGCAGGCGCCGCGAGGTGGAGCCTCGGTCGTCGGTTCTGGAGGTTTATGTGCAGCGGGGCAGGTGTGGCCAATTGAGACGGTGAGAGGGCGCTGTGTTGGGTTGCGGTTGGTGGTGGGAGCTTGAGAGAGCTGCGTGGAAGGTAGGTGCGTGGATGTGGTGGTCGTAGCGCGCCGTAGTGGCTGGTGAGACTGTGGCGCGCACCATCCACATCCTGACCAACGTCAGTGCAACGTATTTTCAGTATGTCTTTTTTAGCTACGCTTGCCGGTCAGGCCTCTACGTAATCACAGAACATCAAACGGCATCGATATCCGCTCTTCGAATTGCAATGTACATACACACGAATCAGAAGGAAGGCTAGGCGATTCCTCCCATATCATGTTTTATTCACAATATATCCATCTGTTTTGAGATGCGTCATCGAATAATGATCGGGCTGTATCTAGACCAAAGCTTTTACAGTCATTGACCCTGTCCGACTCTTCACTTCCTCTTTCTGCCCTTTCCGCCTTTCTCCGCACCTGTCGTCTTGGCCTCCGCCTTGACCTCCTGAACACCCTCAACGGCCTTCTTGTCGTCACCAGGAGGGCTTGTTAGCGGCTTGTTGGCGACCTTCTCCGGCTCGTCTTCCTCCTCGCCGCCCTGGCCGAACTCGTTGACACGACTGTAGTCGACTCTGTACTTCCAGCCCTGGTAGAGATAGATGAAGAAGATGACGTCGTCACGGAGGGTCGCTAAGCGGTGGAGCGTAGGCATCTTGATTGTGAAGGCGAAGAGGTCGTCAATGAAGGTGTTCAGGAACTTGTACATCATGGCTTTGCGGGGCATGTGCGCCACAGACTTGAGGCGGTAGTTGATGTACAGCGACGGAACCATCATCAGGAAGCCGTACGCGTAGACGCTGCCGACGAGGGTGGCGATGACGAAGCTGTACCACGACTTGTGTGTCTCGTAGACGAGCGAGTAGCCGGCGTATGCGAGCAGAAGGGGAACGGCGACCATGTACAGGTACTTGAACGCAATGCGGTCGTACTCTTGCGTCTCCTTCTCCTTGTCCGACAGCTCGTGCTTGTCCTTGAACTCGATCCTGTACGGCAACATGGAGCCTGGGGCGGCGGCTTCGATCTTGATGTCAACCGTCTTGGTGATCTTCCAAGCTTCGATGAGAATGCCCATGCCTTGGCCAAAGAGAATCATCCACGACGTGTTCTCGTTGTTGTCCATGAGGTACAGGAAGATGATCAACTGCATGAAGACATTGGCCAGGATCGTGCGCACCGAAGTGCCGACATTGTCCTTCTTCTGGCGCCAGTGAGAGACATCGTTCTTGAATGCAAGCATCTCAAAAATCATGTGGAGAACAGTGACAACGCCGGTGGTTGCGAGCAGATAGGCGTTGCTGTCGATCAAGATGCGCTTGAAGTCTTCGAACTCCTCGCCAGAGCCACCAGCAGTCATCTGTCCGGGGTTGGCAGCTGCATTTGCCTGGTTAGCCTTGACATTGGCGTCGACACTGGCGAGAATGGTGTAGATCCAGTTCTTTTGCTGGTTGAGAGAAATGTGCAGAGGAATCTCAGTGGTGGTAGTGTTCAGCTCCATCATGTGGTCCTTGAGCTGCCAGAAGGTGTTCACGAACAGAATCGGGTAGTACCACCCATTCTGACCCGAGGCATCCCTAGCTCCCGTGGCCTCGAGCTGGATGTAGCTGCGCAGCGCCGGGTGAAGCTGAGGGTACTTCTGCACGCCCGAGTCCGGAATGAATGACATGGTGAAGTTAGGGTGGTAGTAGTTCACGAGGCGGCCGGGCTGCTCAATCTCCTGCTCCGGTTCGGCGTCTTCATCATCACCACCAGCCAGCAGGTTCTTCGCCTTCTTGACCTTCTTTCTCGGCAGACGTTGGGTTAAGGGGTATGCGAAATGATAGGCTTTTGAGGGATCATAGGCCGGAGCGGCGGGATCCAGCTCCTTGCCAGTCAGGGCAACGAAGAAATGCGCCCAGATGGGGCTGCCAGCCTGGGCCTCCTTCGGCACCTTGATCGTCGTGTCGATCTCACGCTTATCCTGGAAGTCACCGTAGGCGAACTGCCTCTCATCCACGACCAGGGACTCAGCGGGCATCGACTTCAGCGACGGCATGACCATTGATGGAGAGACAAAGATGTTCAGGTCCAGCTCAGTGCCGGGAGGCCAAATGGGCGCAATGGATTGCGGAATGGCATTGTACTGGGCGTCCGGGGCGAGGCCTGGGGGCCGGTCGGCGAAGTCTGGGACAGGGAGATTGGCGGCAGGAACGTTGGCGCCAGGGACGTTGGCTGTGGGTTGCTGTTGCGAGCCGCCGAAAAACTGCTTGCTGGCAAACTGAATGAGCATGAAGATACCAATGCCCTGCGCCGCGGTGCGGAAAAACTGAAGGTGGCCATGTCGATTAGCTTCCGGACTCGATGCGGTGAGGCACGGAACATACGCTCTGCTGTTCCTCCCTCTGTTCTTCCGGCATCTTGGACGAAGTGGGCCTGGCCTCGTCTCGTAACAGGTGCCTACAGGAGATGAAGCGTTGTAGGGTGGGGAAGAATTAGGCAGTCGAAGTCGACACGACACGACACGACGCGTAGATGCGGTGCCGAAGGCGGTCAGGGAATTGGGGCCTAGGCTTCGCGGGGACACGCCGGCGGGCAGCGCCTCCGATTGGCCAGGCACCAGCGACCACGGCTATGATGCAAATCGCCCATGTTTCCCGCATCCGCCTCTGACAAAACATGAGGCACAGCAGCACGCTAGCACACCGTGAGCTGGCATCAAATGACTTGTTGATGACCGAATGAGTCGCCTTCACTCGCCGCCTGACTCCTCTACAGCTATATAGTTGCCTAAACGCCTTGGCCCACTGCGCCCCTTCCGTCTACCTTGCCTTGGGACCATCTTACTCTTCACCACTATTTTCCTTAGTGACTCACTCACCGTACGTGCCCGCGCACAGCACCGAACCCCCTACCATAGGCTTACGATTTAAACCTTAGAGCTCTCTAATCTCTCCAATCAACGCAACGGAACCTGTACCCCCATCTATCACGCAATCCCATCTTCCGACCACCACACCGATCCGCCACCCGCCACCATGTCAGCCGCCGAACAACCCGAACAACCGGTGCCCTCGACGCAGCTCAATGGCGATGCAGCTGCCGACCCGCGCCCCGTCATTTGCGTCTTCTGCGGAGCCAGCAGCGGCACCTCGCCGAAGCACCTCGAGGCGGCGCGCACCCTGGCACACGCCCTGCACGCCAACAACATGCGGCTCGTCTACGGCGGCGGCACGGTCGGCCTGATGGGCGAGGTGGCGCGCACGCTGGTCTCGCTGTCGGGGCCGGACGCGGTGCACGGCATCATCCCCGCGGCGCTGGTCAAGCTGGAGCAAAACTACGACAAGGCCATGGAGTCGGCGGGCAACGGCGACGAATCGCACGACGGGCTCGGCCCGCGCAACGTCATCGACCAGAAGGTGTACGGGCGGACGACGGTGGTCAAGGACATGCACACGCGCAAGAGCATGATGGCGCAGGAGGTCATCGCGGGCGGGCCCGGCGGCGGCTTCGTCGCGCTGAGCGGCGGCTACGGCACCATGGAGGAGCTGATGGAGGTCATTACTTGGAACCAGCTCGGCATCCACAACCGCGGCGTCGTCGTCTTCAACGTCGACGGCTACTACGACGGCTTGATCAGCTGGGTCCGCAACGCCGTCTCTAGCGGCTTCGTCTCGCCCACCTGCGCCGGCATCCTGGTCGAGGCCCTGTCTGCCGACGAGGTTATCCAGTGCTTGCAGGAGTACAGGAACGCCGAGGGTCGGTTCAAATTGAACTGGAGCGAGAACTGAGGAACGAGACTTTCTCCTCCTGAGGAACCGACAGACACGACTGTCAGTTTTGATGAGGTGTTTTGGAGGGCATTGAGCGTTCCGGTTACATCGTCTGGCGTTCGAGTTCTTGCATCTAGAAGCGGGCATTTGAGATAAGCAGAGCAGGATACCATCGACAGGACTTCTGGATAACGACATTAAAGGGACAGACTCAGTCATCTCAAACGATTGCATGTAAATAATGACGGAAGGGACTCGCGATTCATATCTTTCTAGAAAAAAAGAAAAAGAGAAAAAAACTACACAAAAGTGCCAACAAAATGGATGTAGCAATTCGCGTGATTTGACACAACATACCTAAAACTCGGGTCTATCACGCTCAAGGTCCACATTAATGCGGAAGGATATTCTCAGATCGGCACACAATAATGTCCATAACAACGACTGCAAGAACAGTGCTCATCACGTGAGTGGATCTGGTATGGTGGCAAAGCAGATCAGGAAGCAGTAAACGCGGTACTCCGAACCAAACTTTAAATGCAAACTTCCATTGACCCAGGCAGGTCCAAAACTCTGCAATTTGCCTTTTTTCCCTCTGCCTGAAAACGTCACTTCGCCACCCCGAGGATCTGAAATAACATTCTGGATAACAGATGTGTATGGAATGGAGTTGCAAACACAGCCGTCCCCGAATTTCAGCTGAAGAGATTCCTTGTTCCTGGAAAAGCAATAAGCTTACCTCATACCTTCCATAGAAAGTAAGAACTTGCAGGGATCGGCTTAGTCCACGATGTGGCGGTACGCAGTTGCCGCATTCCGCCCCTTTATTATTTGCCTTTCCTATCTTGTAGAGAGCAAAGGTAGGTGAAACATTCACATGCATTCAACAAAGCTTGAGGGAGTAGATAAACGCATGCCCAACCAACCCTTTAGTTCCGAAGGGGGCGTTTTCTAGACGCGAGTTGACAATAAGTCGATGATGGCATGGACAGAGAGAACAAGTGGAAAGCCCCCAAATGAATCACTGGAATCACCTAGCAGGAGGAGTACAGACAAAAATCCCTGGTGCTCCCTCGGTGAACATGTGTTGATGAAATCTGTTCCTAGGGTCTAAAAGGTCAGCAGCAAGGCAAACCATATCATTTTGACCGGGAGGGGGACGTCCTGCCTGCCCAATGAGCCAGGGAATGCTTATCTTGATAATGGCTTCACAGAACTGATACGGACTATCAGCTGCGATGCACAACCGCCACACCGGAATTTACTTCAACCCCCTCATCTAGCACATGCATGCACATGCCATTCGTTCCACGTTATGTCTGGTTCTCACCAAACCTTACCAGAGGAGCTCACTACGACGCCTTCAGAATGCCGCGCTAGTTATTCGAGCACTCAAGAAAAAAGAAAAGAAGGGAGCGGAGTGCAGACGCAGCCTCGAAAAATGAAGGTGGACGACCGCGAGTTTGGCGTGGAATCAGGGGTGGGCTCGCTCATGTCAATCCCTCAGATCGGGAAACGTGACAACGCACATCAAACAGATCTCCAAGACAGCTTGTTTTGAAACCCCAGTCCACGAGCTCGACCGCGGCCCTGGGAGCTCTGACTGCCGACTGAACGAGCTCGCTGCGGATTGATGAACCCCACAATTCTTCGCCTCGCGGGTGTTGGACTTCCCCTCACCAGTGTCCGTTTGCATGTGAGCTCGTTGCTACCGATGACGCAGGCTGCGATACAGCATTTGCATGCCTATGGGTCCACACACACACGCGGGTATGCAGCGTGAAAGGTGCCACGGCAGTGAGTTGCTGGCACGCTGGGTCATTCAACGCGTCCGATTGCGGAGAAGGCGGCGCAAGGCAAAGGCCAAGCACCCCAGCATTTCGGGGGACCCACACTCGGAGAGGCGGCTCAACGGCAGAGCGATAAGCCCTACGCAGTTGTGGCGTGGCGTGTGGGTTCTGTGCGGTGGCCACGGTGGTCGTGGTGGTCAGTTCTCGATGCCAGCGCGTTCTCTCGCTGCCCCTCCATTTTTTTTCCCTTCCCACCCTCCCCTCCGTCCCACGGCCCGAGCGTTCTGTGCCAGCGGCGCGCCTTCTCCGTGGCATCTTCGGCCAGCCTGCACGGCGAAAAACCGGCCGGTGAAGGGACGGAAGGGGAAAAAAGTTAGGGAAAAAACGCGATGGGATTCGCGCCGCCACTCGCCCGTCAGCACACCGGTCCGGCGGCGGGGGGCGAGGATCCTTGCGTCCACATGGCCGGCAGGGCGCTAAAAGTGTTAGTCAAAGCAGCGTGCCACCGACCAAGCGAGAAGGCGATGTGCAAGGCGGCGAGGACGGGCGGTGTCTGGGCGGAGATGGATGAGATAAGATTGCGCACATCTATCGCGCATCGTTTCCCCGTGGGCGCGTCACGGCGTGGGCACCGTCTCGCAGCGACGTGGTGGCGTCAGCACGACAGGGCAGATTGGCGAGCACTGACTCGCATGGGCCAATTGAGAGGGCAATGGTGTGAAGGTAAGGAGACTCTGATGTGAAGCGCGAATTGTTGAGGCAGTTCCCCGGGCGCTCAACAAAGTACCTGAGGGCGGCGACGATCGTGGCCGCCCCTGCAGGCCCTGCAGAAGCGAGGGCGCGGAGTGGCCACGACGAGCTAGCCCGCTCCCGAAAGCAGCCCGTCCTCATCGCGGCTCCGGCTGCACAACGACGGTACCAGATGTCTGCCTCTGCTGTCTGCTGTCTGCTGCCTGTCGCCTGTCGCCTGCCTGCACTCCAGCCGCCCCGACATCGTCGCGCCCCGCCCTGGCCTGCCATTTGCTGCAGCTAGCGGCCGCCGCGCTTTCACATGTGTGCCGGCGGCGGCGCGGACCCTGATGAGGGCTGACGACTCCAGCGCGCGGTGCATCGGTGCATGTGCGACGGCAGGGCATGGCGCTCTGGCGGTCAGCTGCAGCCACTCCGGGGGCGCGCAATTGTGCTTGTCGGCGCGGGCGGGCCACGGTGCAGCAGCTGTGGACGTGGAGCGGGCTGGCGCAGCGGGATCGCCGAGCAGGCGGCGGAGCAGACGCGCAGCGTTTTCGTGCGGGCAGAGCCGTCGACGGTGGCACTGTGGCATGCTGCCGTGAGCTCCTGGCGGGCTGAGCTCAGCGGCGCCGGCTCGGACTGTGCTTGGGCGGGCTGCTGCGCGCCTGAGTTGGGCGGGCTGGGCCTGGAGCTGGGCTGCTGGGCTGCCGGGCTGGTTGGCGGCGAGAATGCCCGAGCCTCTGGCAACGGATGCAGATGTGCCATCTTGAAAACTGGACCCCTGAAATCTCGAACACGCGCCGCGCCTCGGCTACCAGCTGTTAGGGCCAGCGAGCGGTGTCTAGGGTTTTGCCCACCCCGGCCAAGACGCTGCTCTTCTTAAGCCATTGCCTCCCTGCTCTCCCTTCTCGCGCTGCACTCCTGCCTTCCTCCAATTCTCAAGTGCTTGGAGCTCCTGCCCATACACGCTGCGGGCCCCTCTCCGTCCCAACGCTCCGCTCGCCTGCCGCCCAACAAACTCAGAGCTTCCGCTCCACCGCACCCGCCGCCCGCGAGACCCTTCTCTCTCTCCAGCTTTTTTCCTGCACCATTTCTGTTTTCCTTGTTTCTCATTCGCCCGTCATGGCCACCACTGCCACGCCCCAGAACCCCGTCCTGAGGAGGAACGTCACCGCCACCTCGACCGTCTCCTCGTCCGCTCCCTCGGTGGCCGTCTCCCCCAACGACTCGCCCGCCCAATCGCCCTCGTCGACCTCGCTGTCGTCCATGGGCTCGGTTGAGCCCGAGGTCAAGAATGCCCGCGGCAAGCTCATCGACACGTACGGCAACGAATTCGAGATCCCCGACTACACCATCAAGCAGATCTACGACGCCATCCCCAAGCACTGCTTCGAGCGCTCCGCCATCCGCTCGCTGAGCTATGTTGCCCGGGATCTCACCGTCCTTAGCTCTGTCTTCTACGTCTTCTACAACTATGTCACTCCCGAGTACATTGCCTCGACGCCGGTCCGTGCCGTCCTCTGGGCGCTGTACACCGTGGTCCAGGGTCTGTTCGGTACGGGCATCTGGGTTTTGGCTCACGAGTGCGGTCACCAGGCCTTCTCTCCCTCCAAGACGCTGAACGACACCGTCGGCTGGATCTGCCACTCGGCTCTCCTCGTCCCGTACTTCTCCTGGAAGATCTCCCACGGCAAGCACCACAAGGCCACCGGCCACCTCACCAGAGACATGGTTTTCGTCCCCAAGACACGTGAGGAGTACGCTTCCCGCATTGGGAGGTTCGTCCACGAGCTCCACGAGCTGACCGAGGAGACTCCCATCGCCACTGCCACTCACATGATCGGCCAGCAGCTTGCCGGCTGGTTGCTGTACCTTTCCATCAACGTCACCGGCCACAACCAGCACGAGAAGCAGAAGGAGGGCAAGGGCGTCGGCAAGAAGAACGGCTGGTTCGGCGGCGTCAACCACTTCATGCCCAGCAGCCCTCTGTACGAGAAGAAGGACGAGAAGCTCATCCTCCTGAGCGACCTCGGTCTCGCCATCACTGGCTACGTTCTCTACCAGCTTGGCTCCAAGTTCGGTTGGGCCAACCTCTTCGTCTGGTACGGTCTTCCGTACCTCTGGGTCAACCACTGGCTGGGTAAGTCGACGCGTTCTGATGATGATGATCTGACAATGATAAGCTGACAAGAAATTCTGCAGTCGCCATCACCTACCTTCAGCACACCGACCCTTCGCTTCCCCACTACGATGCCGCCACCTGGACCTTCACCCGCGGTGCCGCCGCCACCATTGACCGCGAGTTTGGCTTCATCGGCCGCCACATCTTGCACGGCATCATCGAGACCCACGTGCTCCACCACTACGTGTCCACCATCCCCTTCTACAACGCCGACGAGGCCAGCGAGGCCATCAAGCCTGTGATGGGCAAGCACTACCGCGCCGACGTCAAGGGCGGTCCCGTCGGTTTCCTGAAGGCCATGTGGAGCAGCGCCCGCTGGTGCCAGTGGGTTGAGCCCAGCGCTGAGGCGCAGGGCGAGGGCAAGGGCGTTCTCTTCTTCCGCAACAGGAACGGTCTTGGTGTCCCTCCGGTTGCCATCCCGGCGCCGGGCGCCAAGCAGGAGGGCATGATCGTCGGTGCCGAGAGCGACAACGACGCATGAGCGATGAGTAAATGAGAGCGAGCCGCCATGCGGCTGATTTTTTCAGATTTTTCTCTTTATCCTCGGGTTCGTTTGCTCGGGGAGGGTTATTTTCAGGCGTCTGGTATGTGAAAAACAGGTGTCGTCGGTCGATGAGGGGAATCTCTTCAGGCCGCCAACGCACACACGTCTCAACCCCGCCTCCATTTTCGTCATCGCTCGTCAGCTCTCGCACAATGGCCACCGTCGTCGCCGCAACCAACGGACGCCAAGGACATTCTCTCGCTTCCATCCCCATTTCTCATCAACTTTTTTCGTGTTGCTTTCTCGCGGACATGTTGGAGACAATTCGGGATGGCAGTTGGACAACAGCAGCAGTAGACAGATTGTCGGAGCAGGGGTTTACCCATATTAGACCACCTAGAGATTATCGGTGCTGTTTTTGCAGGGAAGACAGAAAAAAGTTACTGGACGGGGAAGGGGTGGCAAAAGGTTAGAGCTGGGAGGGGATTTCTTTTTTCTATTGTTTAAAGAAAGCAATTAGAGGATTTTACGAGACAAAGCAAGGTTAACCCAATCGACATTGAGTCGTTCAAACAAACGAGCAAGCAGCCTCAGCGTGCAATAAGTGTGAACGATTGGAAGTAAAGGATGGAGCGTGTTGGTAACTGAAATCGTGAGGTTTTGAGTCCGGTTTCCCCGGATGCCGGATGGACGCGGCAAAAGGCGGGGTATCCAGCCATGAACCGACGAACCGACGACCTTTATGCGTGGGGATCTCACAGAAGAATACGGTTCGAGAAAGCGGGAGGTGTGTAGAGGCTCGTGAGTGAGTGGGGTTTTGGCAGAAAAGGCGTCTTTTGTCGCAATCATCGTCTTTAATTTCCATCTTCAATTGCTATTGCACCATGCTTGGCCCGTAACAACTTGGATAGTACATACACGGCTCGTTCGTGGGCAAAGTCAAGGAAATAGTAAGACGCTTCCTATCCATTGGTACGTTGAGCGGATTGCCTAAGAAGAATCGAAATATATGTTCAAGGTCGAGGTAGTTGAAGCTCTTATTAGGGAGCTCCTATTTAGATATGCTTGTGTATTCTATGGCTGGATAGTCGTCTCAGTTGCTGGTCCTCCGCTGCAATACCTAGTCAATCGACATCGTAGAACGATGGTATGAAGTGACTCGTTTCTTGATTAGGATTTCCAGTCATCCCAACTTCGTACATCAATCCCAAATTTGACCAGCTTAACAACAGAGTTTTCTCGTCGGCATGCTCTAGAGTGATTTGCTAGTGCATAACGAACATGCACTCCATGCAGAAGCTGGGGGCCGATTGGACGCATGCTTTTGCATGTGTCGCGGCCCGTGGTGGCACTGAAGATGCCGCAGAGCACGGCATGTCCACATCTCGAGCTATTTTTGTAATACCAACGACTGCGCGCAACCCGACGCACGCATCTCAACACAAAGCTAAATCGGAATTGCGTCACCAGCGGCAGAAGCGGATTCTGTTGCCCTCAGCTGGCAGATCACTACTACACCTGCTGTGCAATCAGTAACTGATCCACAACCAATGAGAGGGTTCAGCTCTCATGCGATTAGCGCTTGCGCTCTCGGGGGTGGAGCTGCCAGCTGCTGGAATGGTTGACAGGGTGGCTTCTTTGAAAGTGGGGATTGTGCATCCACCTGGCTTTCCCCGTCTTAGAATACGTACACCACCCCCGCTATCTTCTCCCACACATGTCGGTTACTTGCAGATCGAGGCCTCTCCCCCATCATCACCATTCATCATTGTTACTGGATTCCGCAAGCGACAGGTTGCGTTGTAACCTTGTCGGCACGAGCTACTGGCGCCCTTGTGCCGTCCGCCAAGACACCGAGGCACCCTGAGCCCAACAAGTCCCCTTTTCTCCGGGCCAACATGTGAAGCGCCGAAATCTTGGAAGCAGCATACGCTAATGTATGGACATTGTCGTCTGATCGAAGGTTCGGAAAAGAACGGGATGGAAGATCGACCAGGATCGCCATCCGCTCAATATCTCTATCGTCGTCGTAGAGGCCGCTGTCGGTGAGTATTATCCCGATGCGATACTGGAGCAGAGCAGCAGCTCCTGCCCCAGCGATAGTCTCAGCTATACGTACAGACTTGTTTGCGCGCGACGCTTTTTCTTCTACAAGGGAAAGCGTGCACGATAGAAGCAGTATTGCACTCTCGCGATCCTCTCCCTGAAGCTAATATGCATCTCTGTGTTCTAGTTCACCGGGTAGAGCATTCCTACCAACGGCTTTTCGTAGTAAGGCCCTGCGTTCCAGTCCAACAGGCTGTTTCGTTTTGGCGAATGCGAAATACGAGACCAAGCATATCTCTGCGAATTTTCAAGCAACATCAACGTCTATCAACCTGGACAATGCGAGCATGCTGTAGATGCAGTACATGCGTGCGGCGCGCTGCTACAAGAGCTGTGGGACATAATACGCATCAGTGGCGACCTTTTCATCAACCATCGGTAAGATGCCTTCCACATCTTGCAACAGCCGCCCGGCTAGCTCAATCGGTAGAGCGTGAGACTCTTAATCTCAAGGCTGCGGGTTCGATCCCCGCGTTGGGCTCAATTCCCACATCTTTTTGTTTTTGTGTTGAAGTGTAGGGGTGGTGGTGGCTGCGGAGGGCTGAGAAGAGTTTTTTGGTGGCGGGGTGGTCCGGGCGCGCTCTTCCGTGCAGGATCTGGCCGGGAACATCGCTGGAACCTTTTGCTCGGGCCGCTCCGTTTGCTTGGACAGCAGGGAATCGGCAGGGACCAATATCAGAGCCCAAGAGGAGCTGTTCGCGTTGGACTTCTCATTTGATGAAGCTACGGTAGAGACTTTGCAGCCGGGGTCTTTGGGTATCCTCAAATGCGTGTTACGGAAGCTCCCAGGCTTGTTCGTGGCTTTGCGGCCACATTATCTCAGAGATAACCAGACTTGGGGCCGCTTTCAACAAGCTGCACCTCGCATAAACACAACGAAAAACAGCACAAGATCTTCTCAACTCCTTCCTAAGCTTGGCATCATTATCCTCTCAGATCTCAGTTATAGCTTGCACCATCTACGCCTGGTTGAGTTTGGAGTGGCGTGGTGTATGAAACTTGTCCGCCCTCATCACCGGCCACTATTTTCATCACCACCCAAACCACCTCTCCGTATCTTCGTCTCGTAGCATGCAAGCTGGACAACGGCTCTACGTGAAGCCACTGCAACTGAGATCTTCTGTAACCCCCGCTATCCGCGAAAGAGGCAAGTCATAACATTCAAAATCAGTGAAGTGTGCTTGTATCGCGCCAGGTTATTGATGGTAAAGATATCTCGTGTACGAAATAGCTAGGCAGTCTTCATGGTATTAATAGATCTGCCAGGGAGACGCTTCTGTACAGTAGCGGCTCAAATTCGACATCCTTGGATATGTATAATGCTTGTGGCTGAGAAATTTACGTTCATGGCATGTTGACGATATTACGGAGAAATGCAGAGGGACGTTATTGTGCGAAGGGAAACGGAGTAAAGATTCCATCTCGGAAGGCGCCTTTCCCCCCCTTCCCAATACTGCTTATGGCATGAAATAGTCTATCCCGAACTTTATCTAGAAACAAGGACGGGAACGTGGTATGTCTCATCTTTCTTGCAGAAAGCAGCGCTAGAGATAGAGCATAGCAAAACAAAAATCCAAGCGGATGAATGACTCGAAAGACAGGTCTATTGTGCGCCCATGTCCCCAAAACACCAAGTAACCAGCCAAAACAACCACTTCCCCCAACCGACCTAGTCATTCTTATAACGCGTTCATCAGCCTCGCCATAGCAAAGAACGTCTCCTTCACGAAGCTTCCCTCGTAAAACACATGCTGCGCGCTGTGCTCTTGCGCCAAATTATGCGCAATCTCATGACAAAAGGCCTCCCACCAAAAGACATGCGCCTTCCTTCTGCCGTCCTGCTCCGCCATGGCCGCGCGATGCAAGTTCAAAAAGTAGTGGTAGTTGAAAAACAGGGCGCCGCCCTGGTTGAACGCGATGGTGCTGCTCGTCTCCTCGTAGAAGATGTTGAGCACGCCGTTGCTGCTGCCGCGCCCGCCGACGCCCAGCCCGAAGACGCCGCCGCCGATGCGCGACACGAGGTCGGCGAAGGCGTCGAGCCCGGCGAGGAAGGCCGGGTCGGCGGTCGGGGCCGGCTTGTTGTTGGCGAGGTAGACGGCGATGCCGGTGCCCGGCTTGGCTTCGGGCAGCCAGCGCGTGAGGTCCTTGCTGGTGCTGCTGTCGCAGTAGGAGCCGCGCGCTTCGTCGATGTCGCGGGTGCGCGCGGCGGATTGGACGTGCGGGGAGTTGTGCGCGCGGCACTTTTGCAGCGCTGTCTCGAGGTTGGCGGTGATGTCGCTGGACATGTGGTTGGGGTCGCTGGGGCGGGATTGGCCGCCGCCGGTGCCGGTGTTGCTGGGGCCGGCTCCTCCGGTGGAGGAGATGCTGGAGCGATTGTTACTGTTGTTTCCGGTGGTCAAGTTCTCGAAGGCTTTGGTGAAGTTGGACATGAACTTGCTGCGGCGATTGTTGTTGGCGGCAGCTGTGTCGACGCTTGGGCGGCGCTGGAGCTGGGTTCCGGGTGTGTCGTGCTCCGGGGAGCCGAAGGCACCGGGCATCTTCGACACGTTCGATTTCTCAGGAGTTCTCGGGGGCGCTTGGTTGGCAGCAGCCGCGGCCTCGATTTGCGGTTGCTGGTACCCTGGAGGGGGATGCTGCTTTGGCGATGTTGGCTCGGCGTACGGCGGAGGTGCGTTTGCAATTCTCTGCTTCTCTTCCTCGGCAAGCCTGGCCTGCTCCAGAGCTCTTTGCTTTTCTTTGCGGGCGAGGATGCGGTGCACGTCGTAGCCCTTGTCTCGCAGGCGGCGCAGACTGTTGCTCAGGATCGTCTCCAGGATCAACGCCTCATGCTTTGGATTTTGGCGTTTCAAGAGTAGCGGCACAAGCTCGCGACTGACTTCGTAGAAGTCGAAATCCTGCCGAGCGTACAGAACGGTCGAAGTTTGGAACCTCGATCTCACCCGTAGGAGGCCAGCGCTCGTCTTGAGCGACACGGGACGCTGTCCAGGCAACTGGAGGCGATGTGTGAGGGACGATACAAGCTTGACGTCCAAGTTCGATTCCAACCACCGTGCATCGTGGTATATCTGGTCTTTGTTGTACGATATGAGGAAGATGGGCGTTCGCTCTACGAGAAGCGCCTTCAATGCGGCTGCCTTGTGCTCTCCGCCAGGGACTGGGTTGCCAGCAATCTTCTCAACGTTGACGCGATCACTGAGCTTCTCGGCGCCAAGGTGCATGTAGAATTGTTCGAGAACTTCATCTTCGGGGGCAACCAAGAGCGAGTGTCTGAATACACCGTAGTATTGGACATTGTCTCGGACGACAATCTGGGAAGCAGAAGCACTGACGAGAACCTGTTGAATGGCGGCATCATCGAAGTCGTCGTCATCGTCGTCGAGCAGAGACTTCTCCTTCACCTCCACGACCTTGCCATCTTGCTGTTCATCCTTGAAAGCAAGCAACACTGGCCTGGTCTTGAAAGCGGCCCAGACATTCTTGTCCGATTTGAGTTGGCCCTCTTCTACAGCGAACTGTCGAAGCAAGCCCATATATTTTGGCGCTTGGAGCTCTTGTAGGACCTTTGATGGATTGTCAACGACCATGCGGGCGAGTTCTAGAATGGTGGGTTGATCTTTGGCTCCGACAGTTCTTAGGAAAGCATTCGCAATGCTACCAAAGTCGACAAAGTTTAGGATGTTACCGAACTCCTTACTCTCGCCAACGAAGCAGGAATGCGGTGGAATATGCCGCATCTTTGCGCCACTTTGAGGGCTGACAAGCGGGACGATCGGAGAGCTGCCAAGCTCCTGTGCGATTTGGCGTAGACTCTGAATGTCGGCAATTCTCCCAGCCATGTATCCGAAGTAAAGAGCGGCTTCCTGTTTGCTGATGGGAGGAGACTGGATCAATTTCCTTGCACAAGCATCGATCGGGGGGTCGCGAGAGACACCGAAAACGGCTGCGTGGGGTTGCACGTCACGGCGTAAGATGTTGTACCCAAAAATGGATGAGTCGGGATTGGTGACACACTCAGATGGGCGAACCAGAGAGGGAAAGGGGGCGGCCTCCACAGGTAGGATTTTCTTGTCCGCCAGCGCAGCCGCCGGGATATTCTGCCACAGCGCGCGATTGGACAAGAAGTAATGCAGGGCCATCTCATACTGCTGAGGATCGTTGACCTTCGCTGAACTCAACATCATGTCCACGATTTCATTCCAGCCCGGGCTCTTTCGCAGGCCCAGTTCGCGAAGGAATTTGGCCTTCGGGTCCGTGGACCTGTACTCTGTATTCGCTCGCCACTTGATGACCGGAAGACCGAGTGTCTTGTTATCATTTCCTGGTTCGTAGAGCTGCTGGAGTTTGTACAACTTCTTTGCATCTCCTCGAAATCCAGAATACTCTTCCACAGGCCAAATCGGCTTCTCGGCGAGAACAGTGCGGTCTTTGGCGGGAATGGAGTCGCGAACCTCGGTCAGGTATTCAATGAGATCCATATGACTCCACTTGGGCTGGTTGTCTTGAGCGGCCTTGTTAGGAGTAGCCAGCAGTCGGGTGAAGACGTAGTCCAGGTCAATGGTCTGGCGAAGCCCCAGTGCCTCTAGGAATTTTGGCTTCAGGCCAAGTACAGTAAGATTTGGAAGATCCTCAAAGAGCTTGACGTTAGGATGGTATGTTTGCTGTGGTGTCTGCATGCCATTCTTCGTGGGCATTACAGCATGAGGCTGGAGTAGTGCAACCACCTCAGTTCGCTGGTGTGCTCTTAATTGATCCCACTGTTTGGATATCACCTTGAGAACTTGGGTGGCAAACTCAGCATCCTTGGTGAGCGATTTGCCGCCATTGCGCTGGTTGAACTCAAGGAGATAGCGAATCCATTCTTCCACAGGAAGCTCGGCCCATCCGAACCCTTCGAGTTGTGCACGGGTGAAATCCTTTGTGTACTTCAAAGGCATGACAGAATCCGGAAAAGGCAGATCGGGCGGGTATTTGGCAGCATTCAGATAGAAAGTAATGCTTCCAAGCGCGATGATAGTCGCATCATCGGTTAGCACGGCGGCATTGAAAAGTTTCTTGAGGTCGCTGGCATCAATCGTGTCGGAATGGGACATGTCAGCAGTGAACTTGAGGAACTCGCGCATCTCCTCCTCATTCAAAGGTTTGTTCTCAAGGCGCTGGACAATGTCTTCCACCGTGAGATAGTACAGGATGCGCCGAGACAGCATCTTCTCGACGAAAGATTTGTTCTCTTCGATGATCTGCTCGGGGACCATGGGAAGGTCTTGAAGGAATCCCAGCTTCAACAATGACACGCGTACTTTCTCACATGGCAGAACGCCATTCGTTGAGAGAATCTCGGCCCTTTGGGAGGCCCTCCAGAAACCTCCCTCCACGCATCTCCCTACCACGGCAGACGGCGTAGCCTCTTCCGAAGTCCACTGCTTCAGCAAACGCACCGCATCAGGGACGGTCTTCGAGATTTGATCGACAGTGGGTTGGGATGCCCCGGCAGATTTCAACTCCTTGGAAAGATTCTCTTTGATGGTGGTCATGCCGCTGTCAAATGCCATCCGACAAGCGATACCGGCGACGTCCAGCATAGCCTCGTTCCACGTCGAAACATGACGGTTTGACAAGTCAATACTCTCACGCTCTACGGTTGGAATGAGAGAAGGCGCGAATATATGACATTGGTAGCCGGTCGTCTGGCCGGTGGGGAATCCAATAAAGACACGACCATGCTTCGTTGGCAGAGCAGAGGCGAAAAGGTCGGAGGAGCGATCCACGGTGAGGCCGAAAGCGTCGGTAATGGAAGTTTCCGGGTTACTTTGGTCTGCGGTCAAAATGGCCAGGCGAGTTTGCCCAGGCGGGGGTTTCTTGGTGGCTCGGAGAAGCTCGCTGGATAGGACCTTGGGGACATTGGTGTTTATGTTGACCGTATTGATCCGCAAGGCAATGGTTGCTTGCGAGATGCCAGCCACGTCTTCTGCCACAGCTCTTTGTTGCTCTTGGACCCTTTCCTGGGCAGCCTTTTGCTCCTGCTCTCTCTTGCTCGCGGTGCCGATGTTGAACCTTGCGAAAAAGCCCTTAAAGCTGGGCACCGCTGGAGCTGGTTCTTCGGCCACCGCTTCCTGGGTTGACTCCTTGCGGTCCCAAGCTATCACGTTGGTCCACTCGGCTTTGATGTTCGCCGTCTGGTGCGTGACATCGCGGATCTCCATCAGGCCTTTTTCGGACTTCCTCCCGATATGGCTTGGTATCGAGACTGCGGCAGCGGCAGATGTTGTTTTAGTAAGGTGAAGGATTTTGAAATTATCAACGAACAGTTCAATATTCTGCAATGCAAGGAATGTAAGACTAGTGGTGAAGAACTTGGACAATTCAAAAAGGTCAGGAACGGGAGAAGGGGTCACGTCGCCGTTCTTGTCAGAGGACTTCCGGTAGTCTAAGACGAATCGCGTGCTATCTGAGGCCTGCTCAGCAGGCAACGTCCCGGACTTGACGGCGAGAGTGTTCCCTTTCCAGAAAAAGGCCACTGCACGAACGGCTACGTCAGCGAAGGGATCGAGGACAAGCGGTCTGGGAGCGGCTTACTGGTCCTGTTGCCGGATATCACAAACGGCTCGTCACACTCGCTGAAGACAGAGTAGAAGCCCACGCCAAAAGCACCGATCTTGGTCTCGTCAGGGTTTCCCTCGGCGATGCAGCGCAGGCGCGACCAGTCGGCATCAGTGAAAGGCTTGCCGTTGTTGGCTACATCAAGACTTCTCAGAGTGTGGTTCTTGACCACGTGCCTGAGCAGGACGGAGGGATCCTGGGTCTGCGGCAAAGGCACACGAGTTGACGGATCCGTCTCCAGCCTGATGGTAGCCTTGGTGGCGCCAGCATCCGCAGCGTTCTGGACGAGTTCTCTGAGGGTGGTAAACTCGGCCGAGTAACGGGCCAAGACCTTGTCGATCAAGGCACGGGTGTTGACGGTGACGGTGTCGTCCTGGCCCTCTTGCATCGTCAGCTCGCGCATGCGAGCATAGTTGATGGAGCCGGCCATGGCGGGATGGAGCCGGGCCGTCAGTCAGGCAGCAGCGGCGATGCGCAAGGCGGCCGGCCGGGTATGGTCAAACAGGGAGGGGATGCAGCGAGCGGTGGCGGGGAATCAAATAGAAATAAAGCGACCGAAGGGCGACGGTGTGCTTTTCTGCACTGCGCCGTGGGTGGGCGACGGCGCTGCGACGGACAGAGTCTGACAAAGCACAGGGGGGACGGGGACCACAGGTGACAGGACTGAGGCTGATGGCGCCGGAGGGCGGGTGGAGACTGGAGAGGCAACGACGCGCGCGAGTCAGGTACGGCTGCCCTGCGATGCCCTGTTGGGCTGCCCCACGTGCCTCCGCCCAAGGCCAAGCCCGGAGAGCTCGGACGGCGCTGGTGGACGCCACGTCTCCGCCCGCCGAAAAGAAAGCCCGCCCCGCCGCGGCGCCGTGACCGTCTGGGCGATCGCCGTCGGGGCCCGCCCTCGCCGCTCCTTTCGGCCATGCTGCGCTCCCTGATGCTGCGCAACCTCACGCCTCCCCGAGCCCCAGACCCTCGCCGCCAGATCTTGCCCGCCTCTTCCTGGACCCAGGACCGCCCAGCCGGCCTGCGACCGCCCAGCGAGGCCCCAGCCAACCGCCCAACCACCGGTTCTGGCCACGTGACCCCGCGTCCGCGTTGGAGTCCTGACCGCCAGCTCGCTGCTTGCAATATCAACCGCGGCGCCGCCCTTTGTCACACCAGATGTCACCATGGCCGTTGATCCTTTCTCGCCCATTGCGCCCGCGCGCATTCGGGTGCTTCTGGTCCCCGCTGGCAAGATCAAGCGCTCGCGCTTCATGACATGTGTCGAGCGCCTGCAGCCCGAGTCCTCCGTCCGCCTGGGCGATGTGACCCCAGACCCGCGCCCAGATCGAAGTACGCTGCCCCGTCACGGCTGCTTGCGGTGCATGCTAATTGTGTGCTCAAGCCATGTTTTCGCCCTTGCGCAACCCCGAGGGCACCGTGCTGTACTATTTCACAACCTCCATGCCGCCAGCCTCCTACATCTCCCTGTCTCCCTTCGAGCTGTGTCGAGAGCCGCTCATGGTCCTCGGCGTCGCTGACGGAGAGGAGTACCAGGAGGCCTTGGACAGCGACGGCGCCAACGCTGCTGAAGACAAGACTAACACCGCTCTAAAACGAGAGGAGCTGAATGAAGTCGTCGATGTCATGCGCGAGGAATACCCTCGTGCTGTCGTGCACAAGCTTCTCCTCTTTGACTGCGGCCTTCCTTCTCTACCCCCCTGGCTGCCCGAGGAAACCATACTCGTGCCGCCTCAGTCGGAATCCACCAGCACCACCATGAAGACCGTAATGTGCGATCTTTCGTCGCTGCTACTCGCAGAGTTGACCGGGCTGTCCAAGTCTTTACAAGCATTGCCCGAGATCAGCATTGCTTCTGGCCCTTCCTCTCCCGTCCCTCCCAAATCGCCCTTCTCTCTCGTCCGGCAGAGTTCGTTTGGCTTTGGAGCGGCAGAAAACACTGTCTCCCGCACCGCATCTCCTGCCCAGCCTGTTCAGATCCAGCAGCTGCAGAAGCAGGAAGCAACCGGGAGACGAGGCTCCCTTGGTTTGCGGCTAAGTCCCCCTGCCGACCATCTCCGCGCAATTACCCCTCCAGAACTCTCACCAGCTGAAGATAAATCGGGCGAGACGACTCCGACCGATTCCATGCCTACACGCCCTCGCGCTCTCCAGCGATTCTCGATCCAGGGCTTCGGATCCGGCAGCATGGAAGAAAAGGCAAGGCTCAGCAATGCTTGCCGGCATGATCTAGTCGACGCCCAAGTCTGCTTAATGGCTGGCTTTGTTGCCGAAGGCCTCAAGAGAGCTCATGAAACCTACCTCAAGGCAGAGAATGTCAACGAGCACTTGGTTATGGGAAAGGCTTTGGAGCAGATGCTTATCTGCTCTCTAATTCTCGTTGGCCATGAACAGGAGTTCGAAGTAGGCCGCACCCCGACATTCATGCCACTCTTAGATTGTTAACGTCAAGCAGATACCCACGACCTGCACGCCTAGCACAAAGGGGATGCCGGTGTCCGGCACTCTTGCAAATGTCATTGAATACACTCCGGAACTCATTTCTCGAGTGATGAGCTTTTACAGACTCTCCTTCAAGAGCGATTCAGGCCATCTGCTTACTTTGGTCGACGCGGAGAACAAGATCCGAATGTCGAATCTCCTTACAGCAATAGAACGCTTGGGCAAAACTTTTACACCAAAGGAGTTTCTAGCAAAGGTGGAGAGCCAATCCGAAAACAGCTCACCTCCTGTGAAAGGAAGTTCAAGCAGGATTGTCTACATCTCAAATATTCTCTCCGACGCCATCGATTCAGTGTCCTCATCGGCGACTATTACCGACACGGAACGGGCGACAGTATACGCTGAAGCGGCAGGGTGTTTGGCCAAACTGGGTCTCTCGAGGAAACGGGCGTTTGTCGTCACACTCTTGATGGATATCCTGGTCCCGGCACTGCTTCAGGCACGGAAACTGGGAGCTGCCGAAATGGGAATTCATCCTGCTGCAGGGATGCTTGCGGGCGGCCTGGTCCAACCCAACGACAGAAAGTACGGCGAAACAGTCTTCATCTTCCTAGAACAGTTTGTGCGCGAGTACGGTGTTCCCGCCAGAAGTCGACTTGAGTCCAAGGCCGACGGCGTTTCAGAAAACCTTCGGGCTTACGGGAGTATTGTGCTCAAGGCGGAAGTTCTCCGGCGGTGTATCAATGTCTGTGAGGCGATGGCAGATCTTCAAGGAGTATTGGACTTTTCCTCGTCGTTCCTCAGCATAATTGCCCCCCAGGAACCCCTCGAAGAGACAGACCCAGGCTTCAGATGCCTTATGCCACGAGAAGATCAGCATCGGTTGGTACAAAACATACATCGTTCTTTGGAAGCTGCGAAGGCGGTTGGCATGGAGCAAACTGAAGCGCTCTTCTGGTATGATCATCTTGTACACAGCGTCAAGTATGATTCAGAGCGCGCAGGGCGTGACCTGACTCTCCGCAAAAACACAAATGACGACCCGCTGCAAAGAACCAGCGCCAGGTTCGAGCACCAAGCTTTTGGAGACAGAAACAAAGGTTCGGCCGTGGTGCCACTCGTGGCAGGCGAGCCCAGTGAATTCATCGTAACACTGCGCAACCCCTTCGCCTTTTCTCTTGACATCGAGTCCATCAAACTGGTGTCGACGAAAGGTGTCGAGATTGCCTGTCCTCCCAATCTGACGTACCAGATTCCGCCTTGCGCGGTGCAGCCATTGCGCGTCCCGGTCGTCGCCACCGTTCCAGACGTCCATGATCTGGTCAAGCTGCGCGTCAAGGTGCGCCAGTGCCGCGAAAGGGATTTCGATGTCTCCATCAGCCGAACGACAATCCAAGAGGTGGAGAAGATGAAGGAGGTGGGCCACAATATTGCAAAATCCAAGGGGACTACAGACACATCGAGGCCAGGTACAGCGACGACCATCAGACCCGTCTCGCGAGGACAGCCGGCTCTGCCGTCCGTCACCGTGGTGCCGCAGCAGCCGAGCCTCGCTATCAGAACCAATCTGATACAGGACACCATCTCCCTTCTGGAGGGAGAGACAAAGACTTTCAAAGCCACCATCAGCCACGACGAGAAGGACAAACCCATCAAGGCCAACATCCTGCACATGCTCGGACGTAACAATACCGTGGATGTGCTAAGGGTTTCTCGTAGAAGCAGTAACCTCCCTTCGCAGATATACGAGCTCGGCCAGGACATCGGCCGCGCTGAGTGGAAGTCCAGAGACTTCAAGCCTTCGTCGCACCTCGACCCGTACAAGACCATGACCTTCACCGTTGACGTCTTTGGCGTCCCCGGCCTGAACAAGGGCATTGTTGGTGTCGAGTACGCTGCAGCGGACAAGCCGCCGGAGCTCGGAGACTATTTGGTGACGAGCAGAGTCTCCCAGGAGATAGCAGTCACCGTCCAGCCATCCATCACCGCCTCGCACTTCTCCGTGTTGCCTGGCCGCGAGGCGAGCGAGCACATCGCGGCCAAGTTCCCGCACGCAGACCTGAACGAGCATTTTGTCTTAATCTTCGACTTCCTCAACGTCTCGGACCGCGAGCTCGGCGTTGAAGCCTGGTACGACGAGGCGGCCGCCGTCCCCGCCTCCCCGACCAGGCCACAGCCGCCGCCGTCGTCCGGCGCAGACCACCCACTCACCAGTCGCTCCGACTACCTCAAGCCGGGCCAGGCCAGCAGCATGGCGGTGCTGGTGCCCAAGATCCACCTGCCCTACTCCAACGACGCGATCCCGGCGGCGCAGGACCGGCAGTTCGTGCTGACGGACACGCAGCCGCTGTCGCGCGAGGACCGCATGTGCTTCTGGTACCGGCAGAAGTTGCTGCAGAGCCTGCGCTGCCGCTGGCGCGACCGCTCGGGCGCGCGCTCCGGCCTCGTCAACTGCGCCGCGCTCCGCCTGACGTCCGAGACGGTCGGCTACATCATGTCCATCCTGTCCATCAGCATGTCGCTGCCGCCCGAGCTGCGCGTCACCACCGCCACCACCGCCGCCGCCGCAGCCGCCGCCGCCTCCGCATCAACCAACCACTCATACCACCACCACCACTCCCCATCGTCAGCGCTTACCCCCATCCCCCGCCCCCTCTACACCCTCCGCCGCGGCGACACCGCCAAAGTCACCGCCACCCTCGTCAACACCTCGCCCGACACGGCGCACAGCTTCACCGTCGCGCCCGTCGTGCGCGTCCGCGGCGGCTCGCCCCAGCTCGACCCGGACGACGGCGTGCGCTCGCGCATCGCGCAGCAGCTGCTCGGCTGGGCCCGCCGCGTCCGCCTCGAGCCCCGCGCCCAGACCACGCTCGAGAGCGAGCTCGTGTGTCCGTTTGGCGTCGGCGGCTGGACCGGGTTCGTCGTCGAGTTGGGCTTGGAGGTTGCGGAGGGGCCGTTTCCGCCGACGGGGACGGGGGCTGGTGCGGGGGCGGCTGGTGCGGGGGTTGGGCATGTGGGGAGTTTGTGTTGGGTGCAGGTTGTTGTGTGATGATGATGGTGATGATGATGATGATGATGATGGGGTTCTTTCGCCTGCGGTGTGAGGGGAATATTGGAAGGGAGGGGGCGGTGAGGGAGAAGCGAGGCGGAAGATGTGTTGGGTGACTGTTGTTGTTGTCGAGAGGTAGTTGGGTGGGGACGGGACGGAACCTATAGAGGTTGCAGGTGGCAGATGTTGTTGTGTGTCTGTAATGGCGGTATGGTTTTTTTTTATGCCGACCTTTCTTTCCCCTCCCTGATCTGTAACTATAAATGCCAATTGAAGCTACCGACCACACATCGTTCATACCCGTTTTCTTCAATTTCGTGTAGAACCGTGATGGATGACCCGCGAAGGGGCCGGCTTCACAGCTAACATCGATCGTCACTATCACAGCAGGCGACAAGAGATTTGAGCCGTCTGAGCTCCCCGACAAGGACACTACATTCCTACGCGCGCGCGGGTAGTTGAATCCCAATACAGGAACGCATTTGTCTGCATTTGAGACTTCCATCTGCCTCTGGACATTGGATTCGCGGCTCTCTGCACCCGAAGGCTTAGGCGCCCGTAGAATTGGGTGGGACCGTTGCACAGGCGGTTGGTTGGACGCATGCGCTGCCATTGGTTGGTGGCGCATGAAGATTTGTGGCGGCAGTGGATGAGTCCAGCGCTTGGCGGGTAGGGACAGTATCGCCGTCCTGTACAATAGCATCGATGAGAGCCTCTGTCCTTGAGAGCTGGCCCTTCGCTGCAACTCTCGATCACAGCACGGTCGATGGACGTTTGCTCGAGTCAAATCCCCCGCGCGACCCTGAGGTACGTCTCGAGAGACTCGGGGTGGTTCAGCTGCGTCATGAGCAGAGTGATTGCAGTGCCCGGCGGTGACGTGGTCCCTGGGTTGGGAGGAAGAATCTTCTCAGAGCGGTTGCCCTCGGGCGCGAATTCGGTGCTGCTACATGTTCGCGGCATTCTCCTTGTAGGAATCAAGGCCTTGTTGCCAGAAAAGGTTCAAGCCTAAGGGGTAATTCGCCTCTATAGCAAGACGCTGTTGGTGTCTCGGGCGGTATAGCAGAAATCAGGTATGTGGCTGTGGAAATCCTAAGACAAGTACGACCGGTAGGTCTTCACGCAATCCACATGCTTGACTTGGGCTGGGTCGGTGGCACACGGGGGCAAACATGACGCTGACGCAAATCTTCTCACTGCCGATGGCAGTTTTGCAGACTCATGCTCGGGTCGTCTGCCCCAAGGTGTTGACTACGCAGTCAATTGAGGCGTTCCGTCACCATTCCTTCAGTTGCTCTGGGCAGCTGAATCCTCTCTTGCGAGCTTACTCGGCCTTTTAGAACTCGGTGTCTGCTTTAGGTAATTCTGGCCAATATTCTGAGACTGGCGGCGGATATGCTGGCGCTTGTGCGACCAGAGGTGGATCGGAACAGTTCCAGACTGGCGCAAGAGTTTCCGCGCGAGCGGGACAGTGTTGCGGAAGACATGCCTGTGCGTTGGGACGGGAGAAAGCAGCGGATAGGAGGACGATAACGCCCTCAACGCGGCGGATGGAATTCGTTATATTAAGCACGGTCGAAATTCCAACGCTGGATCGGGACGACGGGGCACCGGTGGCTGCGCTTCAATACCCGCTGGCGCTTAAGCATTGAGTCTCGCGAGACGGTGGATTGATTGGAGACGACTACTTCCCACGCGGGCAAGCACTCGGAGAGCGCGATGCAACTCGTGCATGTCTCTGAAGCAACCACCTGTGTGAAACCAATCTCGTCATGTTATTCAGGCAGCCGGGAGGAATGTCATTGTGATGTCGTCGCGGAAGAGCCTTGCTGGCCTCGGGCGACGCATGGCGCGCGAAACAAGGGACGGGATGGCAACAGCGTGAGCAGTCAGCCGGCCGGTGCTGCCGCTGCCCGTGTCGCAGGTGCGTGCAACGCCTCTCCTTCCCTGTTTCACCTGCGGCAGCGTTTCGGCGGCCTGGGCGGCCTGGGCTGCGGAATGCGGGGACACGGCCGTTTCAGGGACGGCCTTTTTCGAAGGGCGCGTCTTTGTGGGAGCTGACTTTGTTCGCGGGTGCCCGGTAAGTCAATGGGAGCGATCACGCGTTGTTCTGCGCCCCGAGGTGCCTTGCATGTCTGCACGTCATGCTGGTCCTGCGCATGAGCTTGTTGCCGCTCGCCCACTGCCGCGGGTTGCGCAGAAAGACGTCGAGCGAGGTCGAGCGAGGCAGCATTCTGCCCGTTCCCCCAGTGACACGGCGAGCCGCTCATGCGTGCAACGTCTTCTGCCAGCCCGAGTCCGCCCAACGCCGCAGCGACGCGGCGTCGAGTGGCGCAAGGTGGCCGCAGGAAGCAGCCGGGCAGGAATGGCAGGGCCAGACGAGCGCAGAGGCTCCCTGGCCTGGCCTGCCGGTCCGAGATGAGGGCAGCACGGAGCCAGCATGGAGCCCAGGGCTGATCGGCATCGAGGCCAATCAATGCACGCGAGAGGGCGCCGTAGGGCAGCACTCGGCAGCAGGCCCCGGCCGCTGATCATGACAGCGGGTGCTGACGCTGGAGCCAGACCTCGCGCGAGCCGGGCCCATGCGAGACCTGTCCAAGCAGCAGCCGCCGCCCCGACCCCGGCGAGCCTCAATCAAACAGCTGCGTCCCAGCGAAGATTGCGCCGCGGTACTGCACGTCCGCGAGCTGCGCGCAAGAGGCCGCTCCCAAGGGATATCCAGACATGCAGCGCATGCTTCGTCTGGTCCGCAAGCGCAGTGCCGACCCAGGCTGTCGGCGACGCGGGGACGTATAAACCGGAGGCTCTGCCAGATATTCTTCGCGCGTGCCCCCTCCCTCGTGTCGTCACCGCTGCCCTGCTTTGCCCGCCGCTGCCAGTCGTTCCTTCCCGGCCAGCTGCCCGCCGCCGTGCGCACCCGCCCAAACAGGAAGTTCCACCAGTTAAGCGAGCGCTGCCGCCCCGGGCCGCCTATTTCTTGCCTTCTGCTTGCCCGTCCTTCTCGCCTCTTCATCATCTTCACTCCTTCAACCCCGCTCCCTTGCGACTGCCGCTCTCTTCACCCGTCGTTCCTTCCTTTGTGCGCCCCGCCCTACACCCTGGGTTCTCTCGCTGAGCTTGAGGCCCGTCCACGTAAGTCTACAACCACTGACCTCATCACTGACTTCACCCACCGTCCTACCTCTCCAGATCCTTTGCCACGCTTGCCGGCCCTCTTCGTCACTCCTTTCATACATATATATATTCCTGCTTTCACTCGCTTCCTTTCACTACCATCGGACCGGCCACCTTGTCCAAGCTCTTTCATCCCTTGACCTGACCCTCAACTCCAGTCCTTCTGATCACACACACCGAGATCTGAGATCCCAACCAGTAAACCAGCAACCTCTCTCGAGTCATCATGCGCTTCTTGGCTCTGGTTGTCGGTGGCCTGGCTGCCTTTGCCGCCGCGGCCCCCGTCGTCGTCACTCGTACGACGTACAAAGTCGTCACCGTCCATGGACACCAGTCCACCAGAGCTCCTAGCTACGCGGTCCATCATGTCGTTACCGCCACCAGGAAGGTTGCCACTGTCACTGCGTCTGCCGTAGTTGTCACTGGTCCCGCCAAGGTCATCACTGTCAGCGCTGCAGCTCCTGCCGCCGCCAGTCACAACTCCCACTTCCACCGCGTCTCGTCTGCCGTCGCCCACAAGCCTGCCTCAACTACCAAGATGGTCCATGCTCCTGTCTCGTCCAGTGCCAACTACGGCTCCGACGACGACGACGGCGTTGGTAGTGACTGCGAGTCTCTTCATGAGGATGACCCCCAGCTTTGCCAAGACTCACTGGACGCTCACAACCGTCATCGCCGCAACCACACCGTTCCCGACATGAAGTGGTCCAAGGATTTGTTCGAAAGCGCCAGCTTCGTCGCGTCGCAGTGCAACTTCAGCCACTTGATGTAAGTCCGCCATATTCTTTTGAAAGTATCAAAAGCTGAAAAAGACTCAGGGACTACAACGGTGGAGGCTATGGCCAGAACCTTGAGATTGGCAGTCCGAGGGGTGAGATCCAGCATGCCATCACCAACGGCTGGTACAACTCGGAGGTTGGATTTTGGCCCGATAGTTACTACGGCCAACCGACCCCTCCCGACATGATCGACCCTTCCAGCACGACTTGGGAGCGCTACGGCCACTTCACCCAGGTCATCTGGGCCGCCTCGGACCAAGTCGGATGCGCACAGGCTGAATGCCAAAGGCTCGGATGCGGCTCAGGTTCGAACGAATGCCATGACGGCTACCTGCCTGACGGTAAATATGGCCGTTACTTGACCGTCTGCAACTACAAGAGTGTTGGTCAGTTACCCACGACACATAGAAACCAAGCATGCACTGACTCAGGTATCAGGCAATGTCAAGGGTGAATTCGACAAGAATGTCATTCGTCCTCCGGTCGATGAGCCGACCTACGTCGCGCCCTAAGCTTGACGAGGATTCTCAAATTGCCTACAGTCGAGGCACGAAGAGGGTTCCGGCATACACACTATGCATACCTATTTCTTCTCAACGGAGGTATCTTGTGGGCGGGTCAGTGCTATTTCAGCGTAGCGGTCTCTTTTCTTTGTCGATTTTCATTTCGACGGACCTTTTTCTCATTTCACCAAGTTCTGATCAAGTCTTCTTGCAGTATCACAGCTCAAGCAGGCTTCGAGATTGAAGTTAAAGGGAGGGGGTCGACAAGAGACACCTTTTCTTCATGGTACAGACTTTTTTCAACGGCCGATGGTGCATGATGATTCTTTGGACAGAATCAGCTATGAGAAACGACAAGATACCAGTAAACGTCTGTTGTTCGTGTTGAGTGACAAGTGTGACAAAAGCCGTGCAACGCGAGTGATGACCTGAGGTTAGAATCAGATCCTTTAGTCTAGTCTGGAGAGGGTTAGTGGATTATGGGATCCTGGTCAGCCAATGAGGCCGCTGGAAGGGTGCATGGTCCAACAAGCCATCCAACGACCCGCACAAACACGTCTGGTAACTATTTCTTCCCACTGCTTCTTCAATCGGCTCGCTGGATGCTTTCCCTAAGCACACTGCTTGCTTACATTCCCGTTTCTCCCAGCCGAGCGAACATCCCTCAAACAGCCTCGAAAAAACCAGGCCGTGTTTGCTAAATCCGTGCGATGGTAGACGGCGAATTCTCCATTCCATCGCATATGATAAAAAAAAATCGTAGTCTGATATTTTTCTTGGCTTGACTACTAGTCGCCGACCATCAAAGGAACGGGGGGGAGAGGAGCTAACACTTCTTTCGACCACGCCAGCCAGCCAGCCACTACAGCATTTTGCATTCTGCTGCCTACCTTTGCACATATCCTCTCTCTCTCTCTCTCTCTCTCTCTCTCTCTCTCTCGATGGTATCAATCGCACAACCCTTCCTCTGTTTTCTTCTTCCTCTATCTCAATTATATCCAAACAAAGGAGACCGGACCGACCGCTTCCTAACCCTGCATCGTCGCCACCAACGCCTGCTTGGCCTCGTCGCTCAGCCTCTCCTGCACGAAGGCGCTCAACCTGCCGCCGTTCCGCTGGTCGGCCTGCCGCAGGTACTCGCCGACCCACCGCTTGACGTCGGTGATCTCGGGAAAGGGGTCCACGGCGGCCTTGCGGCACGTGTTCAGCTGCGTGAAGCCGACGCCGAAGCCCAGGTCGTCGACGTCCTGTTCGGGCATGATGTCGTCGCTCCTGGGCGCGACGGGCGGGTTGATGAGGAGCTTCAGGAGGGCCTCGCAAGTCAGAGGCCATCCCTTCTTGTAGCGCTCGATGAAGGCCTGGCCGTCGGTGAGCGTCTTGGTGAGGGAGACGACGGCCGTCTTGCGGTCGAAGGGCCGCGTGAGTTTTTGGGTGTCGGGCAGGATTATTTGAGGGTAGATCGGGCGGAACACGCTGGCCACATCGTTAGTTGAAGGACGATCAAAGATCGCGATCAAGGGACAACTTACTCCTGTTGAACGTTGTCGGCGGCGCTGATGAAGAAATCCGAGCCCAAACCCTTGTCGTCACGCGCAGCAACGAAGTGGTAGAAACGCACAAAGCGAGAGGCAAAAGTCTCGGTCTTCGAGCCGGACAACCGTGTAAGCATAATCGTGAGCATAGGCACAAAGTACTGCTTCAAGTTGTCCGCCGGAACTGCAGCGACAATCGCCTCCAGCAAATCGAAGCCATGGGCCTCGTTCGTCTTGGTGGACACGAGCTTCTGGAAGATACCAAGCATGGGCTCAAGTTGGTTGTTCTGAACGATGCTGGCGGGGTCACGGCCGACCATGGCGGACAGCAGGCGGACCAAAGCCGGAATGTTACCCTTGTTCTCCCATACAACGGGCATCAAGAGCGGGGGGATCAGCGACTTGTAGTACTCAGGGAGCACGCCCGACGGGTTTGCCTCAAGCAGAGCTGCGAAAAGCTGGAAGACGTAGGGCGTGAATTCTTCGACCTCAGTACGAAGAACCGTCGAGAAAGGTTCGTAAAGGGCCGTCTCCAGCTTCTGGGGCTCCGAAGGCGCTGCTCCCCTGATGAGTGCCCCGATACCCTCGAAGTGGTAGTAGTAGAAGCGAGGGTTGCTGGGGTTGTGGCGAATGACCATGGTGATGTTGATGAAGTTCTTGAGCACCGTGTCTGTGATAGGCAGAACGCCATCCTTGATGACGATGAGCACTCTCATTACGCACTTCATCAAGAACTCGTTCTCCTGAATCTTCTCCGGAGCCGACTCCTTTTGAATCAGACCGAAAAGGTGTACGAGCAAATCCTTTGCCAAGGGTGCGACAGTGTCCCTCGGAATGACAGGTTGCCGACTGTCGTTGGTGAGGTACAACGCACGCTCGACCGCAATAGCAGCGTAAGAGTAAATGACAAAGTTGGAGACGCCGAGGTGTCTGACGAGGAGGGGGAAAGCGGCTTGCCAATACTCCGGGGTAAGCTGACTGCGGAAGAGGTAGACGTACTTGATTGCGTCGACCTTAAGGATCGGTTCAACACTATCAGCAGTGAGGTCTTCAGCAATGTTCCTTTGGAAGAAATCCAGAATGTTGACGTGGCTGTTGACAGTCTTTACACCAAACTGGGCCGTGGATGTTCCTTTAGCAGCGATGGAGCAGAAGAGATAGACGGCCGTGTCCTTGGACTTCCAGTTCTCCGCTTTGTTCTGCGCATAGTGTTGGAGGTACCTGTCAATGTACTGGTTCACCACGCCGGTAACCAGACCCTCGAACTGTGTCATCAATTGGCGTAGGAAGTCGGTCGCAGCACGTCTCCGAGTGTCGCTGTCCGAGCCCTCCAGATCCCTGCGAATGAATTCAATGGGCTCGTCCTCGAACATCTCAACGTCTGATTCGCGAAGAGACAGGTTGGGCAGGATGACCTTCTCAACGACTTGGTTGAGGGTAGCCTCGTTGTTGAAGAGTTGAGCGTGGGCATTGTTCGACGTGACCGAGGTCAGGAACTGCAACGCCTTACTGACAAGAATGTCGTACTTTGTCTCTTGGCCAATGTTGGTCAAGAGGTTCCAGGAGCTCTCGATAAAGCTTCCCAGGTACTGTCCAAATTCATCCTCATACTTCTGTGTGTAGAGGATCAAGACCTCAAAGATGCCAGCCTTGACGAATTCGAGAGGGCCGGCCTCCGTATCGTCGTCGGTGTGTAGTGCAGGGTTGTCGTAGGTAAGATACTTGTGGAGCAAAGCGCTCAGGCCCTTGAGGTTCTCGTCAAACTGCGGAGGCAGGTCTTGGCAAGAGAGGTCGACGGCGAGCTTGAGGATGAGGTTAAGGGAAGTGAAGTAGCTCTGCAGAACCGGCTTGTTGCCTTCGTTGGCGGTGATTTGCGCATCGGTATTCTACAAGCCTGTCAGTCTGCAATCCCACCGTTTCGCCAATGCAATAGCACGCACCTGGAAGAGCTGGAGGAAAGGATCGGCAAATTTGCCCAGCACGAAGTTGATTTCAGTGAAGAGATCATCTGATCTGAAAAGTGGCCTCCAGCGCTTGAAAACGGAGTGTGCGACCTGCAGCACGCCGTTGTTGGTGACGGGGTTGTCGGCAGTCAAGCGCGACACAAGATCCTGGCACGTCCATAAGCAAAGGTCCGGGGTGGGGTACCAGCGAGCATACGTACGTCAACAAGGCTCTCCCACCGCTCGTAGAAATCGCTTTCAGCAATCGTGCTGATGGCTTCTCCGAGCTGGGGCTGTATCGACGGCGGCTGGGAGATCATGAGGCCAATGAGCTCCTGCTTGACCGTGGCGACCTCCTCCGCCGGCAGCTTGTAGTTGCCTTCCACATCCTGCAAAGCGGTCACCATCCATGCTGTTTAGCAGAGCCCGGCGGGATACGTACGGTCCAGTTGCGCCGGACGAAGTTCTTGAAGTAGAGGGCGGCGGCGAGTCTCGAGGTCTGGGGTATGGAGGTGTCGGCGACGATCTGGAGGAGGGCAATCGAGAAGCCTTGTGTGCCCTCTTGCTGCTTGATGGCGGCCTCGGCTGCGCAAATGACTGTCAGTATGGCAACGGCATCTCTGGCGCTTCGGCGCGTGGTGGCATGCAGGGGGGGAGTGGGGGCGGGGAGTCGAGGGTGTGCAGGCGGAGCTGCGGGCATCGGTTTGGCTGGCAAACAGTGTAAACAGACGCACCATCCTTAGAGTGACGAGGATCCAGACTCTGCTGCAGGAGCTGGGCGATAGCCTGAGTGTTCCCGGCCATCGTGGAGGACTTGGGCGAAGATTGGCCCGAGAAACAGAGGAATGAGGGAGGTGGTGGGTTTGCAGTCGAGTGGAAAGAGAGCTCCAAGACTTTCTGATCTGCCCGCGCAACCAAGAAGACGCCGCCGCCGCCGCGCGAGCCCGAGGTCTTGCCGTTCCCGCACTAGCACGTAACCGGCATAGCGTCGTGATGTCATTACCAACTCTGCTTGCTGCCTACTGCACTTTTCTAGCAACCCATCGATTCATCGCTGCAAAAGCAATTTTCGCTTTTCTCACCAGCTTGGCCCATTCGTGGATGAGATTCCCACAGTGTATCACTTCCCCCATCGTGCTCACAATGCCAGCACAAGGAAAACAACGCCGATGAAATGACAACAGCATCCGCCCACTCGGTCTATCCTTTGTGTGCAACCCTTGAGAACGAATGGAAAAAGAACTCCAGAACTTTTTTCTGTCTTACAGCTCAAACACAAAAGAGCCTCCCCCTGCCGTAATGCCCATCATTATATCTTTTGTTTTGTCTTTTTGTGTTTCGGTCGCCGTCGATGATGATGTGAGGGGTGTTCCCGAACGCCGCAACGGGGGTATCAATCGAGAAAACAAGCAGCAACAAGAGCAATAGATGAAGAAAGGGAAATCATTTGCACCCTCAGCCACGCGACCCGCTCGAGTTCTGCCGCTCCATCTCCGCGCTGGTGCCACTCAAGATGCTGGATCTGTTGCCCTCACTGTTGTACGTGGCAATGCTCTGACGATGGAACACACCCCCGCTGCTCACGCTCGGGCCCGCCGCGCTGGATGGTGGCGTCGGCCCGCCGGGGAGGTGTTTGTCCCAGAGCTTCTTGATCTCCCGAAGCCGGCTGCGCCACGACGACACGAACTCGCCTGTGTCGCGAATTGACCATACTTGGCAGAACACGCTGGCGTTGAGCGCGAGCATGCGGATGTAGGCAGGGAGTCCCTTCCCGCTGATGACCTTCGTCTCCGACGCCGGTGATACTTCTGGAAACCCGGGCTGTGTGAGGACTTGCACCTTGTAAAACTGGTCAAGACCAACGTTGTCTCGCGTGTCGACAAACGTTGTACGAGCTTCTGGCGTGATGACGATGTAAACGTAGTTGAACTGCGAAGGGAACGTGTCAAAACGGAAAGGGAGGCCGGAGTTGTTGAAGACAATGTTGACGAAATCGTTGCCAATGTGCTTTTTCTTGTTGATGCAGTAGGGATCAGCCTCCAGGTCCGTGGGCATCATGGTGATCACGTGGAATATCATTTCCACCGCCCGATCACGCCAGCAGACCGCGTGCGTGCCATCACTGTCAAACTCTCGATCTAGTCCTTGGGTGTTCATCTTCAATCCCTTGAGCCGTACAAGCTTGCCTTCTCCAAGAGCCTCGACGAACATGGTGTAGTCTGCAGAGCCCATGACATTGGCAAGGATCTCCTGCTCGTTGCTTTGACCTTCGCCGATGAAAATCACACCGACTCTGTGACTGTCGACTGTCGATGCGCGGTCCAGCACACCGATAGAACGACGGGTGACATCGTCGTCCGGCAGCTTGACCCACGGAGATCTCTCGACGGCACTGGGATCGAAAAGAGTGACAGGTGTGAACAAGCCCTGGAATATATCCTCGGGTAGAACTCCGACATAAGAAGACGTGTAGAAAGCATCCGCAGCCAGACCAGTAAGCAACGGGACTTGATGGCGAGGTGGGGGGATTAGATGTGGGTGATATATGCCGTAGCCCGTATAAGACGGTCGACGCTTGATGATTTGGGTGATGCCGGTCCGCGCAGCCGTCTCAAGCGTCAATATCATCTCTCCACCAATAACCCACGATCGCTTGGTGACCTCTCCGTCGGATTCTTTGGCGAATGATTCTTGATATCCAGTCTCATCTCGATCAGTGTAGGCACGACTGTGCAACATGTCGATGGTGATCAAGGCTTGCTCTTCGAGAGTCTCACGTCCAAAGCGGTCTGTGTGGACCAACTTCTTGATGATCCAAGGCACAAACTTCTCGCGATCTTCAAGTTTGATGGCCATGAACCAGAAAGTTATAACGTGGTAGGCCAGCGCGTGGACGTATTGCGGAAGGTCATCCGCGGGTTTCGCCTTGCCAGGATTCTGGTCGGTCATTTTCGACTCCCTAAGATCGCGCGATGGAGCGGTGTGTCGCAAACCGGCTCCGCTAAGACGGGCAGGTGCAGGGCTGAAGGTTTTCTCCTGCTGGTCACGCACATACTGCAGGTAACGGAAGCAGACGCCAAACACCATTTTGAACTCGTCGTCGCGGAAGTTGACGTACAAATTAGGCAGCCGAACCAGATGGGTAAGGAACTCCAGGATATGGATTGCGATTTGCGGTTGCGTGATTATTTGAGACATCTTCTGCACGATGTTCTGAAGGTGTTTCGTTGTTGAATCCGGTAGTTCGTGACAACAAACGGTCAGAGCATGGATGCACCACTTCGATGTCCTATCCCACGAGCCGATTCCCAAGTAGAACGATTTGACAAGCTCGTCCTGCTCACTCTTCTCAAAATGGTGGTGATAGCTGACCAGCATGGTGAGGAGGTGGAAATAGCAGACAGCTATATCGGCTTTCTTGACGCCCGAGTACGGAGGAGGTTCCGGCACACTGCCGATTCTGATCTGGTCACTCAGGACGCTGCGAAGGAGTCGCAGTTGCGGAATACAATTCTTCCAAAGTGCGTGGTTGCAAAGCTGCGCTCCAAAATGTACGAACAAGTAGCTGAGCACCTCCCAGTCGTTGCAGTTTTGGAGAAGAGAAATAGCAGTCTCCAGCCAACGACTCGTTGGGAACAGTTCGCGGTGGATGTCTTCGATGGCGTCACCATTTTCCTGTGTCTCCTCGCCCTCCATGTTATCTTCGGCCTTCGTGCTTCCGAGGTCGGTGAAGAGCACATGACTAGGCGTCGCTGGCGGTTGCTCTGGGAGTCCTTCCTGGTCTGGGTACATCCAGAGAGGCTGTGCGGGTTTCGCTGTCACCACGCCGCTGGACACTCGAGAAGGGTTCCGCGATAGAGGATTCTGGACCGCACCCACCAGTGACCGGCGTGTTAGGCTCTTTTCTTCCACGCTTGCTGGAATCACTGCTTCCGAGGGACCTTCTTCTTTCTGGATTGGGACGAGGGTGTCAGCAGTCCTGCACAGTATTGCAGCTATGTTCTCGCCCTCAGGAGCGGCATTGACGCGCAACGCAAAATTTGCATCACTGCGAAGACGAGCAAGGAATCTGACTGCAGCAATTCGAGCATCCATGTTGCACTTGTTTGTCCCCGCCACGTACAAGATCAGCTCGTAGGCCTTTGATGCCTTCCAAGCCGAACGGATATATGTGCGGATGAAGATACGGACCAATGCCTTGGTGATGACTTTACTGGGAGAGTTTGGATTGTCCTCGTACATCAAGTCCCCGGCTGAATGATGCTCATGCAAGTCTCCAATGAACTCCCAGAGATAGACACGGAATAGATCCATCACGTACTCCACGAACTCATCCGATGCTTCCGTGGCAATGTTGACAGCCGCATCAGCAAGGATGGCTAGAACATCCGGGTCCAACTCCTCGTGAATATGCTCGAGAATGAATTTTGCGCAGGTGTCCTGAACGTCAGGCGGAAGCACGAATGAAATGTATTCAAATGTCCTGATGATTGTCCTCATGGTATACTTTCGCAAGTCGGCCGACCGACGTTTGTCATTAAAGAACGGATTGAGCAGCTGTTCCCACGCTGCCTTCCAATCCTCGCTCGGCGGCTGAAGGAGACGTTCGTCCTCGTAGTATTTGATGACTCCTTGAGCAATATCATCCGGGAGCTTTGCACCAACGCGGACAAGCATGGCCATGGTCTCTTGTCTCTGAATGATGTCGAGTTCATTACGAATTTCAAACAGTTTCAGAAGGACACCCCGAAGAGGGATGGAGGGATGGGTGTTTTCTGGTTCTTCCTCCTCATCCTCTCCATCGTCGGTAGGGTTCGAGAAAGTCTCCGAGGCCAAGTTCGTGAAGTCTCGAACTTCGCTGTCAGACACGTCGTTGGCGCATTTGATGATGATGTCCAGGAATGTTGACCAATCGTATTCTTGAAGCAGTTGCCGGGTGTATTTGTTATCCGCGTCCCCAGAGATGAGTAGCTTCCACATGATGTTGCAAATATCCGATTCCAGGTGGAAGTTGTCAGCCTTGAGCTTCTTCAGCATATGATTGTCTGTATCCGAAGCTGTCTCAGATGCTCGCCTGTTAGCGTACTCGACCGAGATCAAGTTGTTGAGAGCAGGCAAGAAGAGCGACAGCTGAAGTTCCTGGAGATGCGCAGCCCTTGGATCGAAGAGCATGTCTTCTAGGACCTTTACAGCCCCACGAACGACGTTTGTCCTCTGTTTGGAGGAACCAAGTTCGCCATAAAGAATTTCGATGAAAGCATGGATAGCAGCTGGTGCCACGTGGGAGTTAAATAAGTGCATTATGACCCGTTCGGCCTGGTCTCGGAGGTCGTCAAGCAGAAGCATGCGATTGCAGACAGAACACAGCAGTTCCAAGCACGGCTTGAGAAGCGGTCGCGGCAATTCGGCGTACGTGATCAGTGTCTCAATGACAGTGATTCCACCCTTGAGATCCGGTTTCCTTGCTGTGCGTCTGGAGACATACAGAACCCTTTCTAAGAGCTCTTCGATATGTTTGTCCGCCAGGAGCTGAGAGTTGAATTTGAGCACATCGATGATGAAACGGAAGGCCTGCTGTAGGTTGGCATCTTCGGCAAGCTCAAGGTCCGCTTTCGAGTCCCTCGGAGCATTTCTTGCCTTCCGCGCAGCCTCGTAGCATCTGTCGAGCACCCGCGTCAAGACGGGTGCGATCTTGCTCTCAAAAGCGTCAATATTCCGTCCGCCATGCGTAAGGCAGCCGAGAAGCTGCAGTCGCGTTTCCATAACTTGTTCTTGCTTTGTATCAGAGATGGAAGAGAAGAAGTTGCTCCTCTCGAGAGGGGAGAGATGGGGTAGCTGCACTAGGCGTGACAATAGGCGGCATGCCGCCTGGATAGCTTCCGGATCCTTGCTCTTCAACAGTGAGTCATTGGCACGGAGCCATACTGCCCAAACGCCTTTCACCGGGAATTGCTCGAGTATGGGACACAGCCTGTGTGCTGCGTCAATACGCGCTGATAGCGGTGCCTTCGTACTGAGCCGTTCCAAAAGTTCCTCTAGTTCCGGAGGACCTCCGAGGACTGGTGGGATTTGGATATCACCATCATGCTGACTCGGCCTTACACGGAGCGAATGGCGGATGTTCGCGAAGTCCGCATTGTCTGGGGACGAGGTGTGAATGTGCCGGGGCAAAGTAGACACGCTTGGTCTCCTCGCAAAGATTCCTTGTACCGGAGAGACGTTGGTAGAAGCGGAAGGGATGTCGGAGGTCGAGGTGCGCGAACGGCCGAGGAGGTCCTTGAACAAGTTCGATATCGAGCTGGTCGACGACTGGTTGCGCATGGACGCGGACGGCGCCTGGGAGGGTACTTGAGGCAGCGCCTCGGGCGGCGGCGACGAGGACATGGGGGGCGATTGTCGGTCGGCAAGCTGCGCTCTGGTGGAAAAAAGAATGGTTAGACAGCGGGGCTGCGGTACGAGGCACAAGCCGGGAGCAATTACGCAAACTCACAGGACGTGTATCACTCAGCGCCCGCCCTGCTCACTTCCGCGAGGAAGACAGCAAGGGCAGAGCCAAGGCAGGGAAGGCGCACCCTTGTACGGAGGGGAGCGGCGGGACTGGCAGGCTGAGGCGCGGCAGACGGACGAGGGAGGACGGGCGGTCGCGAAAAGTCCATGGGGGCAGGCGGCGACATGCGGAGCCAACGAGGCGTCATCAAAAGCTGCGGGCGGGCTGGGGCAGCATTATTTGTGCGGTTTGGGAGCGCAAGAGAGTTGGGCGTGCGCGGCGGTCGTCCGAGTCTGCGCAGAACCTTGGAAAACCTGGGGTAACATGCGGCAGCTTTCCCTGTTGCTCGCTAGTGCGCAGAAACCTTTTGCAGGGCCGTCCTCGCGTGCCTCTGGAACGTGCAGCTCGACGCCCACCTGCTGAGTCGCGCCCGCTGAGCACGACGCACTCACAGCTGCAGGCACCGCCCGCCTCGGTGGGCCGACTTCCGCGACGCCTGCCGTCCTCAATCAGCCTCAGGCGTCCGCGTGCACGATGCAGCCTAAGCGCCCTTCCACCCGCTCCCCGCCCGCCGCCTAAACTGAATCCTAACGTACTACCGCCCTCCGGCCCCTCCAATTCCCCGGTCGCTTGACACCCCATGATTCCGCGCTTGTCGCAGCCCAGACATGCCCAGAGGTACCTCCGTACCGCTCCATCTCAATCTGGATGGCGCCCCATTTTGTCGCCGCGCTGCGTTCGACGGTCGGGCGGCTGACTGCGCATTTTTGATCATTCTGGCTTCGCTGATTATCACAGTGGTCACATAGGCCACGAACGGCATGTCGAGCTGTAGCGTATTTCGAACTAGGGCCCCGACTAGGCGCCATCCGTTGCTCGTGCAGCTCAGACATACTGCACCCTGAGAAGCCAAGCGCTTTATCTGCGAGGCTTGCAGATTCGCATCTGAAAAAGAAAGGAAAGCCACAATGCGTCTACTGGATGGACACCGCACTATGAACCTGCCTAATGGTTTCACGCTATCGAACCTACATATTATATTTGCATCATGCACACAATCTCGAATATATATGTACATATCCTCTAGCGCCGTAGCAGACAGCATGCTCCGTCCGTCTAAGTATCCTGTCTAGCATTTGTCCTTGGTCAAGATCAACTAAAGCCCATAACTTGAACCCCCAAGCCAGAAAAGCAGAAAGCATGTCAGAAATGATATGAAGACAGAAAAGCCTCTTGTTTCAATGCGAAGCTAACAGCAGAATTCAGTCCTCTCCACTCCGCCTCAGCAAAAGCGGTGAGCAAACATGGATTAATACCATGGTGCGCTTGGAAAACGCATTGTTGAACAGCAATTCACTCGTCCACGAATTTCCACCGCCCGCCCTCCGTCATCGCTTCTCTCCACCTTTCCTCAACTACCTCTCTCTCCCTTCTTTGGGCTTCTTCCTTATCCTTCTCCCTCTCCTGCGTTCCTGGAAAATCTACGCGCCAAAATCCTGGTGGTGTGCGCGAGCGCTCATGCGCATTCCTATGACGACCTACTTGGTTGGCCAGGAGCTTGACTTTAGCTTGGACAACGAGGTCCTCACGTTGAACGATAGGCATGGCATCGACGCGGTCGCGGGAGTAGCCGCTTCCCATGAACCACCCGAGGTACCTGTGGTCCTCTGCCTCCTGCTCGTTTATGAAAGGTCGTTCTTGCTGAGACTGCGAATTTTCCCAGAAGCTATGCGGCAGCGGGGGCTTCAGGCCAGCCCGGACCATTCCGTGGAGTTCGCGGCCGCAGCACTCGTACTTAGTGCATCCAGGAAGGCAACGCCGAACATCATGATTGCGGACGACTTCCGTAAAGGCAAAGTCAAGCCCAGCGTTGGCGTTAGGATTGATCTTGAAGTCAGAAAGGTTAAGGTCAGATATGGTTTTGGTGCGTAGGGGAACTGAGGGAGCCTGTTGACGTTGACGTTGACGTAACGAGCGGGTGCTGTTCGGTGTACGAGTTCCCGTTTGCGGTGTTAGGGGTTGAGGGGTCAAGTGCTTCTTAGAAGAGGTTTGAGCGGCTGCCTTTCGGAGTTTAGGTGTTGCTGCGTCCCGCCTTTTTGCCACAGTTGACCTTGGAGATGCTCGGGTGGCACTGTTGGGGGCCGGAGTCCTTGGTGATTTGAGCGCCTTCCGCGCTGGCGGTGGATTCTCGTACAATTCGGCAAAGCGCCGATCTGACTCCTGCATCTTGAGCGGAGAGAGCTCGCGTATCTCTGTGTCCTCTCCATCCTCTGATAGCATTGGTACAGCCTTCGCCCCTCTGTTCTCGTCGCCGCGTCGTCGAGGCCGAAGGGCAGAGAAGGTCTCAAGACGAGGTCGTGGTTGTATATTGACATCTCGAGAGCGTAGCGCGCTCGCTTTACGTGGATTGTCTGGACTTCTCGTCAAGATAGCCGTTGCGGAACCCAGCGGGTCATCTTGCTCTTCAGCCGTAGGGCTGGGATCTGAATCAGGAAGTTCATAAATGGCGGCTTTGTCGTGCGCCTCCAGCTTCGCCTCTTTGGCAGACCCCGTCTTCTGAGGAAAGTCTAAGGGCAGGCTTGATGACCGTTCACGAAGTAGCGCTGGACGTGATTTTGCCCATACTTCACCCTGCAGCTGCGAACTGTCAATGGCATCCTGCATGCGACGCCGCTTCCGTGGTGTCTGTATTTGAATTCCCATAGCATCAAGATCAAGGGTGCTGACTCTGTTGAGAAGAGCAGGGACAGCTGGTGCAGTGGCTTGAGTATCAGAAGGTTCCGCTTTGACATGAGGAGATGGCCCCGATTGTCGTCCTACAGAATCTTGATGCACTTGGACATGGCTTGGATGCCTTCGTTTCAGGGACCTTTCGGAGACGATTGTTGGCTCGTCATCAGAAGAGTGATGCTGACCAACATGTTTTCCTGCGTCCTGCATGTTCTCGTGATCATCATCGACATCCTGAGTTGTTTGGCTCGAAGTAAGTCTCAAAGAACCGTTGCGGGAGTGCGACGGTGCTTGGACCTGATCTTGCTGGCTAGACAGCATCCTTTGTGGTTTAGATAGGTCTTTCATATGCTGCTGTTGTTGAAGCGCCGCATGTATATCAGCGACATGATACGTTTGTGGGAGTTCATCTGGAAGCTGGTGGCCATCAGATAAGATGGTTTCAGGAAGGTCTGCTGCAGCCGAGGCTCCCCTTAAAGGACTTTCATGGTGTTCCAGGAAATGAAAGGCTTGCTCAACGATTGTTTTATGCATATCTCCTGGTTCCAGGCCGTGTTCTGGTGTGGGTTGCGCCTTTGAGGATTGCGATACGTTGCTCATAGGCGTTGGCGGTCTGTCCATGTCAACAAGAGAGCTTTTGACGGACTTCTCTGTTGCGTTTTCTCGACGGTCCTTACGCCGTCTCTCGCGCTCCTTTGACGCCCATGTGCTCCATTCCTTAACCCGGCCTTTCATCACGTCATGTTGCTTGGCCAGCCTTTCCGAGTTTATTCTCAGCCCGTCATTTTCCCTGAGGACAACATGGTACATGCGCTCGAGTTCTTTATGTTCGTGGAAAGGGACTGTGGCCTCTTGTGTAGAAACCGTCGCAGAACTACGTGGGGGAGCACTCGTGTTGGTTGTCGACAGGGGTTTAGTTTGCGGTGCGGCACTCGTCGAAGCCTGGATGGCGGCCTCGAGTTGACACTTCAGCTCCTCGTGTTCTCGCTCTAAGTTCTGCAAGCGAACAAGGAGCTCTGTGTTGTTACGTTCTAGCGCCCGCTTCTCATTTTGATCTAAGTACGCTAATTAGTAAATGAGAGGGTAGGCCATGGTATAGAACATACGGCGCAGATTGTTGGTTCTGATGTTTTGCTGGAGAATCGCGGAGTGTCTCTCGATCGCGCCGTCCGTATCGTCTACCTCGAGCCATTGTAGGGCAGCTTCATCTGGCTTCTCCTCCATGACTCGGATAGGAATGTGAACGCGTCACTACGCGTCAGTCTCGCGGTTGCGGGTGCGTTGAGGGTGTGAAATATATTCCAAAGCGAAGGGGGAGGAGTGCAGCGAGTTTGCAGATTGCGGAGTGACGCTGAGTGTTTGTAAGGAGAGGCTGGCGACCAATTGGTGGCGATGAAGGATGCGCTACGCGTGTCTGCCTGGGGGGCTTGGCGCGTTGGGACGCCCCCGCCGTGACGCGCTGCACGTGCGCGTCATTTAGCCTTATCATCGCAATCGATAACGGACCGATTCGCGCTTGCCGCGAACCCGACATTCACGCCCTCTTCCTCTTTCCACGCTCGCGCGCGCAACTGCTTCGTCACTATCATGCCCAAGCGTCGCGTCCAAGGAAGCGACCAGGATGCGCTCCCTCCAGCCAAGCGCACGAGGAATTTTGTCTCTGACAAGCTATCACGCTTGAGCGATGAGCTACTTTTGCGCATCCTCTCAAACGTACCAGTCGCTACGTTGAATATATGTCAGAGGTAATCATTGCGCCACTCCCGCGAGAGACGCATACACTGACATCTCTCTAGAGTGTCGAAACGATTGCATGCCGTTGCCAGCGATCATCAGCTCTGGAAAGCTGCCTATTACAACCGTTTCGTCCGACCTCGCGCATCAAGATTACCCGGGCTCAAAGACGCAAACACACCCGACCACCTTCACTTCTCCTCGAAACTCTCGAAATGGCTTGACGAAGCAAACTTGGTGAAGAAGGGCAAGGAGACCAACTGGAAGAGGCAATACAAACTTCGCCACAACTGGTCGCGGGGAAGTTGTGATGTGGATGAGATACCGTTGTCGGATGCGCCACCCGTGCCACCGATATTGGTCCACCTGCACGACGGCACTATTTACACTGCTGATGCGATTGCCGGATTGCGTGCCTGGTCAGCCCAGAAGGACCGGAGCCTCCTTGCGAACATTACTTTAGCGCAAGACAGCGACCGCGCACATCCTGTGCCGACATCCCTAACCGTTGATACAGACCAACAAAGAAGTCCTTCTCGCCAGCGCGTTGCTGTGGGCTTTGAAGATGGAAGCTTCTCAATCTATCAGCTGACTGAAAGTAGCACGATCTTCACCCTTCTATACAACCACCCTGCGTCGTCCAACGGCATGCTCTCAGCTCTAGCATTTGCTTTCCCTTACATATTGACTATGACTGGCATGCAGCTATTGTCACTGTATGCATTTCCGAAGGAACCGCAAGATGGACGGACGCAAGACATCCTGGATCCACCTCGGTTACTGTACTCGCTGAGATCACACACTGTTTGGCCACCGTTATCACTCTCTATCCGACATTCCGCGCAGAGTATTGTGGCATCTATCGCATATGCTTTGCCCACGTATTTTTCAGGGTGGACCGTTGGTATCCAGGAGGTTCACATTACTCCGGAAGGAAAGCTCGTGGATTCACGGCTCGCGTCAGCCGACCAGCCGGGCTTCCAATCGCTGTCTTCAAACTCGAGCCTGCCGTCTTCCCCCGGTGGACGTTCGGATCCGGGCACACCGGTGACACCGGTTCCGATATGTTCCAAGCCGACATCTCTTTCGTACTCGCATCCTTATCTCCTTAGTTCTCACCCAGATAACACTCTTACGCTTTACATGGTTACATCGACAACGTCCTCGTTGAATATTGGGCCAGGAACAAGATTATGGGGCCACACGTCATCAGTTTCGGGAGCGTACGTTGGAGGCAGGGGAAAGGCAGTGTCCGTCAGTTCACGCGGCGATGAATTGCGCGTCTGGGAGCTGGAAGGAGGCATGATCCCCTCTGTGACCAGAAGGCGCAATCCTGCTGGAGAGCTGAGTATCCGGATCAGGCCCGAAAAAAGGACTCCCCTCCGCTCGGACTCGGACCATCCTTCTGACGATGACGCCCTCCACAACTCTAACGTGGGATTCGTCTTGGAGAAACCCCTTGATGAGACGACCGTCACAAAAGGTTGGATTGGATTCGACGAGGAGAAAGTGATTGTGTTGCGAGAACGGAGCGAGGGAAGTCAGGCGTTAGTTGTGTATGATTTCACCTAGAGGAAACCTCCAGGTTGACAGGACAACGAGTGTGTCTGCGGCATTGCAAATCGCTCTCTCGTGAAGATGATGGCCTTTTCTAGGCAGTGAGTTGTGTTGAGATGCGTCGAAGGCCCGCAGTACCCGATATTCCATCCGAGACGACATCGTACCAAGTGGAGCAATAGTCACCCCGAGGAGTGCCTCTACCGCTCTCAGGACCCCATAAGCCCGGGTTTCGGGATTCAGTTGGCGGAACCAAGAGTTGCCCGACAGTGCAGCGCATGATTTTCGTAACCAGCACGAAAGGAAACGCACATGCGACACGTATTTGCTCTGCTCTGGCCATATTGGGTATGTTTCATGCGTCTTGACCGCTCCTTATCTAACTCAAATCAACATCTGGACCCTCTCGGTAGAGCCCTCATCGCGACCTGAGGTTGCGAAAGAACCTTCAATCTTCCAACAGCAGCATCACCTCTTTGCGCAGGTGCGAAAAGCCCTCTCCCGCCCTTCCGACGGTCTGGCCTTACCTGATTCGGGTTGGACGACAGCGATCGCGCCATGGGCTTCAGCGCGCGACACCTCTGGCAGGCTGCCAGCACGTGCATTCAACGGGGCTGACAGCTGCTGTGCGACCATGGCCGTCACGAGCCTCAATTGCCAGTGCGCCCGCCCTGCACAACATTTGCTCGAGCGGACGGATCCACTTGCTGCGCGGGCATCAAAGCTTGCGGCGGGGTGGGCAGATCTGGCGAATCCGAGACTCCACCAACCAGTGAGCCAAAGCCTGTCTACATCAAACAATCTCGCAGCTGCGCACACGGCGCTGCAGGTTCTTTTGGGTGTGCAAACCGAAGACTGATGCTACTCGCTAAAGGCGCCGACGTCTTTCCGTACCCGCGGGGACGCTAGTGCATCGCACCCACCGTTCTTGTTTTCGCCTCTGCCCTCCAGCCTTTATAAAGCACCCGGCTGCTCTTCAACCACCTCAAGGTCCACTTCTGCGCACGACACACGTCTCTCTGCACTAGCAATACCTCTTTCTTCCTTGACGACCCAAGTCCAACCCCTCGGTACGTCTGTCCAGCGCCTTGCTGCCGCGCACCAGCCCCCCCACTGCCAGCCTCACTGACGCCGCCCAGACTTCCAACCTCACAACCCACCACCCACCTCATCATGGATTTCTCCGCTCCCCCCGCCCGTGGCTGCTACAACTGTATGTCCTGCCCTTTCCTCTAGCGCAAACGCGACACCTGCGACGCCGCTCCGCCTGCCCGCCTCTCGCACACACTCCATACAAAATTCGCATTAAGCTCTCACACACAGCGGGGACGGTTCGTTGAGCTGTAGATCCGAGTGGAGTCCTTGCGACGCCCACAACGAGCAGTCTTGGTCGAGCATCGCTCGCAAGCGCACTGCGACCGACCAAGATCACCGCACTGCGATGTGACCTTTTGTGAATCGCCACCTCTCCCATCACCCTGTATATTTGCCCTCTGCTTGTCTACGTTGTCTGGTTGTCGCGCCCCAAGGCCCGCAATGCTTCAACGTTGGGCCTGTTTCATCACCGCGCCAAACAACCGAGGGGAGTCTGAGCTAATCGAGGAGAAGGCGGCGATACCACCCACCAGGCCAGGGACTGCCCCACCAAGGGTAACCCCACCTGCTACAACTGCGGCGAGCAGGGCCACCTGAGCAGGGAGTGCCCCCAGCCTCAGGCTGAGAAGCCTTGCTACCGCTGCGGCAAGGTCGGCCACCTTTCCCGCGAGTGCCCCGAGGGTGGTGCTCCCGGCATGGGTGCTGGCCAGGAGTGCTACAAGTGCGGCAAGGTCGGCCACATCGCCCGTAACTGCAACACGTACGGCGCCGGCGGCGGTGGTTTCGGCGGTGGCTACGGCGGCGGCCAGGGTGGCGGCTTCGGTGGTCCTCGCGGTCAGACCTGCTACTCTTGCGGTGGCTACGGTCACATGTCCCGTGACTGCACGCAGGGCCAGAAGTGCTACAACTGTAAGTTCCCACTCCGTCCAAGACGCGACGCACCCGTTCTGACTGTACCATAGGCGGCGAGGTCGGCCATCTGTCCAGGGACTGCCCGTCCGAGACTTCCAACGAGCGCGTCTGCTACAAGTGCAAGCAGCCCGGCCACGTCCAGGCTGCCTGCCCCAACTAAGCAAGCCATCTCCTTGATGGCGCAAGTTTGAGGCTGGCTGCCGAGAAGAGGGTAGCGACGTAGTTGGATTCGACGGCGGCGAGCTTCGTTTGGCGAAGTGGAGCTGCATTCATGATTACGACCCTTTCCTTCTCTTTCTTGTAAGATCTTCCAGCCATGGATCGTCAGCTCTTTGCATGGCCTCTGCCTTACGAGCAGCATGAGCGAGTTTTTCCTTTTCCTTTTAATCATCATTGCTGCGACGGTGGATCAACGATCCAGGGACAGATTGGAACTCCGGGACAAGGACAAAAAACGATGGTAGGGGAAAAAAGGATTACTTATTCGAGATGAGCACCCACGGGTGCAGGTTTTGTTGGAGGTCTGGAGACACTCATCTTGCGGATAGCAGCGAGCATGGGCAACTAGGCGTCATTTTTCCTAGTCACAAAAAGAAGCGGTTGCGAACAACGATGACAAGCAGAAGACCGGTCAGACCAACGCCCGCTCGCTCGCGGGCGGCCAGGAGGCTTTAAATATGCGTGTGTGCACTTGCGCCAACATGGTGCTTTTCTCGTCATGGCACTTAGCTCGACACGTGGGGCGCTGGCGGGCTTTAGCGGTGATCGCGGGCTTCGCTGTCCGCCAAACGCCCTCTCGCCCAGCAGCGCATGACTCCCTTCGTTCCCGACCGGCGACCGCAGCCCGTTTCCCGCCCCAAAAAGAAGGCGACAGATCCCAGTGATGGTTGTCGATCGTCGGCCTGGTCCTTGGCGGCGTCAACTCATCAATCGCCGGCATGAGCTTGTACATACCTAGCGACACTTGCCCAGCGCTTGTAGAGATCCCTTCCTGCAGCTGCGATCCGACCGATGCTGACCCCGCCGACAAGGCTACGAACGCCGTGGACGTTTGGGACCTCGGCGGCAGGCAGATCACAGGCGGTAAGCTTCAGGCGGGCTTGCTCATGCGTCAAGGGAGCACCCAAGTGGCCTCGTACCTATCGCACAGGGCCTGGCGTGCCCCGCGGAGAGACGAAGAGGGATTATTCCAGGCCAGGCTGCCGTCATCACCGTCACGGTCACCGCCATCCCGGCACCCGGCAAGGGAGCCCGGTTGGTCGGGTCGGGCGGTTGGCACACAGACATTGCCTCAGCCAGGGGAGATGCGAAGGTAGGTCCCTTAACAGGCAGATGCAACGCCGGGCGTTGCAATTGGACAAGCTTCGTTGGAGGTGAGCTAGTGTACTTCGTACCGCGGCCAAGGCACTACTGGCGCAACGTCTACTCAGTACACCCCAACGGCGACCCGCCAACGCCTATATAGCAATTTTTCCTTCTCACGCTTGCAGACAAGACCTGTCGCCGCACAGCCCGCCACATGCGCCTACGTTTCCCAAATCGGGCTGACCATGACGGTCCTGGAGTGAGATGTCGTCCGGCGATTGCATATGCCGCTCATCAGTAACGCGTCACCTTGCGCCCCCATGGCTTCCGTAGGATGGAGCTGACGGCACAGACGTGGGCGGCAATCGAGCCAGCCGGGATGGGCAAAGCGAATGACGGAACAAGGTTCCATGGCACATGAAACAAGCAAACTTTAGGTTATTTCGTCGTCTGCCAGGCGTGCCGCCAGGTCCGCCGCGTGTCACCTTATGCCGAAACGGTAGTCCGATCATGACGATCCGCACAGCGTTCAGGCCGACGAGGTTTTGAAACGCACGCCCGAGCTGCCTTAAGAGCTCACGAATCGCTGCACTTTACCCGTAGCCAGGGTGCCAGGGCCAAACCCCTGGCATCTGCAGCCCACCACCTGCCGCTACCAAGGCCTCAGCATCATGAAGTCAAGGGCTGCGAAGAGAAGCTTTTGCCCGTCAGCCCCGTCCGCCCCGCCCGCCCCGTCCGCCCCGTCCGCCCCTCCCGTCTGCAGAGCGGCATGGGTGGCCCGGCGCCATCGCCTTCCGGATGCGCCCCGATGAGGACCTGTGCGCCTGTTTGCGCCCTGATTGCAGCCAGGCGCTGCCGATGACGGACCTGAATTGACTGGCAGGCAATGATGTGTGCGCCTGCCTGCCGTGTTGATCCGTCTTACGGGCTTTCTCCATATAGCCGTCTCTTTTATGCCTGCCGCCGCGGATCCTTATTTCTGCTCCTGCCCGTTAAAACCACCCCACGCCCAGCCTCGCTGCTATCCTGCATTCGCTCCTTTTGGTCTCTGTCGCCATCCATTTGCTCTTTGACGTGATTCTCTCCCCATCCTTTAGTCTTGTTTCCCGAGCCATGCTCGCTTCCACCAATGCGCCTGGAGCGCGCAATGCTCTCGCCGCCCTCGCCTTTTCCTTTTTCGCCTTGACCGCCGCCCAGGACAACACTACCGAGCCGCTGTCGACCTTCTATTCTGTATGTACAGTCTCTTCCAACTCTAGCTCGACCGCTGACGCTAAGACTGCTCACAGCGCCCGGACCTGACGCCTCCCGCGCTCACCTGCCACATCCACGAAGACGGCATCGCTCCAGGTATGCACTCACATGGCAGCCGCTTCCCCACAATGATCGACCTTTCAGCTAAGCTTAAGCATTAAGGTTACATCTTCATTGCGCCATACGGAGCCACGCAGTCTGGCCCTTACATCTACGATAAGTCTTGCGTAAGCGCCTGATGATCTCCCGAGCACGCAATCCGGGGCAACGTGTGCTAAGACCGCGAACAGAACCTTGTTTGGTCCGGATTTGGCTTTGCCGGCCCCGAGACGTCGCACGATGTGCAGGTTTGCACGTACAACGGCGAGGACCACCTATGCTTCATGCAAGGCAACCAGATGAAGGGCTACGCTCGCGGCCATGGATTGATTCTCGACAAGTCCTACACGATCGTCAAGTCCATCGAGGTTGGCGGCAGCGGCGTGCCGTCTGTGGACATGCACGAGTTCAACATGATCAACGACGGAGCCTCTGCGCTTGTCACTGCGTACATGACGATTCCGTACGACTTGGCCGACTTTGGCATCACCACCGGCGTCGGATACCTCCAGGATGGCACTTTCCAGGAAGTCGAAGTAGACACGGGCAAGGTGCTCTTTGAGTGGCGTGCCATTGACCACGTGCCGTTGAACGCTTCGTATGTGCTGCCGAACGCTTCGGATACCTCTGGCACCGGTCTTTCGCCCAGCTCGCCTTGGGACTGGTTGTACGTATTCGCCAACCATTTTTGTTGCTTCAAACATGCTGACTGGAAACTCAACAGCCATATCAACTCGGTCGACAAGTCTTCGTACTCCGACACTTATCTGATCTCAGCCCGCAGCGTCTCCTCCCTCTACAACCTCAACGCCACCGACGGCAGCATCATCTGGACGCTCAGCGCAGGCGGCGCCTTCACCGACTTCGACTGCACCAACTTCAACTTCTCCTACCAGCACGACGCACGCTTCGTGTCGGAGAACACGACGCACACGGTGCTCTCACTCTACGACAACGCCTCCAACGGCTTCAACCAGACGTCGCCCGAGTCGTCGGCCATGGTCGTGGCCCTCGACCACACGACCAACAAGGCGACGATGCTCACGCGCATCACGCCGCCGGCCGAGGCGGGCGGCATCGTGTCGTCGTCGCAGGGCAACACGCAGCTTCTGCCCAACGGCAACTTCTTCAACGGCTGGGGCAACGTCGACGCGCTGTCGGAGCACGCCGCCGACGGCACCCCGCTGCTGTACGCCACGTGGGGCGCGTATCCGGTCATGAACTACCGCGCCTGGACCTTCAACTGGACGGCGACGCCCAAGACGGAGCCCGCCGTGTACGCCTTTGCGCGCAACGCCACCGCCGCCGCGTCCACGGCCGTCTTCGTGTCGTGGAACGGCGCGACGGACGCCGTCGGCTGGCGCTTCTACGGCGGCGACGCGCCCGACGCGCTCACGCAGGCGATCGGGACCAAGGATAAGGAAGGCTTCGAGACGGCGTTCAGCGCGCAGGGGTTCAGCAAGTACGTGGCGGTCGAGGCGCTGGATGCGGCCGGCCGGGTGCTGAGCAGGAGCTCGCCGCTCAAGACGTTCGTGCCCAACCAGGCGTATGCGGAGTTGTGCAGCGATGTCGGTTGTCCCGAGGCGACGTCGTATTCTGATTGAGAGGTAATGAGGTGGAATGCGGTCGCGACGATAACGACAACAACAACAACGATAGGTGATGGTGGTGAGTTGCGGTCAGGGGCTGTGGCGCTGGTTGCAGGGATGGCTTGGATTGCGGCGCTGGGGGCCGTGGTGTTGGTTCAGGGTGGTTAGTCGTTTGGAGAGGTGGTGGAGGGTGAGGCGTTTGGTTCTTGTACATACATTTTGGTGAGTATACTTTTTGGTTGGTAGGGGAGAGAGGTCGGAAGGAGGCGGAGGATGTGGTGATGCCGTATGAGTCCGTTTGCGTAAGGTATCTCGAATATCTTGTATGTGGTAATAAACGATAGCAGATTAACCTTCGATTTCACACGAAAAATTAAGTTTATGCTTAAACGTCTCTCTTGGGAATGTGCATGGTGATGTATAGAAAGTTTGCTTCCATGAACCACGGGTCGTCTAGGGGAAAAGACTACCGTTGCCATTCATCCCTCGGTAATGTTTGTATGCTCATGTATTATGTGATGGATTGAGCGCGGATAATATCACATATATATATATATATATAGAATAGTAGTAGGCAGGCCGTTCACATCATGTTCTCATCACTTCCTTTTCAGGATAAAGAAAAAGGCGACAGCCAACACTCTCAAGGCAAACCTCCTCTTCCCCGCTTCCCACCCACTCCTCCCGTCCATCTCACTCTCACTCTCACCCACCTTCCACCCTCGCTCTTCCACCCACCCACCAGCACTCCTCTGATCTACAGCCCCCGCTCCCCACCCACCTCAAAAAAAACACGACCCCAGACCCGCAAAGACGCTCGTCCCAACCGTCATCATCACCGTCATCATCGTCACCCCCGCCATGTCCATCGCCGCACCACCGTTGTTGCGGCTGCCATTGGTGCCACCGGCACCGCCGCCGCTGCCGCCGCCTTTCTTCGGTTCGGGTGCAGGCTCAGGCGCGGCTGCGGGAACGGGGTCGGCAGCTGCGAGGAGGATGATTTGGCTGACGAGGAGGATGGCGAGCAGGGTTGTTGCTATGCGGGAGGAGGAGGTGGTGGTGGTGGAGGGCATGGTTGGTTGGTTGGAAGGGTTTTATTTCTCTTTCTCTTGGTGGTCTTTCGACGTTGTGGTTGCAGCGTAGGATGGAGAGGGAAAAGAAGGAAAGGGAGAGAGATGGTCGTAACAGGCGTGAGGTATAATTGTTTGTGAGATGGTCGCTGACAGTTGCGAGGCGGCGGATGATCAGAGCTTTGTAGATTTTGGGTGAAGGGCAAAAGCAGGGATAATGGACGTGGTTGTACGGTATGACGTGGACTGTGTGTTCCTCATCTATCCTGGCAGAGCGTGCTTGGCGATTTGGCGAAGCAAGCTTTTGGCTGTGCTGCGGTAGAGGCAATTGGCGGAAGCTTGGGGTGGGGGCCGCTGACAGGCACAAATGTATGTGGGTAAGGGCTTAGCGTGTCAATCGACCTTCCGCAGCGGCTGGGCCGCCTTGTGAATTCATTCATCCGGACTGGGGCGAAAAGTGCGGTATGGTGCTCTGGTGAGCTCTAGGGCTGCGCTCGAGTTGGGGAAATGGTGATGGTGGCTTGGAGGCGGTGCAGTGTGGCTGGTGCCCGCAGCAATCAGTCGCGTTCCGTCGCGTCTTCCCGACGCGCTCCAGTCTCCATCCTCACAGCAACTGCCCAGCGACACCCATCGAGCGTGCTCTACGCGACTGCGCCACAAAATAAATGGACGAGCCTATGATTGACGCGCAGGATGTCGCGCAAGAGACTCCGGCTGACGATGTCTTCCGCGCGCCTTCGATCAAGACGGAGGATATCCTGAAGGGCGCTTCTTATGCTCACTACTCGCCCATCCCGGAGGTCATTGCCAACGACATGACGACCGAGTGCGTGCTCGGCGTCGATGAGGCCGGCAGGGGTCCCGTCCTCGGTAAGCTCGAGGCCATCTCAACCACTCGTCGACGCCGTGTCTGACATATGTGCCCAGGCCCCATGGTGTACGCGCTGCTCTACCTGCCGCTCTCGGACCACCGCTCGCTGCTGGCCGAGACGCACCACTTCGACGACTCCAAGGTGCTCACGCCGGCGGTGCGCTCGGCGCTGATGGAGAAGCTGTGCACGGCGGACACGGACCTGCACCGCCGCTGCGGCTGGGCCGCCAAGGTCATGTCGGCGCGCGACATCTCGGCCGGCATGCTCAAGGCGGGCGGCACGTACAACCTCAACGCCCAGGCCATGGACGCCACCGTCGAGCTGATCGAGCGCGTCTTCGCCGCCGGCGTCAACGTCAAGGAGATCTACATCGACACCATCGGCCAGCCCGCCGCCTACCAGCGCCGGCTCGAGCGCATCTTCCCCACCGTCCACATCACCGTCGCCAAAAAGGCCGACTCGCTGTACCCCTGCGTGTCTGCCGCCTCCGTCTGCGCCAAGGTCACGAGGGACGCCGCCCTGGACGTCTGCTACGAGACGTATGCTTCGAGTGCCGCCGAGACGGTTGCCGCCGACGGCTGGGGCTCGGGGTACCCGTCGGATGCGAGATGCTCGGGGTGGTTGAAGCGCAACATGGATCCCTTCTTCGGCTGGGGGGCCGAGTGCCGCTTTAGCTGGGGAACCGCCAAGGACATGCTGGAGGACAAGAAAAGCGGGCTCAAGGTCGACTGGCCGGTGGAGGAGGACGAGGGCCAGAACATCTCGTCGTATTTCTCCGGCTTGCAGGATGACCAGGGTGACGAGCTGTCGAATTGGTTCGGCAAGCGCGTCACTGAAGAGGTCTTCTGAGCCCAGCCCGGACTTCGCGTCAGCGCCACTTTCAAGCTTCTTGCCTGTCTGTCAGCTTGAGTAGGATGGAGCAGGTTGCGGCTCGATTCTAGCGCGGGGCGCCAGTCTTCCGCTCTTGAAAAAGTGCAAAGACTCGACATCGAACACGGCAACGAATATCACTGAAGCTCCACTCTATCAGCAAGCTTATCCAGCAGGGTTGACTGGGCTCTCTAAGCACAGGTACAGCGCAGCCGCTTCGACGTGCTGCTCGCCGTGTCTGAGTGGAAAGAGATGCTCGAGAGCTAGTTGTCTAATCGTGGCTCACCCTTGGTGTCGGAACTATATTTTAATTGCCGAAAAAACCCGTCTAGCGACGCTTGCGAGCAGCTCAGTTGAAGCCGCGCTGATCTACTCCTTTTATCTTTTCCGCGGAATTTGACGAAAATACTGTAAGATGTAAACCACAACGGTGATGGATCACTCTCGATTGGTTTGGAAATGGTGACTTGGTCTTCAAAAAAGCAGTCAGTATTAGCTGCCTTTCATCAAGCAAACGATGACCTTCCAAGGCATCATGTGGATCGTTGTTCAAGAAGGTCAGGAGGCCCGTGTCGCACGTGCTCCATAGAGAGCCCGAATATCAGATTCTACGGCACTTCACTAAATATTCTCCTCTGTATGCCAGATTTGTTCCTATGGTCGAAAACATGCGTGTATGCTCTTCTGGATATTTTGTAGATGGCAATGTTAGTACGTACGCTATCTACAGCACACCGAAAGGTTCAGTTCCCTGACACACACATCTTTCCTCTCTCTCTCTCTCTCTCCACCTATTTTTTTCTTCCCCTATTCCATTTAACCAAACATCTTCCCAGTCTTCTTGCTCTTGAACGCATTCCTCTTGCTCCTCGCGATCCTCGGCTCGTCCCTGCCCTCCAACACGGGCTTCCGCCACTGCACGCCCCTGCGCGCCAGCGCCGCGTCCTGGTTCAAGCTCTCAAAGCTCGTCGCGTACGTGGCGACGGCGTGCGCAATGGCCTGGGCGTTGAGCACGAAAGCCTCCATGTCCAGGTTGTCGGTCGTGTCGCCGGCGGCGTGGTAGTTGACGTCGTAGGCGACGCCGGCCTCGCCGCCGAACAGGGCCTGCTCCTCTTCCGTCTTGATGCCCTCGGCGCCGGTGAAGACGCCGCCGCAGGCGACGCCGGCGTCGAGGAAGGGCCCGTAGTCGGAGCGGCCGTCGAACTCGGCGGGGACGCTGGCGACGCCGCGCGCGGCGTAGTAGTCGACGAAGAGGGCCTCGGCCTCGGCGGAGCCGGCGGGGCCGGACGTGTTGAAGGCGGAGCCGTCGCCGTCGTAGACGGCGTAGATGTAGTTGGGCGAGGCGATCATGTCGAAGTCGAGCATGAGGCGCAGCTTGGCGAGCTCGGCGGCGGGCAGGGTCTCGACGTAGTACGTGGAGCCGAGGAGGCCTTCTTCCTCGCCCGACCACCACGCGAAGCGGACCGAGTTGGTGGTGGTGTAGTTGGAGAGTTGGAGCGCGATCTCGAGGATGCCGGTGGTGCCGCTGCCGTCGTCGTTGATGCCCGGCCCGGCGGCGACCGAGTCGGAGTGGCCCGAGAGGATGAGCGTGTTGTTTTGGTCGCCGCCACGGGTTTGGGCGAGGACGTTGTAGCTGTGGAGGGTGTCAGTGTTGATTGTCCTCACCATCCCTCTGTCGATCGTAGGTTTCCACTCCTCTTCTTTCGTGTGGAGGAGTGTAAGGAGGGGCTCTTCACTTACGTCGTAGCGTTCTCGATCACGGTGGCAACGTAGAGGTCGGCGACAGGCGACGCACCGCCGGCGATCTCGTCGACCAGCTCGAGGCCAAGGGCATTGGAGATTCCGACCGTAGGCACGTACGGGCCCTCCTCGCGGGGCGTGCCCAGCGTGCCGGACAGATTACCCTCGACGTTGTTGTAGATGACGGCGCCGACGGCACCGGCGAGGCCTGCGTAGACTGACTTGAGGCCGAACTCGCAGGTGCCACGCGAGATGAGGGCGACGTTGCCCGAGACCTCAGAGGGGTAGTCGGACTTCATATTTGGGTTCACAAAGTCAGCTTATGCTTCTTCACTCCTTAGTTCTCTTTTGATCCTGAAGAGATACAAATGACGGTCAGAAGAGGGCAGACTTGATGCATACCTGATCACAACCGGAGTTCGAGACAGCCACGAGGGGTGCGGAGACGTTGCCGCTGGTCGCGTACTCCATCAGGGCGGCCTCGGTGATGTTGGCGCCGTCGATGGCGAGGGAGGCCTCGCCACTGACCTGCACAACCGACGACCACGGCTGCAGCGTCACGTCGTAGTAGTCGCCCAGGGCGGTGAGCGTCTCGTAGATGTACGTCACCGTGTCGTTGTGCGCCTGGCCGCCCATGATGCGGTTGCGCTCCGGGTAGGCGTACGCGAAGCTCTGGAGCTTCTCCTCATGCCCCAGCAGCGCGTCGCCCGAGATGGTGGCCTGGAGCTCCTCCTGTAGAATCAAATTGGTGTGTTAGAAACGCATTCCTTCTTTCTTCCTCGTTCCTTCTGGAAGGTGTTGGGACATGGACGCACTGAGGTCACGGCCGGGCGCCAGACGCTACGAGGCTTGGGCGCCGGCTTCCATGCGTACGGGTTGGGAGCAGCGACGGCGAGATGCGTCAATGCGCCAACGGCGACGGCAGAACGGAGGGCAGACCGCATCTTGTGGAGACAACGAGTGGAAGTAGAGGGCTAGCAGAGACAGGCGCAATTGACAAACCCGCACACACGACAGCAGCAGAAGCCGGTGGACCAAGAACACGCCGGTTTTTATACATGTACTCGGAGCCCTGTCACGGGCGGCCCGTGTTTCCCCTGGCTAAAACATACTTTGGCATCGATCACGGCGGCGTCGGACAGATTGGTGTGACTTGCATCCGAGATGCTGGGGTTACACGCAGTCGTACGGATAGGCGGCGGCAGCACTGCCTAGACGAGCCTCACCCGGCCGAGGGGCAGGCAGGCGAATATTCCACGAAACGGCACTTTGGCTGCATCAGGGAGGAGATGTCGCTGAAGGAGCGAGGAGGACGGGTCAACGCCAAGAAAAGGCGGGCATGGGCTGAGGAGGGGAGCCAGCTCGGTTGCGTGATAGAGCGGAATGGCAGAGAAATGGACAGGGCCAAGAAAGGCCAAGATGCACGAGATAGAGGAACAGCTTGGCGGCCATCTAGACTTATCTGCCACCTGCCGTTTTCGGTAGTGGTGTGGAAGCTGAGGATGGCGAGAAAGAGAGGCGGATGCAGAGAAGAGGCTGCAGCACGCGGGGCGGGAGCTGCCTTTGGGACGAGACTTGGTATTGATGGATTATTGCGTGTGCAGATTGGCGCGCAAGTACGTCGTAGATAGGCTCCAGAGGCTGAGTCGGGGACAGACGCAGGGGCCTTCGAGATATCGTATGGAGGAAATCATGACCGGCCGAGACGACACACGGCAGGCATGGCCGAAGAGCAATGGCGAGATGACCTGGCGAGATGACCTGGCGTCATCTGCGCGTCGATGATATGCGGCCGCGGAAGCTGCAGGCCGGAGCACGCAGCATGGGGCATTCGCGTAATAGTGCCCAGGGCCATGGCGCCAGCTCGCGGCGAGGCTTGATGGCTGCAACAACACTCTTCGCAGTCTTGTCCAAAACGCTTGGATCGACTGCTCCAGCACATGATGGCGTCTTTTTCTTGCACTCGTCCTGGCCGGCCGATCGTCGCGCAAATGCTGCCTAGGACCTCGGCTCGTTGCGCCCAGCACGCGCGACCGCGTCCACCTCCGCCCATCACAGCACTGTAATGGCTACGCCGAGCTGCTAGACGTCACAAGGAAGCGAGTCGATCCCGCCAGCTGTCGTTTTATACCGACGCTTCCCGCCCACCATGTCAGCGTCAGGCAAGCTGCCCGTCATCGCCGCCATCGCAGGAGCCGGCGCATCTCTCGCTGCCATGGCCTCGTCCTCCACCCTACGCGCCTTCCTGTCGCGCCTCCTGGGCATCAGCGCTCCGGGAGGGACATGGAGGCTGATCGCCCTGATCCTGGCTGCCATCAACCTCAAGAACCTCCCGTTCATGTGGCACGTAAGCATCACCACTTCCATCCCCACGACGAAACCCCCATACTCACCCAGCACCCTCCAGATCCGCCTCTTCCGCGGCCTCGTCTACCAGCTCTACCTGCAACCCACGCCTCTGCCCCCGCGCGCCCTCTTCCAACCCATCGTCACCTCCACCCGCACGCCCCTCACCGAATGCGACTACAACCTGCACAAGTCCAACTCGACCTACTTCTCCGACCTCGACATCTCGCGCACCCACCTCGTCACCGCGCTCCTCCGCCAGGGCATCCGCAGCATCAACAAGCCCCCCAAGGATGGATCCGAGCCAGACACGCGCCCGGGCAACTTCGCCATCGCCCTCGGCGGCATCACCTGCCACTTCCGGCGCGAGGTGGCGCCGTACGCCCGCTTCGAGATCTGGACCCGCCTGCTGTGCTGGGACCGCAAGTGGCTCTATCTCGTCTCGCACCTGGTGCGCCCGGGCGTCGCCGAGCCGCCCGCGTCATACACGCTGCAGCCGTGGCGCCGGCGTCGGGGAGGAGGAGGAGGAGGAGGAGGAGGAGGACGAGGAAAAAAGGATGAGGACGAGGACGAGGAAGCACGGCGGAAGAAGCTCAACGCCGCCGTGTACGCCACCAGCATCGCCAAGTACGTCGTCAAGAAGGGCCGCTGGACCGTGCCGGCCGAGCAGGCGCTGCTGAACTCGGGCCTGTTGCCCGGCCCGCGCCCGCAGGAGCTGGGCTCGCTCGAGAGCAATGCCGATTCCCCGCCTCCTCCTCCTCCCGTTGCTGCTGCTGCCACCAGTGGCGCCGTGGATGGCTCCTATGTCTTGCCCACCCTCGCGCCGCGCGCTGGCGACGACGACGACGCAGCCGACGACCAGTGCGAGTTGACGTGGCCCGAGATCGAGGCCGAGCGGCAGCGCGGGATGAAGCTGGCGGAGCTGTTCGCCGGCCTCGATGAGGCGCACTTTGAGTTCACGGGGGGCAAGGATGGTGTCTTGGGAGAGTACTCCGATATGCTTACGCCGTTTTGGTGAAGGAGATGCGCTCCCTGCCCGTTCATCTATCTTTGGTCTATAGATATTTGTTTTACGAGATGAAGACTTGGCTTTATGAAAGATGATTAGACGTGATACCTCAATTTAGATATCCTGGTTTGCTTATTGTCTCCCGGAAGCTTTTGCGATAGATAATTGGCTGATGGCTCTTTGCCGACCAAAATATGCTTTGGCGACGTTATAGCATTCATGATCTGCGGTATCCCGCATCCCTTCACCGTCCTGTATTCTGTTACAATCTGGGACCCATGCCCCTCTCACAGTCGAAAGGGCCAGTGCCTCTAGATCTGAAGGGGAAAAAAAATACATGCTTCCTTCCATTGCATCAGAGCCAATACTTACTCTCGCTTTCCATAACAATCACAAAGCGACCACGTTTTCGCAGCAAGCAATACACCTTTCAACAGCGAACCAAAGATCAAGAAACTAATCATGTTCTATTTCTACCAGACGACATCAAAAACGCCGGTCACCAAGCCGGACTTTCAAAAGAAGAAAGGAGGCACAGAGAAATCTTGCCTGAAATGCGCCTCCAACCACTCGGCGACCGAACCAGATAAGTGTTCTTGAAAGATCGTTGGCAGAAAGCGGGCAACAAGCGACGAAGTACACCGAGAAACACTCCCAAAAGTCAGTCCCCTCCCAGCTCCAATTCGCGGTCCCTACGGATTCATGAGATTGTCATGATCCACTCCCTGGAAATCCCAAAAAAAAACTCCCCCACGTTCCCGTCGTGGCTAGACGACGGTCCACGTTTGATCCAAAAGGAAAAAAAAATAATTCCCCCGCGTTCCCAGAATGGTGGCCAAGAGGGACGCCTGGTTCACCCACCCATCGTTAGGTAGTAAAAATCCATATGCTCCGTCCATCTCTGGGTCGAAACGCCTTACGCGAGAAACAAGAGAATGATAAAAAAAGACGATGAAGCCAAAAAAAAGTAGAGGTAGGCAGACATAATAACTCCGTCGTCCGGCTTTGCAATCTATACCAGCATGTTCAAACTCCCCCCTTCGATGAAGAGAACTATGTCCGAGAAAGGCCTTCCGTTTCGCCGTTGCCGAAGGAGAATGCAAGCGGCCGAGCAAGCGTGATCATGATCCCGAGAGTGCAAGGGGAAACTGGATACCACTCCATACTAATGCCTACGAGACTCCTCACCGAAGAGCTGCCCGGCGTCGGGGCAGTACCTGCTCTGTCCCGTACCTTGCGAGCCCACTTCACTTCCCCAGCAGACGATCAGCCCGTCCAGGATGAAGCCGAGCACGCCTTCAAATGCGCCGAGGACGCTCCAGCCGATTGCAGCTGCGATCATCCCGACGATGTACGCGTAGTAGCTGCCGTGATGCTTGGAACCGGCGAGCTCCAGCGAGTGGGCGGTACCGGCCCAGCCACCGAATCCTAGAGCCATGCACATCACGAAGCGTGTTGCGTGCAGCAACAACTTCGCCAAGCGGTAGGGAACGAGTTCATGGCCAGACGGTGATGAGAAGGAACGCGGCGTCAAGGTTGTTGTGGGCCTTGAATGCGAGACGAAGGAGAGTTGGCGAAGTCCGTGTGCTGCACGACGAAGATCCATCGAGTGAATCGAGGCGTAAGTAAGCGTGAGCGGGTTCGTGAGCATCACCGCGGAAGTTGGAATAAACTGGTATAAGCAAAGGCTCACGAAAGCAGCAAAGCGGCGAGGTAGGACCATGAGAGGGAGCCGGAGGGCGATCGTCAAGAAAGTCGAAAGGCAGATGGAGCCAAACATGGTGCCAACGGCATGCCAGAAAGATGCTTGAGCAACTTGGCGGCTTGTTGGCTTTGGCGTCGCGTAGCGGTGGAAGTACCATTGACTCACGGTGGCCGCCGTCAACGATCGTTGAATCCCTGCGATGATTGAAGAGGTCCACAGGAAGAAGATGATGTAGAAAGCGCCAAGCCACCAGGTACTGAAATCGATAACCCAAAGGGTGATTTTACCATCACTCCTGTGACCCTCGAGGAATAGCCGGGTGAAAAGGCCTATCCAAATCCATGTCCATAGCACGGTAAACGCAAGAACAGCCATGCCGACAACGACCAGAGCTGAGCATTCCGCAAGTACCCGGCTCGCAAGCTGTAATATGCGAGTTGCCTTATCGATCGATCGCCGTCCTTGGTATACCATGTGGATCCAAAGAACCGCGCAAACGCCTGGAACAAAGGATGTCCAACGCATGGCCTTATCCTGGAAAGTTGTTTCTGACCCCTTGAAGCTTGAAATGAAGGGGTATAGGAAGAACGATGTAAGAATGATGGGCACGCCCAAAGTGATGAGCTGCACCAGCGGTTGAGCAAAGTATGACAAGCATGCTAGCCAAAGCCCTGCCACAATCATGGATACGAGCGTATAGACTGAAAGCAAATGAAATGACGAATGCAGCGTGGAATAGATGGTGTCTCCCAGCGGCAGCTTCTTGCCTGGTGCCGAGGTGTGCAGCCAAACGAGAAATGTCGTCCCCAAGAAGGCGGCGAGGCAAATGAGATACAAATACGACCAAAAACTGTCGTATCGTTCCTCTTGTTCCTCGGGTACGATGGTGACGACGGTTTCGCGGTCTGGGCTTGCTGGCCTTGGATCCTGCAAGAGAGCCTCCTCATCTGTTTCCAGGGGTATCGGCAGCGTGTTGCGTAACGGGTTACGGGGCGGATTGATCCCTTGGGCTCGAGGAATGTGCTGATATGCTGGCGGAGCATCTTGGTCATCGTCTGAGTAGTCGTCGTGGAACTCATCTCCGCTATCCTTCGCCGTCGAGGCCAGTTCTACATCGACAAGTTTGCCCTTCCCCTTGCTGCTTGGGGCACTCGCTTCGGAGCCGCTGGCACTCCGTTCTCGACCTTCGGCTTCTTGAATAGGCTGCACGGTAGGCTCTCGGCCTCTTACTGTCGCCCTGCTCCCCCTCCACGAGCTTCTGATTCCCCTAGCAAACGGAGTTCCATCATCGCCATCTTCACCCCCGTGGCTGTGCTCAGACTTCGATGCGCGCTCGTGGTCGTCCATATCGGAGGAGTCGGTCAAATGGCTCCCCCCAAACTGGCGGCGCGATTTTTGAAGGGCGTAAAAATCGGCGACCTCGCGTTCGTGCTCCAAGCCGTCATCCTCTTCCCGAAAGTCGTCGGTGGCAGAGTAAAAAAGCGGAGCGGGGCCGGAAGTGCGCGAGGCGAAAGGAAAGCGCGAGACCTGCGAGGCGCTGGGCCCATACGGGTTGGGCATGTTGGGACGCTGCAGATAGGACCGTGAGGGCTGGTATCGGGAGGAGGCTTGGTTGGGGCCGCGGTGCCGACTAGGGCGGGATGGATGCTGCGAAGGTTCTCCGTTCTCTTGTCCACCGAGCAGACGCGACTGCGACTGCGCGAGAAAGCGCGAGGCATCTGTTTTGGCGGCGGAGCGCACATGTCAGTCACGCGAACGTGGTTGTGGGCAGGTGAGACAGCTTCGATCACCTGCCTGGCGCAGCGGGCGATAAGGGCTGCCGCGACCTACATTCGGAGAACATGATGTCTTATGCACGGGCAGCTGCTAGTGTGGCGCGGTGCAGCTGGCCGCGGTGGACGTCGGTGGGAAGCAAGCGCGTGGGAGCGCAGAGGGAGGTGCTCGCGGAGGAGAGGCCGGCGAGTCGGTGAGTTCGGGTTGAAGGCGCGGTGGTGGCAGTGGTCGAGCTTCGCTCCGGCTGGCGATCGGCTGCCTCGGGCGGTGACGTCGGGGCCCTGGGCAGATGGAGGTGCGGCGGAGAGGAATGCGATCGTCCTAGGGAGGTGGAGGAGGAGGAGGATTGGGAGGCCGCAGGCGAAGAGTGAGGCTCGCGGCGTCGGAGCCGGGACAGGGCGTGGACGGCGACGGCAGCTGCGGCGGTGCCTGGGGATGCCTGGGCGGTAGGCTGCCGTCGGCGGTGATGGCCGTGGGTGGAGCTCAGCACAGCACAACCCCGACCCTCGCCGAAAACGTCATTCGCTGCCGCACATCCAGTCAGAATCGCAACCGTGAACACTGCAGATATACCAGCCGCCGACGACGGCCCATCAAAGAAGCGCTGCCTTTCCGCCCAGCCCCTGCCGCCTGCCCTTCGCGCCACGACCCGCGCCGCTTTGTCTGTGTCATCACCGCTTTTCAGCCACTTCCGCTCGCCGCAACAGTCAGTCGACCCAGCCTCCAGAGTCATCTGCCGCGCACCACCCGGGCCCATCGCACCTCCGTCTTGACCTCGTCTTGACCGCCGCCGTCGCCTCCTGCGCTCCTCTCTGTCGCCGTCCGACCGCGCTCTCACGCTCCCATCCGCCCTCGGGACCAACGGCCCCAAATGGCGCACCCGGCGCAACCATGGTAGGCTTTTCCGTACTGTTGAGCCGCATGGGGGCAAGTCGGCTCACCACCTCCAAAGGAACTATATTGCGAAGATAGTGTCTCTCGGCGACTCCGGATGCGGCAAATCTAGCGTACGACACCACCTCTCCCTCCTTCGGGTCGCCAAACACGCCTGCTGATTTGAACCGTTTGCTTCGTCTAGCTAACAGTCCGGCTGTGCGAAGGCCGCTTCTCCCCACACCATGACGTGACCATTGGCGTCGAGTTTGGCTCACGCATCATACCCGTTGGCCCTCCCGCCTCGCTCGAGCTCGGAATCAACAATCCCAGTGCGGATGACAGCGCGAAGGATGCCACTGCGCTCACCGAACAGGATCAGAAACACATGAAGCTATCCATCTGGGATACTGCCGGTCAGGAGACATACAAGAGCATCACTCGCAGTTACTTTCGCGGCGCCAGCGGCGCATTGCTGGTCTTTGATATCAGCCGGCGCGCTACGTTTGACAGTGTCACGGAATGGCTTCATGATCTGCGCCAGATAGCCGAGGAGGGAATTGTCGTCATATTGGTGGGCAACAAGGCCGACCTGGCACCCTCTTCGATTGTTGCCTCCTCCAATGACTCGGAACACCCGCACGCCAATGCCGACAATAAGCGCCAAGTCACACGCGAAGAGGCCGAGGAGTGGTGTCGCCAGAACAAAGTCATGCAATATGTTGAGACGTCTGCAAAATCAGGCGAAAACGTTGAGCGAGCCTTTCTGGAAGTCGCTGAACGCATATATCAGAATATCGAAGCTGGAAGATACGACTTGAACGACAGGCGATCGGGTGTTAAGGGGCCAAATGCGGGCGGCGGCAATACCGCCAGGACCGTGAATTTGGGAATGAATGATGTTGCCGCCGCGAAGAGGGGACAGACCGGCGGTGGTTGCTGTTGATATGACTGACGATACGGCACTCTTGGTATGGCAATGGATGGCTCGCCAAGCTGTATGATATGCAGCATACAATGGCGCGAGGCGTTTCGGGTTTCTCTTCTTGGGCTATGCCTTACTTCGGTCCATAATCACTTATTCTCCATTGTTCATATGATTTCGTCTGCATCCAGCTGATAGAGAACATCCGACGCATTGTTAGTAATTCCGTTTGATTAAATAGAGGACATACCAGTATGCATTCTAATTGAGCGAACAGCTTGTGGACTCCATTACCCAACTACTCGTGAATGACAAACTCACATTTGTTTACCGGAGTTCCATACTCTCAAGCAGGTCGTTCTGGGAAGTAACATCCAAGTGTATTCGTGAAACTTTGAAATCAACAACACAGCAGGTCGCAGAATTCTAGTCTTTTCGAATATGTCCGACCGGAATATACTACGTGGATAGGCGAATCTCATACCCGGATATACACGGTAATCAGATACATCTAGACATCTCTACCTAATGTCTTCTTAGAAGGGCTCATGAACTTACGTATACGCCCAGAAGGTTGTTTCTACTGACCCGTAAGAGAGCTTGAACCTTCTATTGTAATACACTATGTCGTCTTCAGCTGCACATGTAAAAAAAAGTTCATAATATTCAAGCTACTATGATTGTTCGACATCACCGAAAAATGCCTTGGCCTTGCGCCTTTCCTTTCCACAGAACCTCTGTCCTTAGTCAATCTTCTGTTCTCCCTTCGCATGCGTCTGCTCATCGCTATCGCCATCGCCATTCTTCTAACCCACGGTAACGCCCTCCGCCTTGACAAATTCGTCGAATTCATCCTTATGGGTCTGGATGAAAAGACGGACCAACTCATCCTCCCCCAAGCTACCTACAACCAGTGTCGTCTTCCCAGAATGCTTGAATCTGCAGCCCTCCCCTCTTTGACAGGATCGAGCCCCTGTATTGCGTGCCACATACTCGACTGGGCATCGGAACTGTTTAGGATACAAGTAGCCGATGTGCGCTGCTTGGATAAGGCTACCGTGCTGGCGATAGTCCGACACTGTACCCGTGAAGTAGTGCGCGTAACTACAATCCTTCGCCTCTTTGTGACATGACACTGGAGCCCATCCGAGATGGCCGAAGAGCCAAAACTGGCAGGTCATGAGAGGAGTTTCACGATGCTTGCGAAGTAGCTTGCCTTGAGAATCATACTGGCTCTCTTAAATGAAAAGATATTACGTAATTATATAATATACTAAGCTAGTTGCCTCTAAGTTAATTATAAAGGGTTAAGTATCTAGCCAAGAGAGTATAGAATGCCACCGAACTGTTACAGCCCACCCGTCGAGTCACCCAGGTGACGTTACGTGTGGCACGTGACCTCTTTACAAGTAGATAGTCCTTCGTTGCGGGCTTATCTCCGCAACCCGTACAACCTCTTGTAACTAAACCAACCCTTTGCTCTTGGAACCGTGGCAGAACATACCCTTACAACTGGGATTTAAGAGCATCAGTGTAGCTGCAAGCGCTAGGCTTGGGGGAGATTGGGTGAGTGCCAACATCTTGGTTATTAGGTCGCTAGAGAGGCATCCACAGTTTTGCGCCCAGTTCTTGTCCTTTTCGTTCGTGCAGTGTCGCGATGCACGCTGGCTGGCTGTAAAGAGGGAGGAGCGGAAACGAACGTAAACGCGGGGCGGAATTTGAATTGGCGGGGCGGCGGGGCACGGCCAGTAGGGTCCTGCTGACGCTCGCCACGCACGGGCCTTGAAAGCGCTAGCTAGCGGCCACCTTTCGAGCAGGCGCCATGACGCCGTCAGGCAGCAGTGCGGGCGACACAGGTACCTAGCGCGGCATCGTGAAGAGATGATGCCATCCGGATGCGGATTCGCAGCAAAGGGAAAATCAGACTTGTCCAGACGTACTCCCAACAGCAAATGAGTGGCCTGCCTGCCTGCACTCCAGCGCTGAGCAGGCCCGTGGATGAAGATAGCGCGTGTCAGAGCAGAGCGCATGCGCTCGAGAAGCTGCCGCTGCAGCTCTCGGCGTGGACCCGCATGTCAAACGCTGGCTTTGCTGCTTCGCGCCCGTGAGCAGTTCGGGCTAGCGCCAGGCCGTCGCGGCGCACCCGCTCTCCTATATCATTGGGCGGTCAACGCGCGGCCATCACTTTCGGCGGCGGGCGGGCGTGCGTCACGTGCAGATACCGGGCGCCGCATCAGCCAGCGAGGAGGCCACCGAACATCCACAAGCTGCTCCACCACCCTGACACTCTCCCTCGCGACCGCACCTCTCCTTCCCCTTTGCGCCTTCGCTCTCCAGCCTCGGTCCGCAACCTTCGCCCAATTCGCGCACCACCTACCCGGTCGCCCGCACCCTCGAAGCTGTTCTGACTTCCCTCCGCAACAATGGCTAACGACGAGTATGATGTGAGCGTCCCCCGCCGTCGTTCCGCACCTCGCGGCGTGATACGGAGCTAACCCGCACTGCCTACAGTTCCTCTTCAAAGGTACCACGCACTCAGAGGTCGGGTCGTGTTTGACGTGCGCTCACCGCTACCCCTCACAGTCGTCCTCATCGGAGATTCGGGCGTTGGTAAATCCAACCTTTTGAGCCGTTTCACGCGCAACGAGTTCAATCTTGACTCCAAGTCCACCATCGGTGTCGAATTCGCCACGCGCTCCATTCAAGTCGATGCCAAGACTATCAAGGCCCAGATTTGGGACACTGCTGGTCAGGAGCGCTACCGCGCCATCACCTCCGCATACTACAGAGGCGCCGTCGGTGCGCTGCTCGTCTACGACATCAGCAAGCACCAGACCTACGAGAACGTCACCAGGTGGTTGAAGGAGCTGAGGGACCATGCCGACTCGAACATTGTCATCATGCTGGTGGGAAACAAGAGCGATCTGCGGCATCTGAGGGCTGTGCCCACCGAGGAGGCCAAGCAATTCGCAAGTATGTGGACTCGGGTTCTCTTGCTTCAAATCCCCGCATACTGACGCGATTAATCGCAGGCGAGAACAACCTTTCCTTCATCGAGACGTCCGCTCTGGACGCCAGCAACGTCGAGCTTGCTTTCCAGAACATCCTTACCGGTACGCAAGTCACTCTCCCATGCGCATGCCGCCTTGTTTCAACCGGGCCTTGTCCTTTGAGCGTTTATCTGGGTACCGTCATTGGGGAAATCTGCTATCAGGCAGCAACAACGCACCCGGGCCGAACCAACCACATAGTCGCTTTCCATACGCCATCTCTGTTTACCTGCGTACACTGTGCTGATAAGTTCAAACGCAGAGATCTACCGCATTGTCTCACAGAAGGCGCTCGACCAGGGCGACTCCGCACAAAACGCCATTGGTGGCGAGCGCAGAGTTATCGAGATCACAAACTCGGCCGAGACCGAGGCGAAGCAGGGCAAGTGCTGCTAGATGGCTCTTCCAATTCTCCTCTTCACTGCATACCTTACATGCTGGATTTTACCGAGGGATCTGGAGGGCGGCTTGGCGTCTCGATGAGTTGAGCGGCTTAGCTTTGGTGTCCCGACTTTCACAGAGGAAGATTGCAGATCTGCGGTATCCTGCGGTTTCTTTTATTAACGTAATATGCTTGGGGGATTCAGGATGAGGATTTCACTTTGCTCTATTATTGCAGATTATAAGCCTTTATGGTCGTATGCTCATGACGCGATGACTACGACCACGAATTCGAATGCGGTATTGGGTTATTTTACATCAAGTGCTTCAAACTCATGCGAGACATGATTCAGTGAAGGCGTGTCTTGCGTCACAATCGATAATTTCAGCCGGACTTCGTTTGGCCGATGTCCCTGAAAGCGTCACCGCTCTTCGAGAGAAGCGCTGCCCCTTTCACGAAAAGAGAAACAACCGTGCCGTTGAATCCACGTATCCTTTTCAAAGACGGAGACTTCCAGTATCTGCAATGTTGATCTTAGTCTTAAGGAGTGCACCGACCGTCGCGGTGCTTCACCGCTTTATGGACTTCAAGCAAAGTTTGTTTTTCAAAAGAAAAAAAAAGCGTTACGGTATATCGCTCGTCACAAGCGTATCATCCTTGCTAGCTGGTCATAATCTCAGGTAGGGTCTATGTAAGTAAAGAGTAGAATGATGATGGAAATAGCGCAGTGGAAGTGTTGTAAAAAAAAAAAAAAGGAAGTAGAAAAAAAAGGGCCAAAAAATACCGCTGGATCTCGAACTGGGACTGGAGAAGAATATGGCTAGCATCTCTCCAGGCAGTTTACAAGGTACCTGGCCGCCAAAAGCCGTATCCAACTAACATAGGGAGGAGGAATCCATAACGTCTCCCTGTAGTGCGACTAAGGGTGGGCCCGGTAATAAACAGACTCTCCAGGGACTGTCTGATTTGGCTAGCCTCAGGATCAAACTCAATGGCCCCTGCCCCATAAGCCGTATGCGATGGTAGTATTTGTCTGTGATAAGTAGACCAAGTATACTCTTGACGTTATTGGCTGGGTTTAGCGGATAGCCTTATTTACTAGAGGGTCTTGATCGTCAGCTCCACGACGAAACGCTTCACCTTTGCGCAGCATCTTTTAGTTGCGCGGCGCATCCGATTGTTCACCGCGGCGGCCCAGGCGCGCTGTTACACGGACGTCGCTCCCTGTCCTACTCGCGACCATTGCCTTTGTTAGCGCGTCTTGAACCCGTACACCCAGAAGAGCGCCTTAGGCCAGTGGCCCTCTCTATCACCTCCCGTCTAACGGCTATCGCGAGGCATCCCGCGATCACAAGCCATGGTGTTTTTCGCCCACCGCAGCACAGTGGGCAACGAAGCGTCGAGCCACCACATGACACAACACCCCCTCACACGCGCAGACATTGGCTTGCTAGGCACAATACCCCGCGCAGCCTTAGTAAGCGGGCGCTCCGACGGCAGAGCGTAGAATCAAACCTGCAGCTGCCTGTGCGATTCAACAGAAGGGTTTCGTTTATGGCCCGTGTAACATCCTTCTCTTTTTCACGCAACCTTATTGGAGGCGTCGTTCAGGGCACTGGTACATGCAAACTATTGGGTGCTGGGATATTGTGCTTCGTTCTTAGGACGCGCATCCAAAGCTCGACACCTGTCGCAACCGCGTCAGCACATCCCAGCTCTGCAAGTGGAGAGGCAGACTTGTTACTTACTGTCTGCGTCTCATCTGGAAGGACGAGGCGCAGTCCCACACGGTTGTCGTTAATGATACGGTATGGCATGGTGGTGGAGGATGGGTTATGGACGAGGGATGAGATGAGGTTTGAGTTTCGCAGGCATCGTGTGGGACTAGCGGCGGAGCTCTGCGGCAAGCTACCGAAGCCGACTCCATGATACGGTAGGGCTGAAGCTTCAATGCCGATCCCCGCCTTTGATGTTTTGCGAGCCGAACAAGCGAGCAGGAATCTTTTCATTTAACGATATCCACAAATCGTAGGGCTCCCGCATCGTTCCCGAGATTCTGCGCGTTGGGGCCACTTTCTCGGGGCGGACTCCCCCGCAGGTTTTTGACTTTCTTCCGGGACCTGCGCTCTTCATGGTTTTCGCAATGTATTTCGATATTGCCAAGGCATGGTTGAGTCTCGTCGACAGCTCATGCTTGCAATATTCCCCCCCGCAGCAGCTTTTTGTGGAGAGCATACTTGCCTGTACATGGCATGCCACTCATCAGCCGCCGGGGTTTGCAGGTGGGCCGGGGATAAGCGGGAGTGGTCCGTGCAGAACCCGCTGAAAACTTCCTGGCTTGGAGCTGTAACCACGGCACCGACACCAACACACGTCTGCACTAAAATGGTGTTATCGAGAAATCTGAGCCGCTCGCTGCGCGCGCGAGAAGAGGAGTCGGACGACGAGCCGTACTCGGACGAGCTCGAAGGCAGCTCGCCCTCTGTGCTAGCAACCGGCGATGGTGGAGAGATTGAAAGTTCAGGATCTGAGCCCGATGCTGACCAGGATGAGGACGTGGACGACGCTGAGGTATGCGCCCGGGATTCCGCTCCAGTCGCGTTGCCAAAACACTGATCTTCTTCTCGGATCGCAGTCAACCAACGGCGAGGACGTCCAAGCACAACTAAGCAAAGTTTCGTTCGGCGCGCTGGCAAAAGCCCAGGATTCCCTCTCGAAGCACAAAGACACCGGCAGGAAGCGAAAGCGAGGCTCGGATCAGACGGCGGATCAGGAAGACAAATTGCAGGCTCTGCGCGAGCGCTTGAGGGAGCTGAAGAAGTCCAAAGCGGGGGACGCCAACACCAAGAAACCTTCCAGGAAGGTTGAGGAACCAGAGTCCGACGACGACACCGAATCATCCAATTCAGACCAGGAGGATTCTGGCAAGAAGTCCAAATCCCGCTCCTCTAAGCATGCACCCGCGGTCATGACCAGCAAGAAGCCAGTTAGTCGCAAGAGAGAAGTCCTTGCGTCCAAGAAACGTACCGCCCGCGACCCACGTTTCGAGGCGCTTTCCGGTTCCCTCGATAGCAATCAGCTCAAACACAACTACGCCTTCCTCGATCAGTACCGTGACTCCGAGATGGCCGAATTGAAGGCATCAATTAAGAAGACGAAGAACGAGGAGGATAAGAACATTTTGAAGCGAAAGCTGTTGAGCATGGAGAGCCAGAAAAAGGCCAAGGATTCCAAGGAGCGACACGAAAAGGTTGTCCGAGAGCATAAGAAGCAGGAGAGGGACGCAGTGAAGCAGGGGAAGACGCCTTACTTCTTAAAGAAGTGTAAGTTGTTCAACCCGGCATTATATCCTCCATCCCCGCTTTACACCCCAGACAGCCTACTGACATGTCCATGCCACAGCCGAGGTCAAACAACGTGCTCTTGTGGACCAGTTCTCCAACATGAAGGGCAAACAGAGAGAAAGGCTCATCGAGAGGAGGCGCAAGAAGGCTACCGCCAAGGAGAGGAAGAATATGCCCGACGCGAGAAGGACGGCAGAGTGATGATAGACATTGCAATTGGATCCCACGCTCGGTGCGGGCGAGCCATTCGCGCTCCAAACAAATGGCAGGGCCATTTCCGGCGCTCTTTGTTAGAGCCACTCATGTGCATGGCGCCTATCGATTACCTTTATCGAAGACTCATATCCTTATTAAGCAAAGGATTATCTTCAAATCAAAAAGATGAGAAGAGAGAAATCTGCCTGACCTGGTGGATAAGCTTGTTGCTGGTCCGGGTTTATTCAAATGGTCGTCATAGGATCCTCGGAGAAGCCATTATGGTAAGGAATGCTGGCTGCGGGAATCAGCCTGATATTACTAAAGTGGACATACGATCTAGACCGTTGTTGGCGCTTTTTGCTGGGCTGCAGCTTTTGGAATGAATATTCTTCCTTTATGCCTATTCAGGAAAAGACCTTGTTCCTCTGGTCACTCCAATTTCCGCCTGTCTTTGAGCCGTGCCCAGCCGTGGCACCCGTCGTAAACCTTGGCAATAGCACTACTTATAAACACATAGCGTATATGTGAGATGCGCCATTCTCAGTGTACGGCTCCCACTCAGACGAGGCACAGTTCCACCTCTGCATACGTTAACAATACATTCAGAACCACTAGCAAATATATGGGGGCGTGAGTAGTTCAGTGACGGAGTATGCGGGTTTTACCATGTGTTACTGGAACGCAGTCTGAGCTGAACCAGACCACATCACAGACGCCATTAGCGACACCAGCCCTTTGAGAGGTAGAGCAGTGGCACTATTTGTGGCTTGTGTTCTACATCCAGGCTCTCTTGGCTGATGTGTATGGACCCCGCCTGCTGATTCCTTTGTTGCCTTATTCTCCCTCTCATATTGTTGCATCGCTTCCACCTCGTTGCATCTGATCAAGAGTCTCCAGACATCTTTGCGACATTTCCGTCTCGACAGACAAGATGCTTCAAGCCAAGCGACTGCCCAGCGCGGTGGTCTGTGGACTCGCTCTTCTAAGCACATGCGTCTCTGCCCAGAGCAGCAGCTCTGCCATAGCTACCCAGTCAGCCTCGTCGACAACCAGCTCAGCCGCCACGACTCACACCGTCCTCGTGGGAAAAGCAGACCACAAGTTCGAACCGGACGTTACCCAAGCTCTTGCCGGCGATTTCATCAAATTCCAGTTTTACCCCAACAACCATTCCGTCGTTCGTGCCGAGTATGGGTACCCGTGTATCCCTTATGAGATGACTGGTGTGGGGAAGACTGGCTTTTACTCTGGCTTTAACCCGGTAGATGTGATACTAGATGACGTGAGTATCTCTCGCTGAGCTGTATGACCTCGATACTGACATGTCCTCCAGCCGCCATCCTACACGGTCCAAATCAACGACACTGACCCAATCTTCTTTTATTGCTCCGCACCTGGTTCATGCATCAACTACGAGATGGTTGGGGTCATCAACCCAGTGAGCCCACACGAGAAATCTAGACACTGAAGGATGCTGACTTTTATAGAACAAATCCACATCGTTAGAAGTCCAGAAACAAAAGGCTGGAGCCAGTTCTTTCTCGTTAAGCCCCGGCGAAAAATTCCCCGATGAAGCGGCTTCATCGTCAGTTCTGTCGGGGGTAGCCTCGGCTACAGCGACTTCGAAGGCGACGGGGACAGCAGCGGCTGGTGGCCACTCAAGCAGCCTATCTGGAGGAGCCATCGCCGGCATTGTCATCGGCATCATTGCGGTGGTTGCTATAATGGCTGCTTTGTTCTTCTTCGTCGGCCGCAACAAGTCGCTGAAAGAAAACGGGGGGCGTCAATCTGCGCCGATGAGTCCTCACGCCGCCGCCGGCAGCCCGCCCATGTTTCAGTCGCCAGTTGGCATGTTCCCGCAAAGCAACCCCTACTTTCAGCGGGCCGACATGGGATCGATGAACACCGGCCCGCCGTCGTACTCGCCGGCGGGCGACGACTACGGCACCGGGCAATCTGGGGGTCACCCGCGCTCGTACTTCACCGAGGTGGGCATGTATCCTCACCACACCGGCGTGGTTTCAGACGGGTTCGTACAGCTTTCGCCGAGTCCAAACGCTTATTTCGCGAGACTGATGCAAGGACGCAGCATATCGAGATCGTCCAACGCAGGCAGCCCACCGCCGCCAGGCTCGGCTCCACCTCCACCCCCACCCCTGCCGTCCCCGGGCCCCAAAAAGCCGCATGTGCATGAGATGGAGGGCTAGAGGCGCGATGGCGTAAGCGAACGAGCCCGGTGCGGCGACAGGAACATGGCGTTCGGCGTTGGACAGGCGCATGGTTGTGTTGATATTGATGATGCTGTGCAGCTTGTTATGTTATTCCGTAGTGCGAACGGCGGGCCAATAGATACACCCTTTTTGTCGAGCGGCTGCAAGTTCATGCACCTGCAGAAGTGCGTGCGGGCACCTGGCTGAAGCGGGGGGGCCTAAGATAGCGCGCTGGAGAGAGGCCCAGCTAGCGTCGGCAAACACCCCGAGGCAGCGCAGCCATGCCATCAAGGTCTCGAGCATGACGGCGTGCGGGAAAGTGGCCAGATTCCAGAAGCGCAGAGGTTTGTTGATGACGGGCCGTTTCTCAGTCGCCAGGCAGCCCTACTAGTACCATGGAAGCCGGCCCGGCACATCGAGGCCGCCGCGCACACTGGCTGATCCTCGTCACGCAGCCGGTGCCGCGATCCGTGATGAAATGACAGCCAATTGTCGCCCCTCGTGGATACTTGGCAGCCACCCGCACGTCTGCGTGCATCCACAGTCGAGATAAATAACGGCGTGCAGCCCTCCCGCAGGCCAGCTTCCTCTCGTTCTGGCCCGGCGGTGCTCTTCCTGCTCGTTGCTCGCTCGCTGGTCTCGCCCGCCTCGCGCCACCGACCGCTGAGCTGCCCGCGGAGAGCGCAGGGAAGAACATGCGTCCAGGGCGACGGCCGGCTACCCACTCCTGCTGCAAAAACTTCGTGAGCGCCTGACGATGGCCATGTTGCACTCTCCCTCGCCAACCTTCTCCGCCTCCAACTCGCCGAGCGCGCCCTTCCACACCCCGTCGCGGCCGTACAATGCCTCGTGCCGCTCGTCCACCTCCAGCGCTGCCTCTCCGCGCGTCTTCACCCCTGCAGCTGCCGCGGCGCCTCCTTCGTCGCGGCGCATAGATGCCTCCCCATCGCTGGTACCCACAACCTCCGCCTCCGTCCAGCGCGCCCGCTCCCCGATACCCAAGCGGCAAACCTCTGATGCCGCAACCCAGTACACACCCAACGACTACCCGCCTACCTTCCGCCCAACCCAGGGCAAGAGGCAGTCCAGCGCCAGCGCCGACCCACCACACCAGAGCCCGAGGGCTGCGAAGCGGAGGGAGACCTTCGCCGACACAGAAGCAGCCACCACGGAAGGCCCTCAGGAGCCGCAGCCGCGGGTGACGCCGCAGCCTGCCACTGTCGCGAGCGCCGGCCAGCCCGACGGAGAGGGGCAGGCGGAGCAGCAAGATGGCGCCGCTGCGCCGCCGTCGCAGCCGCTGCATCCCGGCACCAAGGTGATGCCCGTCAGGTACGAGGCGTGCGATGTCAAAGACCTGGGCGCTCTGATCTCCGACATGCTCATGGAGCTGTTGCGGCTGAATGACGCCCTCCCGCTGCAGGACGGCCAGCTGACGCGCTTCCACTCCCGGTACGTACCGCCCTGCCCTGCCCGCAGCCCAGGGGAGCTCCATAGCCCACGCGCCGGGTTGTGGGGCGTCCATGTGAGCTGCGGCACGCGCATTCGGGGACCTGTCAACCACGATCCTAACCCAGCCTTAGTGCACCGCCGAGCATCTCCGTCCGCGACTACCTCAACCGACTCATTGCACATGCGACCCTCTCGCCACCAATTCTCCTTTCCATGGTCTATTACATCGACCGCCTCTGCCTCCTCTATCCCGCTTTCACAATCAGCAGCCTTACCGTGCATCGCTTCCTCATCGCTGCCGCCACCGTCGCCTCCAAGGGCCTCAGCGACAGCTTCTGGACGAACAACACCTATGCAAGAGTAGGAGGTGTCAGCACAAGAGAACTGGCCCTGCTCGAGCTGGAGTTTCTCACGCGCCTGCAATGGCGGATCGTGCCAAAACCCGAGGTTCTGGTCGACTACTACAGGAGCTTGGTGGAGCGGGGCGACGGCTACGTGATGGCGCACGATCCAGACGCCGAGGAGGAGTGATTTTTTTTCTTTAGGAGAGCAGGCTGCGTTCCGAGCTCCCATGAACACGGTCGCACGGGCGGTTGCTTCTGGTGATGGTCTGCTTGGATTGGATTGGACAGGGCTATCCAGGACACCTACGAAACTGCGTGGCTTCGGATGTGGTGTTATCCCGGAGGGGGATCTCAGCTGGACGTGGCACAGGAAACCGAGGCGAGCGGACCGGAGCAAGGGAAGAACGGAGCATATCGAAAGTCGGCGTTGGGGGACAGCATTGCATTGCATTGCATAGCGGATACCACCAAGGGTGTTATGCAGGATTTGCAGCCAGCGCTTTTGCCTGGCTTTTCTTCATGGCTTTTCTAGAATGGAGGACCAGAATATCTCGTCTATGGAAGCTTCCGAGCACCTCTATCAAGGCTGACAGCACGCGAGAAGGCATGGGTGGCTTTGGGCTGCCAATTGGCCCGGATGCCGCGTGCCGTGACTATCAACCTTCTTGATTGAACGGGGTCAGCTGCAAGCTGCTCTCGATCGGAACGTAGCGAGCAGCCTAAGCCGAGTCACGGTGGTCTTGCTCTCGTCATGGTGATAGGAAGCGGAGCACTTGCGAAAGAACTGGGGCGGCGGGTGCTGCGCTGGCCCAATGGGACTCGAGCGCCCGCACCCCCGGCAGCCTCGCTGGGCCGCCAGCAGCCTTACGAGGTATCGAATCGCCATGCTCACGACCGGGGAGGCCACCTACGACAAGCACCCTCGCGCCGCCGTCTTCGACGTGCCATTTCTGCAGGATGGGCGCAGTCGCATGGCGCGGCCCCGGCCTGCTGCATCAGCTTCGCTATCGAAGATCCGCCCAGCGCCGGCAGAGAATGAAGTACCTGCCGTCGCCCAGCCGCCCAGCTCATGTACCCGGCTCTGCGACGGCCTGCTCCCTCCTCTCCCGCCTCTCCCGCCCCTCGAGACCGCCCTGCAGACCTGCGCATCACGCTGCATGTCCAGCCACAGGCCGGTTCGTTGCCTTGGTCCACCCAGGGTCGCCGCGCAAACGCCCGCCGGCAGCAGCACCGCAGGCGCATTGATACCCCATATGCACGCATAGCCGCCGCATGTCTCAAGAGCCTGGCGAACAGTGAAATGAACGTGAGTCTACGTGGTCGCGGCAGCTCGGTTCCTACCGCGGCCTCCATTGCGAGCTCTCGAGATCTCCTGCATACATAGCTTGAAGCTAAGCCACGCGACTTTGATAGTCACACGAGCTCCCGCCCGCTGCGCCCTTCCCGTGAAAACAGAAAAAAAGAAAACATGGCCACGGCGTTGACAGGCGACAGCCTTTCGCGGCTGTCGTCGCTCAATGCGTCGAGCCTTGACGAGCGTTTCTATGGCGAGCGGTGGAGACCTCAGTATTCAGCGTCGCCGGAGCCGCAATGGGCAGTTTCACCTTCATACACACCAGTAGGTACCCAGCGCCCAGGGCCAACTGACCCCAATCCTGCTCTTTTCGGGCCGGCCCTTTTCCTCCCACCCCCCGCTAAAGTAGAGCCCGTTTCTCACCGTCTGCGCCAGGTGCGGAAAGCTTCCAGAGCACTCACCACAACCCCACACACCGCCCCGCTCGCGCACCGTCCACGCGCCCAACGTCACGTCTCCGATCCGGTCCAGCCCTTGATGGTCGACGACGAGTGGGCGCTGGACATGCCCATCCGTCACCGCAAAGCAAGCTCCCCCGAGTACCAGCTGAAGAAGCCCGCCTCGCCTGTCCAGCGCCGTCGTGGAAGCTCGGTGCTCGAAGAGTCGCGCCCGGCCGCCGGCCGACAATGGCCGCCCCGCGGGTACACGGTCGAGTCCATGCTGGACCAGGCCCAGGCGGACGAGTTCATATCCACCGGCGCGAGCATATTCAAGGGCCGCGTCGAGGACGCCCCCGGAGCGCCCGCAGGCTACTACCGCTTCTTTGCGATAATGGAGGGGGATGACGCGGAGCGCAACGATCGCGCGCGGTATCAGCACGACGCGTACAAGGACATCACCCTGTCGCAAACAACGTCGTCCGATGGCCCGTACCCGTGGCTCGCTCTGGAGCAGCCGTGCATGGCGTACGCCTTCGGCTGGATGCCTGGAACCACGACACTCAACTACAAGGTCAGCCTGTCGGGAAGCTTGAAGCCCAAGCTCAAGTATGGGGGTGGCGCGATCCAGCCGCGCAAGATCAAGCTAGGCCACATCTTAGATCGTTTGCGTAGTTTGAACAAGGGATTTCCGGACAATGTTCGTTTCCCTCCGGCTCTTTTCACTTTGGGGAGGGATCGGTGGCTTTATATTGACGCAATTGGCATAGGACCCTGACGAACTCCACCACGATTTGTACCGCGTCCTTCTCGAAGACCCGGATCCCGACGGAAATACCGGGCTCGAGCAGCAGATGGTCGCCCTGTTCACAGTCCTCATCAACCCAGATTGGATTGATTTCAGCCAGGCGAAAAATCACGTGGTTGCCAAGTTCTTCGACAGCAAGGACAGCGCCAGAAAAACAAAGTTCTTCCACCAACTCCTACTCGCCGTGGAATTGTACCTGCGGGTGCACCATGACATGCACCTGGCCCAAGCCAAGAGAACCTTGATCGCCGCGCTGCCACCCAAGGTGTTGTGGGACCTCGCATTAGCTGAGCGTTGGCTAGCCAACATGTCGATCAAGAAGTCACGTACATCATCAAATGAGAGCGTATTCAGCTTCCAACTCGGGAACAAGCAGAGGCAGAAGGAGGCATTGCGGCTCTTTGCGAAGATGCTGAAGTGGCCGAACATGCAAGAGCTCGACTTCGTCCTCGAAGAGAAGGACCGCTACGAGGTTCCGCTTGAGGACCGTTCGGCAGACGCCATGTCTTGGTTTGCCGGCGTGATTCTGCCGGGCCCAACCTTGCCATGGCTCCTCATGAACTCTCTGATAGATTGCGACAAGGAGACCGGTCCGTTGCTGAAATACCTCACACATGTTGCGCCGGCTTCGGGCTTCCAGTACAGGGCTAACACATATTGGTCTTACAAATGCATCGTGGGGAAAGTTCTCGGCGCGTCAAGAGGTGTCAAACAGGTAACCGGCTGGGTTGGCCCTTGCTACTACAGCCCGGATCTGAAGCGCACGGAATGCGTCAAGATCAACCAGATAGCGACTCCAAAGATCCGGCTAACGGCTTCGGATGTGGAGTCTGTGAAGGTGCGGACGGATCCGCTTGGTCCGGAAGAGGACGAATATCCGCTCGGCGATTACGACTTGGTGATGCCCGAGATGGAGGACATCACGGACGACATTCGGGTACAGAAGTTGAGCTTCTACCCTGTCAAGGAGCAGCCGATGCTCAAGCATGGAGGGGAGGGAGCGCCATTGCTCTTTGATGCGGCAATCATGTTTGCCTGTGGTGGGGATAGTTGGCCGATGCGGCTGGCTTACGACGTCGACTTTGTCGCCGCGTATCCCTGCCACCAGGGCCCGCATGGTAAGTTCATAAGCATCTGTTGTCTTTGGTGTCGACAAACGGTCTGACTTTTTGTGTATAGTGCTCTTCTTCGACTACAAGTTCAAGGCCATCCGGGTTGACGATGGCCTCGTCGACATCACGGAATGGGGTCAAGGGCCCGGGCTGTCACATTCAGATTCTTCGCCAATGTCTTCCAGGAATAACTCCAGGGTCACGCTTGCCTCGACGCAGGACCCGGTATCCACGCATCTGGACTGCGTGCTCGTCATCGAAGCGCTTGGCGTTAGCGACAACGAAGTGTTTGCCCGTTCGTGGTGCGCGCAGACGGGTCATCATGCCATCGTCGCGAACATCAAGAAGACGTGCATGGCCTGCGCAATCAGAGAGGCATATGCGGCTTGCATCAGCGTCGTGATCCTGACGGAGGGGGGGAGGGTTACGGAAAAGGACGAAGACTAGAGGGGTTCGGGTCACGCGTAGCACGCGCTTGGGCGGGAATTTCTGCATGAGTCGATGAACGATACCAGAACTGCTAGATAACGAGGGTAATGACCGGGCATAGCATGACGGGAGGCGGCGGTCTGGATTCGTCAATTTGGGCGCGTGTGGTGTATGAATTTCGGCATTTTGGGTCTTTCGAGGCATGGGACGGATAGCGGGCGTTACACAAATCAACTTGACTCCGTGATGACGAGAGTGCCGGCGATATTCTTCACGCTTCGTGACATTGGTCTGTTGGCAGCAGGGTGATGAAAGGCGGCGGGGAGCTTGACGCGCTCGGCCCTCCGAGCATCAACGTCACGCCCGTCTGAAGCAAGAGCAGTGCGGCCAACCTTCGACTCGAGCACGCCTCACAACTCGCGCGCCGCCGTACATCGCACCGCTCACGAAACGGAACGACCACAGGGCCTCCGGCTTGCACTCGGCTATTTCTCGATCGTTCGATGGCATAATATTCTTTCCGCCCACATCACCGCTGAGGCCGCACCGTCACTCCTCCGTTCCGCTGTCCGCTGTCCGGCCTCCGCCCTCCGCAACCTTCAGCCTCGAGCCTGATCCCCGCCATCGCCTTCGCATCCGAGCCGCCCCCCGGCAGCCGCCGCCCGGAACAACCACGTTCTCGAATTTCGTCGACGACCACCACGCTGCGAGAATGACGCGCGCACCCTCGCCCCCGGCCTTGGGGGAGCTTCGCAGCCCCAGCTCGCCCGCCGCCCAGGTCAGCGCTCTCAAGCAACTCAAGAATTTTATCGTGGGACATGACCAGAGGAAGGAGCTTGTCGTCCGCAGAGGCATAATACCAGAGCTCGCGCGCGTGCTGCAGGCAAACGTCAAGGCGGCGGGCAAGCGGCGGCAGCGCCACCTCAATGGGGGAGGGGGAGGAGCTTCCACCTCAGCGCCCGCCGCGGAAGGCGCCGAGAGCTGGACGCAGGAAGACGAGGAGCGCTTGCAGGCCACGCTGATCGTGGGCAGTTTGGCTGTCGGTACGTCAATTGCTTGTCGCTGGACCTACGAGGCCTTTTTTGTTGCGTTTTGGACAGCCACGCTCACGGCCGTTGTATTGAATTATAGGTGGACCACCTTTCGTTGCACCAATCCTCGCCGGAGACCTCCTCCAACCCCTCCTCGCCGCCCTGTCCCCGAGCGACGCTCCGCCGAAGCTTGTGATAGCTACCTTGCGCACCCTCATTTCTCTGGCCTCTGCCACCGGCTCCGTCCTCTTCCCCAATACCTACCGGGAGCGGATAGCGCACGAAATATACCAGAAGCCCGATGGGGACTCGTTGACTGAGATCCTGGCGCAGCGGTCGGCCATGCGTACGGTGCAGGAGCAGATCGGTCTGACTGCCGAGTTGATCTCGAAGACCTGCCGGAAGGATGACCATCGCAATTTCTTGGTCAAGTCCGGGGCCCTGGACCTGCTCTCTTCGCACTTCGCGGCCCACGTTTCGGCGTCGTCGCTGGTGTCCCCAGTTGTGGAGGTCTCCGCCATAGCATCGTTCCCGCCGGCGCCGTCGAAATCGAACTTTCTCCACATAGTTTCGGCAATTTCGAGTATCATTGCGGAGTCTAGCTACAGGACGGCCCGATTTTTGTACTCGCAACCCGTTGTCGCCATTTTCCCTACGGCCAAGCAGATTTCTGCCTTTGAGAAGTACGGGTTCATGATCCAACCGCGATCGAGTGATTTCTACAATACGCAGAACATTGCTCCTTACGAGTATATTTTGCCTCAATTGCAGGTGGCACAGACCAAGGAAAGCAGCTTCTCGAAGGCATTCCCTGCCCTTGGATCCCTCACCGCTCCTGGAGACGGAACAAGGATATCGAGCTTCGCTGATCCGAACGCGCACTCCGCGAAGCATGTCACAGGGCAAGAATATGAGACAGCGATATACGCGTGGTGCATCCGCATGGCCAGAGAGCACCTTGACGATGACAGGCTCGTCTTTGTCGAGCTGCTTGCGGAACTGGTCAAGTTCGCGGAGACCAATCCCATTGATAACCGGTCTGAATACGCCAAGGAGGGGCAACGCCGTCTGTTGGCTGTTCTCATTGTCCCGTTGCTAGCGAAAATGGCCGACGAGGGCGACGGCGGCCGCTCGGAGCGCTCCACAAAAGCCATGAGGCTGATGGCAGCGCTGCTGGAATACGACCCGATTCTGCAGAATGCTGCTGCGGACTCGGGCATAATCAGGAAAGTCTGCCAGGTTCTTAAGAAGTCGTTCGATGTCGTTGTTGGTGAGCAGTCGAAAGCCTGGTCTCCCATTCCGTCATCACCGGACGAGATGGACAGCCTGGACGGCATAGAAAGAGCGGACGTTCTTGGCAGCCCCGGCATACCGCAAGAGGTACACATCCTGCTGAAGAGTCGGGAGTGTTCGCTGCTCGCGCTTGCAGCTATCGCGCACAAGGAAGACCCTCACCGGAAGACTATCATCGAGAGCGGCGCTGTGGCCTGCATTGCGGATTCCCTCATCCCGTACAAACGCGAGGACGAGGAGATGGCACGGGGTCCCATCTTGACCGGCGCTAAGGATGGGAATCCCGTACCTGTTCTCATTGCTGCCTGCAATGCGGCCAGGGCTATGTCGAGATCCGTCAGCGTGCTGAGAACAAGCATGATGGACTATGGTATTGCGAAGCCGATATATGGCCTTCTCAAGCACCCAGTCATCGACGTGCAGATTGCAACGACAGATGTCTTATGCAACCTGCTCTTGCAATTCTCGCCGATGAGAGAAGTATGTCTGATCTTTTGATGAGAAAATTCTTCGCTGACACACCATTCAGGACTTAATCGAGGCAGGTGTCGTCAAGACTCTCTGCGAGCATGCACATTCGGCAGATTCACGGATACGCTTGATTTCACTGTGGGCTCTGAAGCATCTTGTCTTACAGGCAGACAACGAGATCAAGATACAGTGCCTGGAAGAGCTTGGTACAGGCTGGCTAATCAACACCGTCAGCGGAGAAGCTCGGCAGGTGCAGATGCCTGCCAAGGGACATCTCCAGCACTCGAGACCAGCCACTCCTTCGCTCAGCATGGGAACTCCCAATGCTGCGGGCGAACAGGTCGACCTACTAAATGCCGTTGATGAGCCAAGCATGGATATTGACAACGATACCGGAGCCTCTGGGGATGAGGACGACGTCATGGCAGACAGCATTGGGCTTCTGCGGAACCGCAGCGCCAACTCGAACAGCACAGCCGCTAAGAACAGGGCGAAGCTGCGGGCAATCAAAGACGCAGAGACCAACCCCATCATCCGCGCCCAGAAGGAAGATCTGCGGACTCAAGAGCAGGCGCTTGACTTCATCCGCAACCTGATAATGACGGACGCCGGCTCTAGCCCTGGCGACATGATCGACCACGTCTTACAGACCTTCGGACGAGACCGCTTCTTCGAGATCCTGACCGCGAAACTGCGGCCTCGCTCGGCGGGCACCACTCCCTTCTCGTCGAGCCAACACTCGAGCGCCTACCAACAACACACATCGGAATCCTCCTCTCCCAACCCCCCAGGCGCCACGACCACCGCTCCCGCTCCCGGCACCACCCGCAGCGCATCAGGCGGCGGCGGCGGCGGAGGAAGCACGTCGGCGCCGTCGGACCTGGCGCACCTGGCGCCGCCGGAGATATTGCTGGCGACGGCCTTCATCGTGGTGCACGTGGCCAACGGCAAGCCGTCGCACCGGCAGCTGGTGATTGCGCAGGCAGGGCTGATGCGCGAGCTGCTGCCGCTCTTCGCGCACCCGGACCGCCGCATCCGCGTGGCGTGCGTGTGGCTCGTCAACAACCTCACGTGGATCGAGGACGCGTCGGACCACGGCGCGGCGCGGCAGCGGGCGCTGGAGCTGAGGGGGCTGGGCGTCGAGGAGCGGGTGAGGCTGTGTCTGAGCGATGCGGAGCTGGACGTCAGGGAGAGGGCGAAGACGGCGGTGGAGCAGGTGGGGAAGCTGATTGAGGGGTTGGGGCATGGTGGTGGGACTACTAGTGGGACTACTGGTGGGAGCGGGGGTGGAACGCCTGGCGCTGGTGGGAGCGGCGCCTCGTCCTCTGGTGCTGCTTCCGGTGGTGGTGGTGCTGGTGCTGGCAGCGCGGCGTTCATGGCCGGGTTGGGGGCGACGTCGGCGGCTGGTGGCGGCGGCGGCGGTGGTGGTAGTGGAGGGCATAGCGCGTGGAGTCATGAGAGGTAAAAAACGGTATTCATTTCTTTTTCTGTCTTTTTTTTCTTCTCCCTTTTACCTTTCGTTTGGAAAAAGTAGCGACGGAGGTGGTGAGTGGCGCATACTGGGCTGAGGGGGAAGCAGGTGCAAAGAACGAAACTAGCATTGTTGTTGTCGTTTCTGTTGTATCATCCGCATGCGTCATACGATTTTTTGATGTGGGAGTGCAGTGAAGGATGGGAAGAGGCCTGGATCGATATGCGAGGCAGGGAAAACGATTCTCTTGTCTCTCCTTCTATCTTTCTTTCTTTCTTTTTTTCTCTTCCTCCTCCCCTCTCGAGCATCGAGGAGTAGCTGTCGGTGTCGGTGTCGTTGTCGTCGTCGTTTAGCGGAGAACGAGGGCTTGATCGATTGGCGGATAAGGGGAAGGGTAAGGAAGGTGTCTTTCTTTTCTTCTCTCTCTTTTTTTCGGATGGATGGGCGTGGGTAATGGCGTAATGAACCGCGCGTGTTTTGGGAAAGATGAGCGGCGTTCTCTTTTCTCTGTTCTTTTTGCGCTCCTAAATTTGTGTAGGATGAAGGTCGAGACAAGACACGAATGGAGATGGAAAGTTTGACTGAAGTGCATCGGGTCTTTAGCTGGGAGGTGTGATTCACAGACATTGGTTTCATGTCCACATACCACACATCAACAGTGGACTCGTGTTTGCAGTGGAATACCATTAAGAGAAGGTTTCATTGCATGGCCTTTTTGTCCTTGTGAACTGACACGAATGGTTGATAATCTTGATATAATTTTTTCTAGCAAATGCAACTCCCATGATCTGAGAGAGACACCTTGAGAAATCGAGGTAGCTCACAACATCCGTTGTGGTCTAGGGGCTAGGATTTGCCGCTCTCAGTCCTTCGAGAGTCATCTCACTTACAAGTGCCGGCAAGGCCCGGGTTCGATTCCCGGCGACGGAATTCCTCTTTTTGCTGCTCGTTACGACAAATCTATGCCGTCCTGGGTGTGGTGTTGGTGTGCGGATTTTTTTTCGGCCAGGCTTGTAGGTGGGGCGGACGCTGGCGCGAGTGGGGAACGGCATTTGATTGGACGGGGATGAGTAGTGTAGATAAGCGATTTTTTTTGGGCATTTGCAGCGCCTCTTGATGTGGAAGAACAGCTGCTAAAGCCTTGAGAAGAAAGCTGTGAAGAAAAGGGGCGGATGGGAGGCGGATCGCGGAAGCCGGGCGAGTACCGCAGTAGGCTTTGCTCGTTAAGTGGTACTGGCAAACTTGCAGTGGGGTTATCATGGACAGATAGAACGAAGAGCCACGCTGCTGCGGTAAACATCTTCGCAGGTCGAGCTGTGGTCAAAAATGCAAGAGCAAGGGAGCCCAGGGCGGCGAAGATTCGTGTGCGATCACGGATATGGGTTCTTTATATTTGAGGTTGAGAAATCATATTGTGTAATCATGCATGCTCGAAGTGTACTTTGCGCAGAAAGCAGGGATCAAAAAAAATAAAGGCATGTCAAACAAAAGAAAAGAAACACAAAAGGCCTGTATCCGAAACGTCCTTTTTGCCTCCGCATTTCTGACTTCAACATCTGCATATCCGAGTAAGCTTCCCAAAACATACGCCATGCCTAGTGCCTCTATCCAATCAGTGTTTTAGAGTTTTGTGATGCCCACCCCGACGGATTGGAATTGTGGAAAAGAACGCGAAACAAAAGAACAAACCAGAAAGCACGAAGAAATCAGATACAGGTCATAACGATATAAATATGCCGACCCATTTCCGCTAATCTTTCGAATTCACAGAACCCTTCCAATCATCCTGCAGCCGCATCTCTGTTAAATGCAGAGAAGGTGGTGCTTCGCGGAGCTCCCCTTCTATATTGGGGTTTGACAGCTGTGAGATGAGGACATGACGTATGAAAGAGAAGGTGAAGAAGGCGCGAACGTAGTCGGTACAGTATCTGAGTCAGAAGTGTGGAGGTTCATGGCTGAATGGACGGGCGATGTCAGGGGCCACAGCGGTGACCAGAAAAAAAAACTGAAACGCTGTAGGACTGAGATTGAGGAAGAGCATGAAAATGAGGGCGCCGTGGGATGCGCCTTCCGCTTTGTTGAGCGGGCTTGCGTTCAGGGGGATCCGTAGGGCAGTTGCAATGCACCAAGCGGATGGAAAGCAGAAAGCACAGCCGAGATGACTGTTTCCATATGCTTACCGGGGTGGTCACGCCAGCCCTTGACCCCGCACTGCCGCAATCATTTCCCAGTTCCCAGCCTGCTCCGTCGCATGCCACAGTGTCGGTACGCTTTCTGCAAAGTTGAGTCGTCGAGCTCGTGCAGTGGGCAATATGACTCCCTCAGCTGGGCGCTTGCGAGTGGGTGCGATTGGAATTAATACGCCCGGGCTTAGGGCTGATGGACGTGTCGTATGGGCAAAAACAGCACGCCTCGCATACGCGCTGCATGCACCGTCACGGACGTGGCCGCGTCTCAATCGCACGCCGACCGCTGGGGCGCCCGTATGCGACCGCCTGCAGCCCAAGCCGTCGGGCGTCGCACAGCAAGCGGGCTCTGCATCCGCCCGTGAATGACGAAGCCGAGCAGAGCCTCTTTCTGTTTGGACTCTGATGCTGCCGGATGACCGAGGAAACAAGTCGGTCGCTGAAGAGAGCGTGTCGTCACGCCCCTCGATCCATCCATCGCCGTATCACTTCCATCCATCTTTCCGCGGCCCACACCATTCGCCCCAATGCAGCCGAAAATTCGATCCAAGGGACGCCCCGATCGGGTCACGGTCGCCCAGAAACGGTCCGCCGCGTCAAGTAAGTCGACAAGGAGTCGTGCACGCGTTGCGCAACCATCGTTGGTTCTGCGCGCCCCACCACCCCCTCAGATCGCATAGTCAGAGGGCAACCTTCCACTGATTCCTGAGTCAGGCTATCAGACCGTGGCAAGAGAGCAATGGCCCGACTTCTTCAGTGCCGGAAAAGTAACGCCCGCCGTCTGGGCCCCTTCGGCCTCGTCGCTGGCTGCTAACCGACTCTAGATCTTCCGCATCAAGATATCCGATGGGACACTTCGTGTCTATGTCATCGTCGAGCCCGGAGAGCGGTCTTCCACGTGCCTGTAGGCTTCTCTCGTCTGCTTCGAATGCAGGATGCCGTAGCTGAGCTGTGCCGCAGGATGATCAAGACTTACTCCGGCCAGGCAACGACTCGGCCTGATGTTCGGGACAGACAGAATGAGCACGCCGTCATCTATACCATGGCACAGCCGCCAAAGCCCCTTCGCGGAGAAGACAAACTCCGTCGGCCTATTGGTGCGAGAGCGGAGAGACAGGCACAACCCTTTTCGACAAAGACACGCCTCAACTACGGGCAGGAGTGTGATGTGCCACATACGGAGCCTGTGTGTCCGCTGGGACAAGTCCTTGAGCGCGATCTTTCTACCCTCGTGGCCGACTATCTCAAGGTTCAAAGGCTCAAAGAACGCAGAGTCATCTCCCTCGCATCCCTACCAAGCTTCACGCCGCCGGCGAGCCTATCGCACGATGACTCGACGGGCGCCATGGCAAACGGCCCCCAGATCAACTTGTTGCCGGGCCCTGAGGGAGAAGCAGACAATGCCCTACAATTATTGGACCAGCACGATGGCACCCCTGAAGCCCTCGACTGCCCTTCCGCAGGTGAAACTGACCAGAATGGCACCACCCAGAACATCGGCCAACTGGAGGAACCATGTGACGCAGTCGACATCATCGACAGCCTTCCTTTCGACAATTTGAAGCTGGATGATCCGGAGGGACAGGCCGAGCCAGCCGAACGACATGGGCCTCCCCTCTCGGAATCGAACGGGAATGAGGGAGATTCTGGACTTCACATCTTGCCCTTGGAGGATCCCGCTGATACTCAACAAGAAGAGATTTCAGTAATCAATGGAGTTGACATCGCCGAAATCCCTACCATTATTGTGGAGGGCCCTGCTGAGCCTCGACAGCAAGGCAGTCCGGTAACCAACGAAACCGAGCTCGCTGAAACCGAATTTCCGGCCATCAGAGAAGACCCCGACGTTCCTATCATCGAGGACAGACATCCCCTTGACTCTGGGGCTGATCTTTGTCTGGACGATGGGCGCATTTCCACTTCGGATATTCCCGGCACGGAAGACACTGATGGTGCTGTAAGCCACCATCATGGGTCTTCGAGCTCGTCACCGGGTACCTGCGAAGGGGATGGCAACCTTGACGAGCCCGTCGAGCAGATTGACTCTACTCAGGGTGAAGCAGGAAAAGTTACCGATTGCACATATCGTATTCTGGATGAGGCTGAAGACCCCGAGCCTCCAGAGCCCTCAGAGCAAACATCGTTACAAAATCCTCTAAACTATGGACCAGACCCAGAGCCTTTGGATACAGGTCCTGAGACTGCCGTCGAATCCCCATACAGCATCGAACCCCAGCCAACTCCGTCAGTCTCCTTTGATTGGTGGGGTGATTGGTTCCAGCTCGCTCCTTATGAGATCAAAGCAAGTGTGTGCAGTTATGACACGACGCCAGAATGCTGTGGCTCCACTCATACCACTACCACCGAGGATAAATCGGAGAGATCATTATCACCTGAGGTAGCCGACCTCAACGAATCACCCGGACTTACAGCTTCACACCATACATCCGCGACGGGCTTGGATACAAACGCAGCAAGTGAGACTTGCGAGGAGACGCACGAAAATGAGCCTACAGTATGTGGCGATCTGCCTCCAACGGCATCTCAGGACACGAGTGCAGAGTTACCTTTGCCGGCGAGCAACGAACAGTGTCTGAACGCGCTCAACCCTGTTGAGTCGTCGCCCATAGCACCTCAACCATCACTTCCATCAGCTCCAATCTCGCCTTTATCAACAGCATCACACTCAATCTTAAACTTACCGCCATCCCCGGCCCCGTCTCCGAAATTGTCTCCTATCCCAACACCTCCACGATCATGCCCCCCCGAGCCCGATCCGGTGCCCCCACGTCGACGCACGCAACGTGTTAGATTCCAGGAAGACGAACAAGGTAGCTACACTCCACAATCCAGGCAGAGCTCCCCTCGGCGACAGCCAAGGTACCCATTTCCGCCTCCGCAACAGTACTACGCTCCCGCACAACCCGCCTTTGCCATGCCGGGGACTTTCTCCGACGCACCGGGGCCATCGATGCACGGCGGCTACTGGTCAAGTCACGGCATATACCAACAAGCGCCGCCGTTCTATCCAGCAGCGCCTCATCCAGCCTACCTCGCCCACCAAGGGCCCACGCCCAACTCGTACGCATCAAATTCGTACCACTCGACATACTCGACCCGCTGCGACCACTATCGTCAGCAGCAGCATCAGCAGCAGCAGCAGCAGAAGCAGCAGCACGACCACCACCTTGCAGTCGAGCAGCATCGCCCAGCAAGTCCAGGGCCGAGCGAAGTGACCGACTCGTCCTCATCCTCGGCTGCCGAATTGGAGAAGGGAGTCTACTTCTACAGCGCCGGCGGCGGCGGCGGCCGTCGCGGGGACAAAAAGACGCTGCTCTACGCCCTCCTCGACGTGAGCGCCGACTGCAACTTCATTCGACTCGACCAAGCGCTAGAAGCGGGGCTCGAGCTACGGCCGTGCACGCACCTCAGCTTCTGGGCAGGCGAGGGATCGTCGGTGGTGGTGCGGCCAAAGTACATTGCCAGCGGCGCCCGGTGGCGCTTTGTCGATAACAGGGGTGGTGGCGGTGGTGGTGCTATCATCTGGACGGACGAGTTCGTCGTGCTCGAACACATGCCCCGCCACGATGTCATCTTTGGCAAGCAGATCATCGTCAAGCGCGCCTCTTTGCTGTCGGACGAGACGTTGTGCGTGCTGGGACTGGAGGCGTTGACGCCGACGAAAGGTGAGTTGGGGATTTTACTCTTTGCCTTCTCCCCCTTCTCTCTCTCTCTCTCTCTCTCTCTCTCTCTCTCTCTCTCTCTCTTTTGCAAGAGAAAGATCAATGTACATGATGCTGGTGTCTGACTCATTCAACAGAGGAACGGAAAATAAAAGAAGACGAGGAAAGACGAAAACGGCTAAGCAACCAAGAAAGAATCAAGCAACAACATCTAGAGACTCGTCAACAAATCATAGAAAAGAGGCAGAGGAAGAAACTCATGCAGCCGAGGCCGGAATCGAACAAGGAGCCGGAAGACGACGAATGGTATGACTGTGACGAAGATTCGAGTGTTGTTGCTACGGTGGGGAGCCGGCCATGAATTGTTTGCAGCTTTTTGTTTTCCCATTCTCCGTTCGCTTTCTATTTTTTTTTGGCACGCCGCGGAGTGGGAAGCAGATAGAGGAATTACTGAAGATGGGGAATAAGGAACGTGCAAAATTCTATATTTGTTGCATACCTGTGATGGTTCTCCCTAGTATGTACATTTCATTTTACCTTTCCTGGGGGGTAGACATGCTTCATCCCCGTCCATTCAAACAGTTACATGACCTCACTCATGGGAATAAGAACCACATTAATCATATGCATGGCCAAATTTGTCGCAACACGGTCCGAAAAGGCACCAAGCACCTTTCAAATCAAAGGATCGCCTGTCCGTTTACATGGCTGCTCACACCCCCTAGCGTCTCATTAGAAGGACAAGACAATCGGGTCTGCGAGGGTGAATGACTTACCACGGCAGTTGGCCGGAGCGCTGGAGAAGAAGAAGAACCATTTGTTGTGCTCTCTGCACTTCTGTGCCAGCTTCTCCAAGTCCAGCATCTCTGCGATCGGCATGCCCCACAAGGCCAGAAGGTACTCGTGAAGGTAGTGCGCTGTGAATCTGCCAGTCAGCTTTTTTTGCCCTGCAACCACGAACCGGGGAGGGAAAAAGCCCGACCTTCGTGCGACGGCCAGGCCTCGAATGCGGGAGCGTCTCCGCCAGCGGTGGCAAAGTAGCAATCGTGCAGCCAGTCGATCATCCTCTCCTCCTGGCTCAGCCCCGCCCACCGCTGGCCGTCGTTGATGCCGAACTCGTGGGGACGCACGGCGAGAGCGTTGCGCTCGTCGGGGGACTTTGCGTTGTAGGCCTCGGTCCAGCCGCTGCGGATGAAGAGCATATCGCCGATCTTGATGTCCCCGCCCTGGGCCGCAGGGCGGATGTCGATCCCTTGGTCTTTGCCGCATTGGTAGAGTTCCTGCGGTTCTCGGTCAGTTGTGAGAGGCAGTGGAGGGGGGGCGCCGGGTGGTAAAAGACCTCGAAGCTGATTGGATAGTGGTCGTACGGGTCGTACGCGATGCCCTTCTTCGTTGCGTAGCCTCGGTAGTCGAGGAGGACGCCGCGGCCGGCGATGCCGTGTTCGGCCCAATGGTGGATGCTGCACTTGTGGCTCGCGCTGGTGCCACTGGGAGTGACGATGTCGGTACCTTTGGTCTGCTGATGGTGAGTTCATGTACCCGAAAAAGATGGAGTGGCAGCTTACGTTGTTGTAGAAGGTGCCTGTCTCCAGCCAGGAGAACTGCACGCGGTAAGTAGATGGACGGGGAAGAAATATACTAGCGACATACGTGGCGGAAGCCATCCCATTGTGTTCCGGATTGGGTGTTCAGTGAGTAGACATCGTCGTAGGCGACGTTCTCGGTGAGGGTCTTGATCTCATGCTTGAACTGCTGGCGATGGAAGGCTGGGACTTCGGGAACATCCAGAGGCAGGCTGGTTTCCGAGGTCAGCTCGTGTGTACTTGGCCGCGCCCGGAATTAAACCCTCACTTCACCGGAACGATCTCGCCGGTCTGGATTTCCCTCGAAGCAGCGGCCACGCGGGCTGGCGTAAGGAGATTCAGCCGACCAATCTGTCGACGGCGAGTTAGCAGGGTAAAAGCGGAAAAGCCCGGGTAGCCCCATCGGGCGGACTAACAAAGTCATTCTCTCCCCACACCCACGCAGCATCCTTGGGGGCGCCCTCGATCGTTGGCAGCTCGTTTCTCGTGGGAAACCTGGTCGAGTTCGGGTCGAAGGGAATGGTAGTGGCGGTTTTGTTCATGGTGAGGAAGTCCTTGATCTGGGTCAGTCGCTGTCCGGCCGAGCTCTGCTGGTTCGCCATGATGGAAGACGTGTTTCGGAGAGTCTGGAGAAGTGCGGAGAAGCGCTGCGACCCATCGTTATTAATATGGCGTCCTCGCGAGGCGCGCTCGATTCTCCATTGGGCAGGCTCCCCGCATGTGGAGTAGGAGCCGCGGGAAAGACCAAGCGGGTGGAGCTACACAGGAAAGCAATGTCCGAGGTAAGTCAATGTTGGACGTAAGTGTTGCGGCATGCCGGGAGAGAGATGCGGGGGAGACGCCAGACGTCATCGCGCTTCTCTAGGTCCGTCCGTGCCCCTCACTGGCGCCTGGCTATCACCACAGTGCAACAACCAAAGCCTCCGCCGAAGCCGAAAACACACCCGCCTCCGCCCACCATGTTCAAGAAGAAGCCGAACGTGCGCCAATGCCCAGGCCGTGCCCCCGCTGCTTCCAGCTAAATCCGCCCAGATCAAGCCGCTCGCGCCCATCAAAAACTCGGAGCGCCGCAAGCTCGCCGACCAGATCATCGCGGACCTGGGCCTCCAAGTGCCGCCGCCGCCCGCAGATGTCGACCCCGCCGACAAGGCCGCCGCCACCGCCGGCCTGACAAACCTGCGCAACGCCCTGCTACCCGACGGCTCGCTGTCGGCCCGCTTCACCACCACCGCCGGGCCCGACCTGAGGAAAGTCTCGGGCACCGTCTACGTCGGCGCCCCGGCCGGCACCCAGGACAACCGCGTGCTGTGGATCCGGCTGGACGAGAAGATGCATCCGACCGTCTACACCCTCTGGCGCAACCCGGGCATCGTGCCGCTGCTGCACACGCCCGGCTTCGTCGTCGAGAAGATCCAGGGCGGCGCCGACCTGATGACGCCTGGCCTGCAGAACGGCCCGCCCTTCCCCCAGAACGCGAAGAAGGGCGCCGTCGTGGCCGTCGCGAGCCTGGAGAATCCAACCGTGCCCGTCGCCGTGGGCGTGTGCGAGATCGACGTCAGCGCGCTGCAGCAGGTGCAGGGTCTTAGGGGTCATGCCGTGAGGTCGGTACATTGGGCGGGCGACGAGATATGGGCGTGGAGCAGCACATCCGGGAAAGAAGGCGGAGCACCGCCGGAGCATTTGGAGGGGTGGTACGGCGAGAATGCCGAGGTCGAGGTGGTGGCAGACCAACTGGAAGGCACCGATCTGAAGGACGTTGAAGATGGTGGCGTGCAGCTGGATCCCGAGGTACCAGCCGAAGGTGCCGATGGTGAGGTTGTTTCCAAGGAAGAGAAGTTCGAGTATGCGGAGGACCAGGAGTTGACCACCAAAGGTAGCCCAGCCCTCTACCAGTGGCTGGCAGAACAGAAACTAATGCTGCTCAGAGATCGACGAGGCGTTCAAGAAGGCATTCATCTACGGAGTCCACCACCACATGGAGACCAACAGGAACGAGTCGAACTACGGCCTTTCCTTCCCGCTTTCTCAATCCTCCGTCATGGCTACCCTCGTCCAACCATTCCTCCCTGCCTTCACACCTAAGCAAACAGCCTCTCTCCAAATAAAGAAGACATCCTTCAAAAACATCAAGAAATTCATCAAGTCCCTGGACAAGGCACGACTGATCAAATCCAAAGATCGAGACGGGAACGAGGTCGTCATCCTCGACATCGACTTCAGCGACCAAACCTTCAAGGACTTCAAGCCCTACCGCCTCCCCAAGAAGGACACGGCGGGCGGCAGCAGCGCCGGCCGGGGCACCACGGCCACGGCGACGGCCGGCCCCAGCGGCGAGGACGCGTCGATCGGGCAGAAGCTCAAGAAGGTGGAGCTCTTCCGGCCGAAGGAGAAGCTGGCGCCGCTCTTCGCGGCCGCCGGCGCGGACGCGCGGGGCCTCTTCACGGCCGCCGAGCTGCGGCCCGTCGTCACGGCGTACATCGAGGCGGAGAAGCTCGTCGCGCCCACCAACAAGCGCATGGTCACGCTCAACCCGGTCCTGGCCAACGCCGTCTTCGACGGCTCCGCGCGCTCCGACAAGGAGGTCCTGGCCAAGGGCGCGGCGCCGCGCGACGCCCTCGTCGACCGCGTGCTCGCGTCGTGCGCGCCTTTTTACGCCATCACGCGCAACGACGAGGCCGTCGCCGCGTCGGGTGCGAAGCCGAAGGCTGGGGCTGCGCCCAAGGTCAACATCACGCTGGAGACGCGCAGTGGCAACAAGACGGTGACCAAGACGAGCGGCGTCGAGCCGTACTTTATCAACCCCCAGGCGCTGGCCGACGAGCTGCGCAAGGCATGCGCGAGCAGCACGAGCGTCGAGCAGAAGGTCGGCAGCTCGCCCAAGAACCCCGTCATGGAGGTCATGGTGCAGGGGCCGCAGAAGGACGCGGTGCTGAAGGCGCTGGAGAAGCGGGGAGTGCCGAAGGCGTGGGTGGAGATTGTGGATAAGACGAAGAAGAAGAAATGATGGTAAGGTAGGTAGTAGAAATAATTTCGGCTAAATTTCATGGCATCGATGAAATAGATAAAATGAGATGACAAGCAAGCATGAATGCATGACCAGTCATGAAATCGTCGTGCTTTAGACGATGTAGCTGGTTGAACACATCTCACTTTTCAAAATAGAACATGGGGGACGATCAAGTGTCTGCAGACCTTTGGCGACTACTGCCGCCATCTTTGCTTGCTTTTTCCTTCAAAACTAACAACATTACAATGCAAGATACTCGTGGCCCGCCGTTCGTGACAAAAACGACGTGAGGGGGAAGAGGGTACGTGCGTCGAAGCACAAAAAAAAGAACAGCTCGAAACCACCACCATAACCAACCCCACCAGAAAAGAAAGAAACCGTCCCTCAGGATACGGAGACCCCAATGTCGGACCTCTTTCCTCCTTCCTTCTTGCCCCCGAAACAGAAGATGTGGAAGATAATACATGCATAAAAGATGCAGAAAAGATTCGTGACAACCGTGATCAGCGTAAACAACACGCTCTCCCCGTCGTCAACCAAGACTACTACCTCCCCTCGCCACGCACCCGTACGAAAGAACAGGCTGCGGAAAATTTTCACATCTCATCCTTCCACAGCCGATTCAGACCGCTGCTACCTCCGCCGCCACCACCACCGCCATCACTCCCGTCACCGTCATTGAGTCCGTCGTTGTGTTTGTTTTTGTTGTTGTTGTTGTTCCTCCTTCCATTATCTTGTCGTTGTCGGTCATCGGGGGCCGCTTCGGTGCCGTCGTTGACTTTCCCCCCTTCCGCCGACACCGCCCCTGGCGGAGGCGGAGGCGGCGGCGGCGGAGGCGGAGGCGGTAACGGCGCCCCACCACCGCGCGCCGGGCCCATGACCGATGCCGACAAAGCTCCACTGCTCGCGCCGGCGGTAACAACTGCGTCGGCGCTGTCGCCGGAGCCCCTGTGCATCTCTTGCCTCTTCGGGCCGCCGTGACCGCCATTGCTGGCGGCGGCGCCGCTGTCGGTGCCGAGCTCCAGGAATTGCTGGAATGGGTAGCCCTCGTGTGGCGGCGATTGCGATGCTCTTTGCGTCTTTTCGCGTCCGTTGTATGCGTCGCCGGGGGCGATTGAATCGACCGAGGGCGTGGCGGCGGCGGTAGCGGCAGCGGAATCCAGCAACAGTGTCTCTTGGGGCATCGGCAGCATCAGCAGCGTCGGCGGCGGCGGCAACAGCAGCAACAATGGCGACGGCGACGACAATTCTGCACCATCCCCCCTCCCTTGTTCCTTTTCTTCTTCTCCTCCTTCCCTTTCCTTTCTGGTGATTTCTTCAACAACGGACGTGATGGTGGCGGAGGCGACGGAGGCGACGGAGGCGGCGGCGGCGGCGGCAGGCACGACGGGCAGCGTGACGGGGCGCGTCCGGCGCGGCGGCGGCGTCGCGTCTTTTACGCGACGGGCTGGACCTCGGGCTGGGCCTTGGGCTGCACCGGCTGCTCGTGCATGGCCAGCAGCAGCGGCGACATCAGCAGCGTCAGGAAGAAGCCGAGAAGGGCCAGCGGGACCAGGATGCCCGAACGGAAGGGCGACTTGTTTTGGGCGGCGGCGGCCTTGGTCGTGGTGGTGGAGGAGGACATGGTCGGCGTAGGTGGGTGGGAAGGGTGGTGTTGGGGTTGGGGTTGGTGTTGGTGTTGTTAGTGTGGTTGGTGAGAGGCGCGGGGCGGGCAGGGCGTGGATGAGATCAAGTTGGACGAGGAGCGCAGAGGCTATGAGCAGAAGGGTGGCAGCAGCGGTGGGAGGAGAAGAAGTGGAGCGGGGACGCGGTGGCATTTGAATGGTTTAATTGTGGAGATTATGTGAGCACTTCACTGGAGAAGGCGGTGGGCGCCCGGTGAGGGTCTTGTGGCTACTCGTTCAAGATTATGATATGCAGGATGCACGCCCGGGATGTTGGCGTGCTTGTGCTCTGGGCTGCCGGTGTTCTCGAGAATTCAGGGGTGGGCTCCATGTCCCAACGGGCTAGGAGCATGGGCTGCTAGTTATACCAGTGGCTGCCAAAGATTGAGCTGGCGCTGCAGGGCTTTGGCTGGAATGCGCGCGCGGAACGGATACGTGTATATTAGACGCGTTTTAGTGCGCGGAAGAGGGAGCTGGGCCCTGCGGGGGTTGGCGCCGGCGCGCGGCGAGGGATGCAGGCATCGGCGCTTGTACGAATTTGCTGGTGATGTGGAGAAGGGCGCCGTTGTCCCTTGCGTTTTGCGGTCGTGCAGCCAGCACGGTCCGCCCTGGTGCGCCTGGGCAGGCGCGCACCTTGCTGCAACGAGGACGGCAGCGGATGTCGGGAAATTGTACCGACATCCTGCCCAATCACGCCCGCCTTCTGGAATGCGCCCACACCCCCGTGCGCTGATCTGCCGCGAGAAGGCGACTTTAAGGACGCCGCCCAAGCTTCATTGACGCCCGTGCGGCCCTGCGTCACGCGGCTGCAGCGTCGGAGAACTCTGTCTTCGCCGCACCTGTCAGCACACGCCCGCCGACAGACCTCCATTCGCACACAACCCCCCGTCCGAGCTCCTGTCACGCGCCTGCAGCTGCGCGCCGCCCAAGAGATGCTGTCGCTCCCTCTAATTGTCCCGCACGACGTACGACGCGCCCCCGTCGCACTCTCTCACGCCGCCAGCGCTAACAGGACTTCACGCATAGGACCACTCGATATGGCACTACGCATCGCCTCATCTGCGACCTAATCCCCCCTCGCCGACCAATGCCTCGACTCCGAACCAGCCGCCTGATGGCCTCAACGGCGCCGCGCAACACCAACTGCATCGTCGAAACAACCAGGGCCCGCGCTCCTCTGCGCTGGCCGCCCTGCTGCACGATGAGAACATCATCGAGCAGCGCAAGCTGAACGTGCGCCGCTTCGGTGCCGGCTGGATCCGCCCGCCGGGCATCGCCAAAACATACCAGGCTGCCATGGACGAGGCGGCCGAACGCGAGGAGCAGGAAATGCTGGCGAGGCGAGAGGCCGCCATGATGGAGCTGGCCAACGCGCAGGAGCAGGAAGAGGAGGAAGCAAGGCGGAGGGAAATGATCGAAAGGGGGTTGGCTGACGAGAGAGGAGAAGGCGGCGAAGGCGGCGACGACGAGGGCGACGCCGATCTGGATGCTGACGTGCCAGACTTGGACGCCGACATTCCGGAGGGCAGTCTGGGTAGCGAGGAAGAGGATGACGAAGATGACGATGACGACGAAGAGGATGATGACGATGAGAACATCGAAGACGAAGACGATGAAGAGGAGGCAGTGACTGAAGAAGAAGTGACCGGTGATGTGACGCAAGATGTTACCTTCAACGAGGAAAGCATGTATGGAGACGCCAGCCTACTCGGAGAGGAGCACAACGAGGACGTGGAAAACGCGCAGCGATGGGTTGCACGGGAAGAGGCAGAAATGGCCGGAGACCTTCAGGACGAACGTGACCTGGACGACGATGTTCCGGAAGCTGGCGAATATGAGCATACGGATACGGAGATCGAAGACATAACTGAGGAGGACTTGCACAACAGCAGCTTCAACGCAAGCACTCGTAGCACTCGTAGCACTCGATTAAGATCGAGCAGACGGGGGGTTGGTGTGCCGGCCGGCTTCGAGAATGCTGGTTTAATCCGCAGTGGTGCGGGAGGAGCGCGCCAGGCCACGGGTGTGCCCGCCTTCAATATAAACCGCCGAGCACTGCGGGCTAGCTTCCACAGCGATGGTCCGAGCTCTCTATTGGGAGACGAGTCATCGTTCCTCGAAAGCAGTCCGAACGCGGGCCGTGGGCTTGGACGGGGCTCACCCTCCTGGATGCAGCCTCCGCCGCGGCCGAATTGGCGGAGGGGCCCTCGGTAGTCCATTGTGCCTGAAGCATCACGGTCTGCACTTTCAGCGAGGCGTTGGGGCGCATGTTTACGAAGGCATGAGTGTGTGCTACCTATTACAAAGACTATTCTAGATTAAATAAGATTAGATGAGCTGCGCCTGTCCTGCATGCTCTGAAAGTTCTTTTCATAATAGAATACGTTCCCCAACGCCATGCTTTTGTAGAAGGTGGCCACCACCATACAGACCATAGCCATATGCGTCCCGTAAGCCATGCACATCAACAAGAGTATCCACAGCGATGTCCAACCACCCTAGACCATCCAACCATCGTCCCTATGCGTTTTAGAACAGCCAGACATACCAAAATAGGAGGATGACAGCGGCGAAGAAGGCCACCCAGACCTTCCAGCCAACGCCAGTGCGCTCGGCCATGCGGAGCATGCGGTTCATCGTACCACGGAGGCGCACCCGGGTGTTATCGAACGAGTCGTTCATCTTCTCGGCGAGCGCGGTCGAATCGCGGATTTCGTCGCCGATGGCTGTTGTGATCTGCGTTGAGCCCAGGCGTTAGCGGCCAGCTACCACCACATGAACCCACGTCCACACATGCTGTCTGTTGCCCCCCAGGACGTAGCGACTTACGTCTTTCAGCATCCGAACCTTGGCGCTCATGCCGCTCAGCTCCTCATCGTTCTGGCTCTCCAGCTCGCTCAGCACGGCATCGCTGTACTGGCCGCGCGTATTGGGCGTTGCGCTCCGATAGCTGCTCTGACTCGGGGGGTTCGAGTTCGAGCCGCCCGGATAGGCCGAAAAGGCGGGGCCTGCGCTACTGGCAGCCGGGAAGCCGTAGCCGGCGCCAGCGGGCGACCTGCTCGCGGGGCGCGAGTGCGGCGACGGCGAGGCCTTGCGCTGGTCGTAGGGAGAGAAAAGCTGGGAACGGGCGTCGCGCTGGTGGAGATTCGAGCTAAACCTGCGGGATTTACAGAAAGGGTCAGCAGAGAGCGTCAGGGGTGTTGGGCGGACAGACGCACCTTGAAGACATTGTGGAGAGGGGTGGTGGAGCCGGTGAAAGGAGTCGAAGGGTGGAAGCTGGATGTTGAAGCGGCAACGATCTGTCTGGGGAAAGTTTGTGCGGCGGGCGCCAGCGACCGCGAGCGCAGCGGCCAGTCGCGGCGGCTGTCGACGGCTGTGGGATCAGCAGAACACGTGATGGCGTGTGACGTGAATGGCGGCCGAACGGGAACGCTTGTGGCTGGTCCGTCCTGCCAACTCAATGTCTCCACCGCGGGCCCACCACCGCGCGTTGCACCGTGAGACTCTCTGCGCGCAAGGTCCTTTACGAACGCACCGACACCAACAACCCCTCTGTGCTGCTCTCCGGGCGATAAATATGTGTGCGCTGCCGCAGTGAGCTCGATTTAGCAGAACTTCATGAGCAGCGTTTCGAGGCTAGGCCTGGGTCTCAGGCTGCAGCCGTCGAGCTTCGGCTGCGTTGCTGCAGTCCCGCAGCGATGCATCTCCTACACGCCCAAGGCACGCGTCAAATCCACTCTCGAGGCCGGCGAGAACAAGTCCGGCCACATCAATCAAGACCTGAACCAGGCCGTCCTCTTCTTTGACCGTAAGTCGCCTTTATCTACCGGCCACTAGCGCCCAGTCCTGCAGCGCGGTTGGAGCGTTGGACTTCTCGTTCCAGACGTGGTGAGCTCCAAAGGCTAACGCCGTCCAGATGTGTTTCCCCTCAAGCTGCAATGGCTGCTCCGGTTTCCCTTCTCCACCGAGAAGCAGTTCCCCGAGTTGATGAAGCGCCTGAAGAGCCCAACCGTCGCCGCTGCTGACCCTGTTATGGTTTTGAAGAACTCTCCGATCCTGAGCAAAGCCAAGATCACCGTCGAAGAGGTGCTGCCCCGCCTCAAGGAGGGTGGTGCTTTCGTGAAGATTAGACATGACCCGTCCGTCAACCCGACGAGCATCGAGACTGAGATTCGGGACCACCTGAAGAAAACTCAGATCAAGCCATGGTGGAATCCCTTCCAGCGCATGCGCGCAAGGCTTGTTCGCGGTCGCCCGTGGGTCGAGGACCTGTATCGCCTGCCCAGTCAACGCTTGATGGTCGAGTTTCTGCCCGCAGAGGTCGGCACCGAACCTGCCGAGCTGTCCCCAGAGCAGCTCTACAGCATCTTCAGACCCTACGGAAAACTCAAGGACATCGTCATCCAACCGCCGGACTCGAAGATTGTTCCCAAATTTGCATACCTGGATTTCACGCTAGCCCGTCGTGCCATTATGGCCAAGAACTGTCTGCATGGCGTCAAGATCCCCGAAGCTGAAGGGGGTGGGAAGGCCGGGACGTTACTACGTCTCACGTACGAGGCCAAGGGCAAGGGCCACTGGTTCCGTGACTGGATTCTCGGGCATCCGAGAATCGTTATTCCTGCGGTGATTGCCATCCTCGGTACCATCACCGTCACCGTCTTTGATCCCATTCGAACATTCTTCATCAAAGCTCACGTGAATCGGTCCTTCAGCTTCGAGGACAACAAAATCTACAACTGGTTCAGATCCCAGGCTACAGACATCCTGTCGTTCCGTCGCAAACATGAAGAGGACGCGGGCATGGAAGCCATTTGGGACGATCGAAAGCCCAACATTGAACAGCTGCAGACGTGGTTGATGGAATCTACCGACACTTTCATCATAGTGCAAGGCCCACGCGGATCTGGAAAGAAAGAACTCGTCTTGGATCAGGCGCTCAAGGGCAGGAAGCACAAACTAATCATCGATTGCAAGCCAATCCAGGAGGCCCGCAGTGACAGCTCGACCATCAACGCCGCGGCTGCCGAGGTTGGATATCGGCCTGTGTTCTCTTGGATGAACAGCGTCAGTGGCATGATCGATCTCGCGGCGCAGGGCGCAGCTGGCGTCAAGACTGGTTTCTCAGAAACGCTCGACGGCCAGCTCAGTAAAATTCTCAACAACACGGCGACAGCTTTGAAGCAGATTGCGCTACATCATCGCGAAAACAGCGACAAGGATGCAACCCTCAGCGATGATGACTGGCTCGAGGTGCACCCGGAGAAACGACCCGTCGTCGTCGTGGACAACTACCTTCACAAGAGCCAGGATGACACTCTCGTTTACGACAAGATTGCAGATTGGGCTGCTGGTCTGACGACCGCCAATGTCGCTCACGTGATCTTCTTGACCCACGATGTGTCGTTCTCAAAGTCGTTGAGCAAGGCCCTCCCGGACCGTGTGTTCAGGCTTATCTCGCTCAGTGATTGCTCGCCTGAAGTTGCGAAGCGCTTTGTCATCAAACATCTCGATGCAGACGATGATGAGGCCAGGGGCCACCACTTCAAGAAAGACAAGGACGAGGAATGGGAGAAGTTGACGCCGTCTCAACGCCGTAAAGACATTGCCGAGCTGGATGACTGCATCGGTGCTCTTGGTGGTCGTCTCACCGATTTGGAATTCCTGGCGAGACGGATCAAGACTGGCGAGAGCCCGAGAAATGCGGTTCAGCAAATCATCGAGCAGTCTGCGTCCGAGATCCTCAAGATGTTCCTCGTCGGTCAAGACAGCGGTGAACGGAAATGGACGCCCGAGCAAGCCTGGCTTTTGATCAAGCAGCTTGCTGCGCAGGAGACGCTGCGCTACAACGGCATCCTGCTAGCAGACACTTTCAAATCGGGCGGCGAACGCGTCCTCCAGGCTCTGGAACAGGCCGAGCTCATCACCATTGTTTCGAGCAACGGACGGCCGCACAGCATCAAGCCCGGAAAACCCGTTTATCAGTCCGCCTTCAAGATGCTCACAGCAGACCACGTTCTGAAGGCCAAGCTGGATCTTTCAATCCTGGCGGAGCAGACCAAGGTCGAGACTGCGAGCATCGACAAGTACGAGGCCGAGCTGAAGCTGTTGGGAACGCTCCCAAAGCAGCCATGGGAGCTTGGATCTAGAATTAAGTGGCTGTTGACCAAAGTGCAAACCAGCCAAGCAAAAGTGGAGAAGTACGAGATGGAGAGCGCAGAGTTGAAGAAGATACTGCAACGTGATTTCTGAGAAATCAATGCCTGAGAAACAACAAGGACGGTGGGGAGAGAAAGAAACCCGTCACGACACGAACGACACATCCGCATCACTGTACACTCATACGACTTTTTCTCATGACCCGGCCACACTACCCCGACCTCCACTGTTGGGAGAGCGAAACGAAACGAAATGTCAACCTCACGAACGCGGAACTGTCACTCGCCAACAAGATTACGAGGGAAAAAAAGCTCTCTTGCATACTTACCGATTGGAGTTCCTCGCATAAATTTTTCATGGGCTTGAGCCTCTTACTCTCCACGGAAACTCTCCGGCTCTTCTTTTCTCCACGAATGGATCGAGATGGATTGAGACTTGTTGACGGACTCTCCTGACTCTCCCGTCCTTGTGTCGGGATTGAGTTGGATCGAGACCGGCTTCAATTGACTCTCCGTCTCTCCCCAGGATTGAAAAAAGGATCGAGGCGGATTGAGGCCGTGGATTCGACGTTGGAGGCTCATCGAAGAATGCTGATGCGGGGTCGACTCATTGGTTGGTGACGGGCTTGAGAGGCTGAGGTGTATGGTTGCTGGGGCATGGCTGGGGTGATGGTGAGAGGTTGGGCTTACGGAATGTATTTAATTCGAAGTGCCCGTACGGCACGTGTATGATGGTAGGAACAACGACTACTTTGATCCGGGTGAAGCATTGATGCGTGGGAACGTGCAAATGCCAATTTATTCCAGATAACGAAAGGTGTGGTTGCGCAACCCTCGTGCAGACGCTGTGAAACCTGACTGGCCGTTTCGTAGAGATGGCTGAGGCCTCCTGTGGCAGAGGGGAGGAAGATCGGCGGCTGCTTGAGGCGCATCAAAGGCCTCCAGCCACCATGGTCTAGACCACCCAGACTAATGCGGGCCGTGTGCCGGAAGGCGACGATCGGAGGATCAGAGGGTGGTGGTGTGGCGTGGCTGGTGGTGCACGTTCAAGGCCACAGCTTCTCGCCGACGGCACCGGGTGACAGTCGCTGTGCCGCAGGTAGTAGTCGGTAGTGAAGAAAGACTCGAAAGCTCCGCGACGACAACCGCAAGCAGATGGAGTATGGGGATCCCATGCTCGACTGGGGGCGGATCGGGGCACGGATGCAGCGATGACGCAAGCGCTTTGGCCTCCGCACGCGTAACGGCAGCTCCCCATGACGCCGTTGCAGCTTCATCAACACCATCCCGCCGGGTCCATCCGCTGGGAATCCCCATTTCAGCTGCCGCGCGCCAGAATCAGCCTCCTGGGGGACCATGGAGGTCATCCGGGCCCCCGGCCGTCGCCAATGGCAGCTCGAGGGCGCCCGAACAGGCCGCCCGGCTGCCTCCCACTGGTCGCTGTGGCTTGCATGCCGCCTGCGCGGGCGCTCCGGGATGTTCTGCGCGTGGGACGAGATGACATCCCGGCAAAACAAGGCAGAGCTCGTTGCCCTGCAGCACCACTGTCGTCATTCTCTCCCCGGCCCAACTTGGCCCAGCCCAGATTTCCCACTGCCCCAGTAGTGCATGAGGACACAAAAAATCTGTCCCTCCAGCTGCCTGCCCCCTTGCTCGCTAGCCACCTTTAAACCAACGGCCTGCGCCACTGAAGTCCTGACACCTTCTTTTCATTCTGCGAGGCCTTCGTCCGTTTGCATTTCAACCCGTCCCATCCTCAACAACAGGCTATCCCTACCCCTCCCGGCCCCCTCCTCCACCACCACCTATAACCTACCGCACTCTCTCCCAGCGGACTCCTCCCCTCACCAAAGATGCCCGGCGAACCCATGTCTCCCACCTCGTCGCGCCCCTCGTCGCCGCGCGCCGACAAGCCGCTGCACGAGCTGCTCTCGCACTCGCTCGTCGACCTCTACGTCGGGCCCGACAACACGCACTGGATCCTCCACGAGAAGCTCCTCTGCACGCGCTCGCGCTTCTTCCAGCGCATCTTCTACTCCAAAGACTCGCCCTCCAACCACCAGTCCTACGGCCTCCCGGACGACGAAGACGAGCCCTTCACCGCCTTCGTCTCCTGGCTCTACAGCGCCTACATCAAGCCGCCGTCCGAGGAAAAAGACCTCACCACCCTCATCGACCTCTACCTCATGGGCGAGAAGTGGCAGGCCCCCGGCCTCGTCCGCGACGCCCTGCGCGCCACCCGCGAGTGGTACGCGCGTACGGACACGTACCCGGGCCTGCGGCGCGTGCAGTACGTGTACGCCAACACGGACGAGGACAGCGAGATGCGCCGGCTGATGGTGTCGAGCGTGGCGCGCATGATGGCGCTGACGGAGAGCATCCCGCCGCACTGGGACAAGGCGCTGCGCAAGAACGGCCAGCTCGCCGTCGACCTCATCAAGAGCATCCAGAGCTGGCGCATCGACCCCGCCCTCGTGCCCGACATGCGCCGCGCCGTCGAGGAGAAGGCCGATGACTACGTCGCCGACGGCAAGAGGAAGAAGGAGGAGCAGCAAAACGGCAAGTCTAACGACGACGACGCCGTCAACAAGCTCGCTGAGGGCTTCCTCAAGAACGGTCTGGGCGCCGGCGATGCCGACAAGAAGGTCGACGGCGCCAAGGACCAGGGCAAGAAGAGGGTCGACAGCGTCGCCGGCAGCGAGCCGGAGAAGGTGAAGCAAGAGCTCGACGAGAACCTTCCCAACGGCGTCGGCTTGCCTACCGAGGCCCTCGACTAGAGAAAGAGAGACAGAGAGAGCGAGAGAGCGAGCGAGCATACTTGCTTCATGTTTTTTTTTTCTCCTCCCCCTTCTTCTTTTCCCCTCCTTCTCACGCCCACACTTAACTTCCTTGGCAAAAAGTTGTCTTAATGACGTCACCGATGATGATTATGCATCTGGCCTAGGTCCATGTTACGAATATCGCTTTTTGGGATGGGATTTTTCTTTTTTGGTCGGTTGGCGCTCGGGGAAAAACAACCATTTACGCTTCTTACCCCTGACCCTTTCTTCCTATTGGTGGCGGCCAATGGTCACTTTTTTCCATGTCGGGTTTGATTCTTTATTTTTCCCACTCTTCTGAGGATGTTGTTGTTGTTTCGAGACGCTTTACCCCTTGGATGATGTAATCTTGGACTCTTGCTCCGCTTCTCGAGTTGTCCGCCCTACGTAGTCTACATAATACCAAATTTTGAGTATTTCATCTCTTGCGCCGTCCCCTCAGGTTACATGACTTGGTTTGAAGGTTAAAGTGTGACGCGTACCCGTCGATGATCAGCCTTCGATCTTGCATCTGTCAGGTGTTCATGATCTTCCATGCGTGCAACTGGTCTGTGGAATGAACCGCTCGCTACCACTGTTTTACGTCGGCAGGAGCGGGTGTCTCCACAGAAAAACCAGCCATGATCCTGGCGCGGTTCACTACATGCACTTCACAATTAAACACGAGTCTGCATTGGGAATTCAAATGTGACGATCATAAGGAATGTCGTAGGATTAGCTCATTAGAGCTCCCGTAGGAGGCTTTTTGTGACGTCGTCACGTCGTAGTCGTAGTCTATGCTATCGTTACAGTTCTCAGCCGTGTGAGGGTGAATGCAGTTGGTCGTACAGTCATGCCTGAGTACCCATCGCCGGGGCCTATCGAGACCATGGTAATAAAAAGGGAAGAAAAAAAAGGTAAATGCGCCAGAAAACTACCGGAGTAAACGCCATGAACCGCCCATGTAGCCCGCCCAAGGCCTTCTTTTCATTAGAAGTTACAAGTTCGGGTCATTAAGCTTTTGCGACTCGGAACGAAGATTGAACTACAACGACTCCTTGACAAGGTAGACGTCGGCGCAGCTGCTGGGGAGCGAGCTGTTGGAGTAGGCGACACCGGTCTTCCAGAAGAGCTGGGGGGTGGTGTGCCACCAGTCGCAGACTGTTCCAAGTGGTCAGTCAGGTTTTAGCTAGAAGAGCGTGCGGCGCGAAGGGACTTACCAAGCCAGCCGTCGAACTGGGTCACATTCCAGACCAGGCCGGACGGGGTGAAGGTGAAGAAACCGTCACCTTGGTCAGAAAGACCGGCGTTGATGGTGACAGGAGCCCAGGCAGTGTAAGGCTCGTAGCCAATCTCCAGACTCCAAGGGAACCTACGTCGCTTGGTGTCAGCAATTGGATGGTTCGGAAATTGCGTTCCAGTTGGTCAACATACTCGGTGCCAAAGTCGAATTCCTGGTATGAGCCGTCGGCGGTCTCGTTGAGGAAGCCGGTGGCGGCACTGTCCTTGTCGGCGGTGAAGACGGCGTCGTTGGTGCCAGCGCCGGTGTGGAAGGCGGTAAGGTAGAGGTTGTTGAACTTGGCCAGGGAGGAGTTGCTGCTGACGAGCTGCGTCTTCAGGAGGTACTCGTCGCCAGTGGGCTCGAAGGAAGCGGCGGCATCGCGCTTGGTCAGGAACTCGTCGCGGTTGTAGAAGCCAATGGGCAGCGCAAGGCCCATGACGGTGGCGGGCAGCGCAAGGGAGAGGATGGACTGGAACTTCATGATGGCGAGGACGGATGCAGGTGGTTGAGGACAGGGTCGGAGGGAAGGGTCTGTAGAGTCTGCAAGGTGGAGGGTGACGTGACGAGGAAGTGCGGTCAGGGATGGCGCAGGCGGAAGGATTATATACGGCAGACACAGCAGGGTCGCGGTTTCCTAGCTCGGCGGCGAAGTGGCTGGTGGAGGCCGATCGGCTGTTGCTGGGCGATCGTCGGTGGAGAGGGGAATAGTAATGTGGAGAGAGACGGACCAAAGGCCAGGATGGTGCAGCCTGCAGCTAGTGGACTCCTCTTGAGGCTCGTTAGCTTTCCGTCCTTGCCGTCCGTAGAGGACTGCACCTGCTGCCGCGGCGGAGCGCGCCCCGAACAGCCAGATTCATGGCCACACGGCCACTCCAGACCACTCACTCCCAATGGTGGTACGCAGCGGGCCTGCGCCGTCGACGTCGTGACACTGACCAAACGGGCACGGGGCGTTCGGCCACGGACTGCGCGGCGTCCAGAGCTCGTGTACCTGCTGGTCCCTGCCCGCTTTGGGTCAGCGCGCTCGCCCCGCGCCGGTCTGCCAGTCGAACCATCCGCGGCGACCGACACTCGCGCAAGTCGCACAGTGTGGCCAACCTCGCCCATCCTCGCCCAGCGCTGCCGTCATCCGCTCTGCCACCAGCCCGCCGCCGCCCCAAGCGTATCGACGTGCCGGCACACCTCCTCCCTATCGTGCAAGCGAGCGTCCGTCCGCCGGCCCCATCTGTGCTCGGGCGCTGAGGCGTGTTCAATACGGTGAGGTGCTGTTGAGGCGCGCTTGGGCAGGCTGCTCTCGTCTGGCCCTCGTGTTCGGCGAGGTGCCTGGTGCCTCTTTCGCCGCGCCAAGCCCCAGCCTCTGCGGATCGACAGGCGCGCTAGCTGCTTCAATCGCTGCTCCGGCGCCGACAGCTGCCGGCCGATGGATGCAGGGCCCGAGCAAAACCAGCAACGCCTTGACAGCCACCCGTTGCCGCCGCACCCTCCGCTTGCGACGCCGCTCGTCACCCGTCACCCCCTGCCCGCCCACCTTGCTGCTTGCCCACCACGCCGTCCTCGTCTCAGCTCTCAGCCTTGCAGTGATGAAGAAAAAAGCTTGCTGTTTCTTGACCTTGAGCCTGCATCCAATCACCACCCTGCCAGGACCACAATCCGAAGACCCGCGCCCGCTCGCACTAGGTATGATGAATTATTGTGTACGGAGTACACTACTTGATGTCCCTTCCGTAGGTCCGTAGGCACGCTAGAGAAATGAAAATGCTCAGAGATCCACCATCAAAACTACCAGGTATATGCACCCAGGGCCTGTTCCTGACATCCACGTTGCACCCTAACGCCTTTTCGCCATCCGCCCAAACGCACGGCTTTCGAGGCTATGACGCATTGGCGAATTGGCTTTGTCGCCTAGAGAGGACGGCTTCCCTCGGGTCCCAGGGGAAAAGGGCCCGTCTATTTATGTACTTTGGGACCATATCTCGTCCCATCGCTGCCGGTGCATCCAAACTTTTCAGCTCCCTCCCTACTAACCCGATCGGCAGTAGCTCGTAGTCACCACAGCCTGATCACGTCTGTCCTTCATGACATGCACTCGACACAGAACCAGTTCGGTCTCCTGCGTGTGAGTCCGACACACTTCAGGTGGTACTCTCTCCGATGGCAGTCCTGTGACCAAAGTTACTCGTGCTGAATTAAAGCCGCATGTTATGGCACTCACCAGATTAGCGCACGAAATAGATGCAACGTCGTCGTCGACGACTTTGCCACATGTGCACCCGCTCTGGACCGCGGCCGTTGGCTGATGTGGAGATTCCTCTGGCAGAGGTGGCTTGGTTGAGTTGTCCTGTCTGGCCTCTTCTATCCAATCAAAGCCCGCTTCGGCATCTTGAGGTGTTGGCAGAGTGTATTCACTCTCTTGGTTCGAGTGCATTGACGTTTCCCGACTGATTGTTGGCCTGGCCTTCTTGCTTCGTCTCTTCTTGTCGTCGTCCAACACGTCAAGCCATTTCCCTCCTCCGCCTGGTCCTCCAGGAATGTATTTCCGCTTCATCCTATGATCACCCTGCCGGGATGAGGATCCTTTATGGTCAGGATCAGACGGAGTCGGTTGCCGCTTTCTGGTTTCCGCGGATACTACCAAAGCGTCCATCATACTGCCGTCACCGTCAATGAGGTCAACGCAAGCTCTGAAGACATCGCTGCATATGATCCTGTCGCTATACAGTTCCGAGCTCTTTCTGAGGAATTCATCGCCCATCCTTTCCTGAGTCTTCAGCCAAGAGCGGTACTTTCGGGCAAATCGCACCACAGCATCTCCCAGATGGGCATCCCCGCAGAGTTGCTCGTCCTGCATGTAATCATCCCATTTCATCATGAAGACTCTCGCAGGAACGGCCACCTCAGCATCCTTGGTGGCTAGATTACGCCGCAACTTGAGCCAGTCTTCCGAGATCTCGTCATCGCTTTCGCTGAGGTATTCCCCTTCCTCCAGAGATCTTTTCGAGTCCGATCTATAGAACCGTAAGCCTTTGGGGGCCTTGGGAACCCGGTGTCTCTTCTTCTCGACTATGGGCATGTCCGGAACTTCGACTGGCTTCTTTGGCTCGACAGCTCCCTGTGGAATTGGCGCAATCCTGGGAGCTAGATGGGCCTTCTTTTTCAATCCTAGTCCGGCTTTTATCCAAGATTCATCGCCCTTTAGATACGCTTCCAAGTCAAAAGGCTTCTTAGGAGCGACCCATCGGATCTCTCGTGGATCGGCGACGTTGTTGCTTGCTCGCGGATCACTGTACTTGTCCGAGATGTCGACTTCGACCTTGTATTCGCTCTGGAGGCATGCCCGCGCATCGGCTCCTAGCTTTTGCAAGTTGAAAGAGAACATGTCGTGCTCGGTTTTGAAATGGTGGTATAATCTGTCCAGCGAGTGATAGTCGCGTCGAGAGCAGAAAAGACACAGAAATCCTTCCACAGATATTGCTTTTGGTCGCACTTGATCGTTGAACCAGTATGCTAGTCGAGTAGCTTGGGCGTGAGTCGATGGTTCCGAGATGGGCGATAACAGCTGTTCTCCTCGGATGCAGCGTAATCTTTGGTTGTAGGCCTGTATGGGCATCTCCTTGGATACCTCCCAGCCAGCATCCACGGACATATCGAAGCCTAGGGGGTAGGATTTGCCACCTGTCGTAAAATTCAAGGGAGAGCGGTACCCTCTGTCTGCACGATAGAGAAGGTTGCCAAATTTGGCATTTAACTTGCCGGCGGTCCTTGGGAGCGGGTTCTCCTGGGGGTTCGTGATTGAAAGGACCTCCTTCATGTCTGTGTGGTCGTCAAGCACAATGCTGATAGTCATGAGGTACTCATCCGCCATGATCATCCTGTATGCTTCCCCGAAGGTAAGAGGCATTTGGATCTTGAGCTGCTCTGCTGAGACCAATACCGGCTCGTCCATGCTCACGGAGATGAACTCTTCGTTGTCACCAGTGCGCCATGCTTGAATCATGGCATGCGCAGTATGCGTGTGGATGTCGTCCCAGACTCTGTCAGCGCCAGGTCGTTTCTTCGTAGTAATGTGGTAGACTTTGGATATAAGTCTACATGGGGCAGCGTAGGTCTTTGTCTTTACTTTTGATTGAACCAAGTTGCTGTTTGCTCCCGTCGGAAAGAGTTGTTTGACCTCCATCCTTAGCACCGGGATCTTTTTTGCGGCCAAAGCCGCCATAGTCGCTTTGTCAGGCAAACTCCAGGCCTTTTCGCATGCATCACCACACATGCTGTCGTTGGCGCTTGATTGAGAGGTGCGCAAGTCCTGACCGTGCTGATCAAGCGCTTGCTTAATATTTCTCCGCAAGAAGCTTCGTTGGCGCGACCGGTCGATCATCAGGTATAGGGCGCTGTTCCCGCCGTACTTCTTGAGTTCAGTCGACGAGTTCATGCTCCAGGCTTGACGGTGTCGCCAGGAGGGTGGTACGGCAACGGGCTCAACAGGCCGCAGAGAAAAGCAAAAGGGCCGTAAAACGCAAAGCTGATGACGCGATAAAGCGCATGACGCGTGACTGAAGTCAAAGGAAAGGCCGCGACTGAGGCGGGAGGTAGCGACCTGGAGCGCCTGGCCGCAGGTCCGAGGCGGCGCTGAGACAGACCGGAGGGCTGTAGGTGCCGCTGGACTGGTTGGACGGGCGCGCACCTCGGAGCGACGGGCATGCCACGGGTGGGCGCGGCTGCGGATAGGTGCGTACGTGCCGCGTCGAGGTCGAGAGTGGTAGGTGCGCGCAGACTTCGCGTTGTTGAGGCCTCGGGGGATCGCGTTCGCGCCGCCACGCGCGCGGAGCAGAGGAGAGGAGAGAGTCGGTGCAACGCCACGAGATGTGTCCAACGTCGGCTTGCGGCTCACGTACACGCAGTCGCGACGGGCACACGGGTGGGCGTTCGGTCAAAGCGCGCAGGTCGAGGATGGCCTCCAGCGCAGATGCGGCAGGAACGCGCAGCAGCCGACATGCAAGCAGCGTCTGCACCCGGCCGATGCGCAATAAGCGGGCGCGGAAGAGAGCGCGTCAACTGTGCTGGTCTCACTTCACCTGGAGGAGCAAGCCTTCGCTTGCCAGCCACCCTGGACGCGCCTGCGCCACGGCATTCAGTCGCACTGCGGCGCTCGTGCCTGAGGCAACCGGGGACCCAAGCGTCCGGAGAAGCAGCGGCCCGGGTGCCAATCGATAAGGCAGCCCCGGCGATCGGCCATTCATCGTCATCGCTGCCTCCTCTCTGTACCTCCCTGCACGCCTCAACCCGCACTTTTTCCCACGCCCGTGCCGCGCCAACCTCTCCAATCTCTGTCGCCTGCTGCATTGTGCTGCCTGCTCGCCATCTTCCTCCGCCATCCGGCTGCCGCTGTCGCGCGCCAATCGCTTTCGCGCGACGACAGCAAACATGGCTGCCGCTACCCGTGCGACGGCGGTTCGCGCAGGTCGCAAGAGAAGCCGCATTTCCTACCGCGAACCCAGCACCTCGGACGACGAGGATACCGTTACAAGCGACGACGAAGGAGAAGTAACTGGCAGTGCGCGCAAGCGCATGCGACGAGCCCCAGCCGCTCCCCAATCGCTGCCGCAGGAGACAAATCGCCGCAGCGGCAGGCGCGCCATCCGGGAAGACCATCCTCCTGCACGCAACGCTTCTACCCCGCCTCCAGTGCGCAGTCGTAGCCATGGCTTGCTCTCAGCAAGCCCTGAAGTCCCAACAAAACTGCGCCGTCTGCCGGAGAAGTCATACCACCTGCCCAGCGCTGGGGAGTCGGACGGCGATACAAATGAGAATGAGGACTCGAGAGAGGAGGGCGCTGAGCCGTCAAGACCGAGGCGTACAGGACGGCGCCGCATTCAGAGGTCACTGAGCGGCGCTCACCTGCGTCGTGAGCTTGCGCCTTTGTACACTGAGACCAACAGTGAGGACACGGGTGATATCTCAGAGCGCAGGGGTGGACGAGTTCGCAACCCTAGACGCCTTGGGCCCAAGCGAGTGACGAGGTCATCCGCGGCGAAACAACCACGGAGGAATACCCAGTCTAAGAAGCGTAGGTCTCGCTCGGCCCAGTTGCTTTTCTGGCTGACTTTACTCTTTTCCATACAGTTCCCGACCCCCGGCCGACTTTGACCACGGAGACAGCCGTTCTAGAGAGCGATGGGGTCATACCAGACTGGGCAAATCTACCGTATGAGGTTTTGTTAGAGGTCTTCATGTTCGCAAGTGACCCTCTGCATGACGACGATTTCATCCCAACGCCCAACATCGCCTGGCTGGCGAGTACTGCACGAGTCTGCAAAACATTTCTGGAGCCGGCACTGACGGCACTCTACCGATCCCCCCCTCTGCTTACCATCGACAAGCCTCATAGGCTCCTTGATCTGCTCTCGGACACGACTGCGACTCACTGTATCAACTATAATGTCAAGATCCGCCGCCTGGAGTTTGATGCACCCAGCACTCTTGCATACACCTGGGCCGGAAGGCAGTTCGAGATTGGTGACCTAGTACCATTCGTCCCCCAACTGACTGAGCTATCGATTGTCCACCCGCAGGACCGCCCACCATTCCGAACTCTGAATAGGCCTGGACGCTGGCATTATAGCCAAGCCCTCTTCACATCCCTTGCAGCCAGCAAGATCCGATTGAAATCTTGGAACTGGAACTCGAACTTTCGCTCCAGAGATCATGATCTCTTCTGGATGGGCGGAGTCCACCAGCTAGAAGCTTTTCAGCGGCTGGAGCACCTTTCCCTGTTCAATTTCGGGCCAGAATCCTTTGCTGTGGTGACAAACGACGGCACTGACAATCGGGGACGCTCCAGTAAACAAGTTCTCGCGGATAATTTGGCGCTCTTACCGGAACTCAAAAGTCTGAGTTTCGAGTCCTGCCAGGTGCTTGACGGGGATTTCCTTCCTCTTCTAAAAGAGAATTTGCAGCATCTCGCCGTCATCAACTGCCACCATGTGACGTCTGAAGTTCTTCGCAACTTTCTGGTTTCTCACGGAACTCAGTTGGAGAGCTTGATTCTCAACCACAACCAGGCTCTCGACATCTCCTTTCTCCCGGATCTGAAGCGAACATGCCCAAGACTTGAGGTTCTGAAAATGGACTTGAACTACTTTGACTCTCACGACACCTTCAGAGACTCTGAACCAAAGTATATCGACCTTCTGAAAGACGATGAGATACCAAGCTGGCCTGCGACACTCCAGATCATCGAATTAAACCAGCTTAGACAATGGACCTCTGAAGCTGCAGAAAATTTCTTCTCTTCGCTCTTAGACTCTGCAGAAGAGCTCCCTGATCTCCGCAGACTTGTACTGAAGGCAATCCTCAACATTGGCTGGCGCGACCGCGCTACCTTCCGTGACAAGTGGATCGGCCGGCTCCAACGCGTCTTCCTCCGAAAGTCGTCCCCACCTAACCCACACTTCATGTCCGGTAAGCGTTGGCGTATGCTGAAGGAGTCAACGCTGCCAACCCCTGATAATTCACCAACGAAAGTCGTCAGACGACTGCGACACGTTGCCGTCACTCCGCGCGCCAGAGACAAGGCGCCGCTCCAGCCTACCGGAGAGGACGCCCATAGCGGGGACGAGAATCCTGACGACTCGTCCGCGCCCGCTGCCCGTCGCCTTCGCCCACGCAGAGCGGTCGCCACCAATTCCGGTGCCGACGGCACGTCGACAAGCCCCTCCTTGTCTCCTTCCGAAGCGGAACATTCATCTCTGGAAGAAGAAGGGGACCAGCACCCAACGTCGGACGACGGCGGCGGCACCGCCGCCGCTAGCTCCAAAGACTGGAAGCGCAGCCCAGAGAAATTCATCCAGGGCATGTGTGAAGTGGTCGATATCCGCATCGACAACCTCCGCCCCCGTGAAGAGCAGTTCAACGAGAACGACTTCCTCGACTCGGAAGTCAGCGGCGACGAGGACTGGAATGGCGAGGACAACTTCGTCGCTAACGATGGGTATGCGTGGTAAAAAGAGGTGGGCGCGCGTGAGGCGAACTCAAGCACTTGCTACTCAACAGTCGTTGTCCTTTCAACTCGATTCGGTGTTGTGCGAGGCCATTCGTTCCTCTACATCTCCAGTTCGTGCTCAGGATCTCTTGAGCCTTGTTTTATTATTCTGGTTTATTTTGCTTTTGCCTTGCTCCCTCAGCCTTGTGCTTCTTCATTGCTCTAGAGATCCATGCCGGAACACTGTCCGACTACGATTGGAGGCTTTCGGCCGGTTGCATGGGCGAATCTACGGACGTCCGCCTCCCCATAAGGGATACGAACTAGAATGGAAAGGCGGATGGAGAAATGATGGCTCCAAACTCTATTTACCAAGCCGTTACATTTGCTCATCGAGCTTGCAACAATGCTAGCTGATGAGCTTTTCGATGTTGTACGAGTGTTGTTTTGTCTGAGCATAGATGTAACCCAGTTTAATCAATATACTACTGTTTTGTAGTAGTTCCCTGTTTCATACTATTAGGAGTCTCCCTCTCTATGCTCTGCATGCTAACATCCCATCACGCCCCATCGTCCATTTCTTTCCCATTTTTCTTTCTTCTTCTCCGATCTCTAATCGTCCTCATCCATCAACTCCGCCAACTCCCTCTCCTCCTCCTCAGTCAACAAGCCCTCCTTCTTCCCCTCCCCCACCGCATCTTCGTCCGCCCCGCCCCGCCTCGCCCTCTCCGCGTCCTCGCGCGCCTTCTTGACGTCGGCGCGCTTCAGGCTCCACCGGCGGACGGTGCCGTCGATGCTGACGCTGACCAGCAGCTTCTGGCGGGGGAGCAGGCACAGGCCGGTGACCTCCTCGTAGTGGCCCTCGAAGACGTGCGCGCACTCGGCGGAGCCCTTTTCCCACACGCGGACGTGCTCGTCGCGGCAGGCGGTGGCGACCCAGCCCGCCTCGTCGTCGACGACGACGTCGCGGACGAAGTCCGGGTGGGGCAGGCTGGTGTCGGCGTGGGCGAAGGGGCCGGGGCCGGGGCCGTTGCGACCGTCGCCGCCTCGGGCGAGGCACTTGGCGCTGCGGTCGGCCGACGCGGTCCACAGGTCGTCGGCGGCGTCGAAGGCGAGCGCGTCGACGGACGTGTCGTGCATGACGAGCGGCGTGACGACGGGATCGCCGGTCGACGCCGTCGTCGCCGGTCCGCTCCCTTCTTCTCCTCCCTCCTCCTCCACACCCTCTTTCCCCACGCTGCCCACGGGGATCTGGTACCCGGTGTCGGGGCGGATGCGCCAGGCGCGGATCTCGCGGTCGCTGCCGGCGGAGAGCACGGTGACGGCGGGGGCCAGGCGGGCGAGGCGGGTGGAGTGGCTGGCCGGGTCGACGGCGAGGGCGAGCACGCCGCGCGCGTGGCCCTTGAGCTTGTACAGCTGCCGCCCGCTCTCGGCGTCCCACACGACGATGCACGCGTCCGCGCCGCCCGACACCAGCAGGTCCCGGCCGCCGAGCGAGAAGGCGAGCAGGCACTTGACGAAGTCGGTGTGGCCGTTGCTGAAGCGCGGAGTGCCCCTGATCGCGGCCGACTTTGTTGTTGTTGTGGAGGAGGGCGAAGAGGAAGGGGGAAGCGGCCACGCCCAGATGTTCTTGTCCCAGCATCCGGCGTAGAGCGTCGACGTTTTGGGAGACACGGCGAGCGAGGTCAACGGCGCGGTCGGGCCGCTGAATGTGTGCGTCGTTTCACTTGCCTGGTGGACGCTTCCATGTCAGCAACTTGTCCCCTTCCACCGACACACTCCCTGGG